AATAAAAAAAGTCTCTTTTCACTTTTTATTTAGTTTTTTTCTGCTATTTATTTCTTTTTACAATTTTTCATAACTATAAAAATATACTATATGATCTTTTAAAATAACATTTTATTTTTAAACACTACTGCACAAATTTAAAGATATACATATATGTAATTCATGGTTGATTTACATTAAAATATTAATTTTTTAATAATATAGCTAGAAATTAATGATATTAGTTTTTTAATCCATATTTTTCAATTTAAAGAATAATATTTTTTTTGACTAAAACTAATTTTTTACAAAAAATTAAAACATTTAACATAGATTAAAAAATAATCGGCCAATTTTTTCGTTTCATGAGAGTAGATATAAGATTAAGTCTCACTAAAGGATTCTAACCGGGAGAGTGATTTTATCCATATTTAAGCGGGGTACACTAAAAGTGAGAGGGTTGAGTTAGATGGTCATGTGATTTAAGATGTGATATGAAATTACACTGTTCGAGGTCTCGATTCTCACTGGGGCATTCTAGTTTTTCTTTTTTTAAGAAAAAGGTGTAGTCCAGTACTGGAATATATATTTCTTTATATTATTTTTTCTTTTAAAAAAATACTTTCTGCTAAAGTTAGATATATTAATATCTCAAAAAATTATTGCAAAATGTTAAACCCTCGCAATGATAAATATACATGTTTTTTATAAAATATTTTGTACCATTTTTGTAAATGACACAACACTATATTTTTGTGCGGGGCCAATGTAGAAACGAAATAATTGTTTTTTTTTTACTTTCTTTTCGTACTTGGCCTTTTACAGAAAAATTTATATTTTAGTTTTAATTATCTTTGTAATATTGTAAAATCTAAAGTTCGTTGAATTAAATTATAATACATTAAAGTATACCAATAACTTAATTTTTAATCTATGCTAAATGTGTTATTTTTTGTGCAAAATTAGTTTTAGTTAAATAATCTTATTCCTTAGATTGAAAAAAATTGAATTAAAAAAATAATATCATTACCATTAAACCAATCAATATTTTTATGTAAATCAAACATGACTTACAAATATGTAATTATAAATTTGTACATTAGAGTTTAAAAATAAATAATTCTTTTTAAAACATCATATAGTATATTTTTATAGTTATGAAAATAGTAAAAAGAAATAAAAAACAGAAAAAATTAAATAAAAACTGAAAAGAGATCGTTTTGTTATTTTTGTAAATTTTTGGAGTCATTTTTATAATTTTTAAAATTATTTGGGTATTTTTATAATTAAAACAAACTGAATTCCATTAATTTAAACGGAAAAAAGTAAATTGGACAAAATCGGCTAACGATTGGATAACTTAGGGTAAGATTGACTAATTAAAAAATAATAGAGTAGAATTGACAATCCATGTAAAGCTTAGGGTAAATCCGCCAATTTTTCCCTAAGAAATGACATGCAGATTGATATAGACTAAATATGGGTACTACAAAATCGCATGCCCCAAAATCGCATCGCTGGTTTGCATATAAGATGTTTGATCATTTCCCTCAAAGAGTGCAATTGGGACCTTCCCTTTAATTTTTCCTATGTAAATTGCTGATTGAATTACATTTTAATTCCTCGCCGTTTCATGTGTAACGATATCCTATAATAGAAGAGATATTAATGATTTGGTTATTCGCATGTTATAATTTCATGATATCTTAAAGTTTTTGTATCCCCAGGATTGGTCTTAGTTCCAGTTCATTAATTCCAGTGTTGGGCGTTGTGTCAAATATTAATTCCTTGGGCTCACAACCAATAAGGTACATTGCTAGACTCTGATTTTATTAATTCATTACGTTTCACTTGGTTTTGCTTGATATTTGCATTGTCTGTTGGAACAATCGAGATAAAAATGGAGTTTTTCATTACCGTGTGCTGTGAACAGAGTCTGCGAATTATGATAATCATGGTTGGATCTATTTTTTTGCTGTCTAGCTTTTGAGTTTTATGCTTAGAACTTAGGACTGGCAACTTGACCCTTGCTTTCTTTCAGTGTGTATTTGTTACTTATTATAGGATAGAAGTAAATCAACTCATGGTACTTTGTCTACCACTTGTTCTGTTCTTCTTCATTGTATTTTTTTAGTATGGTTCAAGTCTATGGTTTGCTTACTTTGGATTTTCCATCACTTTGCAGAGAGTTGCTTTCTCGTCATATGATTTCAATACAAAATATATGGGTGTTGCTAGGGGGACAATGATTGAGAACTTGAACTATGGTTTACCATGTTGAAGGCCATGGTTATGTTTATAAATTGGTAAATCTTCTAATTTTCTGGTGGTCATAGCTGATGAAGAATGGAAATGTGTCTCTTCTGAGTATGGCTATAACATGTGTAATCTTAGAAATAGAATACAAATTAAATTAAATCTTTGATTGATTTCAGTAGAAGCGTGTTGGTTTGGTTGATTTCAAGCGGCGCGCCGGTTGTCTGGTTGATGAATTTGTGTATTTTAAGTGTATAAACCTTTATTGCTGACTTTAAAATTTTGTTTCGTGGATAGTTTGAAGTGCAGGGATTTTGCCTGCATAGAAGTTCATCTCGGAGCCATTTTTCCTTTTCCCTGGAACCGCTCTCACTATGTTTTTTATAGGGTGATTTCTAAGTGCTTAGGAAATTCTAAATGGTTGGGGAGGTACGAGATTAAGAGATACCATACCGTTGTATATATATTATATTTGGTGCTTATTCAAAAAATATCATTGTATACATGTGGTACTTGTGTGTTGATCATTTGATCCGGCTCTCAATCAAATATTGTTTTTTCTTTTGGTGTTGCTGCTATGTATACAATTGTCTGATTATGTGGTAAGTCACGAGAACAATAACTACTTAAACTTACAGTCTATGTAAAACCATTTGATTTCGCATTCCCATGTTGTGCAAGACTTGGTTCAAGACATAAATTATTTAGTTATTACTTCCACCGCAAACAATTAAACTGATAATAATATATGCAGCTTGAATGTAAAACTATTTTTATGTATTGATTATAAAATAAATTTAGAACCTCAGTTAAGGTCTGGGCTATCATTCACCATCAGCCGCGCGAAGTGTGGCCACACAGCCTAGTATATATTAAAATATAAATTAATAGGCTTTTGTTATTACCAAAAACAAAATATTAGTTTACTTCCAAGAAAGCCCATTCTTAAAGTCAAAGTTATTTTTTCTTTTATTATTACCAAAAACAAAATATTATTTTACTTCCTTACTCTTCATTTTTTTTTCTTTTTTTTTGTTCCATCCGTTGTTCCTTTTTAATCCAATTTTTGGGTTTAGCTCAGGGTATCACCAGAATCTTCTGAGTATTCTAATTGATTGTAAGCACCGTTGTTTTTTTTTAATCTAGTATTATTTGCAGATATAAGAATTACTCATTTACAGCTGTTTGGACATTTTAGCCCCCGAATACTACAAAGAGTACTAAAACACATAGTTTCAAATCATTTCTTTCTCTTCTTCTTCTTCAACTCTCAAAGAAAAAAAACCCAAAAATCATAATGTCAAAATTTTTATCAAAAAATTCGGAAAAAAATTAATTTAACATTAAATTAAATTTTATTTACATAAATAACAATTACTAATACTACTCATTTAAATTTAAAAAATATAAACAACAAAGATTGATATTACTCATTTTAAAAGAAATAATTTTTGAAAAATATAATAAACAACTGAAAAAAATAAAAAAAAAAAAATAAAAATAAAATTATGGCTAAGGGTAGCCGGCCCGAAAACCGGCTACCCATGGAGGACTAGCGGCCCAGAACCGGCTACCCAAGACGGGGTAGCCGGCCTAGCCGGTTTTGGGCCGGCTAGCTCTCCTTGGGTAGCCGATTTTGGACCGGCTACCCCGGGCCATAATATTTTTTTATTTTATATATATATATATATTATTTTTTCAGTTATTTATTATATTTTTCAAAAATTATTTTTCTTTTTAAATGAGTAGTATTAATCTTTGTTGTTCATAGTTTTTAAATTTAAATGTGTAGTATTAGTACTTGTTATTTATGTAAATGAAATCTAATTTAATGTTAAATTTTATTTTTTTTTGAATTTTTTGATAAAAATTTTGACATTATGATTTTTGGATTTTTTTTTCCTTGAGAGTTGAAGAAGAAGAGAAAAAAATGATTTGAAACTATGTGTTTTACTATTTGTAGTACTCAGGGGCAAAAATGTCCAAACAACTGTAAATGAGTAATTCTTATATCTGCAAAAAGCAATCCATATTTTTACTATGCAGGACTAAAAATATGATGAGCTGATGAGCATCCTTTGATCCTCTAAACTGCGCGGATATCTCAATTGTCGGCGAAGAGGGTAGGTCATCTCTGATTAAGATCTATTTTTTCGTCATGGAATTCGGGTTGTTTTTGCTGTTCGTTTCTCTGGGAAGAATTCTTTGCTTCTATGTTATGTAGTTCAAACCGAGATCTGATTTTCGAAACAATTAGGGCAAGAATCCACATACATCAATGAAGTCGATCTGGTTGTTTTCGTCTGACTTGTTTGTTTTGCTTTGATTGAATGAAGGTAAAAGAACTTGATACAATCTCCCCTGGACCTGAACCCATCTCTACAACTGACGCGAAGGTAAAAATCTCCGGAATTTTCTTTCTTCTGCGAACTAGATCTCGTTTTTTCTGTTAAATTTCCTTGTTGAATTTTTATTATGGTATAAACAATTTTTTTGGTCGAACTCTTTAATGAGATCTTAACCCGAACAATTAGGGCTGAACATGGAATCCATGTCCATTCCTATGGATGATTTTGATTATTTTGGTCGTATTGAAGTTGGGAACAATGGATTCCATGAATATATCTTCACCGACCCCCTTGATGCGAGCGTAGGCTTTTTTTTTTCTTTAATCTTTAGAACAGTTTTTTATAACTTTTTGGTGAACTTTTTCCGTTTGATTTGATTTTTTTTTTTTAATTTTTTTTGGGTGGTGGTGTTTGTAGATGCATGCTTACCCTAAATATGATACGGCGACAACAACATTGGGCTTTATTTATAACAGTGGAGATGTTATGGTAGTCCTTGATCATTCAAGGACTCGCCGTGGTTCAAGCCTATCATCATATCCATGTCCAATCGAAAATCTTTGTGTACTTAATTCGCACCTGCTTGCTGCTGTTTCCGGAGGGAACAAATATTTGCACCAATATGTGTTCTCTTATCTGAAAGAGAAGGTACCTGCTGCTTTTGTACCTTATGAACTCTGTTTTATTTCATAAATGATTTTAATTGTATCCAATAAAGATTGACTGATGTAATTCATGTGGACATTCTATGTGTTTTAGTGCGACAGACATGCATGCATGGTGGGGAAAAGAGCTTCTGCTGCATAAGCATCAAAGTGGCTGGCGGACTTTCTGTCTCGTCATCCTTACACTGATGCCAGTTTGCAACTAGGAATACTAATCGCTGGGTGGGATGATGCATCGGTAAAATTTATTCATGCTCTTTTCTTTTTTATTTACCCCAGCCTCTTATTAAATCCAGCTCATGGTTGTTTGTCTTTCTGTAGCAAGGTTCCCTGTATTAGAGTGGATGGTACGGGGGAACTGCTTAACCGATCATCCCTTGGCATTGGATCTGCTTCCCAAGCTTCTGTTCACTTTGATCTGAGGTATGCCTCTTTTCCCTGTATGATTACTTTTGAGTTGTAATATGCGAAAATGGTTGTTGCCTGGTGCATCAGAGACATATGTTTTCCTTTAATTTATTGTGTTGGATTCTATATTCTAATCACGTTATTTAAGTTTCACCTGATTTTACTTGAGTATCTTAAACTTGACTCTTGTCTGTTCTGTAGCCCCAAGGGAAAAATGTGCATTCTGGAAGCTGCTGAGTTGGCCAAACGTGCGCTCTGTCTTGGTGTATATCTTGTTCCTGAAAGTTGTGAATGTATGAGTGGTAAGATTTGTGATCTGCTGGCCACTTTCTTTTTTTGATGTTAATTTATACCTTAGATCATAGGGTATTTATTCTCTCCCCCTCCTCTCTCTCTGATGAGTACGTTCTTTTTCCCCTGTATGTAGGGTTCTTCATTGGAAGCTTTGGGCTTAGACCAGCTTTCTGTAATAATAGCATACAAGAATGGAGGGAGAAGTACTTCATCAAAGCCGGAGAAGCGGAAGCTCGGTTCTGGAATACTTTTCGTGAGCAGACAATTAAAAGGAGAATGTGGGAGAAAAAAGCTCTGATGATAAAAACTGAAGAGTGATGTAGTGGCTTGTTTCTTATTTGTCTGTTTGTTTCTTTCTTTGTGTGGGTTTATGCCTCCCTTTTTGAACCAAAGGGATATCCGGATTGTCTATGTATGTGGCAATTGTTGCCTGGTTGTTGTTTGCATTAGTTTTGGTTTAGTATGTATTTGCAGTGTATATACATACATATGCTGCGACTTGAATTTCCAATCTTTGTGAAACTGAAGAATGATTGAAATATGAGATAGAATAATTAGGAATCTCTGTAGTCAGTGTTGTGGTGTTTTAACTGTTGATGGATAACAAAATGGAATCCATAGCCAGAAACCTGTAAAGAACCGAGATCTTACCAGCGCTCATGGCTGAAATTTCGATAGTTTTTCGCTGGCTGAAATTTCATCATACGCTGGCTACTGAAGCTTGAATCCTACTTGAGGGGGACATCACTTGTTGCATGGATTTTTGACAAATGTTAGCCACGCGAGAAGGTTCCTTACATTGAATACGAAGAACAATTCCCTCTGCCTTAACAACAAAGGGTTGCAGTGCTAAAATAATTGGTTGCATTTCTAGGTAAAAATCCACGCATAATCATCATAATGAAGTTTCCCTTTATCTGATAATAATCACAACATCAATTTGATTAATCCACATTTACCAAATGTTTTAACCATTTCTTTGATTGCAAAGAGAGTAAATCATCTCCGATCGCCTTTAATATCCATTTTTCCTTTATCGAATTAGGGTTGTTTTTGCTTTTCATTTCTTTGGGTCGAATTCCTTGCTACTATATTATGTAGTCTAAACCGAGGTTATCTAATTGAATTGATACTATTTGAAACAATTAGGGCAAGAATACACGTGCATCAATTAATTCTGACTTTGGTTGTTTTCGTCTGATTTTGTTTGTTTTGTTTTGCGTTGATTGAATAAAGGTAAAAGAAATTGATATAATCTCCCCTGGACATGAACCCTTCTTTATGACTGACGAAAAGCTAAAAATCTCGATAACTTTCTCTCCTCCTCCTTCGAACTAGATCTCGTTTTCTTTTTCTTTTTTTCCCTGTTTAAGTTTCTTCTTGTATTTTTATTTTGTAAAGAAGAGGTTTCGTCGAATTCTTCGATGAGATCTTAACGCGAACAATTAGGGGCCGGAATCCATAGTCTATTTTTATGGATGATTTTTATTGATATTAACGCGGAACAATGGATTCGTTTAATTTGATTTTTTTTTTTCTTTCTTTCTTGGTGATGGTGTTTGTAGATGCATGCTTACCCTTTATATGACACGGGAACCACAACACTGGGTTATATTTACAACCATGGAGATGTTATGGTAATCCTTGATCATGCAATAAGGGTCAACAGTCATTCAACCCTATCAACCATCATATCCATTTCCACTAGAAAATTTATGTGTACTTAATTCCCACCTGCTTCCTGCTGTTTCTGGAGAAAACAAATATTGGCTCCAATATGTGTTCAGTTTTCTGCAAGAGAAGGTATAGTTGCTGATTGTGTACATTTGAACCCTGTGTTCTATTTCAGACATGGTTTGATTTGGCTGATGTTAATTCATTCCGACATTCTATGTTCTTTTAGTGTGGCAAACATGAACGCGCTGTGGGGGAAAGAGCTTCTGCTGCAGAAACATCAAAGTAGCCGGCGGACTTTCTGTCTCGTCATCCTTACACTGATGCAAGTTTGCAACTCGGAATACTGATCGCTGGGTGGGAAAACACATCGGTAAAAAATTTATTCATGCTCTCTTCTATTTTTATTATTTATTCCCAGACTTTTATTGGTGTTTTTGTCTCTCTGTAGCAAGGTTCCCTGTATACAGTGGACGGTACGGGGGAACTGCTTAAGGGACCATCCCTTGGCATTGGATCTCTTCACAATCTTCTGTTATTTCTTTATTATGTTGTGTTGGATTCCTTTTTCTAATCAGGTTTTTTTGTTAAGTTTCACTTGATTTTACTTGAACAAGTATCTTAAGTACTTGTCTCTGGTTTGTTCTATAGACCTAAGGGAAATATGTGCATTGCTGAGGCTGCCGAGTTGGCCAAACGTGCACTGTGTCTTGGTGTATATCTTGTTCCTGAAAGTTGTCAATGTATGAGTGGTAAGATTTGTGATCTCCTGGCCACTTTCATTGTTTGATTGGGCCAATTCCCCCTTCGTACTGCCAAAAAATGAGTTAATTTATGCCTTGGGATTGGTCTATTGTGGATCCTAGGTCCCTCCCTGATGAGTACTTGTTTTCTCCTTATGTAGTTTTCTTCATCGGAGAGGGAGGGATTAGAGCGGTTGCCTGTAACCATAGCATAGAAGAATGGCAGAAGCAGTACTTTAGCAAAGCTGGAGCGGTGAGTAGACAATGAGTAGGAGATTGTGGGAGAAAAAAGCTCTGATGATATAGAAACTGGAGTGATTTCATGTAGTGGCTTATTTCTTATTTACCTCTTTTCTTTTTTTTTTTCTTAGACACTGTTTATGCCCCCTTATTGGACCAAAGGGATTTCCGGATTGTTTGCAGTCTATATACATATTTGTGCTTCAAAAATGTCTATTGCTGTGACTTGAATTCTCAATGTTTGTGGAAATGCAGAATAATTGAAATATGTGATAGAATAGTTGCGAATCACGGTAGTGAGTGGTGTGTTTTAACTGTTGATGGATTACAAGATGGAACCCATAGCCAGAAATCTGAAGCCGAAGTTAAAGAACCGAGAACTTACCAGCGCTCACGGCTGAAATTTCGATAGTTTTTGGCTATGAAATTTTCATCAGGTTGGCAACTGAAGCATGAATCCTACTCGAGGGGGACAACAGTTTTTCGTATTTTTCCTTCACTTGTTGCATGGATTTTTGACAACTGTTAGCCAGGCAAGAAGGTTTCTTACATTGATTACGAAGAACAATTCCCTCTAATTGATTCCCTTTATCTGGTAATCGCAACATCAATTTGATTAAAATAATCCACACTGACCAAATGTTGAAACCATTTCTTTGATTGCGTTCCTATTTCAATCAAGCACTCTCACGCAGTCATTTGATCGAAATTGAATATACTCCACCAAATGACATACGGTGCACATGATGTTATATCTCGCGTGATTTAGATCGAAAGGTCTTTACTTTCCATCTCATGATGGTGCTATTATGATCAATTATAAAGTATTTTGAAAACAATATATATATATATATATATATAAGTGATTTAGATATTGAAATAAATTTAAAATTTGAGCTACTCTGTCTCGCATCAAAGCCCTGATGAATTTTCTTCACGATATGTTGGGATTGGGTACACAAATGAAATCAAACTCGTCTGATATTATGTTTTCTTTAATTAAGATATAAATTATGAATTAGAGCTAGTTTCTTCTGTCTAGATCACTGGAGCAAAACATACACAAAACATTAGTATTTTGGTTGAAAATCTAATTAAGCTCTTATGCATTATTCCTTTATCAAATTAAAAGAACAAATGACACTTTCCTCGAACCAAGCCATAGACGTTTGATTTTAAAAAATATAATCAACCTCAGATTTTTTGAAATAGTATCGATCTCAGATAAATGTCAATCTTTTTAGATTTTCAGTTTTAGTACAATGTAAACTGAAAATAAAAATTCGTAACTGTACAACTATTTCGGGACGAAGAAAGTAATATTTTCAGTTAAATAACTAGCACGCGAAGAGTGGTGGCAGGTAGAACAATTTTTGTATTCTTCTTTCACTTGTTACGCGGGTTTTTGACAACTTTGTTAGCTAGACAACAAGAAGGTTTCTTGCATTGAATATTCTATGAAGAACACTTCTCATCAATTGATTCCAAATACCATAAGTTACATTTCTCGCAAAATGCTCAAAGCAAGTGGTCTTCAGAATTTCTCACTCCAATGAAACAATAAACAACTGAAAAAGGGGGTGAAACTAAATAATGTAAATCACACTTCCAAGTTCTAAATCACAGATTAAAAAAAAAAAAAAAAAAGACAAAATGAAGATGATGAAAATTGCAAGGGGATGACTCGAGTCTTTCTTAATTGATCCTTCTGCAGTTGAGCCTGACTTCTCCTTTTGTTCCAGAAGGTGGTGACAAATTCCCCATCTTGATCATGGACACCCCAAAATCATACCAAAATGCTCTAGGATTATTACTGTAGAATTGCACCAGCTTATCAGTCTTACTCCCATCATTCTTAAAAAGTTCCTGATCAGAATGAAGCAGCCCTTTGAATTGCAGCAAGTTCTGGAAATAAGCAGTGTCAAACAGATTTGTAGTGGAATCCAGTGGGGTGGTGTTGTTATTCTGGGCAGCAGGATTCGGGCATCCCTGCTGCAATGTGGCCTTGAATTGAGCATTAATGTTGGAATCATTGGCTAGCCTTGGTAGGAACAGAGCACACCGCGAAACGCCGATGGTGTGGCCGCCGGATAGAACCACCAGGTCTTGTAGATTCAGGTTGTGGTTCTGGAAGTTGTTTATTAGTTGTTGGAGGCTGAAAAATGGAGCTGGGATGTGGTTGTTTGCGTCGTTTAAGCTTGCTGTTCTTGAATCCAATCTGCCCAAGTAAACTGGATATGATGGACCTCCCAACTGAAATATAAAATTTACACACGAAAATGGTCAAAAAAATGCAAATAAAATTTGTCAGGTTTGAGTTGGGACATGAGACTGATAGTGTAAATTATGTGTCGAATTCGCGACATTTTTTTTTTTGGTGTCATTTACGTTTTGCTATGATCAATGCATTTTTTTGTTTGAGACAGGGGATTTTGTCTATGGAAGGAAGTAGATTTGTTATTAAGGAATTGAATAGTGCTTACAATGTTTACGGAGTCCCTTGCTGCAACTGCGACGATATCAGCACAACTGACAACGTTACCGCCACAAGCCGAGTTCAAAGTTGATTTAATCTGGTCAATAACTTCAAATCCCCTGAGAGAATTGAGGTTTGGTCGGGCTGTTTTTTCTCCTTGGAAACTCCGAGTATCGTCTAGTAGATTTGATCCATCGCAACCCTGCCAATTATAAGCAACAGAAGTTCGTATTTAGTGTATAACAAATGGGAAAATGTTGACTTTGAAATGTAACTTTATGGAGAACAAAAGTCGTCCCAAAATAAGAGTAATGTTTTTTCCTGGATGAAATGAGTAAGCGAATGAAGAGAAATTGATATGAGGATTACATTGACGAAACAATCATGGAAATGTAGGCGAAGCAAAGAAGCACCCATCCGGGGCTCATTTCGGACGGCTTGCTCAACAATTCGTCGAATTGTGTAAAGAGCATCTGGGCAAGATTGGACATAATAGTTGGCTGATAAAGCCTCACTTGAACGCATAATTGATGCTGATAAAGCGATTATGATCAACAACATTGCGGAAAATTGAAGTGATCTAGAACCCATTGTCTTTAGGAACTAAGAGCTTTAAGTATATATTGTAAGTTTTGAGCTAGATTATGGCTATGGAAGTGAGAATAATGAGATTGTGTTGGTGGTATTTATAGGGTGTCAAGATTGCAAATTTTGGTTAGATTAATTGGCATGTTGAAGTATGTAGTAATAATTTATTCATGATTGGGTCTCCAAAATTTCAATACACCTTTGCTGGTGGACCAGGTCATTCTTAATTTCTTCAGTTAAATCTGTCCAACATAATTGTTTGTCAAAACTTGCTTGCTTCCGTCACTATGTGGGACTTAGGCTGCTTCCATTCCCCCATATACTGTTCGAGTTCCAATCGTAAGTTGTTACTGTCAAAGTAATAATTCATATAAGTTAAGGATTAATTTTTCATTATTTCGACGATATTTCTCTCCAAATAAATAATCTGCAACCTTTAAGATTTGAAAAATTCCAAACCGTAACTCCAAAAAGTATTTATTTCATGAATGCTAAATCAAAAGGCATAAGATTACTTCAAGGTAAATTAGCTCTAGACTGGTAACCTTGAAGATGATGACCCCGTCTCAAAGTAACTTCTGTTTGATTTCTTCATTAAAATGTTCACCCCTCTCTTAAGTAACTTATGTTTGATTTCTTCATTACAATGTTCATGATCACCTAACAACTATTTAAATTGAACCTGGATTCGGTCTTGATGGTTGATTTTACCATTTTACTATTCATTTTCGATGGACGCTAGCTACGATTTTCCTACTCTCATTCTCATATATTCGATGCCCAAAGTTGAAGTCCGTTGTATTTCTTTTTCTTTTCTTTTTTTTTTATTTTTTATTTTTATTTTGGTACATGAATCACAAGATAAAACTATATTGATGAACACATGTATTCTCATTCACCTTTTTTTTTTAAAAAAAAAAAAAAAAAGAGGCATTCACCCTTAATTGTATGAGACATATAAAAGTCATATAATAAATTATCTATCCATACAATAACTCGAACTCAACACATGTTTAAGGGAGATCAAGCTCCGTTTGGTCAAATATGTAACCACTGGAGATCACAAATTCATGTGTGTGTGAACGAAGTTTTCCTTTTGACGATTGTCGTCCATATCATACAAGTACCCCAAAAAAAAGAAAAAAAAACTAATTACGTAAAAAGCTGTAAAAATGCAAACCAAAAAGGCCAAAAAATGATTAAGTACAACGCAAAAGTTAAAGTTCGTAATAAATAAAAAGAAATGCCATATATGGGGGGATGAATATATGGTTAATGTACTAGTAGTTGATTAACTTAATTCCAACTGCTACAACGTCAATTTCATCCCATCAATGGTCAAAATCTTCGTGATTTTATAGCTTCCAACTATTTTGGTTTTATGCTATGTTTGTCAAACCCTTATCTTTGGTTAAAGCATATTCGTCAACATCATCAGCATAAAATATAAGTAGCAAAACCAAAATCTGGTAACCTTTTCATATACATATATCGCGACGCTCGAAGAGAACATATAGAGCAAATTGGATTAATAATAGAATTCCTTCTGCGCGGAAGTAAACTTAGCTGGTAAAGCTAATTTCTCCAATCTCAACAGCTATAACCTCGAGAGACTATAAGTCCACATTCTTGTTGATATGCTTCCATTTCTTTTTCCCCTTAAATTATTGTCCATTATACCGAATGATTGACTCTGATTTGAGAAATTGTGATCGGATTTGCCATTCAAAATCCAAATGCAGTTTGTTTTTTATATCCGCAAAAAACTTGTCGGGCAGAGAGGATGCCTCTCTTTTTTTTAGCAATTATAGTAAGATTCGAACATTCGATTTTTAAGCCTTAAACGTCTAAACGTAAAAAGTAATATCTAGCCACTGTGAGTTGTTACACAGCTCGATCTCAAATTTCAATCAAGAAATTTGTTATTTTTATGAAACGAAATGAATATGCTAGAAGTTGAACTTTCATCTATATTGCTATTTTCACTCTACGTCACCTTTTCTACAAGTTTTCTTAGTAAATTAGGTTTCGTTGTTGACTAATTCAAACTAAGCCCTAGCTTTCATCAACTAAAATAACTTTGATACAATTGGCAAATGGAGTTCATTCTTTGTACAATATAAAGAAATTTAAGGCGTGTAGCCCATCCACATCGAGCTAACTCAATCAACAAAACGATAATGCTTTCATTTACTTGCAAATCAAATAACATAAAGGCAAAACTCAGTTGACTCGTTTATTGAGTTTTAATAATTGATATGAAAGGGCCGGCCGCGTTGGAGTTGTTATGGATTTGTTACCCGAAATTCAGGTGTTATTTAGTGAATAAAGACAGAAAATTATTTGGCGTTGACAATTTTACTGCTATGGCTACCAAATCACATATGGGTGGAGGTAGGCGGATTTTTTTTTTTTTTGTTTCTTTTATTATAATAATATCGCAAAGATGTATATTGAATTTTTAGAACGAGTCTATTCTTTGCATGTATTTCCAAAATAATATTTTGTAATATTATTGATTGCTTTTTTCTTGTGTGTGTATATCACGTATCTCTTACCGCGAAATTCATACCCCACAAGAACACAGAATGTTTTTTTTTTTTTAAAGGTACCTGTATATTAATTAAGAAATACCTGACCTATTACATCACATTCTATGGAATGCTAAATTATGAACTTCTACAACATCTTGTCTACTCACTTTAATCAGTGAGCAAGACCGAAATAAGGAAATACTAGTTACTAACAAAGAAACTACCCCCTGGGCCTCAGAAGGTAGTAAAGCAGACCGTAAATCTCCAGTCAGAGCTTCACAATCCGTATAAACTTGAAGTCGAGTGATCCCTAAATGTAACGCCTCTTTCAATGCCAAGAGACAAGTCATTGCCTGGGCTTGAAAAGGAGAAAGCATACTTAGGTCCACCACTTTAATTTGCATCACCATCCCATGATGTGATAGTATCTTCCAAGCACCAACCGCTTTGCGGGTTTGATGGCTAAACGGATCATCAAAAATGACTAAGGAATCAGTCGGACCCCTCTGTGGTAGTGATGATTGTATGTTGGGAGAAGGTCTTCCAACTATCAGACTGCCAAGGCTTTGCTTATGGAGAGTGACTTCATTTTGGATAAGTCTCCAAGATACCGCCGGATCATGAGATTGGTTTCTCCAAATTTTATCATTCCTTTCCAGCCAGATCCTCCAGCTGATGATCAGAAACAAATCAACCTCCTCTTTAGCTGGATGAGACTGAGTCCACTGAATGAACCATTGATGCAAGGAGTCATATGTAGAATTGAATATCGAGCCAAATTGAGGAAAAGCCAAGGCCCAGATGTCCCGAGAGGCTTCACACTTAAAGAATAAGTGTAAGCTATCTTCTTCTTGCCAACCACATCTGGGGCATAATGGGTTCACTTGAACTCCCCTTTTGCATAGTTCTGACCGAGTAGAAAGAGCATTGAGTATTGCTCTCCAGAAGAGAAACTTGTGCTTAGGTTGAACTCTAGAATTCCATAGTCGTTTCCAAGCTAATTTCTCTGCATTCTGAGTTGCTGGACTTGGTACGGGCTGTGGCAGGAGGGCGTTGATGGCCAATTGATACCCGGATTTAACTGTGTAAGTCCCATGATCAGTAAGTGTCCAATGGAGCTTATCCTCTTGATGTAGTCTTGCCGGATCTATAAAGATCCCAGTAATGTGGGAGATAATATGATCGGGAAAGAAATTCCTAAGAGCCTGAATCTTCCATTGACCATTTGGATGAATAAAACGGTCCACAGTTAAGTTAGACATAGCTGAAATGGAATGAACTCCAATCGGATTCTGTGTATCAGGAATCCAGTTTGCTGATATAGGGATATCCTTGCCTGAGATTACCTTCCGTTTAGTATGATTCTGCAGAAGTTCAGCTCCCCACATGATACTCTTGAAACCTCAGGAGGAAGTTTTGGGAGGTTGTACCGGAGGAAAAGTGTCATTTTTGCAATATTTGGCACGAAAAAGTCTAGCCAGGAGAGAGTGGGGTTGAGAGATTAACTTCCATGCATGTTTGGCTAAGAGTGCTTGATTGAATTCTTTTATAGCTTTGAGACCCAAAACACCAAGAAAGGGAGATTTTGTAATTTTCTTCCATGCTCTCCAATGAATTTTATTTTCCTGTTTATCTCCCTTCCAGATGAAATTGCCCATAATCTGGTCAGCCTTATGCAAGGTGTGAGCAGAAAGCTTGAATACTCCCATTGGGTACACCAACATTGAGGACAAGGTGGATTTGGCCAAGGTGACTCGACCAGGTAATGATAGAAGTTTGGTCTTCCAGGAAGCAAATTTTCTGCTGATTTTTGAAGTGAATTCCTTGAAGATAGTCATCATCTTCTCCTTGAAATCAAGACTCATTCTCAAATATTTACTTTGAGACTGTCCCGTAGGGATCTTGAGAATGGAATGAATGAAGTTCTTCATTTCCGGGCTTGTATTAGCACTAGTGAGGATTGAAGATTTGTGGAAATTTATGCGCTGGCCAGAGAAGTTGGTGTAGTTTTCCAGTAATCCTGTTAAAGCTAAAACAGAAGACTCCTTGCTCTCAATGAAAAAGAGACTATCATCCGCATACATGAGATAACTCACCCTGGGTGCATGGCGGCTGATTTTCACTCCTAAACCTGGAAAGTTGTGGATCTCTGATGTAATGGCAGAAGATAGGACCTGCTGACAAAGGATAAACAAGTATGGAGACAAAGGACATCCTTGTCTCTATCCTTTATTTGGAGAGAAGGGTGGTAACCTTTTTCCATTTAATTGGAGGGAATAGGAGACTGAAGTCACACAGTGCATGATCAAAGAAATTAGTATAGGAGGAAAATTCGCCTTGTGAAGGACAGCCTGTAAGAAAGACCAGGAGACTCGATCATAGGCCTTACTCATATCCAGTTTGATGGCAGCCAAACCCGTCTCACCTTTTTGCTTCCTTATGCATTCAATGACCTTATGAGCAATAAGAATGTTCTCGCTGATGTTTCTGCCTGGAACAAATCCATTCTGGTTATCATCAATAAGATCATTCATAACATGTTTGAGGCGATTCGCAATCATCTTTGCTATGATCTTATACTTGACATTACACAGACTGATTGGACGGAAGTCATTTGGGGTCGTCGGAGTAGACGTCTTAGGAATGAGGACCAAATGAGTCTGGTTCTATTCTGGAGGAAAATACATAGTATTGAAAGCATCCAGAATTGAGGATTGGACGTCCGAACCAATGATGCTCTTGTAATGTTGATAGAACCCCGCTGGCATCCCATCAGGTCCAGAAGACTTCCAAGGAGACATTTGCTTGAGGGCAGACCACACTTCTGACACTGTAAATGGAGCATCTAATTGAGCTGCTTGATCTGACGTCAAAGATTCACTCACATTTGCAAGAAGACAGGTGAGGAATGAGGAAGACTGAGAATTCAGAGAGCTTGAGTCCACTGACATGTAAATATTTGAGAAGTGACTCAAAAGCAGAGAGCGAAGTTGAGCAGGTTCTTGAACCCACAAACCCTGAGCATCACATAGCTCAGTGATCCATTTGTTCCCTTTCTTTCTAGTAGCCCATTTATGGAAGAATTTGGTGTTTCTGTCTCCAAATTGTGACCAGGTAAGCTTGGTCCTCTGAAGCCAATAATCCTATTGTAGCTGTAGTGCTTCCTCTAATTCCACTCGGTGTTGTTCCAGCTGCATGCTAAGCTGCTCATCTGATTTATTTCTTTCCCATTGCATTTGAGCTTGTGCCAATTTCTCAGTCAGCTTGAGACTAGAGTGTTCAGGTTGCCATAACGCCTTTTACTCCAATGATGGAGTGTAGACAAAGTTCTATCCAGTCAGAATGAGAGGCTATCCTGGGGACTATCAATATGAAGTGGGGAATGAGTCCAAGCTTGGGTTACCAAATCCTTTGAAGAAGGACAATTTAACCAGAACTGCTCAAATTTTTTATGTCCCTTCTGAGAGCATTTTTGCTTATGTACCACAAGAATTAGGCCATGATCCGAGCTTATGATTGGAAGGTTCCTTATGATAGCCTTGTTAAAAGTGGTAAGCCATTGCTTGTTGATAAAAGCACGATCCAACCTTTCAAAAATTGCCTCATGCCCTTGTTTCTTGTTTGTCCATGTATACCAATAACCCAAATGCTTCAATTCCTCTAAGTCATTAGAAGACAGTAGCTGCTGTATGTTTCTTGTGTCTTGAGGCCTAACTGGGCGCCCACCAAATTTATCCTCCTGATCTAAGATTTGATTAAAATCCCCTAACAAGATACTGGGATGTCTAAAACCCTGGATGATCCCATTTAAATGTGACCAAAATGCAGCCCTGTCTTGCTGCGAAGGGGGACTATACAGAAAAATGGCAAGCCATTCCAGGACTGTAGTTTCCTTAACCTTAGTAACTATTATATTGGCATTCTGATAAAGCACACTTAACTGAACACCATCAACCCAAAAAAGACACAAACCACCACTAAGTCCTACAGGATCTATTACAACGGAATTATTAAAAATAGAAGATTGTTGCCAAGCCAACACATTAACCTTACTAGCCTTAGACTCCATCATAAACAAAATACTAGGCTTATAATTCTTAACTAATCTACCTAATACATATTTGGATGAGGCATTATTCATGCCCCTAAAATTCCAAGAAAGGATATTCATAGAAACAAAGGCAGTTGATCTGGTTCAACCGCCGCAAAACACTTCAGAAAGGTAGAGATCTTACCAGACACCGTAGTCTTGGCAGTACCAAATGCCTCCAAACCTTGGCTACTTTGTGAGATCAAGAGCCTCCTTTTGTAAGGTTGTGTAATATGGGTATGCGTATGGTCCACCTCAAGGGACTTCCTTTTACCACCAGCAGAAAAATGACAAGAGCTTAAAAAACCAACTGAGGAAGATTTACTAGATGAGCGTTTCCACTTCCTGTTGGGTCTGCCTATCATTTTTTTGTGGAAGTTGACGGAATGGGCATTAGTCTTGTTGATGGATGGTAAGTTTATTGTGCTCCCCTGATCAACAACCGTCTGTGGTACTGCAGGTGTGATTTGTTCTTCATGTACTAAATCCATGGGCTCTGCTGAAACTGAACCAGAAATATTATCCTCAACAGGAGCTCCTTTAGGTTTGGAAGTGGATATTGGCCTCCATATCATTTGCTCTCTCTGCTTACAAGGAAAACGTTCATGTACACCACTATGCTTCTTTTTCTTTTGGTTACCTTTCATTGGAGAATCTTTAGTTGGAGACCCCCTTTCTGGAGATGCAGCTTTGCTCAAAGTCATGGAAATGGTAGACATCCCATTTGTCATTTTAGTAGATAAATTTTGTTGAAGATCAGTAAAATGACATTTAAGTAACTCTCCGATGGCTATTGCTTTTGGGATGGCAAAACCCAAAGCTGAAATTTGTAAGGAATTCTGCTGTTGCAGTATACATTTGGCAAGAGAGAAATATTTATTAACTTTTCCATGAGTAGCAATCCTCAATTCTTCCATTAGAAGCACCTAATTTTAGAAAGCGCGAGACTCACAAAATTATCGAATACCAAGCTTTCGAGAATGAATCTGTGACTTCAAGAAAAGCTTCTTCGATTTGCAGTCGTTGATTCCGATCAAATCTGTACCAAAGCAGCAACAACAATCTCCACGCATGGCAATCATCAATTTACAAGAGGATGAAGGAGAAGGACATCGGCTGCCGTCTTCATCATCGTCGATGGCCGTCAGAAGCAGAATTGGAGCGTTGATTGGATTTAAACTAGAAAAGGAGTGGAAATTGAAGGAAATGAATCCGTCCAAGTGTTCTGGGTGTGCTTATTTGAGTATTTGCAATGATTAATTGCAGCAGCACAGGAAGATTGGATGGATCATAAAGCCAGATTTCTGGAATTTGCATAAAGTTGGGGGAAAAATTGGGGGCGCGTGGGGGCGCGTCCAAAACATTTCCAAAAGTGCGATTAAAGAAATGGTGAAGACAAAGAAAAAGATACACGGAACGTCAAGTTATATGTAAATCGCATGCATGCAGGGATTCGGTCTTTTAATTACCTTTTCTTTCATTTCGTCATTTGATTCAACCTCTTCATCATAATATTAATTTGTTTTTAAGTCATAGACTGAGCTGCCAGCTGACGTGTTGGCATCTTGGGCAACAAGATGCTAATGTTCTATGAAATTTTCTGAAGTAGTTCTAAAACTTAATTGAAACTCAGAATGTTAATTAAATTAGTTATAAATCTGACTGTGAATAGAGTAACTTAGATAGTTTTTGTTTCTTTTGAGGCATAATAAAATCTAAAAATTCAAACTACACGAGTAGAAGACATTAATTATACCATGTTATAATCATGGAATTAATCTTTGCGTCAGATTAAAAGTCTACCAAAACTTTCGTTGAATTGTTGCTATACAAGTGAAAAAAAAAATTCTAGCAGAGTTCGACTCCTTATAAAAGGTGGCCAAGATCCACGGAACGTCAGCATCGGAATTAGAGGGTTGGAACTCAGAAGAGCTACTCTAATTTTCATTTTTCTCAAATTTAGGCCAATAAATGGACTGATTAGGGCAAATTATCTTGTACACCGGGGGGCACAGTGTACCCCATTGTACATGTACTTTACTCTATTAGAATAGCGTGAGTCCGCTAGATAATTCAGCTCACACACACAGTTTTCTTCTTTAATTTACAGCAATATTATGTGATGGTTGTCCATGCTATAATTGCTGGTTATCCACCTATTTGATACTGGTTATCCAGAAGGTGTAAACTGGTTATCCACAAGTTGTAAACTAGTTATCCAAAAGGTGTAAACTGGTTATCCACAAGTTGTAAACTGGTTATCCAAACTTTGTTTATGGTTATCGACCTATTTTATACTAGTTATCCACAGAGTGTAAACTGGTTATCCATACTTTTTTTAGATGTGCTTCTATGTAGCTATCTGTCCATACAATTTGTTAGTTATCCACCCATTTCCGGTGCCCCTGCAAATTCCAGTGGTGCGCCGCCTCGTCGTTTACTTAATTTGTGTCCCCTCTTAACGCAATAACACACTCTCCTTACACACACACTCTCTCCTTACACACACACAAAAAAAAAGATTACCTTAGCTACATTGGCGTGTTCGGCGGGGCGGCGCAGCCGGGGCAGGTTGGTGACCTGCGATTCCGGATAACCAGTTTACAACTTGTGGATAACCAGTTTACACCTTCTGGATAACCAGTTTACGCCTTGTGGATAACCAGTTTACCCCTTCTGGATAACCAGTTTATAACTTGTGGATAAATTATGGATAACCAGCAATTGTGTGTGTTTGTGCGTGAGGATGAAAACAATAAAATGGATGAAAACAATTTTGTTTGTGCATTTAATGTAAAGGTGAAAAATGTTGAGCGCGTGTAGTGCGTGTGTTTGGTGGAGGTATACGGTATACCCGAGTACACTAGATACGGACTCCTGATTAGCTCACTGATAGGTAGGATAATTATATCCCTGAGACCCTGATTGTACAAGCCCACTCTTAAAAGTTCAATCTTATTAATCTCTATCTACGAATCTGTTTTAACTCCTTCAGTAAAGGTACATCAATTTTTTGGGCCTTGGGCTTCCAAGTGTGAGAAATTGCATTTAGCAAGTACAAATTATGTAAACACGATTCTCCCGTTTGAACTTTATTTTTGCCCAGAGGTTACACTACTAAGACAACCTTGGAAGCCACACCAAAATTAATTCGGGATGGTACAATCCCATCGAGAAAAATAACGGAAATTTCTACTCCTTCTGTGATATAATTATTGTTCAGTTTTAAATTTGGGACAGAAAGAGTATATAAATAGTACTCCTTCCGTCCCAAAATTATTGTCCAGTTTGAGATCTCACTTTTAGTACAAATTGCACTAGAAATGAAAACTCAAACTAGACAACAATTATGGGACGGAGGGAGTAACACTTTTCCAACCCTAAATAATAAAATAATGCTACTACCAAAATAACCAAATATATATTATTTAAATGTATTCTCATTTAAAATAATGTATTCTCATTTCTTCAAAGTTATACAACTCTCCTAACAAAATATTTTACTTTCAATATGCATGTTTCGCCATTTTGGGTATAATAATGGTGATTGGTGGCTCGATTCGAGTCAAATTCGATCTAAATAGTCCGATTTTGTCAGCTTCTCGATCTTTACAATTTAAGTAAATGCATGAGAAAACGAATGATATACATTAATTTACTTATTTTTTTGAAAGGTTAATTAACAGCATGCAACTCACTAATCAAGAATTACACGAAATTTTAAATTATGAGCAAAGTCAACTGGGCTGTTTATTAGCAGTTGAAGATGTTTTCTCCCTGTTTAATCACCACCGATGACCTTGAGATCGGGAAAAAAAAAGAGATAAAATTAATTAAGAAAGGATTTTATTTGTCTCCGAACTAATTTTAATAAAATACATTACATATATAAATATAAATATAACTATATTTCTGGATTTATGTCAGGTTACTTAATCACTTATTGTTTGAATCCAATGTAATGGAATGACAGAAATAATTTTGAATAATGAACCCCATGTGACGACGACTTAGTGCTTATAGTAGTATGAATGTGTCAGGGCAACAATTTTTTTTGTTTTGTTTGCTACCAATTAGCATAAAAATGAATTAAAAAATAGCTGAAGAATTTAAAGATGTAGTACTATTATAGGCTAAATAGCATCGATTATTGTTCTTTATTAGGGTTTGAATAAAGGGTAGTTTAATACTCCCTCCGTCCCATAATTATTGTCCAGTTTGAGATTTTATTTTTAATACAATTTATACTAAAACTAAGAATTTAAACTGGACAATAATTTTGGGACAGACGGAGTATCAAAATATTAAAATGACAGAGTTTTTCTCAGTATCCTATAACTAAATGTTACAAAGTTTTTCGATCATTTGACATCTGTAATCAATAATTCAATATACTATAGGAATTTGTCAATCTAGTGATTGACTATCAAGTTAATTATTTACATGCACTACTTATCCACACGTTCTTGGTTCCCAAAGTTTCAACAATATGATGCATTTAGCCATCACGCCAATCAACAAAATTTAAACATACGAATTAAAGAACCTCCCTATAATCATTTATTAACAGTTTAGCACCACAAAAATAAACCAAAAAAAAAGATGGTAATGCCCAGAATGCACTGTGGTAATATGATTTACGCATACTAAAGGCAGTAAGGGCTAACGCTAAAAAATATTTGGTTTTCTTTAAATTTTTTTTTTTTTTTTTTTTTTGATTGAATGGTTTTGGATACTGTAGCCACTAGCCAATCAAAGCTGGTTCTTCTAGTTATCTGTAAGCTCTCTATATTAATATTCAGATATTTTGGTTTTAAACAAATATTGTTTTACCATTGTTTTTTGAAGGATAAAACATTGACCATTGTGCGACAAGCTTAAGCAACTATGACGTGATAACAAATTCGATTGTAATTCTATACGCAGGCTTCTCTCTCTCCCGGCTTAAATTGTTACACTCCAGTACTCCAGTACAATAATAAATAATAATAAAATACACCAATAAATAAAGAATTCCTCTTAATTCTATTGTATCAAACGTGACACAACCATTTAAACAGCGTATTCTAATTTAGAATTAACGAATCATATGAGTTTCTACTTCAATTTTTGGATGTGCTCCACACGTCAAGATAACCTAAAACTCTTCACAAAGTAAAGCCATTTCGTGATTATTTAATTCTTGCTGGCCATTTTTGGTTCACACATAACCCCGGTTTGTGTAATATCGTCATTTTAGAACATAAACTTCCCCTCTAAAATAAACTTTATGTAAATTTTACGTCTTTTTCTAAACGAACAGAACTTTTACTTTGGAATGAATCAGAGTGTAGAAAAATATATTGCTTGGCAATACAAGCTTGCATCCCCGTCTTTCACAATCGCTGTTTTGGAAATGGGAGGGCAGCATCGATCAATCAAAGCTATCAAACCCCATCATTTCCCAGAGATCTCTCTTAAGAGTGTAAAAGAGGCCGTATATATATGAAACTGCTCATTTCACAAATGACAAGCCATTTTTATAATGGCTACACGCAAAGGTTTGGCAAAATCAACTATTTTTCAACAGCAGCCAATTTGGAAAGTTCTCGAGATTTATTATACAAAACCAACCAACCGTGCACAGATGATTAACAAGAATTAATAGAACGATACATGCATATATAGAAACCAGCTGCACTGAAAATAAGCACAAAACCAACTTCTTCTTTTTTTTCTTTTTCTGAAAGAGAGTCAGTGAAGACCAAATTTTAAAATTTTAATATATCAAAATATTTCTCTACAATAAATGAGGTGATTATAATGATGCGTACTAGTACTCACAAACAGCCAAATCAATATTTTTGTCCTAAGAAAATTTTCATTACGGACATGTTTAAATAATTTAAATAAAAAAAATTGAAACGAAACAATACTTTAGTATAACTTGAAACGAAGAACATGTACTTACGGCCAAGCACGATAGTGTACTACTACTATATACTACCGTGCTAAATGTTTCCCTGGGCATCTACAATGCATTTTGTCCCCTCCAGTATATGGCAGTTTTTCTGCTGCCATTTCTTAATCATTCAATTAATTCACTGGCACAAACTTGCATGTTCTGTTTGCATTTTCCAGCAATTTTCACTTCAAGAGGGCTCAAAATTTCAAGCTCAGTTAAAAGCAAATTTACCCTTCTTTTCACTGGTCAACTCTGCACGTGTACTTCTCTCCTCGGAAAACACAAAGCTTTTAATTTGCAGAGATGAAAGAATGATTCATCAGAGTTTTTCAGGAACCCCTAAGCCCGCCCCAGTAAGGAAGATATCGCAGTTTTCACTAAGGATGAAAATTGATGGGAAAAGACAAAGAATTTAACCAAAAAAATTCTCTCTATACAATGTGTAAGCCTCATTTTTTTAAAAAGCCAACCAAAGAAAGAAAATGCATACAACATTTTCAAACGGAAGAAAACTTAAACAAAAACAAATGGCGATATAATAAATGTAACGCTGTTATACTAGTACTACTACGTAGTACAAGGGATGAGTTCCCCATGACATAATGATAGGTTAATACCATAAAATTCATTGTCCTTTAATAATAATAATAATAATAATAATAATCAGAGGAGTGTTCATTTTTTCTATGATGAATTATTTTGGTTTGACCTTTTCATGTGGTGTCTCTCGGAAAATGGAAGTCACACTTCCCAAATAACAAAAAAAAAAAAAAACCCATTTACGCTAACTGATCAAGTTAAACCTTCCACCTCTCAACAATCCATTTTCCGGCGGATTAAAGATCATCTTGAGACTAAAAAAAAAAAAATCAAAAGAACAAAAAATCGTCCACATGATCAGCATAAGTTTAATCGAAAAAGGGTATATTAGTGTTTGAAATGTTGCTAAAACTAGAAGATGTTGTGGAAGGTTGTTGGGTGTACAAAGAAGGAGCCGGAGCCGGAACCGCCACAGAAGAAGAAGAAGAAGAGGAGGAGGAAACAACGACGACCACGGAAGGCGGCGGCTTGGTCGCAACACAAGGCTGAGGTGGCGGAGGAGACGGTGCCGGAGGAGGAGGAGCCGGGGTGGGAGTCGCCGGAGCTTGTGGCATCTCAGCAATGGAAACGAGGTTATTATTATTAGTGGTGGTTGAAACCAAAGCGGCGGCGGCGGTGGAAGCGATAATGGTATTAGCAGCTTCTCTATACTTATACCTTAAAATCTCATTCCTAACAGCATGGAGTTCGGCTTGTAAAGATTGAACCTGTTGTTGTAGTGTGGAGATGGCTCCCATGCATCCGTACACTGGATCTCTTAGCCTCACATTTGCTTCATACACCAAACTGTTTGCTGCATCTGCCCTTTGGCTTTCTGGCACCTCCTATTGTACAAAATGTTTGTAATCACACAAATTAATTTAGACCTAATGTTTAAACCCATCTTCACAAAAATAAATTAAGAAATAAATAAATCATCACTAAAGAAAAGATTGTTCATTCAAATCTTGTGTGTATAGGATAAACTACTAGAACAACACAATATCGAGTCCAATAAGTAAGTTGATGACCTGATAGCTTTGACGAAAAAAAAAAAGTATATAATTCAATAGATTTTGAGAACATCTTACTTTTTTTGTAACGGATGTGAGATTTGGTACTTAATTACTCACCCATGAATTTCAATTAAAGAGAGGAGAGAATTTGAATTGAAGGGTTTTTTTTTTTTTTTTTTTTTTGGTTGGGTTAATAAACTTACAAGGAGCATCTTGGAAACATTGCTAGCACCAAAGACTTTGTGAACAGCTGCGAATTTCTGGGGTTCATGTGGGGAAAAATAAGGAGAAAAGGGACATTCTTCGGCGCATCTCCGGCGGAGGAGCTTACAAGCTGCACAAGGGGTTATGGTATTCAATGTTCCCGGAGGGCCTAACATATGTCTTCTTCCCACCTTCTGATGAGCTGATGCATCAAACTCTGTCTTTAACTTCTTGGCTATCTCATCTATTCTCTCCCTACATCATCAACACACACACACACACACAAAAGAAGTTCATCAAAAGCTTGTTTGGTTTTATCTACAAAACTATGACTAGGGTTATGCAAAAAAAGGAAACTTTGTATATAGCTTGAGTTATCCACCTTACCTTTCTCTGGACATCCAGGATTTTGCTAGTTTAGAAGATCCAAAAAAAAACTAGCTAGCTGGCAAAAATGGAGGTGGTCCGGATTCCGGAGAGAGGAGGGAGCTTTCAAAGACTCAAGAGGAGAAGAAGCAAAGAAAGAAAAAGAAAGGAAAAGAAAACTACTTGGTGGAAATAGGAGTGCTTAAAAGGCAAGATATGGAGAAGAAAAAAAGTAGGTCAATGTTGATTTTTTTTTTCCCTCAAGAAATTATAAAGTTGTACAAGAGTACATCTAAGATCGTGAAATATTGTACTCGTCTGGACCCCCTTTTGATTTTTGAGTTCTTGCTGTAATAAACAAGAAAATGAAGAAAGTAATAAGGAGGAACAAAAATTAAAGAATAATAAAAGACGGCCCTGAAATTGATTGAAGAAAGAAGCAAAGTGATACCAATAATTATTAATACATGATTGTTTGATGATTTGAACATATACCATGAATAGTGAATACCACTAATTAGTGTATCCTCCGAGGTCACGCACGCACATAGAGACACAAGAAAATTTTTATAAAAAAAAAAAGGTAACAAAAAATTAAAATAAAATAAAACACCCAAAGTCCCTAACTTCGTCAAAGCTCGCTAGCTACCTAGATTGGTTTCCCCCACGTGTGACTTGATGTAGATTTTGACTTTTTGACGTTATTTGGCCAAATTGACACTCATTAAACCCTCACCATGTCTTAGACGACCCTTTTTTGTGTGTTAAAAAATGTTAATAGGGTAGTATATTATAAGAAATAAAAATAAAAATCGAAAATAAAATCACAGTTCATGGCAAATGTATATTACGTCTTTTTGGTTTCTCAACCATACGTGTTTTTGGAGGACATGAGGAAACTTGAGTATCGGTAACTAACAAAATTGGGGATTTTTAGATAAATGTATAAAATAATACCGCGGTCCATCTCTAAATTCCTAGCTTCATTTGAAACTTCAGTTTCAAAGGTTTGGATTATTATTTTATGGTAAATAAAGTTTGAAAGTTAGAAGCAAAAGGAAGAAGATGATCGATGGTGGTGTTGTAATTGAAGAAAACGAGGGAAGTTTTGGTAAAGTACGCATATGACTAAAGCCATGAAATGAAACTGTTAAGGAGATTCTTCATTCTTGACAAAATCTTTTGGTTTTGTTTTGTTCTTTGTTGAAGTCAATGTCATTGAACCCACCTGGGTATGTATGAGGTAGGAATTAATGGTGTTGATGATATCACTAAGCTCGACCAATTAATTCCCTTTTTAGCAGACAGCAGAAATCAAAACCTTTGAAATCTCTCCTTTGGTCCTTGACAAGTAAAATAATAAATGGAATTCACTCGTATTTCGTGTCTTAATGATTTCAAATTGGTGGCATTTCATTTAAAGATGAATAGTATACGATGAAGTATCACTAGCTAGTTCATCAAGTGATGTTTATTTCATCGTATTGACCAAAATGGTGAGCCTTATATCTAGTCTAACTAACTTGCTTCTGTTTTATAGTGAAGGAATTATTAAAAAAAAAAGAAATAGAAATTAGAACAAAATGTGAACCAAACGTGCGCATATTTACAAAATCAAACCAAAAAAATAGACTGGATGGATATATCGCGGTAAACATCAAAATGTGGTTGGGTTAAAACAAGTTGGCAAAACGTAGAAATGAAAGTATACATACATCAAGTTGGCATCATAGAGTTGGTGTAGAAAGTGAGGGAAACCAATAAAAGACATTGTATGAGCTACATTTTGTCCACAAAAATAATTGCTCGTATATTGAAATTAAAGTGGTTTAATTAATTTATTGTACAAAATATTATAATAAATTAGACAGTTATTTTGTACAACAAACAAAATAATTATTCATTCTAAAATGGATGCTTTATTAGTTGTAAATCATTTTTTAGGATTTTTTTAATATAATTATTTTTTAGAATTATTTTATAATAATTGTTGAAAAGATAATAACAAAAGCTATACCAACACAAACATTTTGATATGCGGAGTATGTTGTTTTTCAGATATCTTATAAAATTATTTGTATCGAAATTTTAAAGTGTTTTAATGAAAATTTTATTTATCTAAACCCGATTACTGGAGAGCCTCAAATTAAAATTTCACTTGAGGACTCAACATGCCAACTCTGTATAAGGTGAAAGGTGACAACTTGATTTGTCAAAATATGTGCCTATTAACCACGTCTTGTTAGTTACTATATTTGTAAGATAATGACTTAACTTAAGATACAGTATGTTTAATCTGTAAGTTCTTTTCTGTTTTCATATCCCAGTTCACTTATGAAAATTGTTATTATTACAGTACATTGTACATCTTTTTATGCCAATACTTTTTTATTCAAAATTCTTGTGAACTTTTTTTAGGGTAACTTCTTACAAACATAAATAGACGTAGTTAGCGGTTAAAAATCTAATAAGATATTAAGATGGCTATATATCTTATTCAAAAAGTTTTTTTATATATGTAATTCAAACAGAATTCTTATAGTATATTAAACTGAAAAATGAAAATATATTAGAAATGGAAGGGAGTCGAACATTGGGAGCATCAAAATGAGTAAAAAAATATATATATAAAAAGTTTACCAAATGCTAGCGACGATGAAGATCCACAGGCAATTAGGCATCACGAATATGTACAAGGCTTGCTTTAAATGCAAGGCAAATGCCCCCCATAGTTTGACCCGCAGTCTTAGGCTACCTAAAATAAAAGCTCCCTAGTTTATTGAAATACTTTTTCTTGATAAATTATACCTTTGCTTATTTGACCAAATTAAAAATATTAATTAGCCAAATTTTACCCCGCCTCACATGCATTATGCCATTTCATATTTCTTAAGGAAAAAAAATCATATATCTGCCAAGAAAAAAACTTATCTTGCTAAATTGTAAGCCCTTCATTCCTTCAATAAAATAAGGTGTCAAATGATTTGAGCATTCAATGTGACAATATTACGTAGTAATGCTTAATACAGTTGTAGTTTAAATTTACGGTTGAAAATTGAAAGGGATTCCAATAATCTGAACCAAATTTTTGTTGGGGCAATGGAGTTGTTAGAGAAACCCAATTTTGTCCACATCTTTCTTGTCAAGCCCAATTACAAACGAGATACATATTCAGTCCAGATAGAGCTCGTGAGTCGTGACTGGCCTAGTGCTAGTCGTGTTTAAAAGGGTAATACTATTTTTTTAAAAAAAAAATAATAATAATTCACAAGGAATTTTGAAATTCGTATTAAAATTATTATAAAATCAAAAATTTAATGTAGACTATTTTCTTACCGAGAAAGTATCAATTATCAAAATTATTAAATGGACAACAACAAAAATAAGAAAGACAAGAAAATATAACTTGTGGTTTTTTGTCTAGTTTCCCACCATGTATATTATGTTTTTGTATTGCTGATTTTTATCCATTAGGAAATATGGTTCCTCTAAGGAGATTGATTTTTTTTTTTTCAAAATGGAATGAAACAACTTTTATTCCCAATAAAAAAGAAAAAAAATTGTGTTATTCAGTATTAAGTAATTTTAAAAGTTATTTTCATACTCTCTTCATCCAAAAATGATTTTTCAGTTCGAATTTTAAAATGTAAATCCAAACTAAACAATTAATTTTGAAACAGAGCGTATTTTATATGAGTAATAATTAGTACAAAGAAAAAATGACAAGAAAAAATTATTAGGAAATGATCTCACCCATCTATAGTGCGTTGAATCGGATAAATAGTTCTTTACCGGGAGTTACACAACCGAAGAAGAATGCTCAAAGCTATAAATTGATCGGACTTCAGTATAGGGAAAGAAAAACAATAACAATGGTTCTCCTTTGAGAGTGTCATCACCAGCTAAACGAAGTGAGTTGACAAAGTCATTTAAAGATAATTAAAATACACATATTTTTATCATTACAATCAGAAGAATCTTTGAAGATGGCAGAGAGTCCTCAAAACCGATCGTGGATCCAAGTCCATGTGGGTCACGTGATGAAGAGTGAGATTTTAAGGATTTCCCTCAAAGCAGACAGCAGAGGATTGAGAAGAACAAACAGCAGAGTATACAAGGATAAAAAAAATTAACAGATTAACAAGCATTTAATTAGATTAGTCCAAAGTTTGTTAATTTCCGAATCAGAAGCTTCCAGCCTGACTCTGTTTCCTGTTATAGTTCCTTTTTCTGCCTACAAAATTGAAAAATTCACATGCTCTCTTTCTGTAACCACACATATAATTTATCATCAGCCCAGATGGCCAGATGGTCCACTACTGAGTGCGCAAATTGGGATTCAGCTGGATGCTTCATGGAAAGTGGAATATCAACATGATTGATGATCCACGGACATCAGGAAATGCTGTTCCAGAAAGTTGTCTACTTGATGATTCTCTTTCCTTTGCTTTTTTCTTTCTTTTAGGGAAAAGAAAGTGGATGATTCATACATTCTGGGTGTCAAATGGTGAAAGCTTTGTGTTCTTGACACAATCAATCTACAGTCTGTGATTTTATGGTTGGAAGTTCAAATTGGAGGTTCTTTTTTAAAAGACTGCAAATAAATGTAGAATAATCATACACAGCATCATTATTTGGGTTAAACAGGATCGGAAAAAAAAATGATACTTCAAGCAGGCATTTGAGCTTGAAAATGTTCCCCAGAGAAAAGTTAAAATAGATTAATGCATTACAGAGCAGCCAAGCTACATGTTGAAACCAAGATAGTCTCTGATCCTAAATCTTGATAGAAAACTCAATTGACTAAATTTAGCAACTTTTTCCCAACGCAAAACTTGATTAATTGAAACAAAAACATTAGCAGTAATTCTAAACAACTCAAAAAAAAAGATAGTGCTGCTTTACAAGGTCAACATTTCCGTTGAATTCTCCCATGAATTCTGTTTTCATGCATGTTGTTTAAGTAATAACTTGATGAAATTAGCAGAGCAGCCGCGTTTGGAGGAATGATTACGTCCAGGGATTCCAAAGCACAGATTTCCCATATGGGATTCTTCACAATCACCTTCTTCTTCTTCTTCTTCTTCCTCGTCTTCTTCTTTCCTTCTCAAATGATACGCCAACTTCCGGCGTGGACCGCCGGCAGGTTCCGGAGTTGAAGGGGTTGACCGGGCAGAAGACCACGGCGAGGAAGACACCGACGAGGAAGACGAGGAGGAGGAGTAAGACAAGGAGGAAGATGAATTTGAATTGCTTTTCTTCTTCAAATTCAGCTTAGGCAGAACATGATGGAAGATCCCAGTACTGTTATTATTATTGCTGCTGCTATGACTAAATCTGGTGTAAATATCCCCTGCCTCTGAATGGTGCTTCTTCACCGACAGCCTGGCCGGACTAGAAAGGTACGACGGCGGCGGAGTAAGAGGCGGCATTGGCCTCCTTTCGCCCAAGTCAACTTTAGGGGTCCCCGGAGTAGATTCCCACCTGAATGGGATAGAAACAGGGGAATCCCCGTAGAAGATTTCACTCCCGGAGTTGCTCCTTGTGGATTCTTGCCTTGACAAACGCCTGGAAATAGAAGATGATCTTTTCTCCGGAGGCGGCTGAGACCGGACTTTGACGGCTTTTATGGCCACATCGGAGACGATATTCTTGTTCATCCTTTTGTCAAAATGAAATGAAGAAAATAAGCTTTGGAGAAGAACAGAGTATATGGAGTAACTAAATACTAATAAGAACTACTTCAGTCAGATACACTGAGTTGAGCCCAGATAGGCATTTGTGTTTTATATACTGTTAGATTCCCAAGACAGATTTTTTTTTGACATTTTTATAGTCCACTATTTGCCTTGTGATTCCTTTTTCTCCCATGAGTCCATGACCCCTCCTCATCATAGGTGCATATTTTCGCCATGATGTGCGTTTATAAATAATGGTTCAAAAATCAAATTGGAAATTTGGAATGGCGGTAGGGGCGTTAGGGGCGCATGTGAAAACCTGCAAATTTTGCCACTGAACAAGTGCTTAATGGTGCTGAGTGATGGCGCCATCTCAGACGGGAATGGCACGTGTTGATGGCGGAGTTAAATTCTGATTTCTGAGTTCTGTCTGACTTCTCTAGATTAATGTAACTCTTCCTTAAACTTCGTGGAAATTAATGGTTTGGGTTTGACTCAAATTACTACGGCTTACCTCATGCTACAAAACCCCGTGACTTAGCTCTCAATTAATGCTGTGCCTATTCAGCCTATAATTTTGATCAAGGTAACCATTAGTGAATGAATTATTTTATTATGAAAAGCCCGCCACTGATTTCAAAGTTCTTCTTAGTCAAAGTTTTTGAAAGCAAACTCAGCCCGCCACCACATGAATCTTTCCGGGCTTGTAGACTTGTAGTTGCCGATCCCAACCAGTCAAGAGTTTCCTGTTTTAAACTGCAATTGGCCATTGCTGATCAGGGTTCTATTTGGCTAGCGTTTAGTGTAAAATTTTGTCACATCTCATGAATAGAGATCATGAGTTCTCTAAGCAAGGGAACGCATAACAAATCACTTCCATTTGCTATTGGTAACAGAATCTAACAGATACTTAACTCACATAAGAAGCACATGAGCAAGAGGGTGGATAAAAAAAGTAGCACAGTATGGTGGACACTTACTTGGCCCTGAATGATGACAGAAAGATAGCTATTTTGACATTAACTTGAACACTTCCTGAAAAGGAAAAAAAATTCACGGTATCCTGACAGCTTGAAGATGTCAAATGTAACTAACCGACAAAATCCTTTTGTTATGGGTGTCTTCCATGAAAGAATGGTGTTCAAGTTGGAAAAAATCATCTGATCACCAGTAATCCTTGCAAGAGCAAACTCCATCTTTGAAATGGTGGAAACGATTTCGGTCCCGTACTATGATCTCTCTCTGAAATACCTTGGAAGTGATCTTAAAGGCTAAGTGGCAATCATTACATGTTCTGAGATTCTTCACAACACGGATTGTCTTTCCTGGTGCCGTATTCATAAGTGCAAAAGCAACAGCTAATCTCTCACTGTGGTACTTCACCGCAGTCTCTTTCTCTTCATCCTCAATGTCATGGAGGACTGGAGTTGTGTCTGGCTCGTATCCATGAGCTTGCAATTTCCGTCCAGCATCTTCCAGGAATGCGTGAATATCATGGGACTGAGGATGCGATATGTCCCCTGATAAAAACTTGTGTACTACATTGTCCACCTCCACTGAGCTATATCCAGGTTTTTTCCGCACTCCTCTATCCATCATCAGCTTCCGGCATACATTTACATCATTCCAGCGCTTTTCTGATGCATAGATATTTGACAAAAACACATAGTTTCCTCCATCAAGCGGGTCCAATTCTAAGAGATTATGGGTTACCTTCTCACTCATTTCGGTATCTTTATGCATTTGACATGCTCGGAGAAGACTTCCCCATATCACAGCATTAGACTTCATTGGCATGGTCTTCACTAGTACTAGTGCTTCTTGGAGGAATCCGGCCCGACCTAAAAGATCAACCATACAGCCATAATGTTCAATTGTAGGTTCAACACCATAAAAGCTATGCATACGTGAGAAGTAATGCCGGCCTTGTGGAACCAACCCAGCATGGCTACAGGCACATATAAGTCCAATAAAGGTAATGCCATCTGGTTTTAACCCATTTAATTCCATGGCAACAAACATATCTATGGCTTCCCTCCCTAACCCATTCATTCCTAGGCCAATAATAATAGAATTCCAGCAGAAAACATTTTTAACTTCAAGACGATGAAAGACATCCAGGGCAGCTTCTATACAACCACACTTCCAGTACATATCTATCAAAGCATTACCTAGAACAACATCCACTCTCAATCTTTTCCTCCTGATAAACCCATGAATCCAATCACCCATTTCTAAAGCACCCAGATGAGCACAAGCGGCTAACAAACTAATCATTGTTACATCTGTGGGCATCACTTTTTCAGCCTGCATCTCTGGAAACAAATCAATGGCTTTTCTATATTCTAGACAGTGAACGTATCCTGTGATCATTGTATTCCATGTAACTGCATTCTTATCAGCCCCTACCCTAGAAAACAACTCTTCCGCCTTTCCCAATTGTCCAGCTTTACAGTAACCATCAATCATTGTATTCCACGAAATCACATCTTTGATAGGGCTTTGATCGAAGAGTAACTGAGCAGATGAAATATCCCCTGCCTTACAATAGCAAGTGATCATAGAGTTCCAAGAACAAACGTTCTTCTCCGACATTCTATCAAACAGTTCCTTAGCATCAAGAACGCGCCCATTCTTAATATGAGCCGCTATCATGGCATTGCCAGCCACAATATCTCTGTCAGGCATTTCTTCAAATACATGCTCTGCGGAATTCACATCCCCAGCCTTCGCGTAAAAATCTAGCAACCCAGTTTGCAAAATCGCGTCTTCCTCGAACCCCAACATGAACATATGACAATGAAGAGCTTTCCCCAACTGGACGGCTCCAAAACCAGTGCAAGAACGAATAATAAAAGAGAACGTACGCGTATCAGGAACTAACTTAAAAGACCGCAGCCCATGATAAAAATCAAGGAAATTTCCAATACTTTTGGATTCTAATGAAACCCAGATCATTGAATTCCATAAAAATGGATTGGGTCTCGGTAAAGTGGGTAGCAACTGTTTAGCATAATCCGGGTGTTGGTTATGGTAACAGGAGAGCAGAAAATCGGTAAGGAGATCTGCCGAGTTGAGTAATCCATTTTTAAGGATTTGGGCATGAATTTGCTTCAATTGATGAATAGCTAGGGGATTCCTTCCGCTAAATAACTTGTGGCTCAGATAATCTGTGAGGGACGAGAAGTTTTTAGGGATTGAATTCATCAAACTTTAACTGATGGTTCATGGAATCATGCGGTAAAATTGTTTGTTTGCATTTCCATGGGTTTTGGCGCTAAACTTGGAAATTTATTCTCGTGCGACGGCGGGGCCCGAAGTTTAAAACTAATTCATTCTAGTCCCATAATTTTGAAAGTTCAATTCGCTTTTGTTTTTCACTTTTTTTTTATATTAGGGAATTCACATCTTTAGCGTTCAATATTATAGATAAAAAAAAATTGGAACATTATCTCAAGACATATTAAAGGAGAAAATGCATTCTATGTAGTCTTAGATTAATATCTATATCTAGTTATAAGGTGGTTTATAAATGAATGAACGAGATACATTCTGTATTTCTGTGTCATTCTGAAATTGTGATCTAACACTCATTCGGTAAAACTTATTTTGAACCTTGAAAATCTTATTGATATGATCATATTTCATTTAGGAGGAAGGGTATCTCACTGAATACATTTTCACATTAGTTAAAGAGATTCATTCTCAATCTTTAGCAACTTCATTTCGAATTAATTGAAGCTGAAAACGGAGTAAAATATTTGATATTTAGTGGCAGTAAAAATAAATTTTTTTAAGAAAAAAAGAAAATCAAAGGAAAAGTCAGAAAAGGATCTCTGACAGGGGTGTGACCTGTAAATTAAAATTAAATAATTATTTTCTCCAAAAAGAAAAAGGAAAAAAAGGAGGCTCTGGATCTCAAGTGTGCTCAAAGATTCGTACTTTCGTAACCCAGCAAAAAAGTGAATCCTTCCGTTTTTCCCGAATCCGAGGATCTTATGCTGCGGATACCACACGTGGCATTCAATTACCCTAGACCATCCCACAGCAGAAATTTCCTCCTCTTAGGACCTTTTTTTGGCCTGTCCCCATGTACGTTTCCTCTTCCTCCCTTTGGATTTGCTGGTTAGAATAGGGAAAAGAAAACGATCATTCTTTCTTCACAGGGGCCAGAGGAAGAATCATTCAATTCTTCAATCCGGTCACTGTTTTGCATTTTTCCCTTTTTAATGTTCTTTTCTATCTGGGTTTTTCTTTGTGGCTCGGATTCTCCAAGGATTGTTATTGAAAAAAGGTAACTTGCTTTTGATCATTGGGTGTTTCTTTTTGGCTGTTGTGGGCTTTAGCTTAGTTGTCTATATAATATGCGATTTAATTAGTTTTCTGTTTCAGTTGGGTTGATATGCCATATTTTTCTGAAGTGGGTATCTATCGAGCTGGATTCTTTATTCTTTGGCTGCTTTTTTTTTTTGTGTTTTTTGGCCTTTGGGATGCAAGATTATCTTTTTATGGACAGGGAAAATTGGAAAGGCTATTCTTTTGCTCTTTGATCATGGTTTTGTTGGTCCTATTGCCAAATTTGTGCGTAAATTCTTAAGAATTTTTGTTTAGTTTTCTTCCCTGTTTCTGCAATAAGTGACTTTTGATTTGTATTTTAGCTTGTCTGCTGCGTATTTGTTTGATTCTCTGGCTTTCTGGCTTCTGCTACAATGAATCATTTTGTACGAGCCATTCTCCATAGTAGTCTGTTGGAACTTGACAAGATAATGGTATAATACTATAATCAGAACTAAGTGTTTTTTTTTCCCGGAACTTTGTCTGCAACAGTTTTCTCCGTCACAGTGTTTCTCTGTCCAAAATCATGTCTTTGCATCATTTTGTATCCTACTAAACTTTAAATTAGAAGTTGGTTATAATATTTCTATATCCATATTTGTTATTGAGATGTTGCTCGTCTTTTCATCATTATTAATGATGTGACCAGTATTGGTGATTCCATAAGGATGTCATGAATGGTAGTTGCTTCTTTTGGCTAATCAGTGGAATCCACTTCTACTAGCTGTTTCCAGTTACCTTGCTGTTTTCATCTGCATTTAGTCAATGCACTTACGCTTTTCTTACTATTACACAGGCCGGAACTCATTTTTTGAGTGATCTTATCTAGTGCTGCATTTTCAAACTCTTTCAAGTTCCACTAAGTTCGTTAATAAGCTCATCTAGTCATGCATTCAGCATTACCCGTTCAAACTGTGCAGCACTGGTGCTTGGGAATGTAGAAAGATGTGCTTGTGCATAATACATCCTCCAGCCTTGACAGATTTTAATTCCTCCATCATTCACGAGACTGGTTGTTTAAGTCACATTTTTTACCCTAACAGTACTGAAAAGAAATTTGAGCCAAGTTCTGACAATCACGTTGTGGTGGTAATGTCTAACTGCTGCCAAGATGGTTGACCTGTATTGATTATGAAAGATTCCAGTGTAGGTGTTATGTTCCACATCTGGACGACAAGAAGAATGTGTAGATATCATTTTGAGTGTTTTGTAGTTTAGAAATGGATAACAAAGTAAGTGTACTAATGGAAAGATATGAAGTAGGTAGATTACTCGGACAAGGCACTTTTGCTAAGGTGTACTATGGTAGGAGTATTATTACTGGGCAGAGTGTAGCAATCAAAATGATAGATAAGGATAAGATTCTGCGGGTTGGGCTTATTGATCAGATCAAACGAGAAATATCTGTTATGAGGCTGGTTAGACACCCTAATATTGTGCAGCTTTATGAAGTCATGGCCACGAAGACCAAGATTTATTTTGCACTGGAATATGCTAAAGGTGGTGAACTGTTCTTTAAGGTAGCGAAAGGGAGGCTGAAGGAAGATGTTGCACGGAAATATTTTCTACAGTTAATTAATGCTGTTGATTTTTGTCATAGTAGGGGTGTTTATCACCGGGATTTGAAACCTGAAAATTTACTTTTAGATGAGAATGAGAATCTAAAAATATCTGACTTTGGATTAAGTGCACTTGCTGAATCAAAGCGCCAAGATGGGCTTCTTCACACGACATGTGGCACTCCTGCATACGTTGCTCCTGAGGTAATTAATAGGAAAGGATATGATGGGGCTAAAGCTGATATTTGGTCTTGCGGAGTGGTTCTATATGTTTTACTGGCGGGATATCTTCCTTTTCATGACTCAAATTTGATGGAGATGTATAGGAAGATTGGAAAAGCAGAATTTAAATGCCCACACTGGTTTCCTCCAGAAGTTCGTAGACTACTTGTAAGAATGTTGGATCCAAATCCAAATACTAGAATCTCGATTGTGAAAATCCGGGAGCATCCATGGTTTAGGAGGGGTATGACTTCGAAGACTACGAAGGCTTCTTTGGAAAACAAAGATTTAGCTTCCTCAAGTACAGATGCTGGTTCCCGTCAAAGTGAGGATAACTCTGCGGCCGCCAGCGACCAGCTAAACCATATGGCACTTTCCAATTTTAATGCATTTGACATCATCTCCCTTTCTGCTGGATTTGACCTATCCAGACTATTTGAAGAACCTTGTCGCAAGAAAGAAGCTAGATTCACTTCTTGGAAACCAGCTAAAGTTATAATCTCAAAGCTGGAAGAAGTTGCTAAACATTTGAAGCTAAAAGCAACTAAAAGGGATGGAGGGTTATTTAAATTCGAAGGAACAAAAGAAGGCAGAAAGGGAATATTGTCAATTGATGCAGAGATCTTTGAGGTCACTCCTGCATTTCATATGGTTGAGATAAAGAAATCAAATGGAGATACGTTGGAATATCAAAAGATACTAGACGATGGTCTAAGACCTGGTCTTCAAGATATTGTTTGGGTTTGGCAAGGAGAGAATGAACATCTGGATTCGCAACAGCAGGACACGCAAACTGAACAGCAGCAACCGGAACCTCAAGCTTCAGGTGACCAAAAACAGAACCTGCTTCTACAGCAGCTAATATTGCAGGATAAGTTACCTTGATTTTGTACAGTATCCTTATTGTCATGTATCTTTACATGTTCAGAGTGGCCTTTTTTCTATAGTAGTCTCTCATCTCTGTTAAAATACCTTGCACAATTCTTTTGTGCCGATAGTTGTCGCAAATTTTGTCCTTTCTACTTCTGTCACTATCTAGAAATTTTCAGTGACGTGTTGTGCTGATTGCAACCATCTTCTACATCTCGGTGAATCAAAATACATGACTACAAGAAAAACTGTATCTTATCTATTACCAGTAGTTGTTATTAGAGAAGGCATGCTGGAATGAGAGATTGCTTTCCTAAGTCCGAACCGATCTATCTACTGTGGTTGGTTTCTGAACTTTTTTGTCATTTCAGGCAATCTTGCGGCTGTGTGATATGTTTATTCAGTGTTACCATGGAAGGATGGAAGCATTTCCTGCCTCATTCATGCTGTTAATATAGACAGTTTACCTGATAGAGTATGATTAAAACGGATCATATCTTCTTTGCAGTAAAATTTGATGTTTCCTGTGTTTCCTTGCTGGCAAATATCAGGATCTAATCATTAAGTAGCTCGAGGTCATTTAAGTTAGCTTACAGTTGTCCATCAGCACTGAAATCAAGTTTGTGTTTTATTTTCTTGACCCTGGGAGTTAGCTGTGTTAGCTGTGTTAGCTGTCTACTGGGAAAAAGGCGTCATGATTGTTGTAGCGCCGTGGATGAAGGAGCATGAGATTGATATGTGCTCAGTTCATCGATCAAGTGTTTCTCTTCCCATTGTAATAAGTAAAAAAACTACAAGATGCACGAAGCACAGGTTACGGAGTGTAGATGTAGCTGTATATGCATGTTCTCAGTCAACGTTTCGGTTCATATAAATAATCTGTCAGCTCACATTTTATGGAGCTGCCATTTTATACACTCTTCTAGACTCTAGTTGGAAAAATTGGAAGCAGGATTGTAAGAGATGAAATATAGAAAAAACGGAGGTACATATTGCATAGTTTTACTCTGATTTCCAAGAACGTGTTAAGCTGCATTCTCAAGATTTTGCTGACTGAATACTACATCATACGATACTGCAAGACACAGAGCAAGATGGACAATCCCTATACACGAATCATATCTGAAGAACAATCTGGGCAACAAAAATGTCCTCTAGCTTGACATTTGGTGCAGGAAATGAAGGATCTTTTGGATGGATTGAGTTCGAATGAAATTCCTTTGTTGATGGAACCAGTCCCTTTGCAATTTGAGCATGCTATCAACTTCAGATCACCACATCTCTTGCACATACCTGCTGAACTGATCGTCCCAACCACAAATCCACAGAAAACCAACATCAGTACAGGTCAGAAAATATAGTTGGAGGAAGATGAACAAACAGAAAGAGTGAGGAAGACGAGAAGAAAATGTCTAATACCTGCGCTGGGAAGCAGCAATGAAAAAGTCAATCTTCGGGGCGGAAAGCGTGGCCGAAAGAAGCAGAGCACCAACGCAATATCCTGCTACTTCATTTGCAGTGATGTGTTCGAACATTTTTCTTCTTCTTTGTCGATGTTGCAGCTGAGAGTCGTCGGGAAACGGCGGTGATGGGGTGGAGGATGTTGGGATGGGTAGCTGATAGCTTTTGTTACCTTTAGAATCTGATTTTTATCAGTGTGTGAGATATTATATGCACGAACAAGGATGGCCACAAGGTCCCTCCCTTATCCATTTACAACCACCCTTTTTGAGTCTTAAGAAGGTGAAAACCGAAAAAGAGAAAGTGTTCTTTTGCCAACAGATTGTAATATAACTCTTTTAAATTGCAGAAAGGATGCAGGTTAAACTTAAAATACTATGAGCCCATAACTATTATTCTGGAACAAAGTGAGTCTGCAAAAAAAAAAATCAAGATATCGAGATGCAGCATTTCTCAGTCAGTTGTTTGCTTTCAGTCTAGTACCACAGTAAATCTCCGAAGGTATCTTTTCAAAGCTTAATCATAAAATCACAGCTGGAGAAGCCAGAAGCTAGGGAACAAGACACTGTGATCAAAGCTTCAACGCATTACTTTGGATTTCAGAATACAGTAGAGTATACTCATTTTGACAAACACGCAAATACAGTACATTTAAACCACCAACGGTGATATGGTTAAATCGATAATTTCAGTTTCGGAGCGTCTTCGCCTCTTGCTTCCTTTCGTAGCATTGTAGCCAGGTGAAGGCGTAAATACATCTATTACCTCAACTTCTGAGGACATGCTGGCGCATTGAACTTTGTGATGAAATGTGCTTTCTGAAGTTTGTTCATCTTCTGCTAGGTCATGTTCATCTATACACTCATCTAGCAACTGGAATATTCTTTCTTTTTGTTCAGCAATACTCGCTATTTTACTGCCACAGGAAACAAACAAAGAAGGTTGACACTGCTCCTTTTCAACTTCATTCTCTCGATATCTTATTAAGTCATCATGCGACCTGAAAATTTCTGGATCTTCAGCAAATTCTATCATCTTGTTGTGGCTGGAAGCAGAGGAAGATAGTGCTTTGAATGAGTAGCCATTGAGTTGAAATGACTGCTTATGGATTTCCTCTCCTCGAACTCCCCCCTTCTTAGGCTGTGTCAGTAACTCATCAGACAAGCTCAATATTTCAGAATCCTGAGCATCTGCTGTTATCTCATTGCGGCTGACAAACGAAAAGGCCTGTTCCTGATCTGATTTTTTGTCATGTTCAGATGAACCCTGAGACAGTTTTTTGCCCAGTCGTGTATTCTTTGTCCTTTTCTGGGCAGTTCGTTTCTTGGACCCTGCTTTCTTTTTATCCCCATCATGCTGGTCAGATTCAAGAGCACCTAGAACAACGGTAACATCATTTGGTACTTGTGCCTCCACAAATTCACCTTCTATAGATTCTTGGGATCCACCACTTTCCTCACATCCACCATCTTCACAATAAATATCGTCATTCTCATCGTCACAAAAGCTGATCCCTGTATAGCATGGAAGCTCATCCATGGAACAAACTCGGACTCTCATCTGACCAGGCAGCCTAGGGCAACTGGCTGCATGCGCCATGTATTTTGTTGAGAAGTAGTTTACTGTGAGATTCAGGCTGACAACACAGAAATTTAAGTTAGTTGTAGCGAGTCACTCACTGGACAAAATTTGAACACAAACACAATAAAACTCACATCTTTACCTATTCCAAGATGGAAGAGTGAGCATGGTGTATGCCAATTTGATCTTATTTGCAAGCCCAGAAAGGGATTTAAAGGTTGCGGCAGCTTGTCTTACAGCCAAAGATTCCACGGGGTGCTGCCAAGCCCACTCAAACTGCAAATCAAAATGATCCCATTAACAAATTAAAACTTTTCTTTTCTTATCCACACATACCTAAAACCAAAAAAGCCTGCTATGCAAACCAATCACATCAATTTCAAACTTCAAATGAACTAGACAACAGTAATAAGCCTCAACAAACAAACTTTTGCAATGAAAACACTAGCAGGATCTAACTAGCAACCTGATAGGAAACTACAAACAACAAATGATCCATCTTTATCTTAAACTGAAAAGAATAATAATCAACCAACTGAGCAGAAGTGATTGACTTGTCCACTAATAGTTCGAAATGAATCTGTACCTGGAGAGCAGCAACATTGGTGGGGAAGCCATAGATGCACAAGACCATTTCCCAAGGACGCCTCCTCTTGGTCCTCCAGGCTCCACTCCTTAATTCCCCATTGTGCTGCCTTATCCTCCGCTTAGGATTCACCGTGAACCTACAAGTATTGGAAAATTCATGATATCCATCACCCCTTCTATGTATCAGATTCCAAGACATCGAATTCCTAACTCCACTTTTTAATCAGTAACTTGATTCATCAAGTTTCTTTCCAGTAATTTCCCCATTTCTTTAAAACCAAAGATACAAAAAGATTGTGCTGTAGCTGATTGAGAAATAGGTATAGAGATTAAGAGATTACCCAATATAGGTGTGACCTTTGAATCTTGGGGAGAGCGAAGTGAGGAGGTAGCAGGCGAAAAACTTTCCGTTTCCCCCTCCATCTTCTTCTTCCTCCATACTATTGGCTGGTGACGATTCATCGTCCTCCTCCTCTGTGTTTCTGGGCTTTAGGGTTGCTGTTGTTTCTTCTTGTCCCTTTTTCCTCCTTCCCATCGCTGCACTTTGTGTGTGTGTGTGTGTGTGAATTGATGAAATGAATTTTCTATTGAGAATTTACTTCGATCCAGAGTAATTCGACCGTTGTGATGTTATGATTGGGATCTGAAATTCTGGTTGCTCCTCTAGGGAATCTTCACGATTGGGTTTGGAGGCGGGTGACAGTTATGGGCCAAGAGCCCATGAAATGGGCCGTGATACAAATTCAATTACCAAGACCAATTAAAAATTCCATAAACATACTTTTTCGGTGAAGTTTTCAAGAAATAAAAGGGAAAAATGGGCAAATCTATCCTAACCTTTACCTGCGTTGTCAATTCTATCATATTCTTTTTCGATTAGTCAATATTATCCTAAGTTATTCAATCATTAGCCGATTTTGTCCAATTTGTCAATTTTTGTTTAAATTAACGGATTTTCTGTTAGTTTTAATTACAAAAATATCTTGATAGTTTTAAAAATTATAAAAATAACCCTAAAAATTTGTAAAAATAATAAAATAGTCACTTTTTACTTTTTATTTAATTTTTTTCTGTTTTTTATTTATTTTTACTATTTTTCATAACTATAAAAATATACTATATGATTTTTTAGAATAAAAATTTATCTTTAAACAATACTGCACAAATTTGTAGATATACATATTTATAATTCATGGTTAATTTACATAAACATATTAATTTTTTAATACTATGGCTAGAAAATAATGATATTAGTTTTCTAATCTATTTTTTTCAATTTAAAGAATAAGATTTTTTTTTTTTACTAAAATTAATTTTCTTACAAAAAATTAAAAAATTTAGCATAGGTTAAAAAATAATCGGCCAAATTTTCTGTTTCATGAGAGTAGATATAAGATTAAGTCTCACCAAAGGATTTCTAACCGGGAGAGTGATTTTATCCATATTTAAACGGGATCCACTAAAGGCGAGAGGGTTAGATGGTCAGGTGATTTAGGATGTGAGATAAAATTACTGTGTTCGATGTCTCGATCTCACTGGGCAATCTAATTTTTTTTTTTTAAAAAAAAAGGTGGAGTCCAGTACTGGAATATATTTTCTTTATATTATATTTTTTTTAAAGAAAAGACTTTCTGCTAAAGTTAAATATATTAATATCTCAAAAAATTATCGCAAAATGTTAAACCTTCGCAATAATAAATATAAATGTTTTATTATAAATATTTTGTACCAGTTTTGTAAATGTCATGACACTATATTCTTGTGTTGGGCCAATGTAGAAATGAAATAGGTGTTTTTTTTTTTTTTACTTTCTTTTCGTACTTGGCCTTTTACAGAAAAATTTATATTTTAGTTTTAATTATTTTTTAAATTTTATGATACAATCTAAATTATGTTGAATTAAATTGTAATAGATTAAAAAATACCAATAACTTCTTTTTTAATCTATACTAAATGTGTATTTTTTTGTGCAAAATTAATTTTAGTTAAATAATCTTATTCTTTAGATTGAAAAAAATAGATTAAAAAAATAATATCATTACCGTTAAACCATATTATTAAAAAAATAATATATTTATGTAAATTAAACATGACTTACAAATATCAAATTGTAAATTTGTACATTAGAGTTTAAAAATAAATAGTATTTTTTAAAAGATCATATACTATATTTTTATAGTTATGAAAATATTAAAAAGAAATAAAAAACAAAAAAAATTAAACAAAAACTGAAAAGAGACTGTTTTTTTATTTTTATAAATTTTTGGGGTTATTTTTATAATTTTTAAAATTATTAGAGTAATTTTGTAATTAAAACAAATAGAATTCCGTTAATTTAAACGGAAAAGAGCAAATTGGACAAAATCGGCTAACGGTTGGATAGCTTAGGGTAATATTGACTAATCGAAAAAGAATAGGATAGGATTGACAACGCATGTAAAGCTTAGGGTAGATTAGCTAATTTTTCCGAAATAAAAGTATACAAATAATGTCCAGTTCTCGTTGAGATTTTTTCAGGGGGAAAAAAAAAAAAAAAAAGTTCTTGCAGAGATTAACAACTAAAACTTAAATATAAAAGTCCACCCTTTCTATTGTAATAATGTCGTATTTGAAAAGGTTAATAGATGTGAGTCGAAATCGCTCATAGAATAGCTAGAAGGTTTATTGTAATGTGCTTTGGAGATGTTTGGAGATGAATGAAAATGTAATGATTGCCAATAAAGCTTTCAGTTTCTTTCTACAATTTTGTTTGATTTGATGTCGTCGCTTCAACTTTCAGTGCCACAAATGAGATTTGAATTGAGATGATAAAAATTTGACGATGAAAGGTTATGCAATTTCAAGGCCATCATATTGCTAAATGTTGAAATTGGTGAAAGAACAATGATTTTTACAGTTGAGTACATCTTAAGCGGGAGATGCAATTGACGGTAAAACATAAGCATGCACTAGAGCCAAACTAAAGGGAATTGAAGTAGATAAGAAAATGACCTTCTGTAGTTACTCTCATTTCTCATTAGAATTAGACATTCAGAAGATCAGATCTGTTGCACTAAAGATAGGAAAAGATGTAACATTTGTTCGGAACGGATGGATATGCGAATGTAATTTCCAAACTAAAGCAAATTCAGGCTGCCATCCTCGGTTCCCAAATACTGACCTAGAAATACTAATCCATACTGATTCACTAAACATGCGAGCAACTTAATGCGATCTTGTTCAGCGTATATGCAAGTAAATGGCTTTCACAAAGATGCTTCCAATAAAAAACCTAACTACTCATCTCCAAAAGAATAGCTTTACAAAGAGGAAAACCTTCAGTTCATTCCACAAAAGACAGGCCAGATTTAAGTGGCACTGCAAAACTGATACTCAAGCCTGTAGTTGCAGACAAACAGCAAAAGTTTTGCTGAGAATTGCAACTGAAGCAGCGCAACACAGTCCTGAATCAACATACAAATGTATTCAGACCAATTAAAACAAGAACAACGAGAATGATAATACATAGTTCCCAGAAAGTTGCAGAGAATTTGTATTCCAGCCAAATGGAAATTTTAACTCCTAACAATACAGTGCTCAAGATTATGGACCAAAACAAAAGATGCTTGAAAGAAGTTTGATTTAGCTACAGCATGTCTCCTAAATCCTAATCCCTATCAAAGAAATGAAATCAGAGGATACTTATAAAGCTCACGGATCAACATCTGATTCCACTAAAACGTCCCCATAATTTAGAGATATGAAACAACTAACAGATCCATGGAATTATCTTCAGACCACTACACCTAATCAGCAGTCTAAAATTATAACTCCACACAATGTTTGTTGTCAAATCCAACGACGATCAATGATTAGGCCATTATTGATGACAAACGTCATCAGCTACATTGCAAACTTATTACTTTTAAAGAAGAGAAAAGCCATACACAGATAATAAATATACCAGAGATCAACCAGTAAACATCACCACTTGAAGCACTGTCTGCAACTTATCCCAACCCCTATCAAATTTCCAGTAAGAATATGAAGCAAACTGATAGGAACAACATTCCAAGATGTTAAGAATATGAAGTGAAATTACTTCAACCAAATACTTGAAATTACTCCACCAACAATCTTATTTCAACCCTAATACTAATTTCAAGTAGATACAATAGCACCTACAATTCCTAACTAATAAGTTGGAAAGCAAAAATAACAATTGACAATTTAAAGGAGAATGGGTTAGAAAGGCCTTTTGCTGGTAAGACAACAGCAATTCATTAAGTTGTAGAAGTCAATCATTGCTAATAATAAATAGAAAACGCAAGTTTCCAAAAGTTCAACCATGTGGACTTTCAGTTCTATACCTTCAGAAGATCCCCCAATAATATGAGGTAAAAGTATTGATGATATACAACAATCACCAAAGCCGAAGAGTAATATTACAAGCAGAAGTCATTACCATCGTGGTATATTGATGCTTTTCTACAATTGACAACATACATATACGGGTAACTACACAAATAACACTGATTTTAGGCAGGACTAATGCAAGAACTCAATGCAAGCAGTGATCAGCCCATTCAATAGAGCAGCTAAATTGTACACATTCACACCCATTAGAATCCCCCCCTTTTCCAAACAAAGAACCTCAAAAGCCTCCGATTACTGAACCCCAATCATTGGGTTTTTTGGGGAGTTGAAGAAGCAGACTCAGAACCAACCAAATTCCTCCACAAATACTTCCCGCTTGCCATGTCCACAAACGTCCAGAATCCTGTGGCGACGACCCCACAAACCTGTTTTTCAAGATAAAGAGAAAGAAAGGTTCGAAATCAAATGAATTTCGCAAAATTAATCATGTATTCAAGAAAGAGTAAAAATGCAGGAAAGGAACTCAAAAAAAGACCTTGGAAGACAGAGGAGGCGAATTGGAGGAATCCTTGGGCTTGACTTCGGCGGCGTTATCGTCGTCGAGAAGATCGAGGGGTTGAGATTTGAGGTTTCTGATGACGAAGAATCCGGCGAGAGTTGCAGAGAGGAAGATTAGGATGATTCTCAAAGGACACATTGCTTTTCTTTTTTTTTTTCTTCTCTTCACTTTGATAATCTTTTTTTTTTTCCCTGTGGTTTGTTTATGTTCTTCCCCCTTTTCTGAAGAGAGGTTCTTGAAGAGAGAGAGAGAGAGACACAAAAAAAAAAAAAAAAAAGGGAGAAGGAGAAGAAGAAAGAAAGATGGAGTAAAAAATTAACAAAGTTGGAATAATTTTGGATTTGGAAAGGGAAAGTAACATAACGCACTTATATTTGGACACACGCCACCTTAATTATTTATACACTACTAATCATCTTTTACCGCCATAATTGAATTATTATTCATAGTTTCAGTTACCCTTATGCAATTTATTAGGAAGATCATGTTGTTATTATTGGTTCAATAATATTTTTCTAGATCTTTTCTTTTCTTTTTTCACATTGTCCGCTCATAGTTGGTATCTCGATGACTGGTATTGTACTTAAGAAAAAAAAATCCTCTTGTAAATCAAATTGCTCCTAGAATCATTGTTGTAACTGGAACATTTTTTTACCGTCGCATCTGGAAGTTTTGCTGTAGAAGTGATTGAGATTGTGTGATGATAATGATGAATGTTGAGGGTAGATGATGACCACCTATATTTTCTCACCCATAATATTATTTGTTAATTATTGTGCGTCGTTGTCAAAGATTATTACTGCATACAGATTATTATTAGTATTATCTAGATGGTGAGAGGTTAACTTACATCATGAAAGGATCAAAATGTTTTCCAAGCTAAAAAGAAAAAGAAAAAAATACACAGAGATTGGGACTTTTCTTTCCTTTGTAATAATCAACGGCGGTAGGTGAAAAACGAGTAGCAAATGCGAGAGTTGAAACTCAAAATTCATGAATGTTGGCTAATAAGGCTTTTTAAAGTATGCCACCATGGAATATGGATTTTGGCTGGCGTCCACTATTGCTTTTTCTGTCACATTTCCTTTGTTTCTTCTCAAACACACCTAGCTTGTTGCTTGTGTCACCAAGGAAATAGTCTAACCACTATTATATGAAACTAAGCCAAATAGTTGATAAGTAACCATCTCACAAAAATAATTTCATTTCGTTAAACTAAATAATGTACTCTTTTTTTTTCTGCAATTTATTTATACTACTTACTGCGATAAATTTTAAATTAAATTATACCCCTTTCTATTTCATTTTAATAATCTACTGCTGTTTTGTACCACTACGGAGTATTAAAGATGAAAACTCCTGGCGTTGAATCATTAATCATCATAATGATTGGGTGGACAAATTCAAAACAGATTCTCCCGGATCTAAATCACAACCTTTTCTTGTTTGTTGTCGGTGAAATTTCATCTACAGCCAATATACTGAGACTTTTCTCCCAACTCCTAAGGGTTGGAAAAACCGATATTGTGGCGTCTGCCGGCTGGCTGGGGAGATGTGTATTTTCCTCAGAAAATACTCTACAGGAATACCTTTCGGTAAGCCACTACGAACTTAGCACCACCACTCTACACTTTCACCACGATAAATTAAATAATTTTTCCTCTGTTTTAAACATTCAAAATTTATACTGACAATATAATATAAATTTAAATTCAAGGTGAACTAATTGTGTATAAAATATGAATATTCTATAGATTGTTTTTTTAAAATAGAGATAGTATCAATTTGTTGATAAACAAAACACGTTTAGTCTTGAGGAAGAACGATTCTTTTTTATTGATAGATAATCGTCTCATCCGTAAACCCTGAAAATCGTCAATGACTAAGTACTATGTAATACACTCCATAACACTGTGGAAGAGTGAAATTCCTGTTCTAAATCGAACAATCATTTTAGAATAGAGAGAGCAATTAAATTAATTAATTCCTGGAGACTTTGGAGCTTCTTCAAGGTCATACATTTGAGATTAGAAATTTAGAAAGCGGAACACACGTAAAGATAAAGCGCGGTTAGGTACGCTGACATCTACTTGTAAAATAATCGGGTTGACCCGTTCTGTAAGATCGCCATTACTCTTCAAAAGTAGCATAGCATTAGCACGCATCTTAGAGGAGGAGGTCTGGTTAACCACCTCCTTAGCTGCTCCATCCTTTTCTCTACAACTCCTTCGTTAAGAGTTTGACTAATTTTTAGGGTAGATCTTCTGTCCCAAAAATATATATATTATACTAACTCTCTCTCTCTAGAAAAAAAAAATTTCAACTTTGGATAAAAGAAATTATAATATATTCTCTTTTCGAAATTATTGTTCAGTTTGAAATAATGCAGATAGTACACTAATTTCGAGACGAGAAAAGAAATGAAATAGTGCGTACTTAATTCACTCTTCATGTGCACGGGGTCACAGCGTTAGTTTTTTTCACAAATCATACTCTATATTATTAAGGATTAGCATGACTAATAAATTTGTCGACGTAAAAGTAATGTTCCTGCTTCTTTTTATATTTACTACTACATAATTATATATAGTATTGACAAAAACCACGTTTTTGGATTAGGCTTCTTACTTCTCAGTGCATCGCCACCGAACAGAATGTTACTGATAGTGCATAATTGAAGTGACAAAGTGCATCATCAATGACGACCCCTTCTTTCTCTCCATTTTTCATATATACTCTAGACTTTGGAGTTTGGGCACTACTCCACAAATCATAATCACATCCACAGTACCGCAGCCCCCCTCTCTCCCTTTCCGCTTAATGTTTAAAAAAAATATATAAAAAAAAAAAGACTTGGTATATAAACATAATCAAATCGTACCCTAGTGATTAAGATCTTGTACGCTCAATTGTGAAATTGTCAGTTCCGTTTCTTAATGCTTTAATAATCTAACTATTTTCTACACACGAATATATGCATGTCTTTAAAAAAAATAAAAGTGAGTACAAGAACTTGTAAAATACCAACTCCCACTTTCATTCACAGTTTTTTTGAGAAACAGTCAACAACCACTCCCAAATACTTATGTCATTTCTACTTTCCGTTCCACCAATTAGAATTTTGTCCATTTCAAAGACTTCTCACCCATTAAACATTTTGTCCATTTCAAACAATAGCAAGCAGCCAGCAGGTATTGCTGTGTGTTTTTCCATTACAGACCAAATACGAGCACAACGCAACCATTAAGTTACACAGGATTTGGCAGGATATTCAACAATGTAAACCACCTATCAACACTGAACAATTCTCTAAAATTAGACTCAATAACTACTGACCATATATGCCTATCCCAGGAGCGTATACAAATGGAGTTGAGAGGAAAACTGAAAAGGAGGGCAAGTTTTAACAGTGTAAGATTTAAATTCATTGGCAAACTTTCAAGTTGAAATCAATGAAGAATGAAAGTAAAACTGTACATAACCGGGGGGAAATATTCCTCAATCCTCATAACTTGAAGAGTCAACTCTACCACCACATTGTTACCTGCCTGGCATCCCAGCTGGAACTTCACGGGTTGTGAAGCAAAATAAACCCTCAATTCTTGAGATTTTTCCTAGCTTGAAACAATATCTATCTTTTAACAAAAAAAAAAAAAAAAAAAGAAACAATATCTATCATAGAGAATCTTCAACAGCCTGCATCCGGTTCTCAACATGTCGTGGTTGTGCAACATACACAATTTGCATCCAAATGTAGGCTCTTGGATCCGAATAGACGAAGCTTTGTCAGTCGGCTGGATATCAAATACAAAAATTGGAAATCAGCTGACTTGACTTTGAGAAAAAGTCCATACTGAAATGGACCAACACACTCGGATCCATCATGTTCATAAGATCAGAAGTAAATCACAAGACTGTGATGAGATTCTAGAAATACCTCTTATGGTTTCACATAGCGGGCAATCTTAGTCAGTACTGTTCTTAAACTTCGGATACCAGCTCCAGTTTTTGAGCTTACCATCATCTGCAAATGAAGAATGACATCATAACAATAAGTTAGACTTTTCACTGTGGAAGCACAAAACAGAAAGTCGCAAAGCAACTAGGAAAATCTTAAGTCCTCATTACCACTGGTTGGACTGCAGACTTCTTCCCCTTGAGTTTCTGTCCAATCAAAGAGTAGTTAATTTAGTCTAGAGTTCAGGACTGAGTCCGACAAGAGATCCAACGAAAGATTGATCATCAAGATTTGTGTAGTTGTATTTACCTCTTCAATTTGCATTGCCCGCCGTGCTACATCAATTGGGAAAACTATATCCGTCTTTGTTAAAACAATTTGATACTTGGTTTGTGACCTGCAGATTCATCACAGAAAATCAAACAAAATGATCGCAGACGAGCAAAAAAGAAGAGTAAAAGTTGTAAAGCTGTTCAGGCTCCAAGAACAAATCGGTGAGCGTCCGACAATAAATCATTAGGGGTTTCTAGTTTGGTTGCTAACTGATTTGTTGAGCTCCTTATTTAGCATACTTCTTGTTCATAGTTAGTAGCAGACTTATAGTTCGTAGTTAGTAGCAGTAATCTGTTGGCATTCTATTATCCATTGATTTTCTTTAACTGCAGTTGTATGAATGATTGTCATTAGCTGAGAGTAAGATGAAGATTCAAGATTATTGAATCGAACACTTAATGAGATTAATTGATCAATTCAATCCTTGAGTTTTCTTGTTCATTTTTTTTCCCCTTTTTGAGGGGCTTTGCATGCATTCAATGCAGCCTTCTCTCTCTTTCACATAGTAACTATTACCTTTCCATCAAGTCAATAAGTTCATGATCCCTGGGCTTCATACCCCATTTTGTATCAACCAGAAGACACACTCTCTTTAGGCCAAAACGCGTTGACACATACTCTTTCACCTGCAAAATTTCGATTGCTATTAACGAAATTACTAGTGGTAGATGCGCGGCACAGAAAAGAAAAACAAATTCAGAAAGATCATTGACAACAGAAATAATTCAGTTCTGTTTAGGAGTAATGACACCACCAACAGGCATCATTGACACTTCGGTTAAAAATACAAGCTTACTCAATCGTGGTCATTAAAAAAAACAACTGTCCAGTTGTTTAAAGCATGGCTGACTTTACTCTTTCAATGACACAACCTTCTACTGAATACCAAGAAAACCAAACAAAAGAGGATATGATAATGTTATGTAATTGCAAATACTTACATGTACTCTGTTCAAAAGCATAGGTAACTCATGTGGCAAGAACAATAGAAAACTACTCAGTCATGGAAAAAGCACTTTAATCGAAGTCTGACGAAGTTTGTGGAAGACATATATCAATTCAACCATGAAGTTCTAGAGTTGAAAGATTTCTTTCATAAAGATCATCGAAGCTAAAGAGTGACGAGAAAAGTGTTAGCGAGCAAAAGCGTATACTCACAAGCTCTTCCCAAGCTTCTTTGACATCTTCTTTGGCATAAGCAAATCCATATCCAGGCAAATCAACTAAGCACAGCTTTGAGGCAAGCTTGAAAAAGTTTATAGTCTACAGAAAAATCAAAATTTGTTAACATAAACAACTCACAAACATTAAATTCAAACCAATGGTGAAAGACAGCACCTGTGTCAGGCCAGGTTTGTCAGATGTCCGCACCACGCCCCACTGTCTGGTTAGTGCGTTGAGTAGAGATGACTTGCCTACATTTGATCTTCCTGATACAATGTATAATTTACTATGGCTTTAAACATATATCATCAACTAATGAAGTCATAAGGCCATAGCCTCACAATATAATCCACACAACCTAGGGAAAAAGACATTAAAAACAGCATCCATAATAAGCTAGAAAGCTTGAAATTTTAAAGCAGAACCAACAACAATCTAGACAATAACAGAACAATCATGTAGGCTAATCCGTGAACAGCACATCAACCTACCCATCAGACTTATGTTCACTTAATTTTGAAATTTAAACGAACCAGTCAGTTTTTCCAACCGATGATATTTTCATCACGAAAAAGTGTTTCAGAGACATCAACCATAATAGGATAGCAAAATTACCAAGCATATCTTCATAGGTACTGAAAGGAATTCATGTCACAGAACTATGAGTCATTTTAGTGATTATAGTATTGATTGGTATATGCTCTCCGACTTAGAGTAAACATTCGATGATCAAGAGTGCAACAATTCCTTATCTATATTGTGAAACCATGTCCTGATTCAGTTTATTCCTGTCAGCATCTAGAGCAATCATTCTTCAAAGGACATTGACACGTAATTTGCCTTTCATCACAATTAAGAAGGCTATATTGTAAAAGGCCAGTTAACTATGAATGAAAAGCGGAAAAAATGGAAGGGAAAAAAAGTGAAGAAATATGTTCCATGGTTAAGATATACCTGCAAATGCTATCTCTGGAAGCTCAGGTGGTGGAAATGATGATGAAATCTTGGCAGCAGCAAAAAATGTCAATTTATTCCTAAATACCTAAGCAGCAAGTAATGAACAGCAGTTAGAAGATTGGAGACAGAAATCCGCTGCGCTCATGGTCAACATCTACATTTTGTACCCTCATCCCACAGCGCATAACAAGGACAAACACTAGCGAATTTTGTAGAGCATTTAGCAGAATAAGAAAATAAGAACAGAACAAAATTTAAAGGAAACAAATAGTTGATATATCAAGTTCGGTGAAGGTTCTTATGACTCAAAAGACACAAAGACTGATTTCAAGAAATGCAGAACAAAGTCAGTTAACCAAACAAAGGCTATTTGGTTAAAATGAACAACATCAACATACCGCTTCTTCAATCCTCTCCCTTTCTGAGCTTGATGAATGCGGAATATTATCTAATGGGGCAGAAAGCTCGATGTTGTAGCCAGCCCTCCGAAATTCGATTTCTCGTCTACGGCCCAATAACTGTTAAAAGAATGATAACACTTCAGTTTAGCTTTCAACACAGAGTTAGGAAGATATATATCACATTAATACTTTTCCAGCAAACACACAAAAGCCAGTGAGATAACTTACATTATCTTCAACAAAGGACAGGATAGAGGGGCTAGGAACTATTGCTCGAAACTGTGCATTATGTGACAATTTAACCTCATCACCTTTTGAATCTTCTTCCTTCTTTTGAACAATATCTATATAGAAGAATAACGAACACGTCATGAAGACAATAAAAAATGCAAAAAGCATTATTTATGTAAAAAACAAATTATAATAATAAAAAAAGGAAAGAAATAAAGGAAAGACTAATGCATGAAGTACCATAAACGAGGGAACAAAGACAACAAAAAGACAGAAATTTGTTGATGGACTTCGAGAGTAGGCAAGAACATCATCATGGACTCTTACCGTTATTGGCCATTCCATCATCAAGCCTCTTGTTTGATGTATCATATGGATCTATCCTAATCCGGCGCCTCTTCTTCTCTGGCTGTTTATCCATTTCTTCGGACTCGTCAGTGTCAGCTTTCTTATTATAAACCTTCTTTGAAGACCTTCCTGAAAGAACAGTGACTCGCTCTTGCTCTGATTGCTTAATTAGTTCAGATTTACTTTTAGAAATTTTCTTCAGCTTATTATTTCTAACTTCATCATTTACAGATTCAGTCGTCACATTGGCTCCTGAATTTTTCTTGTCAGAAACCTCTCTCCGCTTTTTGTAACTCTTTCTTTCAGCCAATGACACATAATGGCTTGATTGTTCAAACTTGGATGGTTTCTCATTCGTTGTCTGCCTTTCTTCACGAGTGCTATCTCCACGCTTATCTTGCCTAGTTCTAGAAACCGACTTACTTCGTAGTTTCCCACCATTGCCATCAAAATTTCTTTCTTCATTTGACCTTGTTGTTTTCCTTCTCTTACCAAAATTCAATGACTCTTTCTTTTGTCCGTTGTTCCACGTTTTGCCATCCCTTTCCCCAAGCGACCTGTATTTCTTCAACCCTTTACTCTCACCAGCACGAGAAACACTAGCATTGCCATTCCCTCCACTTTCTAACCTTTGACTTGTTCGGCCTCCCCTTTTCTTTGAAGCTGAAGCTCTCCAACCGCCATCAGTTTGAAGTGCAAGTTTTAACCCGTTTTCTTGCTTATCACCCTGCAAACTTCTACCCAGACCCATGGTTGGTAAATTTAGTTACTTATCTCAAAATCCAAAACCCACAAAGACACAAGACGGCCGTTTCTTAGAACGCAATAACTAGCACCAACCCGAAGACCAGCCTGTATAACAAGAGCACATATTAAGGCCGCTGATTACTGAAATGTGAAACTGCTCCCACATTTGTGAATGAGATCATGAGAGGAACTAATAAATCTCAGCAATAAGAGCGGAATTGCGGCTAAATTCGAAAAAACACAAATAAGCATTCTAACATACACCTACGATGCACCGAAATCTGCACGGAAACTTGAAAATTGTATGGGGCTACAAGACCAATGAAGATTGAGGAGTGCACGAATAACGATTACCTATAGGAATTATGATCCTCTTTTCATCAAAGTCTTCCCATTGCCATACGCTGATTCCAACAAGGGGGGTTTGGAGTTCTATTTTAGTCTGCAACCCTTTCTCCCAGTCCCAGTCACAAGGGTTTAACGGGGTTTATCAAAGCTTATTAACCCACATCGCTGAAGCGACGTCGTACGCATTCTTTTTATTTTTTATTTTTTTTGGTTAAAAATACACTAGCTAATGTAAAACCTTACTATACATGCAAATTCCCTAGCAACCATTGAAATTAAAATCAATATATATAGGACAACATTGGAAAAATATTTAATCTCTTCATATGATCCAGCATTTCTTTAGCAATCGTACATATAATCTAAACCTCAAGTTATTTCAAGTTATCAACTTCTCACGAAACCGCAGTTTGACCGGACTCTTTTCCTCTTATAGTTTTGTATGCTTTTTCTTCTCATTTTCATCCGACTTTCCCTTTTAAATACTTTTGATCAAAAGTTCGAATACAAATTTGTAGTCTCTTTGTTCTATCAAAATAATCTATATTATAAATTAAAAATTATACTACTTTAACAACAGTTCACTATAATACGAATTATTTATGAGACAAAGAGAATACATTTCAAACATTTTTATAGTGTCTAGTATAACGATAGTTACAAGCCACTATATGCATAATGCTGCGTCGGGTTTTCCCGTTGTACAGAATTTCTTGATCTCATGAAAAATAAAGGACAATAAAATATGTAACTTATCACACCTTACAATACAAATTTCAATAGGAATATGAAGCATGCATGGTGCTGGAACAAAGATTTTATCGTTAAGTTTTTATTTTTTGGTAAAAGCAAAATTTTTAATTTCAATGTATATGTTGGTGACTACTAATACAACACTTGCAATTTGTTATTGCCATTTTTTATATAGTCTTGTAGTAGATGCGGCGTTGTTGTTTCATTTTTGCCATAGACGATGATGGTTGCCGATACTTTAGGAATTGGAACTTGGAAGGGTTCCTTGGGCCACTGCAACTTTCCAACAAGTCCAAGCAACAAGTTGAAGTCGGTAATACGTTCTTCTGTTGATTAACCTATTTGCCTAACCTGCTATATTTCCGACAAATTGGTTGGTGAGTACATTTGTTGTTGACGCGTGATATGACTTGTCTTGATGGATATTTTTTTCGTCACAAATTTTTATTATCCTATTTAAATTTAAGACGAGAAGAAAATATATTTATGCATATTTTTTGTTAGCGCAATGTAAAATAAAACCTAGTTGTAGTTTGAGTTTTGACACAACTTGATCACATTGATCCCCTAAATAAAGTTATCTTTCTATCGCATAAGTACATACTGTACATCTTTACACCCAAATTACGTCCATTCAAATACCAACAACCATCGAAGAGCCGTGAGGCAATTGTTAGCATGCCTTTGAGAGGATAACGTACGATTAAGTAAATTATCCACTAAATTTGTAGTAATGGTGACCTTTGTTTTTTGTTGCATGTCCTCAAATGGAAGCATCTATACTAAATCATCCATTAGGCACGTTTGCGATATCCAAACATATACTGGTATTATACTACCTCCGGTCCTTATTATAAGATATTTTGATTTCGTCATAGGTTTCATTTAAGATGTCTTTTAAATTGGAATAAAAATCTTAAAAATATTTTATAATAATTAAAAGAAAATAACGAATGTTAAAATATATTTTTAAAATTTTTTCTTCAATTACAAAAATATTCTAGATTAAACTTAGGACGAAATCAAAATGTCTTATAATAAGTACAGTAGTGAGTACACCCAAGAATGATCGATGCACTTGCTTTTTCATCTTTTCCAGTGAATTATTGGTCCCGAATTATTTACTGTCTGGCTCTCCCAAAAAAAGATAGTCATATTTTTAGTCGTAAAACAAAGCCGTTGCGACTTGCAAGCCAAATCCACTGAGTTTGTATTTGCAAAAGTAAACTGCAAGTACTTTTCATCCTGATTATCCATAAACCAAACTATCTATCAATTTTTATCACCATAGTGATAATTGATACATGCTCCACAAGCGGCAAAAGAATAATGATTTTGAGTTGTCTACAATTATAACAAAGGGCCTTTACAGCGAAAGTTTGGCACTTATCCTATACTATTTCAAAGGGATAAGCATGATGAGGTTTCTCATCTCATCACATCTGAATGATGCCTTATTGCGTTAACCAAGTTCAAGAAAGTGCTACATTAGGCATCAGAATGATTTTCCTTCGTACCCTTGATGTAGTTAGCTAGCAGGATACAGTTAAAGAGGTACATATTTTGATTAGTCAAGTGTCGACAATATTATATGAGACGTTGATCGTATATACTCCTACTTGCTTCATATGCATTTGAATGAGACATGACAGGACGCCATTTTAGTCTAATTTGGTTCGTTAGATTTTCATTTTCTAGCAAAAAGCTCAAATCAATGGGCTTCGCATCAACTTATGCATCAAACATTCAAACTAATCAAAAATTTAGGGCGGGACTAAATCAATTTAACATGTGCAGAAGATGACAAAGATCGCATGAATAAATGCAGCTTTCATGGAGATTAAGATAATGTAAAATCATCATTAACGTACATGAGGAAGATATGAAATGAAAAGTATCCACCAAAAAAATTTGTCAATATTGTGACAAAGCACCTTTTTGTATGAAAGTTCTTTCTGGTTTCTTCCATCTGACAAAAGCAGCTGATGCAATTGATTCACGTTGGCGCTCAATCAGACTGGCCCCCGCGAAGAAACCAATACAACCACCACCACAAAACAGACACAATTTGGAAAATGCATTCAATACTACAATCGCATCAAAAAAATTTTGAATATCATGACAGCCAATTCAACCAGAATGCCACCTTCTCCACCATTTCTTGAGGATTTTAATAATCAAAAGTATAATTGTCCGACTCAATTACTCTCTCCGGTCCTTAATATAAGACATTTAATTTATCGTAAGTTTAACCTAATACATATTTTTAATCGACGAAAAAACTTTAAAAATATTTCATAACAATCAAGAGAACATATTTTTAAGGTTTTTTTATCAATTAAAAATGTGTATTAAAAATTCTTTATCAATAAAAAATGTGTATTAGGTGAAACCTAAGATAAGTCAAAATGCTTTATATTAAATATAATAGTATTTCTTCTAGTTTAAGAATAAAGGAATAATAACACATCACAAACATGAGAATCAATATCAATAATTGCTGATTACATCAACATTTGTTTATTCATCAATGAGTGAGTACATAAACTTAGCATAACTTATGTACAGAAGAAAGTCAGCAATGCATCAATTTGCAGAGAGCTGCTGAGTAATTAAACATATTTACCCCCCTATGTTTCAAACCTTCTACTTAAAAGGTTAAACAGAAGTGACAGCCAAGGTAAGAAAGGAAAAACCCAGACGCCTCATCATCAAGTTGGGTAAAAATTTTTTCTTTCCAGAGAAGGTAATTTAAAGTTAAAAACTACTGGTACTAAATTTTTCCTTTTTCCCCTTTGCAAAAGTAGCACAATGTAACAGACAAACACGGACTCTAAAATTATGGCAATAATTTAAATTTTCTTTTTTTAGTTTATAATTTGGTGATCATCATGATTAATCATGGTTCACCCAGGTGAAGTGAGGTCATCTGAGGTCATCTTCCACTCCTTACGCCTGTTGGGATTCCTGTCGTTGTTCCCCGAGGATTGCCGGCCGGAGTTTCTTCTCGAATAATTCAAGGAACAATCCGGTGGTTCCGGCACGCCGTTTAACGTCGACAACCATCAAGTCCTCGGTCAAACGGTGAACGTCCAACCCGATTACGAATTTACCGCCATCTCGAAGGCCTTGAATTTCCACTCCCCAGTCTTTAGTCTTCTTCAGCCTTGCATTCTCCACCTCTTTAGCCACCTCCGATACCCTGTCAATTATAACTTCCGGCGACTCCTTCAAAGCCAATCTCACCGAATCTTCCTTCGGGGAAGATGCTTCGTCGAACAGAGCAGACAGATCCAACCCGGATGAAAAAGAAATCAGATCAAACGCATTCAAACTGGACGACCCATCAACCATTTGATCATCTTTAGAAACCTTGTCGTAATAACAATCCGCGAAATCTTCCTCGTAGAATTTCTTCTCCTTGAAACCTTTCTTGAACCAGGGATCACGCTTAATTTCATCAATTGTAATCCTGGTGGCCGGATTTGTGTCCAGAAGACGAGATAAAAACCGCTTGAGGTCAGAGGACATCCATTTGGGACACCTGTACTCGCCTTTGTAAATCTTTCTGTACATGGTCATCAAATTGGGATCGTTGAACGGTAAATAACCGGCGGTAAGAACGAACAAAATCACCCCACAAGACCAGACATCAACCTTGGCTCCGTCGTACCCCTTTTTGGACAAAATTTCAGGGGCCACATAAGCCGGAGTTCCACAGAGTGTGTGTAAGAATCCATCTTCTCTAACCTGGTCGGTCACGGCGCTGAGCCCGAAATCGGAAACCTTCAGATCGCCGTTCTCGTCGAGCAATAGATTTTCCGGCTTCAAATCCCGGTGGAAAACGCCGTACATATGGCAATAGCCCACCGCAGAAATGAGCTGCTGGAAATATTTCCGGCTGAGATTCTCCGTGAACCGCCCCTTGGCAACCTTACCGAATAATTCTCCGCCCTTGACGAATTCCAGAACGAAATAAATCTTGGATTTGGTGGCCAGAACCTCGTAAAGCCGGACGATGTTGGGGTGCCGGAGCCGCCGCATAATTGAGATCTCCCTCTTAATGTTGGACATCAAAGACGCGCTGGAAATTTTCTTCTTGTTGATAACCTTAATCGCCACGCTCTGGCCGTTGCGGACATCACGCGCGTGATAAACTTTGGCGAAGGCGCCGCAGCCCAGAAGCCTGCCGAGTTCATATTTGCCGAATAAGGGACTTTCGGCAATGAAGCCGGACAGCGCCGGAGCAGGCGCGGCCGGGGCCGAAACTTCCTCGATCTCAGGCATGATGAAGATGCCGGAGAAAGGCAACGATCACGGCAGAAAAAACGGGAGTTTATACTACTGGGTTTGGGTTTTTATTTATTATCAAAAGAAAGAAGAAGAGAGAAAGTATTAAAAAGGGAAGAGGAATTTAGGTTTGATTGGAGAAAATGTAGGTGGGCTCTTGCCGTCCGTTTATTTGGTTGGTTTTTTGGTACAGTTGTTTTTCCCTTTCCTTTCTTTTTCAGTGATTTGCTGACAAATGAGAATGGACCAACCGTCCAACTTCGAAAGTCTATTTTATGGGGGACTTTCTGTGGTCCATATGTACTTACGTCATATTAGCCAGTCTTTTTTATTAATTAATTTTTTGGTTAAAAAATCATCTTTTTCGAATTTTTTTTTTTCAATCATGGGGGAACGGGAAAGGAGAAGCCTTTCTAGAAATATATGCAATAGAATAATCTATACTCGTCATGTGTAAATTAGATTAGAAAAACTATGATTACAACTTTTTTCCCCCTTTATTTTGAGTTAATTGCACACATAAAGTTATTCATCTAGCTAATTTACGTGTAATATGCAAATTGGATCTAAAACGAGTTTTTTTAACTTGTTAAAAAGACAAACAAAAGCACAAAGAGGGGATTTGGAGTGAACAATTTTGTTTCTTTTAACCAATTGATACGCCATACATCAAATTTATTATTTTTGTCAAATTTCATGTTTCGTAGTGAGTCGCCGGGGGAGTGAAGAAGGAGGATTTGATACTTCTATCATAATTTATTTATTGGTTGGTCAACAAATTCAAAATTCGTTCGACCATATTTTCTGTAGCTAGCAAGGCTTGCTTATATTTTCGAAGTATGAAAATAAGAAATTCACTGGGGGAGATATTAAAAAAGAAAGAAAAAAAATCCTTAGATCAAATCAATTTGTTGAAACCTATTATGTTCAAAGTTCAAACAAATTTTATCTATTGCTCATGTTCCCACCGACTTATATTGACATTTTCTCTATTTGACTTCAATCTTTTGGAAAAAAAGAGAAGGAATTAGTTAATTAGGAAAATTATAGTTTGTGTACCTTTAGAATCATTTTCAGCAATTTTAATGAAAGTAGCCTTAGTGTTGGTATCGTATGGATTTATGATCAGAATTGTTATTATCACAATATTAGAAGTTTAAATTTCGCTTGAAACTTTTATTTTATTTTTAAAAAATTGAAAGTGGAACTCGTAAAAATTTATTCTCATTTTGTTGGAGTATGAATGTTAGTGATACTATTATTTTCTGTTCACATAGTCAAATTCACCATGTAGCTTTCAAAAAATAAAAGTATACGATTTTTTTTTTACTATTACTTTTTTATTATTTTTTTTGAAAGGAGGAAGAACTGGAAAAAACGACTACTCCTAATAAGTGCTAATGCCGTACATTAGAGTTCTGAAGATATTTATTATGCAGGAGCATTACATTCTTGTAAGAAGAAAAATAGGAAAACTCTGCTGTGTTGTCAGTTCTCACAAAGGAGACAATTTTCCTTTGTAGTAGTACCCAAATTTTCCAACAATATAAATGCGTTTGACCCCCACAAAAGCAAAGAAAGTAAAAAAAAAAAAAAAAAAAACAAAACTGTGGCCGTGGGAGATGACGGAGTCGAGAAGTTTGGATGAATAATTAAAGTTAAATAATCGCCATTGGACCTTTCCTTTTCCGCCACTCCCAAATTAAGAAAGGGAAAAAGGGAACTTAGTTGGGAGGAAGGACAGGTGTTTTTATGCAATGTCTTCTACGCTGCCATTTGACTTTCGCCGGCGAGCTGGGGGCGGTAGTTGTTGGCGGCGGATGCGGGATGCTTGCTTGCGTGCCTTGTGCCTTCCGAAGCGTGCCTTGTGCCTTCCGACTGTGTGTATCACTCTATATTATAGTCCCGTAGTATATAATTGAGCGAGTCAAATGGACAGCGCAGCCCAGCTGGTGACGCTGTTCTTACCGCCCAACGCCCCACATGGGCTGATGGGCGGCGTTATAAATAAAAACTAGTCTTAATTATCATACAACATCGACCATACGTTACTATTCTGATACATTAACATACGTATCAAATTATTGATGATATATTCTTTCTGTAATAAAATTATTATCTAATTTAAATTTTTTTATTTTTAAGCTAAATTGTAGACAATAATTTTGGATCGAAGATAATACTCCCTCCGTCCCATAATTATTGTTCACGTTGACCAAAAAATTTTGTATCAAAATTATTGTCCAATTTGACTTTTTATGGATCAAGTTACACATTTTTTCTTAGTAAAAAATATTATCCATAAAATCTTAGTGGTTAAACAATTACTTATGTAGGGGTATATCCGGTTGTTTAAGGTAAAATATAGTTAAGTTTGACAAAAAATAAAATATTTCATTTTAGTAAAATTGGACAATAATTATGGAATGGAGGGAGTACTATATATCAATGTTACTAACCGCTACTTTATACCCCCATAGTCCATACATTTAAAGTTTAAATTAGATTTAGTTCGAATTTTGTGTCTTGTAAATTTATAAAGCGAGAGCGAGTATTTTGTATTTTGAATTATTAATTGGATAAAAAAAACACTTGAACGTATATGGTACGGAAACCCCGCGCTTTATTGCTTATCTTGATATTCAGTATCTTTATTTTCTTCTCTCCTTCTTTTTGTTTGGATATTAAAGTTTTGCATCTCACTTTAATTTAAAGCCCCTTTATTTTTAGTATTCCCTGGTAAGATACTATGATGCCTAAATTAACAGGACAGTAGTAGTATATGTTTTGCACAATTGAAAAGTTTATAGATCATGTAATAAGTTACAGTGTGACTCATCGTCAAATAAAGTGAGACAAATGTCAAGATAATGTATATAGATTAATGGAGAACTTTTTAACACGGAAAAGAAAGGTTTTCCTGTTCATCCCTGTAATGAAACGTGTAAATGGGATTTATGGCGGGGAGGAGATTTTGATATCCTCAATCCTCCTTTAAAGCCAAGTGACACACACTCACTTTGTGGGCAATTAGAATATTTTAATCATAATAATAATAATTGAGAGTGACATTAAGCCAGGTGTTGTGGGGGGAGGGAAATCTCAAATCAGCAATCAGGTAAGTTGATCTCGGATCACGTGTTTGATTCACGGTCCTAACTCTTCCAATCTACCCACCAAACAGAAGTCCCAAACACAAAAAAAAAAATAAAAAATACAACCACTATATATCATATCAGCCCCTAACTACTATATTTTTGTAGGTACCATATCCTTATCCTTGTCTTAAAACTCTCAAACCCTTCAATTACGTGTACTCTCTTTTACAGTCTGGTCGTCAAACAGATTAACAGATCCCATGTGAATGATTCATGTGACCCACGTCTACTTGAATTGAATGTTGGAACTTGGAAGAATATCCTTACTCGGTTACTCTCTAGATTCCACCCGTTACTTTATCCTCTAGTCAATATTCTATGGCGCCCATGACGACATATTTCTAAGAAATACTGCACTGATTTCTTATAACTACTGGTTTCAGTTGATAAGAAAACTAGCGATAATATGTTGTATATCCATTTAATAATTCGCTTGGTTTATAACATGAATGAATTTTATTTGAAGTCAAATCATTAATATTATTACTCCATATATATTATTTGTTTTTTTAAGTGACCATTGTGTCCATGAACTCGACATTCCCAATCGGCTGCTTTACATCACGATTAATCACTATGGCCTTTACTATAATTGCCATCATATGTTGATGATACGAAGAAAGAATACTTTTTCTTTATTTTTTTTTTATAAAAATCATTTATGTCAATACATTTAAATGGTTTGAAACATATTCCAGTGTACAGGTTCCTACTTACTATTAAGACATCTCCAGATCAAGACAGAGAACTGATATATTGTTTTGGAGCAACTCCAAAGTTGTATTGCTTCTCTTCTGCAGCCGGAAGCAACCAGTGAATGAAGTAGCTATGTAGTTTGGCTTCTGGCTTTCTTTAAAACGAGTACTACCTCTGTCCAAAAAAAATAGTCCACATTGAGTTTTTGAAATTTGTATTAGTTTTAGTACAAATTTGAAAACTCAATATGGACTTTTTTTCTGGGACGGAGGAAGTATAATTTAGTTCAGCAGCAAAGTAGTAAGAGAGGTTTCCTTTTTTTTGCCCTCCTAGATGTTTCTCTCTGCAAAATTCGCATTTATCTGAATATCTATCCCTACAGAGTGCAATGGATGCTCTAAATTTTTTTGTTCGAAAGATGCATAAGAATTGAGATGTCTCGTGAAATGTGTGGAATGTGGACTCAGCAGTACCTTTTCGAGAAGGTAGGACAGCAGAAGGCCCATTGTATCAGGTTTTTGAAATTCCAATCTAGCCCAACACTTCAACTTTGCTTTGCTTAAATTTTTTTTTTTCCCATCCTATTTTAATAATTCATTTTTATTGAGTTAAAATAATACTCCTTTCCTTTAGAAAAATAGGCAACATTAAATTTTTTAATTTGTACTAAAATTATTACAAATATCAAAACTTGGAACAGTTTTTGGGGTGATGGAACAAGAATTAGTGAACTGTTTTTTTTTAATACATAATTACAAATACCTAATCTATTACATATAAGGTGAAACCTATGAAAAAATGGTGGTACTACTAAGGAGAAGACTACTAAAGATTAGTGAATGAAACTGTTTGAACTTGCAAGTGAGCTAGTGAACATAAATGACATTTCAATATGTTTATCGCCTTAACATCATTCACTTCATTATTTCATCATTTTGTGATTCAAAAAAAAAAAAAAAATTAAAAAGAAACGAAAAAATTCGTCATTTGTTTCATTATCCTGCAAAGGTAGGGCAACAGGCCAATGGTTCTAGTTTTCTTTGCTTCCATCTTCTTTCTCTTTTTTCCTCTCTTGTCTGATATAATATTTTTTTTCAGGAAAAATGAAAAACACAACCACGGGCAAATAGTCAAATTCGTCTGATGCTTTTGTAACATTTGAAGACTCAAAAGTGATATACTAATAGTAACCTCACAGCCAAACGTATAACACAAAGGTTAATTAGCAGTTATAACAATCAAATCTAGCTATAGATTCCGATTAAAGAAGCATCCAATATATTCGTCCATCAAGGAAGAGGTTGTCTATCTAACGCGGAGAATGTCTTGAAAATCAATCGTGATGCAGCAGTTAACGATGATAGAAATTGAGCTGCAGTAGGTGGTGTACGGAACCATAACTGTGAATTTGTGACAGCGTTTTATGAGAATATCAGTACTTCCTCAGTGCAAACTACAGAAATCATTGTAATTTGACAAAGTCTGGAACTTGCAGTATATTATGGGTTCAACAGGTTGATTGTTGAATCTGATTCTCTAATAGCCTTGAATTTAATATAAAATCTAGGCCAGAGACCAAATCTAGACCCTGACTTAAGGAGCATCCAGTTTCTTTTGCTGAGAAATATGTCAGTTTAATTTTTCCATACATTTAGAGAAAATAATATATGTGTCGACACTCTTGCGACACGCTAATTTATGACCGTACATTAACTCTTCTAATCTTTCTATTTGCAACTAATGATTTAAATAGAATGTGATAAACTTTTTTTACCTAAAATCCCAAGGACTTTTAGTGTAATTGCATAAACTTTTATTTTTGTCATTTGTTAGAAAATCCTATGTGACACCCTTAGAAATCTTTTTTTTTTAATTTCTCTCTTACTATAATATACTGTAGATAAATTCTTTCTACCATACTTCATGTTCTTCTCATAGGTCTTCTCGGATTTTGATGACTTGGGATGGGAAATTGGATTAAAATTAACCTCTGAGGCCACTGGAAATTTCGAAACGTTGAAGGAAGGTTGCATGTCAAGAAATAAAGTATGATCAGATCAGATATAGCTGAGATGGTTACTGAATTTGAGCCCGGAGGTTGGAGATTTTTTCTGCCTTTGATTCCTATCCGGTTTTGTGTATGTTTTAAGATTCCTAGAATCCCTTATGAGTTACTCCCTTCGTCCCATAATTATTGTCCAGTTTTACTAAAATGAAAGATTTTATTTTTGGTCAAACTTAACTATATTTTACCTTAAACAACCGGATATACCCCTACATAAGTAATTGTTTAACCATTAAGATTTTATGGATAATATTTTTTTAACTAAGGACAAATGTGTAACTTGATCCATAAAAAGTCAAATTGGACAATAATTTTGGGACAAAATTTTTTGGTCAAAGTGGACAATAATTATGAGACGGAGGGAGTATGATATAAGGACTAGAAATTGCCACCAGTTCATGGCAAAGCTTTTTTGGGGCATATTTCATACAGATTCAGCCTAGGCTTGCTCATTTCCAAGCCAAAATCGTGAGACTGAAAGGAAAGTAGTTTTATGTAATGGTTGTTAAGTGATTGATTAATTTGCTTTGTCGACCAACATACCTATTTTGGATAATGATTTAGTTAAATAATTGTCCATTGTTATTATACTGAGAATTCTTTTTGGCTAATGGATGATGATGACTCCAATCAATGTGATCACAAGCCTTCACGAAAGCCTTCCAATCAATGAGTATGTTTGTATTAAAATTCAGTTGGCTGAATTTAGAGTTCAGCTTGAGGTTGAGGGTCTATGGTTCAGGCTTGACTCATCAACAGCTGAATGTATATGGATTTTTGTAATTCTCTTCGAGTTCTAGATTCAGCCGGTTTAGTACTCTTTATGCTTGGATCGACAGGTTTAGTACTCTTTATCGTTGTGACAAAGCGATGGAAACAACAACTCATTATTTATTCGTAGAATGTGAGCATTCGCGGCAGGGGAGCAACATTCACTGTTCCAGTGGTAAATTTGTTATCTCGTGGCCACTTTCATTCTTGTATATACTACCTCTATTCCAAACACATAGTCTACAATCTTGGAAGGAAGTATAATTTTTGTTCCCTTGATGAGTGTGTTTCTTTTCCTGTATTCAAGTTTCCCATGTCGGAAGTGCTGCTGGGGTTACATCGGTGATATTTAATGAAGCACTACTTGAGCGAAGCCGGAGAGCTATAGACGCAGATCTTGAGCAAGAACCAGCTCTTGCGCGAATGGCTGAATTGCAAAAGCTCTATCGCGATGTTATATGCATTGATTGACAGAGTGATGCAGTGCCGTCTGGGTGGTGGTTTTTGTTACTTATGGTTATAGTATAGATAAATTGTGTTTTGGAAGTTTTGCAGCTCAATAGACTGCCGGCTTAAATTTTCAATCTACAAACTGAAATCCAGAATTATTATTGGGAAAAATTGTTGAAACATTTGAAAGATACACGTGCAAGAAATAAGGAACGATTTCAATATATTACTGTTAAGTGTTAATTCTGTAAATTTAAAAAATGGAAAAGATGGGCAGGGAAGTGGTAGAAATTAGAGAGCTCATAAAATTTCCAAAGGAGTCTAATAACAGTACTTGATACATAAGCCAAAACACACAGCACCAAAACAGATTGTCTATAGACACTACAACCAAGACTCATAAAACAAAGCAGACAATGTAGAAAAACCCCCTGGTCCAGAAAAAAGGAGCCATAAGATCACTGCGTCGCTCTTCAGCTTTTAGCATAGGAGAACTCATGGCATTCTCCTAATTCACTCGATTTGCAAGAAGTTTGTTGAAACGCCGCTGGTCTTCCCACTCGTACCCAGCTTTGCGGAAGTGCCCCTTTAGCCATTCCTTGATGTCATCATTTGAGACCACCCGAGTAACCCCCGCTTTTCCAACTTGGAACACTTCGATACAGGAAAAAAAAAGGAACACAATCATCAGGGCGGGAGAAACAAATGCTCCCTTATGTCATATCTAATAGTCTACTCTGCTGAATTAAAATTAGAACAGCAAAGCGAACCATTAAAATTCAAAGTGTAAGAATGAAAGTGGAAGGGGATCACAAACTCACCACTGACGAGTTTCCGGCTTTCAGTGGCATTATTTACACCAATACAAAGTGCGGTTTTGGTCAACTCCGCAGTTTCAGCCTCGGACATTTTGGTATGGGGCCTATAGAACACCCACAAAGAAGTTTTTAAGAGTCAACTGAAAAAAAGGAGAAATTCCAAAAAATTGATCTGAAAATGAAGCCCAACAGAGATTAAAGGAATTTAAATGTAGCGTCATATGCATCAAGAAGGCAAAGCATCAATTCCTAAATACTAAGCAACGCAAGCAACAACCATGTTCAAGAGCTACAAATAATGATACCAGGGAAAAGAGGCATACTTGAGGAAAAATACGACAAAGGAACCTGAACCAGATCCTGTGCCAACATAATCTCTTTTCAGCACTTCCCCCTTACCATCCACTTTATACAGGGCAGGCCCCTAAGGAAAGACAAACCATGATATCAATTCAATACGAGTCATTGGGAAAACGACAAACCATGATATCAATTCAATAAGAGTCGTTGGGAAAACCAAGAAGAAGAGAGCACTAAGATTTACCGATATGTGGTCCCACCCAGCGATCATAATTCCAAGTGACAAACTGTCACAGGGACGAAGAGACAGGAAGTCAGACAGCCACTTCGATGCTTCTGCAGCAGAGGCTTCTCTCCCCTCTTTCAGTTCATGTTTGCCGACCTAATACATATACAATGTGCACATGAACAACAACAGCCAGAAATTTCTCAGATGTTCGCAAAGTACACTCGCGGTAAGTACCTTCTGTTGCAGATGTTCCACCAAAACTTTGAGCAAAGCTTTACTCCCGCCAGAAAAAGCAACAAGCAGGTGGGAGTTGAGTTTAATAACATTTTCTGGAAATTTCCTGGTTTGTTTTGTTCCTGAATGATCCACGGCTACCATAATCCATTCATTTTTGAAAATGCAACCCATAGCCGTGGTTCCCTTTTCAGGCTTAAGGAAATGATCCTCCTATACCACCACAAAAGAAAAGAAAAAGAAATAAAAAAATCAAACCAAACAGAAGAGAAAATCCCAGACAGGCACAACCAAAAAAAAAAAACCATTTCCAGAGACTAATCACGCAAGTATAATCATATCAAAGGAGAGAGGGGGGACTAACGCCGTCAGAGGGTAATGGGGTAATCCAGTAATCCTTTTTTGCAAACTCCTTCCATAAGCCGGGGAGAGATGAGCTCCCATCAGCCGCGAGGGGAAAGGCGGGGGTCTGTAAAGGGTTATCCGAGCAATCCATTGTTCCAACCTCCTTCAATACGAAAAAAACAAACAAAATCATCCAAAGATAATTCATATAATGGACATTCAAGAGAAGGAAATTAAAACAGCAAAACGAGACCTAGTCGGGAGAAGAGAAGGCAAGTCTAAAAGTGAGAGAGATCTTACTTTTCGCCGGTTGAAGATAGGGGTTTAGCTCCGCCGGAGATAGTATCAACCGTTCTCACCTTCAATCCGAGCAAAACAAACAAAAATCAGACGAAAGCGAAACAAAATTGATTTAGCTGATGTATGTGGATTCTTGCCCTAAATTTTCCGAATAGTTCCAGTAAATACCTCAGCTAATTAAACCACGCAAATGACAATACACAGCAATAATTCGACCAAAGAAACAGCAAAACCCTGATTCGATGAAGAGAAAAGGCGATCAGAGATGATTTTCGACTTTCGAGGTATGTGACTGCTTCTCTTCTGTAACTAAAATCAGAGATGAATCGTGACCGTTTAAACGAACTGGATGGATGGACTTGTTTAAGTGTCAAGCAGGTCGGGTCAGCAGGGCATCCGGGTTTGGTTAATTCAATAAGGGTAGCAGATTGGGGAGTATGCGGCGTCGTTCTGATGGAGTGGAGAAGAAGTAGCCGCTAAAAAAGAAAGTTTCCCCGAAGTTTCCTTTATTTTAACTTATAACCTTAGCATGAGTTAATCATCAGTAATTAGTTAATCTAGACAGTAAATTATGAAGATATATCATATGAGTTGTACGAAGAAGGAATCATGTGAAATGTTAATGTTGAGTATCTTCCTTCTCTCTCCTTCTGTACTATCTCATCTCAGCCCTTCATCATTTTCTTCTTCTGACAAATTTTAGAGTATGTTTGTTTCGTTTTTTAGTGTGTGTTTTTAGATGTTTATTTGTATTGAGAATGAAAAAGTTATATTGGAAATATAAAAAGGTATGTTAGGATGGGACATTTATTATTTTATTAATTATGAAAAAACTGTTAAGAACTGAGAAGGAAATGATATTTATTAAAGGAAATGAACCCAAACGACACCGGTAAGTGGCGAATAGTAGTTACAACCGCCGGGGGTAGTCACCGGAAAACATCACACCAGAAGTAACAATACAAAGTTTATGAATTTTCTTAATAATAGATCTAGAATAATCCAGCTAGATATTTATAACAAGAAGACAAGAAATACTAGGCGGATCATGTGCGTACCCATGACCCGACCCACATATGCATGAAGTCAATAAATGTCAAAACCTTTGCGTTGCGCCAATCTCCTCCTTCCTTTGGAATTCGTCCACCGACTTACATTTTGGCGGGCATCACATTCCTTCCTCCTCAGAAAACACTTCTCCTCAAGTACGAAAATCAGGGAACTGACCTTGGATAAAAGCACCATCTTCCCATGATGAATTTTCCACATCTAATCCCTTCCACTTTATTAGCCATTGAACTACTTGTTGGGTACCCCCCATATAAAGCGTCTTTGCAAAACTTGCTGTGGCTCCAACACACAACATTCAGGATCAACTTCATCATGCAGCATAGTGATAACAGTGGTGCTAGACCATGGTGAAGTTTGAGCAATGACACATGAAAAACTGGGTGAACTCTAGATCCTGGAGGTAACTCAAGCTTATAAGCAACACTTCCCACCTTTTGCAATATCTTGAAAGGTCCAAAGTACCTGAACATTAACTTCAAGCAGCTTTTGGCAACCAATGTTTGTTGTTTGTAAGGCTGTAACTTCAAATAAACCAGATCTCCTACTTCAAAACTTCTTTCTGTTCTCAGTTGGTCAGCATAAAACTTCATTCTCTCTTGTGCTTTAGCCAAACTTTCTTTCAATCTTTGCGTAATGATCTGCTGTTGATACAACATGTCAGTAGCTGCAGGAATGATCACATCATGGTAACTTTCCAAAGGTATTCCAACTGGTTGATTCCCATACAATGCTTTATAAGGAGTCATTCTAGCACTGAATGAAAAGCACTGTTATACCACCATTCAACCATAGCAATCCACTTAGACCAAGAGGTTGGTGAAGAATGACATAAACGTCTTAAATGCCCTTCCAAGCACTGATTCACCCTTTCCGTTTCGCGATCAGATTAGGGATGGTAGGCATTGCTAAGGTTCAACTGAACTCCCATCTTTTTGAACAAAGCTTGCCAAAAGTAGCTAGTAAAGATTTTATCTCTGTCTGTTACAATAGATTCCGGCAGTCCATGTAATCTGTAAATCTCTTGTAGGAACTTATCAGCTATCTCCTTAGCAGTGAATGGATGTTCTCGTACTTTGTCAACCTATCAACCACCACCAATAAGCAATCAAAACCCTCCTCTGAGATTGGTAACTTCTCAATAAAATCCATTGAAATGCCTTTCCGAGACTGCTGAGGGATAGCCAAAGGTTGTAACAACCCTGGATAATGAACATATTCTCCCTGCTGGCCTGACAGACTGAGCAATTTCTTACAAACTGCTCCACTTCCTGTTTCATGTTCTTCTAAGTAAACAAAGATCTGAGCCTCTCGTAAGTTGCTTTTTGACCTGAATCCCCCCAAAGAAGAAGAATGAAAGATGGTTAACAACAAAGTTCTTATATCTCATTGGGTATCAACATGCATCTTTCCATCCACCTTTAATAGTCCTCCAATATATTGCAAATGAGGGTTGTTATCTCCATCCACAGTGGCAGCTAATATTATTTCCTCATATTCCACATCTCCCACATAACTGCTGGCTAACTGCTGTAACCACAAAGGTTGCATTGTAGTGACTGCACAAAGCAAATCATCTCCTTTACCCCCATTTCTAGACAAAGCATTAGCAGCTACATTGTCATTTTCCTTCTTATATTGGATCTCATAATCTAAACCAAGCAATTTGACCAACCATTTCTGTTGTAAAGGCGTTGTGATCTTTTGTTCTAACAAATACTTTAGAGCTTGATGAACACTTTTAATAATGAAGTGATGACCCTGCAAGTAATTTTCCAATTGGTGATTGCCATCACCAAAGCCATCAACTCCTTCTTATAAGTTGACTAGGTCTTATTCCTTTCACAAAAAGATTTACTGAGATATGCAATGGGCTGACCCTGCTGCATTAGAACTGTCCCCATACCATCTCTACAAGCATCCATCTCCACCACAAATGGTAACGTAAAATCAAGTTGTTTCAGCACAGGTGCAGTAGTAAAGGCTTGTTTCAACTGTTGAAATGACTGATAAGCTAGATCACTCCACTTAAACTCCCCCTTTCTCAATAAACTGTTCAATGGTTTACTTATCAGTCCAAACCCTTTGATGAAACGCCTGTAATAACCTGCAAAACACAAGAAACGTCTCATCTCCTTCATTGTTTTTGGAATGGGCCATTCTACAGTGCCTTGTATCTTAGCAGGATCCATGTGAACTCCTTCTGCTGAAATTACATGGCCAAGGTATTCGATGAAAGATTGTGCAAAAGAGCATTTAGATCTCTTGGCATATAGCTGGCTATCTACCAGAACTTGCATTACCTTGGTCAAATGATCAACACGCTCCTCAAGAGTAACATTGTACACCAGAATGTCTTCAAAGAAGACCAAAACAAATTTGCGGATATAGGACTTGAAAACCTTATTCATAAGATTCTGAAATATTACAGGTGCATTTGTCAGGCCAAAGGGCATTACCAGGAACCCATAATGGCCATGATGAGTTTGAAAGGTTGTTTTTGGAATATCCTCCTTGCAAACTCTTATTTGATGATAACCTGACCTTAAGTCGATCTTGGAGAAATACTTAGATCCACAAATTCATTTAATAATTCTTCAATCACAGGAATAGGGTATCTATTCTTCACTGTTAAATCATTCAAATGCCTGTAATCAGTGCACATTCGCCAAGATCCATCCTTCTTTTTGGTAAGCAAAACTGGAGATACATATGGACTGTCATTTTCTCTGGCAGTTCCCTTCTTTAATAAATCATCCACCTGAGATTCAATCTCATTTGTATGCGCATGAGGGTATCTATATGGCCTCAACTTGAAGGGTTCAGCTCCAGGCTTCAGAACGATATGATGATTAACTGACCTTTCAGGTGGTAAAGAGGTTGGTTCTTCAAACACCTGATGGTATTGATCCAAAATCCTTTGTATAGCAGATGGCACTTCCAAATCCTCCAAACTAGACATTACAGTTACAATCATTCCCTCAAACATAGGTTGCTCTCCTGTATCATCTTCACACCATTTCATCCTTTTATCAGTTAAAGTGAAATGAACTGTACTGCTTAGTCTCTTAGGTTGTGCTTGCCTGAGTAATCCCTGTAACTGATCCTCATCTACCAAAGAATGCCCTGGATCATGAACCTTCTCCCTTGCCAAGTCAACTCAATGCGGTATTATTCATAATCAAAGAGGATTGGACTGAAATAGGACATCCAATCAGTGCCCAATATCATTCCCCATTCAGTTAAGTCCATGATTCTGAAATCAAACTAGAAGTGGAGTTTCTGAATAGTCCACTTTGCACCTGGACAGATCAAGTTATTCTTGATTTGATGACCATCTGCAACTCTGACATAGTATGGTTTAACAACCTTTCTGAGCAATCCCAATTTATGTGCCAATAAATTATCAACAAAACTTCTTACTACTTCCGTGTCAATCAAGATCTTTATCAATTCATTATTAATATAGCCAACCACCACTATCAGTTTTCTAGGTTCTTTCATTTCTCCTTCATCCGCTGTTATACACTGATCCCAACAATAGATGGCTTGCACTTGTATCTCAGATCCTGATTCCAATTCATCACTCAACCAGTTAACCTGATCCAGCTCCACATCATCATCCACTACTACTAAATTGACATGTTCCAACCTGCACACATGACCAGGTCCCCAAGCACCATTACATTTCCAGTAAAGATTGTGAATAGTCTTGTATTCCTTCTCCTTAGGTGATAACCTCTTAAAAAATGGTTTGTCAGGTTTTTTGACTCCTTGAGCAGCCACCTTACCCCCAACATTAGAGGTTTTGCTCACTGGTGGTGTATACCTTAGGTTTAGTGGTCAAAGAGAATGCAATTTCTTGAGTTCTAGCAGCCTTAAAAGTCCTTTGAACAGTTCTTGGCACAACAAACCTCACAAATGGATCCACACATAGAACCCTAGATTTAAGTCCCTCAAACTTATCACAGTACTCTTTCACAGATCCTCTCTGACTTAGCTTATTGAATTCTTCAAAAGGATCATCTATTGCACCATCCTTGAACCTTTTGAGTAATTCAATCTCAAATAACCTCCAGTCAGCATTAGGATTGACAAACTTAAAACCTTGATACCACACATCAGCCACTCCATCCATATAAAATTCTACAGAATCTAACATATCCTCTTCATTCATTTCATAGATTCTGAAAAACTTATGACACTTCCTTAACCAAGTCCTCGCATTTTCACCCATAAAAATAGGCAATTCCAATTTTGGCTTAGGTTTCCATTTCTTATTATTTCTATTATCACCAGAATTATGATACTCACCATTATCCTCAACTCTGGTTCGTTGCACAAAATTAGGACTATAATTGATCGAAATCTCAGCTACTTTTCCAAATTTTATGCCAGAAACCGAAGGAAATAGATGAGAATTAGCATATTTACCCTCACAGCTAGGAGTATCATGCAATTGATCCTTCGATCGCTCGATCACTGAGATCCTTGCCTCCGAAGCCTTAAACCGGTCACTCAGATTGTCACGAATGAATTGAGGAAGCTCCATTTTGAATTTCGCATCCTCTGCCTTAAAACGAACAAAATCATCATTCATTTCGTTCAATTTTGCCATAATCGCCGCCAGCGAAGGTTGTTCGCTAGATTCCACCGCTTGAGTCGTCGGTCTTTTGGATGCCATAGCTGTCACAGTCCAAAGAACACCAGCTCTGATGATACCAAATGTTAAGAACTGAGAAGGATATGATATTTATTAAAGAAAATGAACCCAAACAACACCGGTAAGTGATGAATGGTAGTTACAGCCGTCGACGGTAGTCACCGGAAAACACCACACCAGAAGTAATAGTACAAAGTTTATGAATTTTCTTAAGAATATATCTAGAATAATCTAGCTAGATATTTATAACAAGAAGACAAGAAATGCTAGGCGGATCATGTGCGTACCCATGACCCAACCTACATGTGCATGAAGTCAATAAATGTCAAAACCTCCACGCTGCGCCAATTTCCCCCTTCCTTTTGAATTCATCCACCGACTTACATTTTGGCGGGCATCACAAAAACCATTCAAAAAACAAAATTTTTTTTTCCCCTTAATCTCTTCCCTTGCTTGTTGCTAATTCCGGAAATTACAATATTTATTTATTATAGAGCTATTACGTTACATTAAGATTCGTCTAGGGTCCATATTATTATTATTATTTATTAGACTAAACCGCATAAAAAGTCCCGTACATTTGGGCGAAAAATTATTTTCGTCCTATACATTTCAAAAAGCCCATTTTAATCCCACTTTGTCTAAAAAGTGTCATTTTTCGACTATTTACGTCCCAAGTTACTTTTCCGTCCACTTTATTTTTTAAATTGTAGAAGATTTTATTTTTTAAAATTTTTTTTTGGAATTTAAAAATATTTTTTAAATTAATTTTATCATTAAATAATTATTATTTTATTTCTTAATTAATTAAAAACCAAAAGTCATGCTAAAAGACAAAAATATCCCTGCATTTGACGATAAAGTGGACGGAAAAGTAACTTGGGACGTAAATAGTTGAAAAATGACACTTTTGGACAAAATGGGATTAAAATGAGCGTTTTAAAATGTATGAGACAAAAATAATTTTTCGCCCAAATGTACAGGATGTTTTATGCGGTTTAGTCTATTTATTATTATTTGGCCCAACGTAAATTTGGATTTGGTAGTTTCCTGTAAAATTTGCCCGATAAAATGTGTCGCATGTCAGGGGTTAAATTGGAAACTAGATGCTTGGCCCGGACGATGTCCGGCCGGCTCGAATGTACTTTAATAATAATAATAATAATAATAATAATACATAAATTTGTGATGAAACAATTTGTTTAAAAATTTGTAATTTATGGGCCTTAAATATTTAATAATTTGTTCACTACAAAATGCCTGGTGCAATCACCATGCCATATTACAAAATCATTTCTCTTTATCAACTTTCTTCCCAATCCAGCTGGCAACAATTCATGTAACAGCAACAGTGAGAGGAAATCTTACGGGAGAGGCAGTGAGCAGCATAAGCCAAAGCAAAATTACCCAATTTTTCTCCTATCTCATACTTACACATTCCGATATTCTGCAACAGAGCTGTAAGCCTGTAACATAAAGTCCAACATTAATCAGTAACAAAGCCCGAAGAAGATCAAAAACAGAATAATTGAAGTGGCCAAATATACTCCCAATATTTTGCTAACATTTATTTGGCGTGTTCCCTTTTTGATTTGCTTCCCTTGTTCTCTCCATCTGGTTCTTCCTTTGAGATGAATATATGCGCAAAAATACAGGACTGTCCATAGCTAACCTAGCAAAATCCATTAAAATAATTAATGTTCAGTATTTTTTCATCAAGCTGCAGGCTCTGGTCATCGATGCCTTTGCCTAATGATAATCAAGAAAAAGAAGCAATGATATTAGTTCAACTTCTAAGCATAAAAACCAGGTGAAAAATGCAGATTATATCAGTAGTCTTGATTCACTTGAATGGTTATCCATACTGCCCACGAAACAGAGCTTATGATCCAAAGGGATGCCCTAAAGAAGAAATTTCCATGGTGGCTATCATCGTTATTCCTTGATTCTTTTGCAAATTTCCAATGGATGCTTGATTGACCGATTTTGAAACTTGTCCATAGTACAATGACAACACAAAGGCATCGCCAACACAAATGATGGTTCCCAATATCTTGGCCTGTCCAGCCTTAATTAGCTCTCACTTGTGCTCTTTCCAGTCTGTCACACAGAGGGTTTAGTATTAGCCTTCAACCTTTGACAAATAAATCAATCTTTCCTGTCTTCTATGAGTTGAAATTGTGAAAGAAAAAAGAATACTTGATTACCCAACTGGAATAGCCATGATAAAAGTGAATGCTAGAATCAAATTTGTCAAGGCACATGCAATAGTTGGAGTTGAATATCTAATCCCAACAACATAAGTGATCTGATCCGTCGCTGTCCTGCATTTTCAGCAAAAATCATATTTCATACTGTGAAACTTTTTTATTATAGAGAAAAGAAACAAAAAACTTATGGAATGAAGTGCTAACCCGAAAATTGAACTCCAAAAATTCTGGAAAACCTTGGAATGTTTTAACTTGCACCATGTTTACCTTTAGTAAAATGGAATCACAATGCACGAAACAATCGGACGACCAAGATCCCCTTTTATTCCCAAATGAGTGGAAAATCTTGATATTACGTTATGAATCCAAGAATATATCACCAACTTCAGATACCCGCTAAAAAAATCATAAAACACTAAATTATAAACAATAAAACAAAACATTTACCTTGAATTTTAACACATAAAATAGATTCAAATTGCAAAACCATCGACAAAAATACCTCAGAACAAACTAATGCTTCCTCTATAAATAGCTATGGCAACGAAGACATATTTAGAATCTGGTGTCCAACTTCCCTGCTCATGAAAGATAAATTAAGGATAAATCAGACAAATTGGATGATGATGAAGCATTGAACAGCTCTAGAATTGAAGCAGAGGTGGGGAGGGACTAACAGAGCAGTATCCATTTGGGTAGTAAAAATGAATAACCGACTCAATCCAAAAGTGAGTTGTGCTTTTAGAGAATTCATACAAATTTTATTTTATTTCATTTTTAAATCTGAACCCAGAACTTCATCCATGACTGCAGGCAAAAAACGGAAACCTTTATGCAATTTGAAGCCAAAATATCAAACATAAAACCAACCGACGGTTGAAAGAAATGGGAATTTTAGAAACTAAACTACTCCGCTCATGAACCTAGTAAAATAAAACAAAAGCTAACTCTTTTTGAATGGAAGTCTCAACTGGATAATGAAATTAAAATTTTTTAATTTTGAATCTAAAAACTCACCCGGTGAAATTTCTGCCCTTTGCATAGGCGAGAACACCATCATCGCAAAAAAAAAAAAACCCATTGCTTATGCACCATCATTGTCATCAATCTGTGTAATAAGGCTTACCCTTCTTCACAAATTCTCCCATTAAGCTGTCAGCATGGGAAGGGAATATTCAAGTCCAGAAAAGCTATGTATATTGTATACATCAATAAAGAAAGGAACTTTATAAGAGAATAACAATCAAGTAATTCGTATGCTATCAAAACAAAGCCAGAAAATGGATAGAATATAATACACATGAATCAAAAGAATTGGAAAGGCGGCTTCCTGGTACTTCCCATGCAAAATACAGAACGAACCACAAACCCCATCAATAACATATCTGTAAATTAACAAATAGAGATGGTGGATGAAAATGACATAGATCTTACCTTAATGCCCAAATTATTCAAGCCGACTTGGACGGTTCCTCTTCCTCCTCTTGTCTTCGTCGGAGAAAATTAGAAGTGGGATTTGAAAGATTCTTAGCAAAACGGTCGACTCCAGATCCAACACTGTTGCTTGGAATCTTCATAGACACGGCCCGTAAACTGATTTCGAATCTACCGTTTCCTTGAAAATTATGAGGATGATCTGCGATGCAGTTAAAACAAAAAAGTGCACAATTAAAAGAAACTGACGATTATACCAACGACGATGCCGCCTCCAGTGCTGCTTTGTGGTAGAGCAAACAATACCATCATCGATTAGGATCTTGAACTCTGTCATCGTTTAAATCTCTTCCGAATTGACGAAGCCGGATTTTCCTCTTAATCGAACTCTTCTTTGTGATAAAGATTTGATCATCTGTGTGTTTGAAATTGAAACATGAGAATGTGATTGATTCCAAAGATTAGCAAGTATTGATTTTGAGAGAACAAGTAGCAGGAAATCAGGGATTTCATTGAACCCGTTCCTCCGAATGAATGGGGAGAGTCAAACGTTTTTTTTTTATAACAAATTTAATTTTTTCTGGAATTTTGGCAGCCTAGCAGTGCTAAAATTGGAGGCAAATTAATACTTGTTTCAGAGTTGATAACTATCGAAATAAAAGGGATATGATATGTTCTTATCAGTTGCTATTATCAGGGAGCACAAAATCAGGAATTTTTTTTTAGCAGAATAGAGGGGGAGGACTTTGATGCCACGTGTCGTTTTTTTTGGTGAGGACTTTTGACCTTTTAGAGCCTGTTGAGTATACCACGTGTCGAATTTTTTTGTACAGGATTTTTGGTTTTTGCAGGAAAAATTTTTAACATGGAGCTGCCAAGTGTGCTCAAAGGATTATGCTTTAAGTAAGTAAAAGAGATTACTGAATTACCTATCAGCCCAATTAACCATTTCTCTCTTTCCTTTTAGACTATTCTCTCCTTTCTTCCCCTACTTGATTCTTCTCCCTTTTCCTTCCCCCTTTTGAATGTCGTTCCCTTGAACCCTAACTTTTAATTTCTTCTATCGTCTTCTCCGAGTCAGTCGCCGATCACCGGTGGCTGACAAGGAAACCCTTCTTGTTTCTTCTAAACCTCCCCGCTCTTTCCTCGAAACCTCCGCTCCCACAAGCCCTCTGTCAAAAGCTCGCCTCTCTTCCTTACCGATGGCGCAGAGGTAATGGTTTCTGTATCCCCCTCTTTTTATTACGATAAAATTATGCGCCCCCCTCCCCCCATGCTGCATATTTGATTCCATCTGCAATTCATTCTTCTTTTCGATTCTGAGTCAAATATGTATACTGTTTTTTTTTATAAGGCCACATTTGCTCCACATTACTTTAAAATGACCGCTAATTGTTTCTTGATGGGTTTATTTATTTGGTCCCGTTTGGTTCTTGGGCTATTTGTTTAAATTGTTTTTCACTGTTTATACCTTTAATTTCTACAGCAAGTGTGTTATTGCTTCTTTTAAATACATTGATGATGAACGAATGGATTGGATCACGGTTGCCTGTGATGGTCCAGTACCTGGTATTTTCTCTCCAACCTTTGAATTTATTAAAATTTGGTAGCAGAATTTGTGAATTTTTATATTTTTCTTGTTGATTTTCATTTGACTGTTTTATTTTTCCAGAAGATTTGATCAGGATTTTACTGTTTGATTTGAATTAATCAGGAACTGAAGACTTTGTCAAAAATTTTGCCATCACACCCAATCTGGTATATGGCTTCTCGGGTGATGTTGCAACTGGGGCTGGCCATGTTAATGCTATGCGAGAACGAGGAATTACCACTGTTGAGGCTGCTTTAGCCTATCTCAGAACAAATAAGAGGACCATCAAATCTTTGATTGCTGGATTTGATAGGGTAATGTGCTTTCTGGTGGTTCATTTTGATGTTTGCTTTGGTTTACTTTGGGAAATTGTGGCTAAAATGTATTTTGATCACCTTTGACAATTTGCTACAATGTGCTAAGGTAATTATATGTTGCAAGGACCTCGCCTGCATTATATTAATCGACTTGGCCAATCTGTCGAGAAAGATGTTGTTTGCTGTGTTGGTTTGGCTATGTGGCTGCAAAAGATCGAATCAAGGTTTAATATGTTTTCCTATTCTTTTTCTTAGTCAGCTTGAAATATAACTTGGTTTTTGTTTCAATAGATTGTTCTTTAGTTCTTTGAAAAAGCAACTTACTGTATTAGTATTTTCTTCTTTTCTAACCTCCCGGTTTTCAGACTGCCACCACCCTTTCATGTCTTTGAAGCTACTAATCTTGGTCTTGAAACTGTATGCGCTTCGATTGTTAATGACCCAACTGGGCAACAAGTTTCTCTTTCCTTGGTTTTATAAATGTGTACATAATTCAACCTGTGATATCCATGTACACATTTGGTTGTCTTAAATCTTCATCTCTGTTTTATGTGTTGCTTGTTACATTTACTTCGTTGACCATATGAGTCCTTTTAAGTTATTTGATTATTATCACGATTGTGTACTAAATTCAATGATGCATTTGGTAAAATTTAAATTTATGTGCAAGGGACCATGAATTCACAGCTATGATTTTATCTTAGTGGGTATGCCGATTATGTTTTGTGGTAGATTATTATATCCAGGCTACCTTGTATGTGGTTTAAGTCGAATCTTTCTCCCTCTTCTTCTCTCTCTGTTCTTATATTTTGCCTAAGAGTTCAGATTCCTTGGAAGAGCTGCAGTGTTAGATCTTATCTTAAGAGTAGTGAACCATCTATTTTAGTGAATACTCTCTATCATACTTTTGTGATACTACCTTATTATATCGTAGTTATATTTCTTGAATTTATAGAAGACTGACTGTCACTATCTTCTTTGTTTGTCAGTTATTACTTTTGGAGAACAAACTGGAATGTTTCGCCGTTACATCAGGGCACATATTGGAACCGCGAGTGAAATTTTTCGTATCCCTCTACGAAAAGTACTCCAGGTATAGGTTGACTATTATAAGTTTCGTGATATTGCTATTATAAGTTTCGAGAATTGTACAACTAATGCTAAAATGCACTTTTTAGGCTTCGGATTAGTTAGGCTTCGGATTAGTTGGCTGTTACATTACTTAATGCTTCAATGCTAGCAGTGTTAATTTTTGAATATGCCAAACTTATTACTATCTGTTATTAATGTAATAATTTTTGAATATGGAAGGTGGATAATATTTTCATATTGATTTGTCAACAAAAGTAATTGGAACATCAAATCGAAAGAAACTGCCGTAGAAACAAGCATTCTTTGAAGCAGTTATGGTTAATTTTCTGATGAAACTTTTAGCAATTATGGTTAATGTTGAGTATAACCATAACTGCCTCAAAGGATGCTTGTTTCTACGACAGTTTTTTTTGGTTCGTTGTTCTAATTATTTTTGTTGACAATTCAATATGAAACTATTATCCACCTTCCATACTAAAAAATTATTACATTGATAACAAATAGTAATAAGTTTGGCATATTCAAAAGTTAACACTGCTTACAAAAGCATTGAAGCATTAAGTAATGTCAAGCCAACTAATCCGAAGCAAAAGTGCATTTTAGCATTAGTTGTACACATCTCGAACTTATAATATCAATCAATATCACGAAACTTATAATAGCCAGCCTACACCTGAAGTACTCTTGGTGGAGGGATACGAAAAATTTCACTCTGGTTCCAATATTGTGCCCTGATGTAGCGGTGAAACATTTTAGTTTGTTCTCCAAAAGTAATAACTGACAACCGCGAGAAGATAGTGACAGTCAGTCTTCAATAAATTCAGGAAATATAGCTACGATGTAATAATATAGTACTCCTTCCATTCCAAAATAAGTGTTATCCTACACTTTGCACGTAATTTAAGAAACTCTTAAATAGGATAATAAAATTACTTGAATATCCTCAACCAACCCCATTAAAAAGATGTCCACCAGTAGAATTAATTCTTTTAAGGGTAATTTTAGACAAAAAGTGTATTAAAATGTGAGAACGACACTTATTTTGAAATTTCACTATTTTGCTAAAACGACACTTATTTTGGAACGGAGGGAGTATTACAAAAGTATGATAGAGAGTATCACTAAAATAGATGGTTCACTACTCCTAAGATTAACACCACAATTTTTCCAAGAAATCTGAATTCTTAGGCAAAATATAGGAATAGGGAAGGGGGTGGCGGGAAGAAAGATTCGGCTTAAACCACATACAAGGTAGTTTGGATATAATAATCTACCACAAAACATCATCGACATCCCCACTAAGATGAAATCATAGCTGTGAATTCATGATCCCTTGCACATAAATTTAAATTTACCAAATGCACCATTGAATTTGGTACACTATCATGATAATAATCAAATAACCTAAAAGGACGCAAATGGTCAACGAAGTAAATGTAACAAGCAACACATAAAACAGAGCTGAAGATTTAGGACAACCAAATGTGTACATGGATATCACAGGTTGAATTAGGTACACATTCATAAAACCAGGGAAAGAAAAACATGTTGCCCAACCATCAGTAGTTGGGTCATTAACAGCCGAAGCGTATACAGTTTCAAGGCCAAGATCGATAGCTTCAAAGAAATCAAAGGGAGGTTGCAGTCTGAAAACCAGGGGAGTAGAGAAAAAGAAAACACTAAAACAGTCAGTTGCTTTTTCAAAGAACAATCTATTGAAATGAAAATCAAGTTATATTTCAAGCTGACTAGAAGAATAGAGCTAGTTGAAAAAGAATAGGAAAACATGTTAAACTTTGATTCGATCCAAGTCTTTACAGTCACATGGTCAGAACTAACACAACAAATAACATCTTTCTCAACAGATTGGCCAAGTCGATTAATATAATGCAGGCGAGGTCCCTGCAATATATAATTACCTTAGCACATTGTAACAAATTGTCAAAGTGATCAAAATACATTTTAGCCACAATTTCCCTAAGCAAACATCAAAATGAACCACCAGAAAGCACATTACCCTATCAAATCCAGCAATCAAAGATTTGATGGTCCTCTGATTTGTTCTGAGATACTTTCCGTTATATGAAATTGTTGTTGATTGAGTCCTTTGAAGAAGCCCAAATAATTCGTGTCATTTCAATCAAATCTAGTTTGATGAGTTTGTTTGTTTTGATGGGTATGGAAGGACAAGAACAATGGATTGGATTCCAAGCCCCAAGGCCAGGTTTTCATTTTTCAATTTTTTTTTTTTGTGTTCTTTCTCATTCGGGGGGTGGTGTTTATAGATGGGTGATTACCCTGAGCACGAAAAGAGAAGCACAACGATGGCTTATATTGTCAACAGCGAAGGCCCTTGAAGCATATCATCAGGTTCATTTCCAGAAAACGTCATACTTAATTCGCACCTGTCTTGTTCCTGAAACTGAAAAGTAATAAATTTGTCCGTGTTAAGTTTGTGATCCCTTGCTACTTTCATCGTAGACATATGTCTCCCCCGTGAATGTCTTCTTTTCTTCTGTAACTAGGTCTTCCCTGTTGGAGTTGATGGGGTTACACTGGCGGTCTTTCATATAATATAGACCGGCTCGAGCAATGCTTCTGCGAAGTTGGAGAGATGCATAGGCAGTTCTTCAGCAAAAGAGGTATTTCTAGATTGTCCTTGGCTGTTTTATACAACTTTTGGTTGAAGTTACCTGTTTACAATCTATATTATGTTTTGTGCTTATGTAATATCCGAGTGCAGTGCTGTAAAGTAAACTCCTACTCAGATTGTCAATTTAACTAAAATCCAGTATTAAATAATGGAATTCACAGCCGAAACCTGAAGCCGAATAAGTTCAAGGATGGAGATTGGAGAGCTCTTTTTTTCTCCTCTCCGATTTCTTCATGCCGGGAACGAAATGCAAACAGATATTACTTTCCGTCTGATCAGGGCCAGCCCAACAAGCTATCTTTCCTGAAATACCATTTTAAACTCTTGGTCAGCATAAGGATTTTAGTTTGATTAGAAAGATAATGATAGACCTCAATTTATAGTCTCCATTGTGTCGGACCAGTGATGTATTTATGAGACAACTCCTAACTAGTAAATTAGCTCATTTTAATTATCTTTAACAAGTAACAGTTTTCATATTGTTCCTTTTGGCTGTATAGATTTTTTGGCTTCTAGTTGACTAGACTAGAAACTTCCAATTCCTAGTAGCACATGTTACAATGTATGGAATTTGGAAACTTGCCTGACGCTGGATTCAGGCACACCTTTTGGAACATTGAATTCCAGGAATACGTATGCTTCCTTTATTATTATAGTGTATGCATCATGTATAGTCAATCGAAACTTGTCTAGGCGTTGAACTTGAGGATGGTGATAACACCTCCCGTGAACCAGAGAGGACTTACTCTCGAATGGGAGTCCATTAGGAGAAATTTATCACTCAGGAGCCGATGGTGAATTTTTAGAAACGGTTTGTCAAAGTGGAGATTGTTGTGGTTGGCCACCAAGATCGTGGGGATGAGCACACCAACACGGTGTTGGGCATTGTTAATGCTGGCGCTTGGCATGAAACAATTCAAGGACGAGATGCTAGGGGTAATCAGTTGTTGGGATCATGTAGCATATGAAGGACGAGAACGAGATGCTAGGGTACTAAAAAAAAAATGGTGGAACGTTACACCAAGGCCAAGTAGGATAACGTTGCTCATCATTATTCTCCAAAGCGAATTAACAAGCTTAGGGGTGAGCTCGTAATGCACGACTAGATGTTCCAGACGTGCAAGGGTCACGTGAGGTTGGGGGGACAATTTTATTTTAATTTAATACAATTAAAAAAATTAAATTTATTTAACTGATCAATAATGATAAATTTAGACAACTTTGTTTAGTTAACTTTTAATTAAAATTTAAAAATAAAAATTCACATAGAACAACTCATTTTGGACAAGGTGAACGATTATTTTGAGACAGGAATACATCACGAGGGAATATAAAAAAAAAAAAAAATACACATCCTCTAACTAGTTTGTGTAACTTCTTTGGCAAAAATATCAGCGCATAGATTATCATCCTTAAATGTTATGCTTGGTATATCTCGACTTCAAACTGACCACTCTGTAGGCGCCATCAATTAACTAAAATGTATTTTTCTTTCTGCCTTTCTTGTCTTTGATGAAGATTTAATTCTGGAAAATGAAGAAGAGAGACAAATTCGTATGGCGCGTTTGTGACATTAGTTTAAGTATTAAAACTATGATAGCTGGACGTTACAACTAAACCTATAAAGCAAGGTTACTTAGCAGTTATAACGATGGATCAATCTATAAATTCCGATTAAAAGAAGCATCCACTATATATTGGTGCATCAAGGATGGTACAATTTGCCGCCGCAAGAACAATTCCACCGTTGAGGGTAATACTCGGCGGACATCATCAACCGCTCTCCGCCTTTTGGTGGCACCGTAACTCTGATGGGGCTGCACGGCGTGCATCCGCCGCACTTTCCTCCGCAGCTCGGCGGCGACGAACCCACGGGCCTCGAATGCTTCCTCCCTACTCCGTCGACATGAGCAAAGCCGTGCTCCTTCTTTCCCACCTCCTGCAACACCAAATTAAAACATGCATTTTTTTTTTTTCCAGTTATTGCTGTGACATGACATATAATATGAAAAATTGTACTACTAACATTTTAAACAAAATGACCAGTGAAACAAAACAAACAGATTAACGTGTGGTGGGCCAGGGTTCACGAGGATTAATTTAGCCGAAGGAGGCCAATATGGTTTGCGTTGAATGGCGCCCAGAGAAAAAAAACAAATAAACGCCTGAATTTCCTCACCTTTGAATATCTTCGCTGTTCATTACTCCCTCCATTCCAAAATAAGTGTCATCCTATACTTTGCACATAGTTTAAGAAACTCTTAAATAGGGTGATAAAATTATTTGAATATCTTCAACCAACCCCATTATAAAATTGTCCACCAATAGCATCAACTCTTTTAAAGGTAATTTTGAAAATTTTTGACAAAAAGTACATTGAAATGTGAAAATGACACTTATTTTGAAATTTCTCTATTTTGCTAAAACAATACTTATTTTGGAATGAAGGAAGTACAACTGATTGATAACGCGCAATCCTGCATGTTCTATTCTTCACAAAGAAACAAAACCAAAATGCCAAAAAAAAAAAAACGTATAATTTTGGATATAAAATTAATTGAGGAGCTATCAAAATGGGGATTTGTTTTAAATTGATGAGTACAGTGTGATTTCAGATGCTCGAATATGTAACATAGTAACCAAAAAAAAAAGTGATCTAATGATTTTGAACGTACGTAACATGCATAGTAAAAAAAAAGTAACACCAGCTAGTTTGCCCTTTCAAAAAAAAAAAAAAACAGTAGCTAGTTTCACCATAGTAAACAGGCTTTCAGCTGGAAATGCAGAGTGAATAATCTGTGAATCAACGACAAATGGAAAAAGGACAGATGGAGAAGAACGAACCTGGAGGTCAAAACCAACTCCATTGGACGACACCACTGTTGCCCTTGATTCTGAAAAATTAAGAAGGAAAAAAAAAGGAAGAAGTTGAGATTGAAATCCAGGAACAAATTGCGAGAAACCAAGTATACTCAAGTATTCTGCCAATGCTTATAAAACATATTGACATAAGAAAACGATATGGATAAAACATAAAAAGCAGAAAACTGGACTAATGAGTAGTAATTAGTATATCGTTAATTACCTGCTAAAGAGCATAGCAAGGCGGTGAAAACAAGGCAAATAATGCAATGTTTCTGCATGAGCTTGGATTGGGTCGGCTTCCAGTTCTCCATGCTTGATGAAATTCATAAATAAAAAACAAAAAAAAAGAAATTTAAAAATGACCCAACAAGGTCGGAGAGCAGCAAAACTTTCCAGCTCTTAATCAAACAATTAAAGAAAAAAAAAAGGCACAAAAACGACTGGGTTTTTGCCCACTGATATGCTCAACTCCTATCTAAACATACAGAAACCAAAAGTGACTGCAGGATAATTGATTAGTCAAATACATGTTTATAGTTGGATCGAATTCCTAGACCGTTTGAAAGCTGAAAGAATCAAAGAACTAAGAAGAAGAAGAAGAAGATGATGAAATAGTAACTACAGTTAAGTACTTAAATAGGAATAATTGGGGATGGAATTGGGACAAATTGTGTCACATACACACACAGTGGCGTTAAAACAGGTGTGGGGTTGCGGGTGTCTCCGGATGAAGGGATCAATTCTTCCTTCTTTCTGACCAGATTCTTTTGCAGGTTTTTCCTTGCTACAACAATCCTTTACTAGCTAGTAGTACTCAGATATGTGTGTGTGCGTGGGTGTGTGTGTGATCTTCTAGTTCTATTACCCAAGACATTTGTACTGACTTATGCGCATTTATACGTCCGAGGTTGTAGATGTATATCGTGTTTTATAGTGGTTACAAATTAATACTCTTATTAGTGCGAGTAGTGACGTTACAGAAAGTTATTATGTCTGTCATTTATAATATTATTTCTGTTTTAAAATTATTTTTTGAATTGAAATTTTATAATTTAAATTGAGAATAAAATTTTAAATTAGGCAGTAACTTCGAGATATAGAGGGAGTAGTTTATTTGGTTGAAGGGTGAAATAAAATATGTTTTAAGGTCATAATTTGTTGCAAAATAAAGTCGATCAAAAGAGAGGCTTCTAGCTAAAATAAGGACATGAAAATTATGATACAAACATGACGTAACAAGCCGACAAGAGCAAAATTTGTTTGTCCAAGTACATTAGCCTTAATTCTGATAGTCCCGTTCATAGATTTATCAACTACGAGTTGTTCAATCAATCTCTTAAAAAAGTTCAGTTTTGTATTGTTTTAGCACATCCAAGCTAACTGCCGCACAATGTTTCTTTTCACCTTTTCCAGTTTTCCCACAGACATTACATATGTTGAAGAAAAATTCTTTGAAAGATTTTACAAAACACAGATTCAATGTGTCGAGTGTCATGAATGTGACTCGGTTGGTCTTGTAAGTAGTGTCAATAAAATTCTTGTAATACTATTCCTTCTGTCCAAAAATAATGTGATATTCGAATAATCATTTTTTCAATTATTATCTTTAGTTGAGTATTAAAATTTGATAATTACACCAAATAAAAATCTACATTACATAATTATTTCAGAATAATCGTATTTTACATAAGTTAGTTTCTAATGGTTAATTAATTACAAAAAGCACTAGCAGTTGGATTCTGTACTTCATAGTTCATACTTGGCAATAATTCAAAGTGTAGTAGCGGTAGCTAGTATCATGGTATGGATCATTCCTTCGGCTCATCTGGAGCGTTCATCACTCTGGTGCACATTTCTTGATGAAAGAATACGAGAAAATTTTAGACAGGAAAGAGATGTCATGTTCTATCCATGTACTTGAACATTGAGAGATATACAATTAATAGAGGGATTACTGAATTAGTCCTAGCATGCATTCCACATTGCCATTTTGCATATGCAATGTTGAATTTGCAATTAATACTAACTAATTGCCTAAAACACCTTGTGATTTCGTCGCCATGCTTTGAGCAAAGCGTTCCTTGATCACCAAATTAAGTTGCAAAATGAAGACACGTAAGAGGTTCACATATTGAGAGAATTGGACATAAACGATGAAGATTAATAAATGAACTAATATGCTACTAGCAAGAGATTGAATCCCTAATCCTGATTGATTAAAGAAGCGCATAATATTTATATCCCATTCATCCATCCATCCATCCTTCCATCCATATCCGTACGTCAAGAAGCTTTGTAAATCTTGCCACCGCAACTGCACTTCCAGTGTTCAGGGTAATACTCGGTCATCAACCGGTTGAACCCGGGTGGGGGTGGAATCTGGACCCAGGATAGCTCACAAGGCGTGCATTCCCCGCACTTGGTTTCACATCTCGGCGGTGATGAACCCGCTGCCCTCTCCAACAGCTTCCTCCTCTCTCCAATCCCATAATAATCTTCCTCCTCAAAGTTCTTCCTCCCCAGTACCTTCTGTATGCCCACACCAAAAACATGCATTTTTTCAGTGTAATGATAAATTACTTTTTACCACCCACACTATTCGAGTTGATCATTTTTTATACGAAACAAACATAACATTTGAAAAGTTCAACGTCATCTTAATTTAAGAGATCAACACTGAATACAAATTTTAAACTTCTTCCGGTCTTGTTTATAAGATACAAATTAAAATTAATCATGCATAATAAGACTAGATGAAGTACGTAGAATCGAGCTGGGGAGATAGACAAGATGTCAAAGTATATAAGTAATTTGGTCTCCCATCTCAAAACCAATTGGCAATGAGTGGGGTGATCTTTGACACTTATATACTGAGTCACTTCTCTTCACAGTGACGATGTGGGACAAGATAATACACCTTAACACAAATGTATCAAAGCCATGAAAAAAGATCGAACAAGAGACTAACTCAAACGTGTGTGCGAGGTTCACGAGGATATATACATTAGTCGATCAAACAAGAAGGCCCCCCGGAAGCGCAGTGCATCCATGGGAAAACTAAATAAACAAAAAAAAAAAAAAAAAGAAGAGATATTTCGTCGTCTTAAATTTTATCTTCCCTTCTTGCTTATAAGATAACAACTGTTTCATGTTTAATACCGCATCTTTTTAGCTAGTTTACAAAGAAACAATACGAAGAAAAAATTGGTTGGTTTGGGCGTGTATAAACGCGCTCTGGTCCTAAATTAATTTCGTCTTGTGAAAATTCATATAGCAGAGAAAAAGGGCCAAAAAAAAAAAAAAACAACGCACCTGAATCTCAGCTCCACCGGGAGTCACCGGTTCGCTTAGTGATTCTGAAAGAGATGAATTGATGTGATAGATAGATATTGATTATTGAAGGCCACGATCGAAGAGAAACACAACTTCATTAAAAAAAAAAAAAAATTGATGCGAAGATTCCGACAAACATTTAAAGTGTAACAAATCCTTAATTACCTGCGAAAGTGCAGAACAAAGCGATGAAAATAAGGCAACCGACGATCCTTTTCTGCATGAGCTTGACTCCAGTCCAATTCTCCATTATGATCTAATCTAAATTCATAGGAGGGGAAAAAAAAAAAAAAAATCCCCACACAACGTTGAAGCAGCTTTCTATTAGCTAAGATAGATAGCTCTTAATCAAATTAATTCATAAGAAGAAAGAAAGAGGCACAAAAAAGAGAGTATATATACGGCTTTTTTTCCTTCCCGCTGATCAAGAATTCAACTCTTAACACGTGAAAGTTGAAAGAACACGAAGAAGAACAAGGAAGACGAAATATATATATATGCGCATGCATACACGTCCGAGCTCGTGGAACGTGTTTACCAAAGGTGTACTAATTCGTGACGTTAGTGATAACTATGTAAGTCATGTTTGTAAGTCATGTTGACTGTCCAGTCCTAGATCTTTTCCTCTCATAATAAGCGTTTTTGTTGGTTCAACCAAATCATTATAAGGACAAAGAAGCAAATTAAAATTTTCTAGTAATGATGAAATGAGTATAGTTCGATCTAGGACTAGGTCTTAAGTGGACCTAACTGTTCTATAAAATCCAGGCTAACTGAGGCACCTAGTTTTTTAATTTATGACGATAATGTGATGTTGAGGCAATAATCTTTGTTACACAATTGTGTCACGAAAACAAATCTAGTGTTGTTAATATTCAACATCGAACATAAGTGTCATGATCTTTAATTATTTCTTCTATCTTAATAAAATAGAACACATTATACACTATTTGTTTGGAGTATTAAAAAAACTTTTGAATCTCTCTATAGTAAAACACTCGTTACTCCATAGTCCACACATACTGCACACAGAAACAAACGTAAGTAAATTAAACTAGTGAAAGAGAAACTAGTACAAATGTGTTACCTCCGAATCACCGATCTGTCTTCCTGTTTGTGCACTTTGAGAAAACCACCAAAAGCAATTAATTAGTCTCGTCAGAGAAGGAAGAAAAATTAGTTGTGGAAGATCATGTGGTGTGTATGAGTGTGATTGATGAAAACCTCTTGTATGGGATTTCTAATGTTATTAGAATACTAAGACCGAATTAATTAAGAGAATGCTGGAAATCCTATAATTAAAAGAGAATTGCGACATCAAAAAGTACATCATCAACAAAATATTTTACTAAATAAATAGTAAAAACTTTGAGAACCACAATTAAGGGGAATAAATGTATTGTACTAAATGTAAAAATTTTAACCCCATTCCAGCCATGATATTCTTGCACAACGAAGGAAGCAGACTGCCAGAAAAAAAAAAAAAAAATTGTCTGAGAAAGCAAATTTCTGTACTTAAGCTTGGTCCTCTTTCATGGTACCCAAAAAAAAAAAAAAATATTTTACTCAACAAAAACCAAAATATTACGAGATTTTTAAATGAACTCCGACTATACGTGGACAAAAGCATTGCCATGCACCGATGCACTTTAGGTGGTTCCTTCCTTAGTTCCTTCATTGGTTATACATAGAGCCTAGCTAGTGAAGCCTAAACAACAAATAATCCATTATAAAGTTTGCCTCTTGCGATATAATTATATAAATTATTTATTCTAAAATAATTAATCGATTTACATTCTCATTTTTAGTATAAATTATACGAAAGTAAAAATCGAAAGAAGACATTAATTTCGAAATAAAAGGGACAAATCTTTTAAGTTGTTGAAAGTTAGGAACTGCACATTAGGGGTGATTTTGTAGTTTCTTTAAAATCGAATGGCTGTAATCATAATTAATCCAAATTCAATTTTCTCATTTCCGGCTTAAACCCCATCAAACCCCTTCCCCGTTTCGATGTTTTCCCCATCCCCCATCTCAACCCTCAGATTTAGTAACTATGGCCGCCGTCGCCGCCAGGTCTATGATGCGTTCAGCCACCGCTTCGGCTCGTTCTGCGTCTTCTAAAGCATTCGCCGGTGCCAAACCAAAGGCCGCTCCGTCCCCCTTTCGCACCCCGGTTCAAAATCCCCTGACAGCTCGCATTTTCAGGTTAATTTTATAAATTAAGCGAGAGTGAAGTAAACCCTAGTTCTTCCCCGGAAGAAATTGTACAATTGGATGCTGAACATGTTGATGTTTTTGTAGGTCGCCGGTTGAGTTGAGCAGTGTGAGTGTGAATTCGATGTTTCCATACCATACTGCAACCGCCTCTGCTTTGCTGACTTCTATGCTTTCCGATTCTGCTCGGACTTACGGTTGGACTCTTGAAGGTAATTTTCCACAATTGATTGTATATCTCGTTGTGTCTGTGCTGTGAAGTTTAATTGATTAGTTTTTAGTGCCCTGATTGATCTAGAGCATTTCGCCACCAATTAATGATAGAATTTGGTGCTTTAAAAAATTATTGTAGTGGTTGTATTCTGAATCTTGGCTGTCAGTTGCATTTCTCAATGTGTTTGTTTTGGTACATTGATGCTTGTTCATTTTATGAGTTTGTTGTAATAGCTTGTTTACTTTTACTTCCTTTTTGCATATTCTTTGCTGAGATCTGTCTACAATTTGATGCTTTAAAACGTTATGCTCCAATAATTTTAGCTATATGAATCATAATCAACCAAGTTATCCATTATCTTGACATAAAGCATATATCTCTGAGGAAATGCAAAATTGGAGGTGTTGAGATAGGCTACGCAAAATGTTTAAAGTGGTGATGTTTAATAGTTAATCAATAATATATGTATTATCTGTGAACGCTTTCATTCTTCTCTGTAAGTAATGTCGCTAATTAGGTTCGTCATCACCATGGCTTAATCACTGATCATCGTTCAATTTCTGCAATGAATAATATCTTGAAGTTGTACCTTGATGATTACCGAATGATACTCAATAACTGAGGGCAATTCCATGGATTTGTTTGTTGGTTTGTGCCATATAAATCATAGCTCTAGAGGAAATGCAAAGTTTTGAAATTTTCCTTGACTAATACTGTAAATTAGTGCTGATAAATGATGGGTGTGTTTGATTTTGATAGCTGCTTTGGGGTTTTACTTTATTCCTGTTAGAGGACTAGCTATCTATGCTCATTTAACATTTGCAGTTTGACACACGTACATTTCATTTAGTACTTTTGTGACAGATGTTGTCAATTTATGCCCTGTGTCTACTTTATTATGTGACTTCTTAAGGCCTGTGAGTTTAGGATGCTTCTTTTGCTCAACATTTGGATTTATTAGTTTTTTTCCTTTAATTTGGTATTTCATGTAGTTGTCTCGGATTCATAAGATTGAGATATGGAAGCAATTTGATTGCAGGTTCGTATCAACTAAGTCTGTAGTCTTAGGATTCTAAACTTATCTTAAACTGTCCTTTTGGAATTGGCGTTCTTAAGTGTTAAAAAGGTTTTATGATTCTGCACAATACACTTACTAAAGTAGCAGACGTATATTGGGAATTCCTTTTCATTACATAGGTCTATCTGCAAGATAATATATTCTTAAAGATGGAGAAGATCATTTTAACATTAGTTTCTTAAAATTTTGTGCTTGGGACTCATCTTCTATTCTTTGGGTATTCACTTTCTGGGGAAGTAGTTAATTGCATATTTGTTTTTCATCTTGTAGGTAAGGAGAGGACTAGTTGAAGATTGAAATGAGGTAGTGAGTTAAAATTCTTCATGCTTGAATGCTTTAACTTGTTCCTTGTATGTATAACTTGCTGGTGAACAACTACTTTAGACTCAAGGTTGGAAAATTTACTTAGGTCATCGTCTGCGTGTCCTGCATGTGAGTTTATATGAATCAGGAAGGTTGTTTACGCATTAAGATTACTTTTATGATGTTGTTTTGAATACCAGATAAGGGGATGCCAATATCTGACGAGGTTAAGGCGTTCTAGAAAGCATATTGTTTACTAGAAAGTACTACAATCTTGAATTTTATTTGCTTGAGGATTTTGTGTAATGCAGACAACTAGTTCATGCTTATATTAGGTTGATTGTTTCAGTGTCATGTGAGCTGATGATCTGTTGTTTGTTCTTCTCAGGTGGTTGAGGCTTCAGATAAAGGGTCTTTTGAACTTGGGAACAACATGGGAACTAGGAGCGGCATTCTCATCCTCCTATTCTATGCTAGACTAGACAATTTGTTTTTGAATTTAACCTTTATACTTTTGTACCTATGCCTCTCCGATTTATCTCAGATTTGCTCACTTTTGAACCAAATGTAAAACAGTGAAATCAATCTTGCACTTTGGAAACGAATGATGTAGGGCAACAATGTGAGTTGTCTTTCTGTAATGTATTATGATTTACGACAATAGGTGCCGGAGTGAATAATAGAACAACACACCTCGAGAAGTTGATTTGGGAAGAGATAGCCTTTCTTAAAGCTTGTAAGTTGTAGTCCTTGCAGAGAAACTGGTTAATCAACTGATTTGTTGTTTGTTAGCCGCCTTCTCTACACTTGCTGCTTCTCCTAGCATTTTTGAGATGGTAGTTGAGGGGGTTGATTTTTATAGTTGAGCTAAAGTTTGAGGGCAGATACTGTAATTAACTGAAAATATTAAAAAAAAAAATGCAGCTTTAATGTTATCCCGCTCTCTCTCAGCTCTTGACTCAGACTCCGAAAAGTCAAAACGAATATCGAAGCAAACAGCTAGCAATAGAGAGAGCAAGCTGCTTCTCACTCCATTCGATGATGGACTGACTGACTGATGTATATTTTGCAGAACTCAGAAAAGCACTTGAACTTCTGTCCTACTCCTACTCTCTCTTCTAGCTTTCTTCTTCCTTCTTCATCCCACAACCACAAAATTTCCACATCTGTAGAGCCCCCCCCCCTTACGTCGTCGTTTTTTTCTTCCCTACTGAAATCACTCTGGCCCAGCTTTCTTCTAATCACGCCTGAAAAAGGCTTCTGCCGGACGGACCCCTTTTCTGGCTATTTGCTCTTTGTCTGTTTTTTCCTTCCTCCCGCGGCTCTTTTCTGATATCACCACACATTCAAAAATTGAAAAACAAAAGGATGTATCTTTTTCCTGTTTCTCTCTCATACTCACCAGCTTTCAGCTGTTACTCCAACCCTTTCTTCCTCTTTTGATTTCTTTATCAAACCCAAAAAGAATTATGTGGGTTTCTGTTGTAATGTAATCCGGAGAAGGAGATTTTCGACGTTGTCACCCTCCGTAACCCCCTGTTTTTGGTACGTCTTTGCCTGAGTGTTTCGTGCTCTGTTTTTAGTATTTTTCTTATTTTTGTTTGTTTTTAAACCATTTTGGTGGATTGGTCTTTGTCTTTTGTCTCTTTGGGTCTCGCGTCGTGCATAATTACTGCATATTGTGAGTCCTCTTGGTTTGTTAGATTACTTGGATGTTGTAAAAATCTATAGGAATCTTTTAATATTTTGATCTTCTTGTTGGTGGTGTCTCTACTTTACAGAGCCCAAGATTTTCTTGTTTAACGTTGTTCTCAGTTTAAGGATTTAATATTATCGTCTTAGTACTTGAGCATTTTGCTCTTCTTGAGTTAATATTTTGGGGACCCAAGTGACATTCTTGCACAATTGCTTAAGATTATTTCAGCGGGAATCATGGTTTTAACTAAGCTCTATTGAGGCCCACTTTTCATCCCTGGTCTTGTTTCTTTAACCTTCCTTTATTGTTGTTATTATTAGTATTTTTCTAATCAAAATAAGTACTTCTTGGGACTTGGAATTAGGCCTTTTAGTGTTTTCATGTTCAACACCGAATCAGAACATGGGTTTAGACTCATGTAGTGAAGAAATGGAATGTCCAGCTGCTAAACCCTCTGAAACCCCTTCCAATATCCCTGATCTGGTTTCCAAATTTGCAAAAGTTTGTAAACTTCGGTCCATTGGGGTCTTTACTTCTGAGAATCATTGCGATGATGGTGGTCAAGGGGCTCCTGTTTTCTTGGATGAAAACAAGAAAGGTTTGACCAAAGAGAAATTCGATTCAGGGAAGCTCTGTCCTCGGTATGGCGAGGAGGGGAGTATTAAAGGATGTGGATGTTGTCTTATGGATATTTCCGAACTGTTTGATTCTGTTTCTGCTGTGAAAGTTGCTTATGTTAAGTTTCAAGAAGCTCACATTCCATATGACCATGAAAAGATTGTTGCTGCTGACAAACATATGGTTGATCAGCTTGGCCAACTGTGCAAAATCAAACAGTCTTTTAAGGAAAAGAAAAAGAAAGAAGAGAATTCTGTTGCTGCTTGTTCGGCTCTGGTGAAGAAAGAAATTCAAGTCCAGGAGAGTCTTTTGGAGCAATTGAAGTCAACAGTTAAAATGAAGGAGAGTGCTGTGGTTAAATTGCAGAGAGAACTCCAGGATTTGGAGTTGAAGAACAAAAGCTTGGCCGAAGAGTTCAAGCAGCAAGAGAAAGTTAGGGTCAATGTTCTGCATACTCATTCCTTTGAAGTGATTGTCAAAGCAGTTAGGATGGCAATTCATGATTTTGCTAAGCCATTGATTTCCTTAATGAAAGTCTCTGGTTGGGATTTAGACCAAGCTGCTAATGCCATCGAGGCTAAGGTTGTTTATGCCAAGAGGTCCCATAAGAAGTACGCATTTGAAGCTTACATAGCCCGGAGAATGCTCAATGGATTTTCATGCCAGCAGCCATGTGATACGCAGAGGATTCTTAAATTCAATGATCCTATAAATGCTCTAATCGAAGATCCACATTCTGATTTTGCAAAATTTTGCCGGAAGAAGTACCTCGTGTTGGTTCATCCATGGATGGAAACATCATTTTTTGGAAACTTGGATCACAGGACATTTGTGGCCAATGGTTTGCACCCATATACGCCGTTTTACAGGGCATTTGTTAAGATGGCCAAATGGGTCTGGTGTCTTCAAGGATCTATTGCTTCATCAACTACCCCTAAGATTGAGACCTTTACAGTTACAAGAGGGGCTGAATTTTCAGATGTTTATATGGAATCGATCGAGGAGCTGAAAGAAAATGCACTAATGTCTGGTCAAGAAGGGGCGAGATATAAAGTCGAATTCATGATCTTGCCTGGGTTTAAAGTTGGTAAGTCGGTGATCAGGTCTCAAGTTTATCTTTCAAAAGTGAACTCCGAAGGTTCTAAATTTTAAGATGACGTGCTCATGCTCCAATTTGTATAATTATGACAACTTGTCTAGGTAATTTTCTGCGATAACCTTGTTCGTGCTAATTCTGCAATTTGTTAATATGTCTCTCTTCAAAAATGCCTTATTAGTACTATATTTTACTTCGCTTTATGTTGCTTACTCTTCAATTTAAGACATGCTTGCTTTTCTGGGAGCAAAATGATGAGCAGAATCCGATGTTTTCGCCCATGGTTCATCTTTAGTTAAAGCTTTGTTTCTGCTTTTGTAAATTATCCTGTCCCTCTTGGGGTTGCTACTCTCACTCTGTACCTCCCTTTTATTTTCTTGAACTTTTCTTGGTTCAATTGGTTGAGACAAATTGTGTTGTCACGAGCATAATAGTGGTAGGGAGAATGAATTCTATGCCATGTAAAATCGAGAAAAAAAAAAAGAAAAAGGAAATCAATGATCTCCATTGCATGTGAACCGAAATTATAAGTCTAGTCTAATAAACATGACCATCTTTTTGGGACGGAGGGAGTTTTGATTCTACTACTACTAGTGACTTGCACTTGTTTGTCACAATTCAGTATTTCTGTTAAGTTTCAAATCATCCTTTCATTGATTAATCGAAGAATTAGAGTTGAACCTGTATGAACATACTATTGTACTGCTAAACTGAGCAACTGAAGAAAACAATTCTGTACTGAAATAGTGGTTTATTCCTTTGAGAATGTGATGAATAAAGAATAAGGTATAAAAGAATGAAAGAGGGCAAACAAATTTTGGTGAATGCTGCTAAGTATGTCCTGAAGAGCCGCTGTTGCATATTCTTCCTTCTTAATCAGTTGTTGGAGAACAAATCTCTGCACAATTCTCCGTAGAATCTACACACCAAATCGATAAAAATAGGGGACTTCAGATTTTTCCAGCAATGAAGCATCTCTTCAACATCCATAAGATCCCTCATTTTCCCTTCTTCAACAATCATTTCCACCAGATAGTTCTCAAAGCTTCTACAAGCATCCTGAACATCTTCTTCTTCAGGGCACCCCGAAAGCGGTATCCCCCGCTTCTTATTAGCTGCGCACAACTTCACATAAGCCGGTGTGATTGGCGATGGAAATGGCGCCTCGATGTACCCTGCATCAGAAAAGCTCTTCAATTCCATCACTCGGTTCATATCCCCCGATGATCGTCGTTTAAAGCAATGCAAAACGCCGGGGAAGACCTTAATGACACGGTTTCTGAGCAATGGAGTTTTAGACGTTTTGAAGCAGTTGAAAACTGGAAAGAAGGCGTTAGTGATCGCCTTGCTTACTCGTTTTCTGAGTGTGGGAGTTTTTCTGGGATTTTTTCGTCTTCTTCTTGGATGGCAAATTCTGAGTCCTCTTATACAGATTGGCTTTCTAAGCTTTAGCTTGGAAAACTTTACCACTTTTTTGCATGGACTGAAAAGCTTGGATTTGAAGGGAGATAAGGTGGTTATGGCCTTCTTCATCTTCATAATGATTTCGAGGTTTTGGATTGTTGATGAAGGAAAAGGAAGTGCACTAAAGGTTTAAATGATGGTTGTTGTTAGTGTTGTGTGTTTGCCTTTTGTAATGTGGGAACAGTGGAAAGTTTCATATCGTGTTGTTGGGCAAAATTGGGTGTGATAGCAGTTGGTGCTCCCGCATTAAACGAAATTTCTTTACCTTTTCCCTTTTATTTTAAGTTTGGTTGTGGTACCAATTCTAATGGTTTATGGAATTCACGTCTCTTAATTTGGAGAAGAAAGTGGTGTGCCATTATGTCAGAAACCTTGCAAATTATACACTAGTGTTTTGGGGTGTCTGGATGATAAAGATGGTTCGCCATTGTGGTGTTTTCTTTTCTAATGCACTTTGGGAGAATTCCAATTCCATGCTAAGAGCTTTTGCATTTTTTTCTCTTAGTCTTGATCTTCATCAATTCTGATAGCTATGTAATGTACAAAAATCTTTTTAACGGACTACACTTTCTTCAACAGACCAATCAGTATTCCCTTTTGATGTTTTACAGTTTCACTTAAGTCTAAATTTGTTTCACTGGTCAATATTACTATGTTCAATTTACTGTTTAGTGGTAGTGAAACACGAAAACAAAAATGAATTTGAAATCTCACCAAATCCACTCTCCATCTCAATTAAAAACGCTCTTCTCTTGATATACGTGTTAAAATTACGTTTTATTTATGACACTTAGGCTCTGTTTAATAATCACTTAATATAGTGACTTAATTTATTTAAGTACTTAATGAAATTAAGTGTATTTGATAATCATTATTAAAAAGTCTTAATGAATTAAATTTCTGAACTAATTAAGGCTCTGTTTGATAATCACTTAATATAGTGACTTAATTTATTTAAGTACTTAATAAAATTAAGTGTGTTTGATAATCATTATTAAAAAGTCTTAATAAATTAAATTCTGAACTAATTAAGTACTTATAAATTAAGTGCGTTTGATAATTAAAATTTCACTATCTGAATTAATTAAGTGCGTCTGAATGTTCAGTTCAATTGTGAGCCAGAAAATAAGTGACAGACCTACCACTTATCACTTATCACTTAATTTCTGTAATGACTTTTTCTTTTCTTTTTTCTTTTTTTCTTTTTTTCCTTCGTCTTTATTTCGACGCTTATTTTTACATTATTTTAAATTTTTTATTTTCTTAAGATGAATTAATTAAGAGTGCTTAAAATTGAATTTATATTATGAGTATAAAAGATATCAAACTTTCAAACTCAAATTAAACTAATTTTAATACATGAAATTTGCTAAATAACAAGGTATACATATATACGTAATAATCTAAATTTAATTATATATTGATTATTTACCAAGTGTAATATCTACTTTCAGTATATATACCAAAAACTTATTTTAAAACTATGATTATATTATTTAGAACACAATATTAGTTATTTTTCTATTTAAAAGAATTTTGTTTATAATTCAATTTTAATGATATTAAAATTTTAAATAACTTTCAAACATGAGTATTCAGATTCAATCTTCAGACTTCAGACTTCAGTCTTCAGACATCAAATTCAGACGTTTTTATCAAATAATGTAAATTCAGTCTTCAGACTTTAAACTTCAGTGTTAAGTGTTAAGTGTTCAAATTCAGACTTCAGTGATTATCAAACGGAGCCTTATTTAATTTTTGAAATTTTTCTATGCATCATACAGATCATAAATCGTGTTCATTATCTTTAGTACATGCATCACTAAACACAATTTTTTTTAAAAAAAAAATAGAAGATACAAAATACATAAATGATATTCACATTAAAAACTCAGTATCAACTATTTTTTCGGACGGGGAGCACTATATAGAAATCTTTGCTAATACTACTACTGTAATTCGGTCTCCTATCTACGGAATCAGATTTCAGGCTGAAAATCATACCCAATAAAATAACAAAAATCTAATACATTCAAGATTTCTTCATTCTTAATTTCATCGTAATTAAATTTAAAATTTTTTAATCCCTTCAAAAAAAAAAAAAAAACTATTAAGCTCCTGCTGTTGACAAAGTTCAACTTTTTCGACCTGTTACCTTTTTTTTTTGAAGAAAAATTATGTATTTTTGTGTAGGTGTTATAGGCAGAATCAATTTTTGTGAAAATTAAATTATTACCATAAAAAAAGTAAATCCCATAAAGTTACTCAAAAGTGATTAGTGATTACAATGAGAAATAGAACGATATTTACTCACCTAATTGGAGAAGTAATGCTTAGAAACCCTACTATATTTGGTAAAGATAGAATAATATGACTGGAAAGTATTAATGGTAGTGAGGATTATGAGGAAAATCCATATATATATAAATAATTATATCAAGAAAAAATTATGAGGAAAAGGTTTCTTTTTCTTTTTAGAAGAAAAATTTTTGGGAATCAATTTAGAATCGACATGCCATGTTTATTGATTAATTAAGTTACTTTTTGTCTGAATCAACCTGCCATGTTTAAGAGTTGTTAATGAAGGAAAAATATTTTTTTCAAAAAAATAAAAATAAAATTAACACCATAATAAATTCTAGAAATGTAACTGTTAAATGAATGAAAGAAAGAAAATGACCTCATATTCCCTTGTCCCACATGAATGGAAGGAAACACTTGAACCCAACATATATACCTCATGTGCTATTTCCCTCATCACCAATTGATTTTGAAGTGGAACTATATGTGAGCTTATATTTGGGCCTTTCAAGACTAACCATGAGTCCATCACTGAATAACCAATCCGACAAAAAGGTAATAAGGAATAGCAATTAATAACTGATCATCAGCCCTTTTTTTTTTGGAGGGAAAACAAAAGTGAGGTGAGAATGAATTTTTTTTTTTAACCAACGTGAGAGGAATATTGGGAAGAAATTTAGTTTTTTGAAATGTTAAATTTTAACTTTGTTAGGATAAAGAAAAAAAATAGTCTGTTTGTCTTTTTTTTCATCCTCGATCTCTTCCTCTTCCGGATCAAGTCTTGCAAGCAAACGAAGCAAACCGGCGGCCTTTTTTCTTGATTGCTGCTTAGGTGAGTCTCGTAACCTTATTGTCACGCCCTCTTTTCTTGATAGTTCACTATCTACTTTGTTGTGTCGTTAAAAAATCCCTTTTTTTCTTGGGTCAAATTAAATTGATTTACTGGATACATACTACAGAGTAGTTGAATTATTGTCTAGTTTGAATATTTATTTATGTTTGTATTTAAGAAGTACTACTAATTATATACTACATTTTTTTTGAAAGCATAAATTTGATACTATTTCTTTTGAGAGTGTAGGCTGAACACATTCTTTTACACTTTGAGATTTGACCTCTTGTCGCAGAATGAAGAAGTTAGGTAAGTTTCTGGATATGCATAATGAATTTACCACAATTAGTGCTTCCCACCAGTTTGATAATTTGTCTGTTTGATTTGTTGGATGCATGTTGATTTGTTAGGGTTGTCGCCTGATATGTGGATCCCTGATGATTTTTCCGGGAAATCCTAACATGGCTTCCGGTGAAATCCGTGATGTGATTTAAATGTGTGTCTCCGACTTGTCGTTTCAATGATTGAACATCCATCTTTCACCAAATCCTACCGGGGTGGTTCCCGAGGTCTGATCTACTGTGAAGATTACCCCTACCGGGAGCGTTTGAGTCTTAAGACATATTTTTTATACACCATCCTTGATGATTGTGACAACCTGATGATGACCAAAACAATTCTGCCTCATCATTTTGTTGGTTCACGGTGAGAAAGAACATCAGGCCAAAGCCCGGACAAGCGTGGTGAATGGTCTACTATGTTTCTACGAGCCTCAGGGCCCGGATTCGTGGTTGTATAACATTGCCACCCGGGAGATGTTGAAACTTCCTTCCTTGGACTTGCATCCTGACTACTTTGATTTCGAGGACCACAACAATATTCCGACTCATAGGTACAAGTTACTCAAGACATGCCGAAAGAACTCCTCCTACTTTGATGGGGAGATTCTTACCATTGGGGTGGATTCGTCATGGAGAACTACCCTCCATGACAAGAATCCGCCCATTTCATCTGAACACACAATCAAATCTCTGAGTGCGTGTTTAGATGGTGTTCTTTGCTGGACGGACGACAATGGTCTTGAAATCGGGGCTTTTGATCTGGCAAAGGAGAAGTTCATTCGCATTCCCTCACCGTTACGGGCTGGAGAAGGTGTGAGTTATAAAGCTACTAGGTATTACAACCACAAACCATACATGATGCTAGCGAATTTCGGGCCTAGCATAGTTGTAACAAAACCTAAAGGGGACGACGACTTTGAAAAACAGCAAATTCTACGTTATGAGAGGAGCGGAGGAGGAAATTGGGTTGACGTTGTACCGGAGTTAAATCTCGCGGACGGAGATAAAGTTGCTTCTTCATTTCCTAAGTACTGCAAAGATTTTTATCCCACCGCTTTAGGTATACTTCCCAATGGAAAAGTGATGCTAATGCGGGTTGGTAGTGATCATTCTTATTCTAAAAGGCTTGTGTTTTTGAATCTATCCAATAGGGAGTGGGAAAGAATTGGGATTAACACATCCTTTCTTGATAATCTACCTAAAGACTAAAATATCCAAATGGTCCCTTACATTTGGGTTTATTCGATAACATTAATATTTTAATATTACAGTCCTAAACAATATGTCTTCACACTTTTTTGGTCCCACTTCACTGTTTCGACCATTTTTCCGTCCAACGCGATGTTGATCGGCAGTTGACATGCTGGAATCAGGGGTATTTTTATCTTTTTATATAATTTAAACTTCCATTAAAATTTAAATCATTAAAAATATTATAAAAATACACATTTATTAATTAATTGTTAAAATATTATTTATTAATTTAAAATACTATTTTAAAATTTAAATAATTTTCAAAGTTACTTTTTTCTTTACTAAAATAAATGTTAATTATGTTGCACTTTTAACTGCCCATTATAACTTTAAAAATTTACCGAGTCATAATAAATAATTCAAAATTTAAATTAAAAAAAAAAACAAAACAAAACCAAGATTTTTGACTTTGACAGCTACAATAAATCTTGAGTTATTTCTAAAATTTTACCGCGCTATAATAATTTATTAAAAATTCAATTTTTTTTAAAAAAAAATGCAAGAAAATTGTGGGGTGAAAATTCGGATAAAAAATAATTTATTTAAATTTTTGGCTTAGTTATTGCTTTGAACGATAGCAGGCAGCGGTGGTGGAGGTGTGGAGGTGGTGGTGTATAGATAATATTATTTTATTAGAATTTCTATCCCAACAACTTTTTGAATTTTCACTAAAACCACATTTTAAATTATATCTCCAATTCAAACTATAAATTAAAATAAATCATTTTTTATCCAGATTTTTGCCCCCTCAATTTTCTTCCCTTTGGGCTCGCTGAATTTTTTACTTCGACCGAATAAAAAATTTGTAGGTGAAAATTTGGATAAAAAATTTAGTTTGCCTTTTCTTTTTAAACAAAAAATTGAATTTTGAATTAGTTACTGTAGCGCGGTAAAATTTTTGAGTGATATGGAGTTATAAATGGAACGTAATTAATATTTATTTTGTATTCAGCATAAATGATAAATAGAAAAAGAAATTTTTTAAAAATAATGTAAGTTTTAAATTTTATAATAATATTTTAAATTAATGAATAATATTTTAGCAATTAAATAATTAAATGTGAATTTTATGATATTTTTAATGATTTAAATTTCAATGAAAGTTCAAATTAAGTCAAAAGACAAAAATACCCATGATTCCGGGAAGTCAACTACCGGTCAACATCGAGTTGGACGGAAAAGTGGCCGAAACAGTGAAATGGGACAAAAAAGTGTGAAAATATAATGTTTGGGACTACGATATTGAAATGTTAATGTTAGGGATGTAAAATCAAATAAACACAAATGTAAGGAACCGTTTGGACATTTTAGCCCTACCTAAAAGGTTGGTGGAAATGCCTGGGATTGATCATTTTGCCTGGGGAGTGATTGATGAGAGTGCAGCACCTGATATGTGTGATGGAGGCTGGACATATTTTGAGGAGAATATCATCTCAGTCTCCCATTTGGTCACTTCCTGCTCCTAAACTCTTTCGTGTTGGTAATTTTAGCATTTTATACTTTTGTTGGGGTTGTTTTAATTTGGCTGTCTTTAGTTTCGGCAATTTGGAATAATGAGATTGTTTGTTCTGGCAAGTATACGTACACTTTGTTGATTTTTATTTTTTATTTTTTTCAGTTGCCTCTAGTTTTGAGTATTTCGAATGATGAACTGTGTTGAAACCAATTTTTTGTCCCCAAATAATATTCTAACAGTACATTTGTTGATTAGTTACAAATGTAAGCTTGATTGTTGAGAGTAAGGTTCAATTACTGTGTTAGAAAAGAAATACAAACGAATTAGTTTCGTGTTCTACATTTTCAAACCCGCAATATATTATACCTTTGGAGCATCGGGTAAAGGTTCCCGTTCTATTTTCTGTGGTTGCTATCAACTGAAATTTATGCGGATATATAAATGACGAACTAAGGCATGCCAATTTAAAATAGGAATTCATTAAAATATCTTCTAAATATATATTTAAACCAATTTTACATGGGACATTAATAAAATTTTGAATTACACGGACATATTACTGGTTTTTATATAAAAAAATATTCGTAAAAGATAAACAATATATAACGAAAAGATTATATGTTTTATCAGAACAATCGTTATATAATACTGTAATATGTGTATTGAAATCATTTCATAGGATTATATTCTATTTTTTTGGAAGAAGAAAATCCATTCTTATGTGTGTAGGTGCTATGGCAATAAAATTAAGAATCAGCTTTCCACGTTTAGAGTGACTTGTAATGAAAGAAAAAGAATAGAATTTTGTGTGAATAAAATTATTACCATAAAACATGAACGTTTTTTTTTTAATATAACAAATTCATCAATTCAAGAATTTAATTATTTAAGCCGAAAAAATGGCAGAAACGACGAATGATTGACAGGAAAACAGTTTTTTTTTTTTAAAGAAACATGAAACAATGTTGACAAATAACAACTGATCATGTTAACCCTAATTTCTTGGAGGCAAAACAAAAATGAGATTGGAGGGAAATATTAGTTTTGAAATGACGTGAGAGGAATTTTAGGAAGGAATATATATATATATATATATATATATATATTTGAAATTTGAATTCTTTTTTTTGTGGTACGAAAAAGGAGGCAAAAGCCTAGATTCTTACATTCCGGGGGTATGCCACCCCTAGTACATCATGTTGCAGCCAGGGCCTGGCATCATGTTGAAATTTGAATTCTGATATTGTAAGGATATTACAGTTTTTTTAATAAATAAAAGAAAATGAAAACGATAATAATACTAACTCATTTTTAGATACTACTACTACTAATCAACGGAGTTCTCTGTACGTCTTCTTAATTTGTCGCCCTCTTTATTTTCGTCGTACGGCCTTTCGTTATTGGTTGCTTAGGTGAGTTTTGTAACCTTATTATTGTCACGCCTTCTTTTCTATAGCTTGTTCGCTTATAATGATTTGTATGTTAGTGCTTTGAGATCGATTTGCTTATTTTCGTTTAAAAAACCCATTCATTCTGTGGGTCAAATTTGATTGATTTGTATTTCGTTTGAGAAAGTGTAGGCTGAAGACCAGAAAAGTGCATCCTTTTACAGTTTAAGATTGGACTTCTTGTGGCCGAATCATGAAGAAATTAGGTCAGTTTTTCTTCATGTGTTTTTGTTTCTGGATTGCTTAAATTAACCACAATTATTGCTTGCTTCCCTCCTGTTTGATTTGTTGTTTCGCATGGTAATCTCTAAATTTTATTATACCCCCCTTAGAATTTTTCATGTCTTACATAGTTGTTGATTGTTAAGGCTTCCGTCTGATCATCAGCGGATCCCGGATGATTCTGTCCGGAAAATCCTAACACGGCTTCCAGTGAAGTCCCTGATGATATTCAAATGCGTGTCTCCAAATTGGCTATCAATGATTGAAGATCCATCCTTCACCAAGTCCTACACGGGTGGTTCCCGAGGTCTAATCTACTGTGATGATTACCCTTGCGGGAAGCGTTATATTCTCAAGACATTTTCTTATATGCCACCCTTTATGATTGTGGCAATGTCAGGCCCAAAAAAATCCTGCCTCATCATTTTGTGGTTCATGGCGAGAAAAAACCACAGGCCAAAGGACGTACAAACGTTGTGAATGGCCTAATATGTTTCTACGAGCCTCAGGGCTGGGGTTCGTGGTTTTATAACATCGCAACCCGGGAGATGGTGACTCTTCCTCACTTGGATTGGATCACTTCTACTTTGACTATGATGTCGACTACAGCAATGTTCCGACTCATAGGCTCCACTTGGGTTTTGAACCTGTCAGCCAGCGATACAAGTTACTCAAGACATGCCGTAAGAATTGCTCGTATGATGCGGAGATTCTCACCATTGGGGTGGATTCGTCATGGAGAAGGGTCGGCGAGATTGATTACTCTTCTCCGCCTGATGAAGCACTAAGATCCCCGAAGTTCTTGTTTAGGTGGAGTACTTTGCTGGATGGACTGCAATGGTCTCAAAATCACGGCTTTTGATCTTGCTAAGGAGAAGTTTACCCACATTCCCTCGCCTTTTGGGCGTGGAGAAGGTTTATATTATAATGCAAGGCATCACAACAACAAGCCTTTTATGAAGCTAGCGAATTTCGGACCCAGCATAGCTGTGACAAAACCTATTGGTGACAACTTGGAAGAACATCAAATCCTACGTTATAATATTAGTGGTGGTGATCATGGTACAGATGAGAATGGAGGAGGAGGAGGAGTGTGGGTTGACGTTGTACCAGAACTGCAGCCAGCAAATCGACCTGAAAATTCATCGTTTGCTTTGTATGATGATGGATTTCAACCAGTTGCTTTGGGTATACTTCCTGATGGAAAGATGCTAATGCGCCTTGGTGATTACCATGGTTTTTCAAACGGGCTTGACTTTTTGAATCTATCCAATAGGGAGGAGTTGCAAAGAATTGGGATTAATACATCTTTTCTTAATGATGTGCCTAAAAGGAAGGTGGAAATGCCTGGGATTGATCATTCTGCCTGTGAAGGGATTGATGAGAGAGCAAAATCTGATATCTTTGAAGGAGGCTAGACACATTTTGAGGAGAATATCGTCTCACTCGCCCGTTTGACTTCCTGCACCAAATAAACTCTTTGTGTTGGAGGGTTTCGGTTGTCTTTTGTTTTGGCAGTTCCTAATAATGAGATTGTTTTTGCGTAGTTTAGACTTTGGTTGATGTTTCCAGTTGCCTCTAGTTTTGGCGAATTCGAATATGAAGTCTTCGCTAGTTCAACATTCAATATACTGGTTCATATGAAGGAGAACTAAGTGATATTCATCAGTATCAAAAGACTTCATTGGATCATTTAGTTCATATGGAATTGAAATTACAAATCGATTCAACTAGTGGAACTAGCTAGCAAAGGTTTAACGTGTGGGGCATCAATCTTCATCCAGTAAATACAACTTCAAGATCGAAGTAAAAACGGTACAAGGTGCAGAGTTAATAGTAATAAAGAACATCACAAGAGCTGTTCATCGTCTTCCCCGTAGTGGAATGGTTTTGAATGAAATAATCGTGTGAGAATTAATATTACGAGGTCACTGGTACAGATTTCATCAAGAGCTATCTTTGGGGAAAAAAAAAAAGTATTTCACGAACTCCATTAGCTAAATTTGAGTATGAAATTCATTGTCAAATTGTGTTTGTGATTGGGGATAACAATTTCTACGTCAAATTTTTTTTTTTAAAAAAAAAGTGATAAAGCACTCAGGAGCTTGCTTCTCTTGTGACTTAAAAAAAACAACTTTGCTTACTTGTCGTAAGAGGGTCATGTGAAGGTCTGGATATCAAAGATGAAACTGCATTTCATCATCCATAAAACAGTACAATCTTTCCGTAAATAAACATATCAAATCGCACTTAAAAGACATGAAATCATCTCTAAACTACTCACATTACTATACGTCACTACAAGTTTCAGCTCCTTCATGTGTTGGCATTATGCGCAGCTACGGAAATAAGTAATGTGGAACAGAAACAGGCCATAATGGGAGGTCAACCAAAAAGCATGGTGGCCATGAAAAGATTCTATTCCCTTCAATCCTCTCTTCACGTTTCTTTGGAACACTAAATGGTTCCAGCCTCTCCTAGTCCTCGTGTTGTATGACACCAAATCAAAGCCATCCAGCGCCAAATAAATAACATCTGGATCATATGGATGGAAAGCTGCAGGTTCAACCCACAACTTCTTGACCAATAACTTATCATCTACAATTACATCTTCCTTCTTGATGCTATGCTTCATAAGCCATCGGTTTGCTTTGTAGTCCTCAAGCACCCATATTTTGAAATGGGAAAAGCCTTCCAGATCAAACACACCCAACATCTCACAAAGCATCAGGCATCCTTGTTGTACACCGCACAAACTTCTTCTTCCCCTTTTACTAGAACTGTTAAATCCATCTGGAAATGGAATGAATCGGAACGTATCAGGACTGCCATACGGATCATAGGCTATAATTCCAAGTCCCCGGCCTATCCAGTGCAAATAGTTGTTCAAGTAAACACCACTCAAACGACCGCTACCAAGAACCGAAAGATCACTCTTAATGCTATATGCTATCCATTCACCTGTTTCAGAAGAAAATACCTCCAGCTCAAGGGAAGTTCGTATCTTTGCCCGACAATGAAGTAATACAACCTTAAAACTTACTGAGGTGCATCCTGCTTCAAGTTGTGTGATAAACCCTACACTCACATCTTCCGACAAATACTTGGGTGCAGGTGGAAGAGTAAACCACTGCTTGTTCATGGGATTACTGTTGGGTTTCTCCTCAAATTCCAAAACCCATGATGGTGAGTATTGGGCCTAAGTCCAATAAGGTTGTAATAGTTTGTGTAAGGGTTTAGTATAAATAGGAAGCTTTCGTACTAAACCTAGTTGGAGAGAAGAGAGGCAAGATGTAGATACTCAATTGAGAGAGAGCTCTTGAGTGAGGGGGGTAGAGATAGGATTGAGTGAGTGGAGATCCTCTTCTAGTTTCTACTTCTTTGTGTAGTGATGTGCATCTTTCTTTTCCGGGGCACATTGGAGGTGAATGATGGGAAACACTTTGTGAGAGAGTGTAAGGGTAGAATTGAGGGATAGAGATATAATGTTTTGAGAGAGGCTCCACCTTTGTAAACTCTTCTATTCTTATGCTAGTGAAAGTGTTGCCGTTCCTGTGGACATAGATCTATGAGAGATCGAACCACGTAATTTTATGTTGTGTTTGCTTGGTTGTTTACTTTAATTTCGCTGCGTATGTTGTTGAGTGAGTAACTTCCAGCAATTTGTATGTAGAGGGAATCAAAATCCCTAACAAGTATCAAGAGCTGAAGGTTCGAAATTGGGACTGTTTTTTGAATGTGTATAGGTGTTGATTTTCGGTTCTGCAAGAAGGAAGTGTTTGCTGGCCGATCAGAGTTGATGGTTGAATTTTCCATATAAAAAACGTTGGGAGCCCAAGTTTCGTGAGCATTGGACCACCCGGAGAGAGAGGAATCATGGAAAGAATGGCCACCGGAGCAAAATCTCGTTGATAGGACACCAGATCTGGATTCTACGCTATTGATTTGTGATAGCTATGAAGTTTGAGAAGAATCTGACCGTTGGATGTTGAGATATCACGGTCTGAAGTTGAGGCGTTCTGGACCGTCTGTTGGAGTGGCGGCTGAGATGAAGAGATTAGGGTTTTGTTGAGATGCCGCCATGTGGCAGCATCTGATTGGCTGAGAGTGTGCCACGTGGATGCGACATGTCACTTAGGTGTCTGCCATGTGTTGCTGACTGTGTTACCATGTCATCGGTCAAAGTCAAAATTTGACTGCCACATCATTAGTTGACCGCCACGTCATCAAAAATTTTCAGGTGACCTTTGCCCCCTAATTTCGACGTGCGGAGTTTGTTTTTGGCATTGTTTTTGTCAAATTCAATTTGGTTGGTGCTGTTTTGCTTAATTGAAGTGTGTTAGGGGTGTAACAAAGTTGTTATAGATGTGGAGATGGTTGTGTATGCCTCCAATCATTGTGGGTGCTGAAATTTTGTGATGTGGTGGTGTGTAATGTTCCAAGATTTACTCGTGGAGGATAATCTTGATGAAGAGATCTGTGGTTTGACGTGGTGAGGATGGTGTGCGAGAGGAGAGTGTGCAGACTGTGGTGTTGTGTTTCAAGTGGAACCATATGGATTTGTGTGAGGTTTCCTTGTGTTGAAAGTCTACCTGATATGTTGGCCAGGCGTCGTGTCCTGCTAGTCAAGAAAAGCGGTACAAGATAATTGAGTCATTTGGTTTAACTTTGAGATGATGTTGGATGTTGACGCACTAGTTGTGTGTGGTGAGTCATTTGCGAGGATTGTGACTTGTGTAGAAGCTCGGCCGAGTGGATGCAATATTATGTGAAGGATATTGTTTGAAGAGGTCACATCCGGTGTGGTTCCCTATCATGATGAAAACTTGACGAGTTTGGAGGAGATAATAAAAGAAGGAATGTCCAAGTAGAGAATGACTCAGTAATAGTGTGTGCTTGTTATGGTGTTGCTGATGGAAGTGAAAAATAGGTTGTGTGTTTTGTTGACATTCCCACACATGGAGAGGTTGTCCTATTTTTTGAGGAGTTGATGATTCGAGATACAGGTTTCTGGTTCACTTGACATTCGTGGTGAAGAGCTCAAGTTGAAGATAGAGATACAAGTCTTGTTCTTGAAGATGTTGTTGATGCACTTGGGATTTTGAGTCAAGGGAGGATTTGTTGGATTTCTCCTCAAATTCCCAAGCCTGTGATGGTGAGTATTGGGCCTAGAGTCCAATAAGGTTGTAATAATTTGTGTAAGGGTTTAGTATAAATAGGAAGCTTTTGTACTAAACCTAGTTGAAGAGAAGAGAGGCAAGATGTAGCCACTCAATTGAGAGAGAGCTCTTGAGTGAGGGGAGTAGAGATAGGATTGAGTGAGTGGAGATCCTTTTCTAGTTTCTACTTCTTTATGTAGTGATGTGCATCTTTCTTCCCTGGGACACATTGGAGGTGAGTGATGGAAAACACTTTGTGAGAAAGTATAAGGGTAGAATCGAGGGAGAGAGACATAATATTTTGAGAGAGGCTCCACCTTTATAAACTCTTCTATTCTTATGCTAGTGAAAGTGTTGTCATTCCCGTGGACGTAGATCTATGAGAGATCGAACCACGTAATTTTATGTTGTGTTTGCTTGGTTGTTTACTTTAATTCCGCTGCGTGTGTTGTTGAGTGAGTAAACTTCCAGCAATTTGTATGTAGAGGGGATCAAAATCCCCAACAATTACAAATGTAATATTCCTCTTCGGACATGAAAGTCAATGGTCTGGCTCAACCATATAAAACAAAGCCATTGCTAACTGCTCGGACGTGATACAACGCGAAATCCGTCATTGCACTTGCTTCTTGGGAATTTGGTAGAGGAAGTACATAAACCTGGTAACGACAACAAATTTTTGCTATAATGGATATCCTCTAGTCTTTTATAACGAGGATATGCAGGAGAACTAGAACGCTCAACCCGCATAAACTTGGGAACAAAAGCCCGTGGGGTGGAACAAAAGTTGGCTTGAGAAGCGTAAAAACGGGGGAAACAAGGATCATATATGAAAGCCTGCCAAGATTTTGAGACGCATTTGTACCTGAACAGCAACTTAAAAGGAAGCCGGGAGAGAATTTCATACAGTAACCAGTCAGGAAAATAGCCCCCGTCAAGGGACGTAGTAATTCGACCATGTTCAACAAATTTTCTCTTTTTACACTGCTTCTCATCCTTCCCAAAGCTGTAGCTATTGAGCATTGAAGAAGATTGTCACTAAAGTGAAAAAAAAAAAAAAACCCAAAACCAAAAGGAGATTAGTTTGACAGAGACAGGGAAACACATAAGACAAACTGAATTATAGAATCGAGAACAACAATAATCCTAACTGTAGGATGGAAAAAAGGGAAACAAAATCCTTAAGGTGAAATGATCCATGCCGTGAGAGAGCCTTTATTTGTTAAAAAGCTGAAATATATATAGAACATAAACCGTAAGTTAAAATAGAGAACATTGCTAGTTTCCTGAAAACATACAGGATTTGGAAACTGAAAATTAGTAATGAAATCAAGGAGGCTCGTTTCCTAAAATCATTCCTGGTATCCTAAAACATTAAGGATTTGGAAACTGAAAAATCTATAATTAAAATGGAAAAGTAGCTTGAAAATAAATCCTTCGGCTGGAAACGGCAAATAGCACAGTTCTCGCACAACAATTGGGTTCAACAACTATGAGAATCAAGCAAACTAAATTTAGATTTTAAGTGTACACACATTAAAGTAGATCACGATTATTAAAGAGTAAAGCAACTTTCGAGTTTCCTTACAACGTTTGAAACTGGGGCAGAAAGAGTAATCCATATGTGAATAATGATTATCAATGAACTAAAAGATTGAAATCCGAAACCATCTAAAAATTTAAAAGCTAAAAATGAATGCTGCAGGACTACCCGGATTCCACAAGCACTTATTTTGCTAATATTTAACGACCACGGCTGTTGTGGCGGTGGTTGATGGCGAATGGTTTGAACAGATCGAGTAAATCACCATAACTATTTACTCTTCCCGAACTTGGAGTGCGAAATCCATTGAGATTCCTCAAATTTAAACACCGGAAATCAAACCTAGAAAGGTTCCTAATTAATTACTTATTTTGAATGATAGTGAAACTCTTTTAACATTAACAAAAAGTACAATAGTTTTCAAACAATAATTTCGAGATAAAGGGACATACACATTCTTGAGAGAAGGAATCTTCGTTGCTGCTCCAAGTCCTAGTGCAGCAGAGAAAAAAAAAAACTGCCATAGAGGCAAATCCATGAATCAATACACGATGTGAAAAGATACAATAGAAACAAGGATAAATGCATGACAATATATAGTGTATTGTATATAATATAGTTGGTAAATAGGCCAGATTGTGAATAATTGTAAATAGAGGGATCTACTTTGTAAATAGTTAAGGCAGTTGTACTTATCTATAATAAGCTAATATAAAAACCACGCTTGGCCAGTTTCTTGGGCGGGCGGTCGTCACGTGATATCATGTTTGCATCACCTTTTTAATTGGGTACATAAGCGTAATTAGCTAAATGACATTTTGTCAATTCAGTTTTTTTTGCCAAACCCCCTCCCCGAAAACGACACCGTTTGACTGTGCGTTTCAGTCATAAACCCTTCTCACCGAAAACGACGACGTTTGATTGTGAGTTTCAGGCTTAAAAGATAGAAGCAACCAACCCCGATCCTCTGCCGCCTCCTCCGCCTCGTGTGTGCCCTCATGCTTTCTCTCAATCCATCCTTGACAAAGATTATATAATTAATACTAATCATTTTTTCACCAAATTAATTACAAATGTCTTCATCTCTCTTTTTTCCCATCGATTTTGCCCCAAACCACCATTGATCAACCCTAATTCCGGTGATGGTATCAAAGCAAGTCTGATCCTGCCTGATTACTGAGCTGTGAATCTTTAAGATTTCAGTTGATTAACAAAACCTTATCTTCAATTTGAGCAATGGAGTTCATGGAAGGAGAAAATAGTCGCGCTCGTGAAAATCAATCGGAGGAACGAAGATCTGATCGTGATGCGACAGGAAACAATGGCAACTACAGAAGGACTGAGCGAGGCAGTGCCCGAAGTCCAGATTTGGAATGATTCATGGAAGAACAGCTTCAATTACATGGTTATGATAATCCTCGTATGATTCTGTTGAGCACTCCTTTGATAACTATGAATTTCTTGATGTGGAAGACTTCTACAATTACTGCTTTGGAAGCAAAAATGAAATCAGGTTTCGTAGATGGAAGTTGTACTATGCTTGCTATTAATTCACCAGATTACTACAGATGGAGAAGGGTGGATAGCATGGTGAGATCTTGGCTTCTGAATTCGATTGATCCAAGTCAAGTGAGTAGCTTCGCGTTTATTCCTACTGCTAAATAGCTTTGGGAGACTATAATTGCTAGGTATGGAAAAATCAATGGTTCTATAGTTTATTAGCTAAAGAGAGAAATTGCATTGACTAATCAAGGAAACTTAAACATGGTGGAATACTATAATAAACTCAATAAGCTATGGAATGTGAAGGCCACCAATAGTCTGTGAAGCAGAGGCAATGCAAAAGTTACTTGAAAGAGATTATGAAGACAAAGTGTATCAAATGCTTATGGGGCTAAATCAGTGTTATGAATCATTGAGAAATGAGATTTTGCGCATGAATCCGCTACCTGAGTTTGGATGAGATATTTTCCAAGCTCTTGCATGAAGAAACTTAGAAACCAATTGGCAATGTAGTTGCAGTTCCAATAGAGAATGTGGCCATGGTAGCAAAATCAGTGATCTGAAAGAAAGAAATAAAATAGAAGGATTGGAAAAAAGCAAAGGCTGCTGATAAAAAGGAAAAAATGAGTCAATTCTGCAGACATTGTAGAAGGAATGAGCATTTAAAGGATACATGTTTTCTGATCAAAGGATTTCCAGACTGGTGGGAGAAGAAATATGGAAATAAGAAGACTCAAACGCTGCATAAACAGCAGAAAATGGTGAATAAGTAGAGAGTTAGTCAGCAAGCACATATGGTTGAATCACCATTTGATGACTTTGAGAAACCAGTGGAAGAATGGCAAACAATGGTTGCAAATCTGGTACAGGCTGAAATTGGAAAAATGATCAAAGGAAAAGCACATGTTGATTACAATGCTTCAAGTTCAGTCAACTATGCACATTTCCATGAACTTGCAGGTAGCAACATTTTCCCTAAACTAAATGATGTTATGCATAGTATTAGCAACACATCTTGGATAACTAATAGTGAGCAACAACACATATATGTTGTACACTAGTTTTATTGGTGCATACTGAACTAGTTAAGCATTATACTCCTGTATACTTGCTTGATGGTAGTGTTAGGTTTGTGCATCATCATGGAAAAGTGCAATTGTCTGATATAGTTACACTTACTTTTGTATTGTATGTGCCTACCTTTACACACAATTTGCTATCAGCCAGAAAACTTGCCCAAACTTCTAGAATTTATGTAAAGTTCTTTGATGAGTGTTGTTTGCTGTAGGACCTGAGAAATAATGAGGTTCTTAGAGCAGGCATGATCATCAATGGACTTCACATAGTCAATTCATCCTCATTCAGCAAACACCCATTCTATACACCAAATTACTTTTATCAAGAAGTCCACCAACTGATACTAGCTTTTCTGATGTAACTATTACTGATTTCAATAAAGTGCCAATATAACTATTTCTACATGGCATACCAGGCTAGGGCATCCGTCTAATGAGGTCTTGAAACATGTTCAGACTTGTAAATTCAATGATTCAAATAAAGATTTACATTTCTGTGATATCTATCCTTTAGCTAAACAACATAAACTTCCATATTCTTTAAGTTTTATACATACCACAGAAGCTTTTGAACTGTTGCAACATAGATGTTTGGGGGCCATATAAGTTCCAATGCACAATTTTTCTTAACCATGGTTGATGATTTTAGTCGAACTACTTGGACTTTTCTGTTAAAACAAAAGTCTCAAGTACCTAAAACTCTAAGACATTTCTTGAATCTAGTTCAAACCATACTAGCTCCACAATTAGGACTGACAATGGTTCAGAATTCCTAAATTCATCTACTAAAACCATACTAGCTAATTTAGGCATCATACATCAAAGAACTTGTCCATATACTCCACAGCAGAATGGAGTAGTAGACAGAAAACATCAGCATCTATTATAGGTGGCTAGATCATTGCTTTTTCAGTCTGGTTTACCAAAAAAGTTTTGGGGGAGTCAATTTTAACAGCCACCTATCTTATAAATAGAATACCTACTCCTCTACTTCACTGTAAAAGTCCTTATCAAATCTTACACAAAGAACAGCCAAATTCAGATCACCGAAGGGTTTTTGGGTGTCAAGCCTTTGTTATAAATAACACACAATCCAAGGATAAGTTTGATCCTAGGTCACACAAAGGAGTGTTTGTTGGTTATCCATTTGGACAGAAAGGATACAAGGTTTATTATCCAAAATTAAAGAAAATCATTGTATCTATGTTCAGTTTCAAGAAACCTTCTTCCCTTACAAAAATGATTCAACAAACATAGTTGAGAAAACTATTGTTCCTCTTCCTGTTATTACAAACTTAGACTATGATCCACCTTCATTTGATGAGCATGGAGAAGAGCAAAAACTGGACATGAAATAACTAGAATCTAGGCATTGAGGAAAGTAGAGTTATTTCACAGGGAAGTGAACTGCTGAGACATGAAAAAGATGGTCAAGAGTTGATCAAAGAAGAAAATGCCACCACTGCACTCGAGGTGGAGAAAAGAGAAGTAGTAAACACCACTAGGCACTTCACTGGATCACATTTCCCTAACGAACACACCAACAAATAGAACCCTACATTTGGAGAACAAAATGCTCCCAACCAAGCAGCAAAACAATTTTGACCCCAAATATCAAGCTATACGCACAGAGCAACCAGCAGAAAGGACAGAGACTCATTACAAAGATGAGGTTACTGAAAAAACAGACCCACTTGACAATGATAATGAACTAGAGAACCTTTAGATGGAACATGCAACACAAACAGAATAATGAACTAGATGTTTCAATAGAATCAGTTTTGCTCTCTGAAATAGGCAAGTGCAGGGATAATATCTAAAGGCTACAACACGGTACAGGGAACCATTAATATCAAAATCCTTCACTAAACATTCACTTCTGAATTGGCTATCTACATTTGTACTGCAAGTAAAATAGAATAAGAATGCAACACTACTAGTACAATAAACAAGAATAGGAAAACAAAATGAGGTAAAAAAGTTACACAAACTTAAACAACTGACCAGACATTCACACTAAGCAACCATGTACTCGTGATAGCGTCGAAACCCATGATTAACACACATCTTATGATGAACAATTTTAATCAGGACTTCCTTGGCATCAGGCGACCTTCGGAACCGGTACAGAGCATTTATATATGGCATTGCATGAGATGCGTTCGGAAAAATGTCCCTTGCTGCGGATCGGAGTTGGATCCATCTGTTGATAGTTATACTTATGATTGGGGCTAGAAGGAAATTTAGGTTGAAGTGCTGATGATGAGGAGATTCCAAAAGCATGTACCTCACGAAATATAGGTCCTCTGGTCTTGTCATACAGATATAAATGTCGTTAAGGCTCCATAACAACTCCACATTCCTATCCATGAGCTGATTCTGGAACTGCGCAAGGCTTGCATTACAAGCAATCCTTAATGCAATCAGCTCTTCTGTTGGAGGATTTAGCCCATCTACTGCGTCAAGCATGTCTCTCTCACGACGAATACTGATATGATTCATATAATTGTGCCTGAACTTGTGGTAAGTATAATGAGACCTGAAACCTTTATGGCCTGAAACAAGCATCTAGGCTACAGAATAGTGCTTTCACTTCTACTTTGACTGACTATGATTTTCAGCAGTCTTATTCATATCCTTGTCTATTGGTGTTGCATACTTCTGCTTTCTTCATCATACTGATAGTCTATGTTGATGATGTTCTAGTTACAGGATCAGATGAGAATGAGATAGCAAAAGTTAAAATCTCTTATTGATGATGCTTTTATTATCAAGGATCTAGGACGTGCCAAGTTTTTCTTAATTTATAAAGAATATTATCAATAAATTAATAATTATTATTTTTTCGATAAATTAATTTATTACTTTAAAGTTTTTTTTTTTGAATTCTATTAGAAAACAAAATACTCGACTTTAATCCTAGCTCTCGTAAGTAATTATGATCCAATTATTTTTATTTACGAGTTAGAGAGGAAATCATAGATGAAAGTTTCTCAAATGTAAATTTGAAGAAAAATTAAAACTCACTAACCTCCTACCTCTTAAACCTTCTTAGTGTTTTCTTTCTTTTTTCTTTTTTTTTTTGAAGAGGAGTGTTTTCTCATTATTAGTTTATAATTTTTAGGGGACATGTATTTATATAGGAATTTTCTAAAAAATTATTCTTTTATTAATTTATCGATTTTGTTTAAATTTTGTATTGGTCCCGAGTCAGGTAAATATTAATTTGTGGAGTTTTAACTGTAGTTTTCTTTTAATAAACTTACGTAAAAAGGAGAAATGCTAATATCAACTTTTTGCATTTGCTAAATAGTTTTTCAAAAAAATGCGGAGATTTCAGAAGATGATAACAATGATGATGCCCTTTTAAGTTTAAAGCGAATTCATAAATATTACTCATGTAGGTTGTTTTCCTCATGATGTGGTGTAGTATTCCAGGCATTCATTCAAACCAATATAACTGATGAGAGTGAGACTAAAAAAAACTTAATTTGGATAGTGGTGTTAAAGTTGCACAATTGCACATCCTCAAGGTGACACTTTAATATATATATATATATATATATATGTATATATTCCTTTGTCAAGCAGGTGTATTAATATCAACGAACAAGCTAAAACCTAATTTATAATATAAAAATAAATCTGTCATTTCAAACAAGACAATCATTTTGGGACGTTAATAGACTACTCAATTAATCCTCTGGATAAGATTATATTACTAAGTGAGTGTGAGTCAACTAAATATGAGGTATGGTTCAATTTAGTTTCTTATATTAAGAAAAAACTTTCGGAGTTGGAGTTGAGAAATTCCTCGGTTTTAATCTCCAGGTTGTACTTGAGCTACCAACCACTATTCTACAACTTGCTCAATTCCTTGTTCCAAAGGTTCCATCGCTGCTTTTATTAGACAAACAAGAGTCTAATTATTTTGTGACCGAGAAATTATCACTGTAAAATAGTTGTTATTACACTGTTGAATGTAGAGATTGTGTATTTATGACATAGTTGTTTTCCCATTTCAAAGAAAAAAGACATAGTTGTTTTCAGTTAGACTTGTGACTTGTCAGATAACACAACCTTCCTCAGTCTGTGAAGTCTCTTTCCCATTTAACATCTTATCCTGTTTTTGGGCTTTCCGTTTCCGTAATTTACTCTATATTAACCATTTAACGGTAAAAAGAAAACCAAATTAATAGGCCGTAACCTACCCACCACTAGCCATCAAACTCCAGCCTATTATTATTGATGGGCCTCCAAATTTTAGTCCATTTGTAAACTCCATTATAATTAGCACCCGTCATTTCATTTCCTTCCGGTTGGGACAATGAACAAAACACAAAAAAGTACTAATCGAAAGCACAAGCATTTTTCTTCTAGGTTTTAAGGTATTTTCATTCGTACAAACACAGCGAATTATTGGAGGTTTTTAATTGTTCGAAAAGGCCAATGGAATGATACTTCATCACTAGGGTAACCCCAAGCTAGGCTGTGTGACTCAAAGTCTATTATTATGATCAGTCCTATAAAATCTATACATTTTTAGAAGCTCTGGCCCGTGTGCTATATTCATATGTCGGGACCAAAAAAACTCAAAAAAGAATGGCACAGAATATATTACTTGCAGGTTGGTGGAGCCAAAGTTAGGCGCATATATAACCTGGATATTACCAAGCAAAAAAACAAATGCGATTTTGCTTTCTCTAGTACGAGTTTCAGCTATATGTAACTATCGTATCTTATGGCGCTCATTTCAAATGATCGGAATTGACTATCATCTGGTTATGTAAAAATGTTATAGTGTTTTCACCTCATCACGGACAAATATTTTTGCCATTTTGCCTCCCCTTTTTGATAGTAGAAATAATTCACGGGTCATGCTTTCTTCTCTAATCAGTTTTGATGGATGGAATTGATTGTTCATATTTGGTACTACTCTCTCTTTTTCTTTTTTTTTTTGGTTAGTAGTTTTTAATTAGTGTAAACTATCTTATTAAAAATTGGGTTTGCATGCGTGTGGATCAACTTTCATACAGTGGAAAGGCATTGTATGTGCTATCATTTTATGGGGCATGGAATTTAGGATAATAGCCTTTTGTGGGAGACATGGGCCTCTCTTGTTAACCCACCATACTACTTTTCTTCTTTATAACACACCACTTTTCTTTTTTGCAATATTATTTCAAAAATATTTTTGCAATATGGAATACTATAACCATAATGTGATCGTATAAATTCGAAATTATACATTCAACTCATTTCGGGGCGGATGAAATATATTAATTTTGAAGGACAATGGTGTAACGAAACAAACAAGTTTTGCATGTGTCACATTAGTTAAAAGTTGGTGTAGATTATAACAGTAGTGTACTGGAATCAAACTGTTAGATTTTGTGAAATGGCAGCTAAAGAATCAGTCAGTGCCGGAATAAGAAAAAAAAGCTGCCAGAAGGAAAAAGAAATCCCAGGTTGATCTCTTTTGTTTAGCATACTGCAGACAGTTTGTTGATTCTGTTGCCACACGGTTGACAATATGGGTTATTTTAATATTGCACACGTAAAATCCCAATTTTTAAAATAAATCTGATTATAATCAATTAGAAAAAGGAATAATAAACCATAAAATTTAAATTTAAATAAATAAAAAAAAAAGAACAAGAAAAAGCAGCGCCGTTTGATGATGATGATGATGAAGATGAAGAAGGCATTGGCCATTTACTGAACCAGGCCTGTTCCTCCACTTGCTTTTTATCTCCATATTGGGTCCCTTTCATTATTTTAATGCAAAACACTTTGTTGAATTTGTTCATTTTCCCCTGCCTTTTTTTTCTTCCTCTATATTATTTACTTCATTTGTTTCTTCAATTTCATTTGCTTTAAGAAAGGTAGAAACAGAGAAGAGAAACAAAAAAAAAACTCTCAATCTTCAATCTTCAGTATGGGGAATTACAAGTTTAGATTTTCAGATATGATGCCAAATGCCTGGTTTTACAAGCTCAGAGATATGAGAATCACCAGGAATTCTTCTCATCCTGCTGCAAAGAAAAAGCCATCTTCAAACTCTGCTAAAACCCTGTCTCAGAAATCATCCCAAAACCTCAACCAAACCAGGCAATCATACTATTACAGCTCAGATTTCAGTTGCAGAAGTGGTGAATTTTACAGTTCAAACACAACCCGGAAAGCCTCTGATCCTCATCTTCCTTCTTCCTTCTTCCCTGATCAACCGAGAAGATCATCAAAGCACCGGAGATCGAGAAGGAAGGCTGTTTACAAGCCTTCTCCACGGCGGCAGATGGCGGCGGCGAACTCGTTTGCTGATTCCGATGATCATTGTAGTTGTCGGAATGCAAGCTCTGTTCCGGTGGGCAGGGACTTTTTCGATTCTTCCGATGATTGTTCTGTTGATATTGACTACCTCAAATCCCCATCTTCAGAATTCGAGTCGGATACTATGTATCCAACAAATGAGTCCATCAATGGAGGCTTCCATGCTTGGAATTCGAATTCGAGGTCCAGTTTCAGTTCTTCGGCTACAGATATAATTATTGATGTAGATGCAAAATCCTACGCCAGAAAGATTGAAAAATTAGATGGGTTCGACACAATTCTAGAGTTGGATCTTCCTCCAATCCTCACAAAGCCTGCAAAATTCGATGTTGCTTTACAAGAAGAAGCTGCCAAATGTAGAAGCTCAAAAAAGAAACCAGAATTAGCTGGTCTTTCCGTTAAAGTTGTGCCAGAGGAAAGTGCAAAAGCTCAAAAAGATAACGTAAATTGTACTCCTCCCGGGACACGGAAATCAGTTTCTTATTCATCTGGAATAAAGCTCAGGGCTAATTCTCCGAAATTAGCGAGCAAGAAGATTCAGGGCTCCGGCAGAAAGAGCATTTCCAGGCGAGCAAAATCATCATCACAAAAGAAAGGATCAGTAACAGAGAGCTTCGCCATTGTTAAGGCTTCTTTAGATCCTGAGAAAGACTTCAGGGAATCAATGATGGAGATGATTGTGGAAAACAACATAAGAGCATCCAAGGACTTAGAAGAGCTTCTTGCTTGTTATCTTTCGTTAAACTCAGATGAGTATCATGGATTAATAATTAAGGCTTTTGAACAAATATGGTTCAACATGCCTGATTTGAACTTGTAAAAAAAAAAACACAATTCTTTTTTTCTTCTTTGCTTTCCTTCCCTTTTTTTGAATCTGCCATAATGTAAAAATTGTACCAGTACGAAAATTAATTACTGAAACGACAAAAATCCATGTTCTGTATATGGCACCCCGACATTCTTGATAATCTGCACTCTGCTATGTTTTTTGAATCCACATAGAGATATGATCATGTCTTTATATATGTAAAGCAGATTGCAGTTTTGTCACATTTGCAGGGAAATGGACCATTTGAAGTTGGAACAACAAACAGATAAAAAGTCTTTGTTGGGCTAAATTCACAGTTTCAGAGTTTCAGACTGCGCTGTCTGAAAGAGAAAACAGAGTTTGAAGCTGTTGTGTGTCTTAAAGTGAAGAATCCTTCTTTTCTTTTTTCTTTTTTTTTAAGATAAAAAAACTATATGAATCATTTGTTCCATGCTCTTCATTCTTCAACCTGTGTTCAGGGGTCATTTACACATCATTTTCACTGCACGACACAAATTTCATTTCATTTCCATTGGAAATAAGTGCAGATTCTAGATATTCTGCACCTATGAGACAAGAAGATATGGAATCCCACCTAGTTATTGCTTTTTGTTACACATTTTTCTTATGCTCTTTTTTTTCCCTCCTTCCCCCATAGTTTCAATTACGAAAAACAAGACTGTTATTTTGGAATGTAACGAGTATCTCGGGTTTTTAAATTAAAATGACATTCAATTCACTAATGATACAATCATTGGCGAAGACGAATACCAGAAACTTCTCTCGTGAAAAGAAGGATTTGGTTTTGAGTACTGTAACATTGATCATGAATCCCATAGAGAAAGTAAAGTCTATGTAAAAGGTTATAATATGTAATTGTTGCACACAGCTGCTAAAATGGACCCCCCATAATCAAACTTTTATTGGCACTTGGTTAATCGACAATTTTAATTATTACTATTTCAGATGTGTGCATGGAGGGGGAAAAAATCATCTTGGTCCCTAGTATTATGTTTTTAGTCCATGATATTGCGCATGCTAAACCTTTATACTTAATCTTGAAGGAGATCAAAATCACAAACGTTGTATATTTATTTATTTTGGGTACAAAAACCTTGAAATAAAGGTAACATAATCACAGATCGTACATTCATACTCAAACCAATTCTGATTTAATCATGGTGCAAGAGAAATTATGTATTACTATGAGTTTGATGTCGAAATCTCAAGGTCACGTATTTCTTGCCACCTTCGACTGGATGATTTGAGCAAAACAAACCAAGACTGCCTTAAAAATAAGCAAATAAGATTGGAGGACTAAGTGTTTGACAAGAAAATTGTGGTGTTAGAGCTTATAAGATGTGAATGAGGGTTCATTTGAGACATGCTTTTGTTTCTACTCTCATTCTCTTGGATGTTAATTTGGACGAATCAAAACAAAAAGGCCGTGGGGATACAAAGAAGAATTAGGACCACCTTCAGGCAGGCTTCATCCTTTTAGTAATGAGGTTGTCGGAAGTATAATATTTTTTGCGAACGGGATGGGCGTCAAGTGAGGCTGTAAATATATTAATTTTATAGTTAAGAATATATCGTGTTCCAATCACATATGTAAACCTTATTAATCGAATGATTCCGCGGTGAATATGATCGGTACTTAACTTGATAATATCCACCGTCCTTAGAGACCATTTTCCGAAAAGGGGTACACCCGAATTGAACAAATAATATAATTCGTGATATATGTGTTGGTTTAAAACAGTCTTATAATATATAAGTTTTATAATAAAACAAATATCCCACTCAGATTGTGATCAATTGGGCAGACAAACCATATTTCTTTGACGTAAACACAACCAAGTTAGCATTGTAGAATTTTCATGCGTAACAGGAATTGTAATAATAATTTTCCCGGTATTTAAGCATAATAAAAATCAAGCATGCATAACAGTGTTTTGGATTGTCTGATGTGATTAGTCTGCGGAGGATACCATTAAATATTTGTCATATCGTTTTCTTGTTTTGATGGGCTTTAAAGTTAACACAAAAGACAAACTTCTTATAAGACAAAATTTAGGTATTAAAAAAAAAAGAAAGAAAGAAAAACTAATATAAGTTTGGTGAGAATTGGATTGCTTAATCGTCTAAAATTACTTTTAATTTTCATTTCATTAATATCAGTTGAGCGATTCTTAATTAGCAGTATGGATTCCTAGTGAGGACAAAACTAGCTAATTAAGTTCTTGATACATTGTCAAGAAACAACACCTACCATTTTGGTTATGTCAAGCTCAAATGTTTGTATCTGTTACGACACCACCGACAATTTTCTATAACTACAAGTCTAAAATCAACATTAATATATGAATTCTCAAGCCGATTTCGTGTGCTAAAATTGGATGCTTTGTCTCCCCTAGTGAAAGAATTTATTTGATGGAACTCAACTAACTAAATTTAATTTGGAGCACTGAAAAAATATTGATAGGCCGCCACTCCAATTAATATTGTAGGAAGAACAAATGGGCACTCACAAATGAATTAAGAAGTTAAATACTACTTATAAGACCCTCCTTCATTTGGGTAAATGTCACTTGGTAGTTTGATTTTCATACTAATCAGACACCGTTCTGATTAACTTTACAAAAAATGGAAGGAAAAAAAAATGTTTGAAGTATTTGTTTGTGGAGAAAGGGCCAGCTGGGTTGATTGAAGAAGTGAAGCGCAAGGAATCATAAAACCGTGGAATTTTGTGAGGGAGTTGATGAGAGAATGAGGAATATGCAATTCATTATTTCCTCAAATTTTGGGGATCGTTGCATGGGTACATTTTATATATATTTAGATATATATATATATATATATATAGTGGGTTTGGTTGGTTTCTTCCCCTTTGTACCGAGTTACTATATTGCAATCATTAGGAGATTGATGTTGAAGAATGAGCAGAGGAGAGCTGAGTCAAACCCTAGTGGGCAACTCTTAATTTTTGGATAGGAAGGCCGAAGAACAAGAACCTTGTCATCGGGATTGATTGGTGTTTGTCGGCGGCGCAACTCAACCAGAAGACACTGTTTGTTCAAGTGAAATATACTAATATTAATAGAAAACCTTTTCTTATATTCCGGGCAGGCATCTCATTTTCCCGTATCATTCCTCAAATTTTAAAACTTCACACGTTTAGAATATGTTTATTTTGTTTTTTTATTGTGTGTTTTTACGTATTTTTTGTATTAGGAATATAAAAAAATTTATTAAAAATATAAAAAAAAATATACTAAGATGAGATAATTATTATTTTAATATTATGAACCATTCAAAAAACAAAACAAACAAAACCTTAATTTCATTATCAGAAGTCAGAACAATCACTTTAAAACACATAGATGAAACCTAATAGTATCTCGAACTACCCATGGTAGAACTCATACATTTAGTAATGTAGTCCTTAGATGAAATGAATAATATCAAAAATTGCAAATTTCTTGCACATAAACAAATTTCGAAACACCGATCCCCGAAAACCTGTTATAAAGTTCAGAATGCGCAACAGAAAAGCTTTATTGTTAGTATGGGATATATTACGGCCCGACGCCAGCAGGGTTTGCCAAATTGATCCGGGTTCCCTTGCTTTTTAGGTCTTTTTTCGTTTCGTTACGTTACGGCGTTGCAGGTTTTGCATGTACAAGAGGACCCCCCATCCATGATTTCATACTTATACACAAATGAAAAGAAATTCAACAACAAATTAATATCCTCTTTGTTCACATTTAATTTAATTTATGCTAAAAAATAAAAATTCAAACTAGATAATAATTTTAGAACAGAAAAAATATATACGTTTTGTTTTGTATTTATTGATTTTTCTTTTAGATTCTTGTAAGAAATAAACTCATGGCCTACTAATCACAATCATTCATTTATATCATCTCCGTTCCTTTCCCTCCACCTCGACGTACATTAAAATCTTCCAAACTGAATTGTATATTAAAGGTTGACCAAAGTGTACCACCCGAAAAAATGGTCCACTTGATATTTCATTCAAAGGCCATCTTCAATAACATGCATCTTGTTGTGGATAAAAAACTGAAAAACGACAACACACAGCCCGGATGGTTAGTTCCACATTCAGAATCTGGAAATATGAATCCATTAACATTTGCAGATTTCGATCGGTCCTTTAGAAAGAGGGTGACAAATGATCCTGGGACTTGTTCTTTTCACACAGCCTAGCTAGCACGAGAAACTAGATGTAATTAGCAAGCAATGCTACGTGAAGATTAATTGATGCATATATCATCATTATCAGGCTAATTTAATTTTAGGATTGATTGGGTAATTCTACAAATTTTTAGTTACTATGAATAAACAGCAAATTAAATTAAACTTTTTGACCTGAATTATTTGTGATCATTATTTTGTCCCCACGAATTGATGGAAAATGAGAAGACCTTTAGGAAAAGGTGGAGCATCATAATTTGGAAAGTTTCCACACTATAAAGTTGTAATTGGCACGAATTAGTGGCATGCAATATAAAGCATAATTTTGCGTTCTCTGTACAGTTGCACAATTGACACCATCAATCGCAGCACGCCCAAGCCTCACAATTGTCAAATAACTAAATGTTAGACCCGTCCGATGGACGGGAAGCACATATACATAGATATTACTATACAAACAAATCAAAAAAATGTTAATATTGTATAGATTTTTGTATTTTTATAAAATATATAATAAATTCATTGAAAAATATAAAACACAAATATCGACAACACTTTACAAAACGAATACACTGGTAATTTATTTAACGCAAAAAAGATTGTTAAGAAATTAAAAAAAATGAACTTTGAATTAAATAATTATATATTTTGCAATATTTCTTGGTAGACTATATTGGTAGTCTGGGATGGAAAGGTTGGATAGGGTGGTTAAAAGATTATGATAAGGAATTTTTTTTTTTTTTTGAAAAGGTTTATGATAAGGAATGGTTACTACAGAAACAACAACCCTAACCTGTTGTAGAGACCATCCAATTTTTTAATAAGAAAAATAAAAAAAATAAAAAAAGGTTGGATATGAGGACCTTTTTCTAAAAATTTAGATTTCAAAACATTAAAAAAAAGAATAACGAATAGCCATAATTGAAGCCTTTTAATAATTTTATTCTTTGTCAGCGCCATTCTTAGCCCTGTTACATCAACCCATCACCATAGTATTTTAACTCAATTCCATATTTGAAGCTAAATTATAAAAGTTTCAGGTTGACCTAACTCCTTTAATTATTTTGATAAATTATTAATATAAAAAATTTTTTTCAGTTGCGTTTTTTTAGGAGGAAGAGATCCGTCCATCGGATTTGTAGGGATTTGGTCGAATCAATATAGAGTTTGAATTTTTTCAGTTGCGTTTTTTTTTTTGGTTTTTATTGTTTTATTTTGTGCATTTTTATATCTAGAAAATTAATAAAATGCCACATAGGATAAAATCATGTGTGGCATGTGCTCATTGACTTTAGATTCCTCTCTCTGGTTTTTGTCTTAGTATAGTATATAGATAGATAGATAGATGTATTTTGTCCCAAAAAATAATTCACGCTGAAAGTTTGATACTTGTATTAAAAATAGTACAAATTTAAAAATTTAACATGAATTTTTTTTTGACAGAAAATGACATTTTAATTTATTCTTTCTTTTTTTTCCCTTTGATTTAATCCAATCCTTCCATCCGTCTTATACCCCATTCGTGAAAATAACAAGCAATACAACAATCAATCTTCCAGCCTAATTCGAATTGCACAAAGCTTTGAGTTCAACTTATATAAGATACAGAAAAAACACAATCCTATCAATAGCCGTATTTGCTGTTCTAGAGACATCTATTCATCAACGCTTTATCATTCTTGCTCATGTATATGGCAAACATTTTTTTCAGTACAAAAAAGAAGAAGAAGTAGAAGCTTAAAACATTACATTAACATATGTCGCAAATGAGGATCATCAAAATTACAACGTGCTCTAATTATGATATTCTCGCAATAGTGCATTATATCAAAGGTATTCTCGCAACGGTGCATTATACCAAAGTTTGAGTGATGGTATGATCTTGAACTCGGAAATTTTTTGCACCCCAACAGGGTCATTTTGTTTATGTGCAATTAAATATGATTCCCAAAATATTGTGAAGAGTGGGGAAAAAAAATGACGAATGCAATTTTCTTGAAGAAAACGCCCACCGTGGGGCTCGAACCCACGACCACAAGGTTAAGAGCCTTGCGCTCTACCGACTGAGCTAGACGGGCTTCGTGACATGACACGTAAATAAAACCCCCAGAACCGACAGAAACGATTTCGTCGATTAGATGACAAAAGTTATTCGCCTAAACGTATTTCAACTCGAGTTTATAACTTTTTTAGTAGAAAAATAAACCTTAAAAAACTTAATTATGGTGACAGGAAGCATAATAGTATCGTTCTTCACTATGATAAGATGAAATTGGATATTATATGCCGAGTTAGGCAACTCAGCTCTGATTATTTGAACATTGTGTGGTTTTTTCAGGTCTTGACCCTTGCATGGGAATTTGGTGGGCGTAAGTTGATAGGACGAATATTTTACACTTAGTGCAAGGTAACAATGTGATACTCGATGTTAATGCAAGTCTTGTGTATGGAATTTGATAAATACTGAAACGAGATTAGACGGTTGAGCTTAAACATGTCTTTCGGGAGGCTAATTTTGTAATCGATTTCTTAACTTCTTTAGCAGCACAAGAGCCGCGCGGATTGCAATGGCTACTTGGTTCACCATCGGATATCAAACCGTGGTTAGAGCATGATGTAATCGGGGTAACACACTCCCGAATTGTGCTTGTATGCCCTTAGACTTTTAGCCTCTTTCTATTGCAATCAAAAAAAAAAAAAATCCAAATTATCATATTTAATTGACCGGCACTAATAATGAGAAAAACTATGAACTCGGTAATGACTTATTAGATGTTCGAAGCGGACATTTACTGCATATTAGTACTCCACTTTATTTAATTAATGCAGAGTATATTATTTTTCGAGTGACAAATCACAAATATCTCTTATCAAAACGTTTTGAACCATCTCTATGCAAAAATTAACTTAATTAAATAAACATGGTTATGAAAAAAAGTAGTTCATGCCAGTGGGGGTTAATTAATCTAATTTAATTGGGTTAGACTTTGTAGCATTACTCATTGGACATTTTGCTCGCACGTCATTTAAATTGTTAGATCCTGTCACAAAATCTTTGAAACTTTATACCAAAAATCTTTTGACATTTCACCATACCTTCTGTAGAAGAAAATGAAATGAAGTGAGGATAGCCAAGTGACTGATTGATTGATAGTTATGTTTGCGCGGCAGCTGGACTTGCCCAAATCTTATTAAACTAACATAATGACAAAAAAAAAAACAAAATTAAAGCAAAAAAGGAATCAATGTCTTCGAGCCTGTTTGGCAGAAGTGCTTGGTATCGTTATTACTTGTTATATACAGTATTTCTGTCGGTAAAAAATAACTTCACATTGCAATTTATGAATTGTTATATTAAAAAACGTCATAATTTTCAGATACTAATAGTAAACGGAGAAATATTATATAGATCTTGTTGTCGTCCCGCGAAATCTGTCTTAATTACTCACATGTCTGTCTATACACACACTCGTCATAGGATAGCTCCAAATAGGCAAATTGTTGTCCCAAATTTACAGTAATCATTTACGATGCTGGGTTTCAAACCACAAACCAACCAAGAAATGAAGTCTTAATCAGAAACTGATGGGACCTAGTTACGAAAGGGTTTGGTATTGAGGAATATTTCAATAGGATAGCACACGGGGAGATGAATTTTACACAATGAAATCACTCAATAAATGATACTTACAACAAAAGTCCAAAAATGCAACCATAAGTTTCATTTTCTAATTGAATTGTGTAATTAGTGTTCGTCTCTTTCTCGACCTTACTGTTAGCCTGAAGCTAAACTGCAGGACCGCCCTACGACCGACCGGCGTCCGTATAATAAAACTTATAAATAGCTTATCCTTTTTGGTCCAGCAGTAGGGGTTTTTTTTTTTTTTTTTGATGTGTTGATCATGATTATATGAACTCGTGCAATTGCAATTTTTTATCATCATTATTAATAGTAGTATAGTACCCATGGAAACGGTGCTTTTGATATTGCCTTATGCATCATATTTATTCCACGATTCAATACAATTTTTAGGACCACTAGGCCTTCAAAAAGCTTTGATTTCAGACCATTGAGGAAAAGAGAAAAAGAACCAAAAAGGCAGGCTAAACCCACGTTCACAACTAAGAAAAACCACAAAGACAATGACTTTCACTTAACACACTCTTGTCTTGACTTGTTTATTTATATGCAATTGCTATTATACATGCTGGAGTTCTCCAACTCCCATCCAGAATCACAAACTCTAAGGAACAAATGAAGACATTGTTTTTAGTCCTTTACTCCCACCATCACTTGTGATTCGCATGCCGTTTATGGGCCGGGAGGCTTTCTTGCTGTGAACTTTACAAGGATCTTGAAAACCAATTTGTTCTACTGCACCGACAGTCTTTGACAAACGTCGCCTGCTGACTTCCTCGACTAAAGACCGATGCAGCAGTTGGCTTCGCATATCCACCAGGGATTGGTTCCTTGTCAGTTTACGCCTGTCGGTTATGTTGTTACTACTGCAAGGTGTGAATGCTCCCTTAGAAATAAGCATTTCTCTGGAGAGCTTGGAGCAGATGGACTTTCCAGCATTTGAATTCCCAACAGGGCAGAACCTGGAAGAGCTTTGAGTACTTAAAATTGCCGGACCCTTCTGCCCCTTAGGGCTGACTGGAGGATCATGTTCATCAGCCGAACAATATGTCAAGTTGGAATAGTTTCCAGAACGCAGAGAGCTCTGTGAGCTGGCATCGTCAAAGATGTCATCTACACAAAGACTCAAATTATCTTGCATCAGTGTCGGAATAAAGGACAATCATTTACCTAGTGAACATCCAAGATTGCAATCAAAATTCCCATACAGAGTAATCTCACAACCCCACGGTCAGGCAATCAATCATCTATCTCATTTTTAAATTAAGACTTGGGATTTCCTGCCAATTTCAAATGTACGATGAACAAAAAACCAAGGAATGAACATTCAAGGGCCGCAATAATAAGTAAAGGAAGTACCTTGAAATAATTGGCAATCACGACTCTTTTCATCAATGCCTTGAGAAGTGAAAGCACCAAAGAGTGAGACTTGCGACGATGAACAAGATGAGAAATCATTGCATGGAGGATTGTGATCGTCATCTCCCTGATAATCAAGGACATGGTAGTGAGTTGGCTGAGACCAGCCCCATCTCTTGGAAGCTGGTATGAGTCCAGAAATCTCTCCTTCGATCATATCTGCAATCTCAGATGGCGTCCAGTCTATGATATCCAATTCCCTCACCATTTCGTTTGCAACACCAAGAGGCGTATCAGTCGCAATGTCAAATGGGAAATAAACATTCCTAGAAGCACCTGTCACAGGAAAGAAGCATATGGTCCATGGATCCCTTATGAAGAGAAAACGATTTTTGGAATTTCAAATATGCTCGTAACTAAATATTTCACAATTTCCAACTCCAAAAGACCTCACACTACCGAAATATCATATTTTCACAGTGGAGCAATGTGTGGCTCCACGAATGAAAATCAATCTCAGTAAAAGCAGAGAACTTTCATTAATGAAGAAGTTGCAATTACCTTCTTTATCAGTAATCTGCACTTTAAGGAAGATGGTATCATCTGCGGGATTCAATTTCCCTGTTATGGTCATGTTTGTCTTCTGTATATCATCATGCAACTGAAGGTCCTCAATTCCAATGTTGTCGTTCAGTATAGCTTTCTGAATTCCTAACCTTTGAATTAGCTCATCATCAGCATGATCAACCGCAAGAAATGGATCCAGCATCAATTCCTTGGCAGACAGTCTCTTTGATGCAGTCTCCAAGCATTTCCCAATAAATTGCTGTGCTTGCAAGTCTTGAACTTTGTAGAATGCTCGAGGTTTTTTGCCCTGAATGAGGAAATCTAGTATAATTCAGGATACCGTTAACTGAACAAAGACCAATCTTCCAAGTGACAATCTAATCTTACCAATGTTACTTTCTTGTAAATTTGGGCTGGATTGGCACATTCACTATATGGATATTCAGAAGTGAGCATCTCCAACATGCACATGCCAAATGAGTATACATCAACCAGTTCGTTATAGTTCTCCTCATAGAGTTCCGGTGCCATAAATTCCGGAGTTCCTACCATAATGAAACACACAAAACTTAGCTGTTGATAAACATAAATCATTCTTTCACACATTATCCTACAAATACCCTGGGAAGCTTCCAATGTGGAGGACCAAATATAACTACAACACCAACATCAAATGACATTCAGTATTTAAGCAAACTTGGATTTGGCTGCCATTCTCTCTAGTCACATGAAAAGATCACTATGATTGAACAAACATTGGCAACTCGAAATTCAAAATTAAGCAGCTCATTAGTTAACATTGTACATTCTCAGCAACAGTTAAGATAAAAAGAGATCACAATGTCAGTTAGGTGCAGCAAGCAAGCATACCTATGACACTATGTGCTCTTTGACAACCCTGAAGGACGGCTGCTAAACCAAGGTCACCGATCTTTACTTGCCCAAGATGACCATTGACAAAGATGTTATCGCATTTCAGGTCTCTATGGATAACTGGAGGATCATGACCATGCAAGTAAACAAGGCCTTCAAGTATTTGGCGTGCCCAAACCTTTATAGCTCGAATGTCCACCCTCTTATACTTCTTCCTATACCTACATATAATCCATCACATCACTGTTTAGTATCATAAAATGGTATTTGATGCACATGTGGTTGATATTTTCAGCCTGAATGTTATATTCTGCTACTAAAAAAATAACTCATTCTAATGCAAAGAATAGAGAAAAAAGCTTCTCTTCTGAGCAAAAACATTTCACAGACTGTCGAAATAATGAAGTAAAAGAATGAACTGGAAAATAATGTCCATCAGAAAAAAGAGAGATTTATGATCTTTGGCATTAAGATACGTGATAACCACTAGCAATGGACCATTTTCTACGGAAGTCCAGAAATTCTTGTTGTAACATTGGCCACTATCCTCAAACATGTAACTAGCTGGCACTAGGGATTGGATTTTTGACTTTGCAATAGGCAGAGAGAGTGGTGCATGGTGAAAAAGTAATTACTCTCTGAGGGTACAATTAAAGGTAATGAAAATTCTTCTGTTCATTTCCTAATGAGTTCCTACTTCCTAAAATTAAAATATAGAGTTGGGAAAAAGTCATTACTCTCTGAGGGTACCCGAAGTGAACATTTCGGTGATGAAATTAAAGGTTCTTTTATCAACATCGATCCAAGAGGTATAAAAGTTGATGATTGATGGATGGCTAAGGGTACTGAGAAGGTGCACTTCAGAGTAAAGTCGATGCAGGTCCTCTGCTGATCGGAGCAAGTCATGTAGTTTCACTTGGCTCCATGCTACTTCCATTCCAAGAACTTCATCAATGGCCCTGTACACTATTTTCATTGCTCCTTTCCCCAGAATTTCATCGAACTATCAATAAAAAAATATAGGAAAATATCAGGGCCTGGCAGAACTAGAAAATCCAGACAAGGACACAATTGTTTACTGTCAATTGGATACCTTAAACTAATCAATAATTCAAGACCATAGCTTTTTGACTTTAAATTAACTTAATCCTGCAGACAGAGAAGTATAACTAATAAACTATATTCAATACAACCCATCCCAATCAAGCGTTCTTATATTAATCAAACAAACATTTGACTTTTGCAATCATAGCTTTGCTCGGCTAATCCACTTCCAGAGAGAAAAAAAAAAAAAAGGTTGCATGCATGATGCAAGCTTTTGAAATCTTCAGCAGACAAAACAACGGCTATCCCTTAAAGAGCTTATTCGAAGCTATATTAAATTCAAACACTCATTTATGCAACATTTTACATGTCTATGAAAGGGGAAAAACTCAAAAAGGAACAACATGTAAAACTCAATCGAAAAGAGGTAAATTGAAAAAGACTGAAAAAAAAAAAGAAAAGAAAAGAAAGCAGCTCTAATTAGAACTTACTCGACCGTAACGCCCAGTTGGGTCAGTTTCAGCATAGCCATGATCCTCCTCTGCTTCATCACTTCCATCTTGTAAGCTTCCTCTATGCATGTTCTTAATCTAATTCTTGTTCGACTAATTTCCTTAATTTTTTAATCGAGGCTGGAGCTAAAAAAAACAGTAAAATGGTTTCTGTTGAAGAAGCTGAAATTTGAAGTGGATTTAGACCAATATAATATTAGGACGTAAAATTGAGGAATAAAAATTTGGACTTTTGGACAGGGGAAAAGGGTTACAAACACTGGGGAAAAGTAGAGGAAAAAAGATGAAAGAAAGGTCTAAATCCGAGGCTTTCCTTCATGGTTTTCGTAGGAGAAAACACCAAAGAGAAGCCAAAAAAATCTGGAGTAGTCAATACTAAGCCTGATGGAAGCCATCATCTTCACAACAAGGGCTCTCCGTGAAAATTCTTGGTAATTGGGATTCTTCTTAGAAAGCATTTTTTGAGTTTGAAATGATTTGGGGTTGAAATGGATATGACCAAAATGAATGGATACTGATTAATTTGGATTTGACAGCAGCAAAGATTAAAGAGTGAATGGGACAGAGACCCGCAACGCACAATTTCAAAAAAAAAAAAAAAGAATTCGATCCAAATACTTAGTCTTAAAAAGTGGGCAGAGAGTACTTAAAAACGGCAGTAAAACTAATTGATGAAAAGAGGAACAGAGACATCATTAGAGTTGGTTAGTAAAAATCTGAACTTGAAGAATCTGTGGCTGCGTTTTGCTGCTTCCATCTGTGGCTACTAATTGATAATCGGGCTTCCAAGAAACAGAGAATCTGAAGAGAATAGATTGCAACAACAACAACGTAAGAAGGAGAAAGAGATTGCGATGGAAGGAGAGGAAAGTTGCAAAGAATGTATTTTTGGGAGTATACGGAATTCCTGAGGAATGGTGGTTTTTGGGAGAGTCTTATTTCTAGTATTTGTTGAATACGGTGTTTTGTTGTCCACTTGGCGGGCTGCTCCTGTGTGGGTTGCTGGCACATTTGTATTGAATCCTCTGCGGCTCTCTTTATTTAAGGTGGTGTCATCTCATCTCATCTCATCTCCTCTCTCTCCCTCTCTTTTTTGCCGTTTACTTTTCACAATAAAGAGAGGTCAAAATCCAAATTATAACAAATTTTGATAATACCAACGGCATCATGTTTCAACCACCAGTAAAGAACCGACCTAGTCAAACTAATAAATCAACAGCAAAATGTGTTACCCGATAGTAATATGTATCTCGGGTTAGATTAATTTTCATTCGATTCAGGTAAATTTTCATTTCGGTCTCATTTCAAGGAAATAGGCTTAATCTTCCAAGACTGGTAACAACTAGTGGAATTAATGAAGTGAATTGAAGCAACTTCATTTTGCTTTGCGTAATTTGTAAAATAGATTAAAATACCTATGAATCCTAAACCTTATCAAATCCTTTTATACGATAATCTCTTTTAACTTCACACATATTGTTTTAATAAACAGTCAAAAATTCACTAATTATTTATAATTTGCAATGACAAAAAATCAAAGAACACGCAATAAAGGATAAAATGAGGTAATTATGGCTGAATTTTTTACTTTTTAATGTGATCATTTCTTTTTTGTCCGTTTTGTTGTGATCGGGCGGCCGTGGTTTTGATGTTTTGGATATTCTGGTGGAATTTTTTAGTTTTCTTGAAGGCCCAAATATAGACTCACATGTGATTTCACCTTAAAAACCAATTAGTGATGAGGGGAGTAGCACATGGGGTATATATGTTGGGTTTAAGTATTTCTTTCCATTCATGTGGGACAAGGGAACACGGGGCATATCCATTCAACACGCCCCTCTTAAGCCCAATGGGCTTGGACGGGTAATTTTTATATTTTTTTTTAGTACTGCGATTGGTTATTTTCTCGGATAAACCGTCGCCTGCCGACCAGTCAAAGTTTAAAGTCAAACCCCGAATTTCTTCCGTGAGTTGGTCAAAATTTCAAGATTCAATCTGAGTCATTCCATCTCACCCTACAAGTCTCATAAGTCCGCGGATTAAAACCCGCTCTAATACCATCTTTGAGGTCCAAATATAGGGTGACATGTGGTTTTACCTCAAAACCAATTGGTGATGAGAGGAGTAGCACATGGGTATATATGTTAGGTTCACTCCTACTATCCATGTGGGACAAGAGAACATGAGGCATATTCATTCAACAGGTTTTAATTATTTTATTTTTTTTTTGCGAAATTTTCTGGGATAATTTTTTGGGCTTTTGTACGGTAGTTTTTTTTTTTTTTTTTGGAGAGGGGGATGGATGATGCCATTGTTTTTTTTTTTTTTTTTTTAGTTTTTGGTGTGATCAGATTTTTGTCCATCAACATGCTCCTGAATTGGACAGTTTCATGGGTGTTGAAACCAGTAATTTTACTTCATGCAGCTTGATCTTGTTTTTGTGTAGCTTAATTTTACTTCGTGTAGTTTTTTAAGGATATTTTAGCTTATTTAAGTAATTGTGCCAAGTAAATTTAAATTGCATTTAGTAACATTAATAATCAGCAGCAAAATGTGTTACCCGATATAATATGTATCTCGGACTTAGGTTAAATTAATTTTCATTCGATTAAGATAAATCTTTTCATTTTGGTCCTTTTTTCAAGCAAACACGCAAGTACCGCACCATCTATTCGACTGGATTCGATCTCTCCCGATTAGCACTTTTTTTGTATATATTACTTTACATTATTAAACTCGATACGTAAATAAAAGAAGACGGGCTTCATCATTTATTAGATTCCTGCAATTGTTGGTTTACATTCCCTTCTCTAAAACCGTATTAATTGTGGCGGGCAAGTTTGACTTCTTCTTCTTTTTCTTTTTTTTTTTTTAACTTTTCTAAAAAATTCTGATAATAATTGGAGGGTTATTGCGGTACCACTCTGGATTACGGAATTAGAACCGTATCCAAAAGGACCAAAACTGGACTGACGACTTCTTTTGTGTAGGGTCTGATTAAAGTAATGCACGGGTTTATTTATTTATTTTTTTAATGCAATACTTGTAAGCTGTAACAATCACAATTGTTTGATTCAAAATGTCAATGACTATGAGAACAATGTACTTATTTGTTTAATTTTTAAGTTTATTTTTTATGGACGTTTGGCTTGGTTCATTTTTAGTGATGACAAATAGACAATCGGTTGAACTTTTTTCTTTTTCTTTTTTTCTCCTTTGGTACAATCTGTTGAAACTTTAACATCCTCGTAGTTACTAAAAAACAATTTTTATAGTTTTATCCTTTTTTAAAAAATATAATAATAAAATAGCCCGGTCAAGTTTTAAGCGGTACTAAGAACAATTCTCCTAACTTAACAGTTTGAGAACAGTTTCTGTAGATTGTGGAGGATAATCTGCAAAATGGAGGATGGTATTGATCAATTAGTTGTATGTTATAAATTGAGAGGGGATTGGAAGAATTGGAAATCTAAGGCTACATTTGTTTCGTTTTTTAATGTGTTTTTTTAGGAGTTTTTTGTACTAGGAATGTAAATAAATACATTGAAAATGTAAAAAAGGTATGTTGGAATGAGACAGTTATTCAACATATATTATAATTGTAAAATGCAAACTTGACTTTGGTTGTCCTTTTTAAGTATTAACTATGGGATTTTTTTACCCTCTTTTTCAACCAAGAAAAATAAAAAGGTTTTATGTGTTACATTTGGTGTTTATTTAATGCTCTTACCTTTGATCTCCTTCCATTAATTTTTCTTTTATTTTCAATTTAAAGAGTTTATGTGTTACATTTGTTGTTCTTTTAATGTTCTAACTTTTGATCTCCCTCAATTAATTTTTTATTTTATTTATAATTTAAACTTATTAACAAATTAATGTTCATTATTAGTTGAATTTTGATTGGCCATAGTTTCAAATATTTTTATAGATTTGAATTTTTCTTTTCTTTTTTATATGTCTTTTCTTCTTCTCTTTTTTGAATTTTAAGATTTTATTAATGAGAATTTGAAAGATTATTCCATAATTAAGATAAAATACTAAGAGTTTTGTAATTTAAATTTGACAACATGTATAACTTCAAAAATAAGATTTTTATCACTTTTTTTGTCCTTTCAATTGTCTGTTTTCTACGCTCGATGACCTTTTTATCCCAAACTCATTCAAAGTAATCACCTACTCAAATTTTTACTCACTTCTTGTGAAACTTCCAGCTTCGATTTCTTTTTCCTATTCTTTTTTTTTTTATTTAGGAGAGAGGGGACAATGGGAGATTGTATTAAAAGATTGATTGTATTATATTTTTCACTTTGTGTACGTGTGCCGTCTTTTATATATATATATATATATAGAGAGAGAGAGTTAGAATACTATTTGTATTTACATTGAATTATACAGGATGTTTTTCACTATACTATAGTATAGCGCGCGTGCGAAGTGCGTTTATTCCATCTAATATTACATTATTCTGGAAAAACACCCTTGAAAGAAGAAATGACAATGTGGTATAATGTTATTGAAACGTTACATCAAGAAAAAAAAAAGAAAAAAGAAAAAAAAGAGAGACATAAGTATTTGTATTATAGTAGCTAGATTGTATGTTTATTGTACAAAGATGCAAACCAAACGAATGTAAGAGTTAACCAAATTAACGAATCCAGGGTTTGATTGCAATTTATGAAATTGGTCATTTTTTCAAAGAATATTTCCTCAAAAACGGACTCTCTTTTTCAGTTATGAAAATACTACAGTCCGACTATTAATGAGATATGTGACTACTATAAACATATATTCAAACACCCATTTTCTCCTTTGGATAAAGCAAGTGAATTGACTTAAGAACGCAACCTTCACCTAATCCATAGCAAACATGCATTGGAAAAATAACACAAATCCATCTCTATACGTTGTTATATTATAAAAAACACCCAAAAAAATATAAAATAAAATGGGATGAAAACTAACATACAATCTACACTAGTTGTCCTTATATAAGCCCACGTTACTACGTTCTTTCAATTTGATTGATAGTATTTCACAATAAATAATTAATAATCTAGTACAGATTAATTTAAAGCTAATATCTACTACACTATTCAAGATGATACAGTATCAATTTTAGTAATCCAATTAGCCAATAATTATCAATCTAGTAGGTGATTATTTATAGTGGTTATCATGAGTTTGGTGGCAATCATCCTGCACCAGTTGATTATTTATTTATATGAATTCTTGTCGTTTTTTTGATGTTTTCAAACTCTGCTGGTCAGAGGTGCAACGCATAAGACGTGTAATTATACGTCAGTCAGGGACTTAATAATTCACAAAAAAAGGAAGAAAAAAAAACAATAATTTGTCTTTCCAGTATAATTTATATGCATTATTTGGTTCATGTATATTTCATTTATAATGTCTACTTCGGTAGTGTCAAATTCACTGCCCCGGATTTGATTTCAAGAGTAAGTTCATCGTCCCAACCACCTACGTTAAAAATTACAATATCTTTGTGTATGTTGGTCCCCTCATAATTTCTTATTGCCATTAGCAATGAGTACATATTTTAAGATATATATTTTTCCTCCCAAAATAATAATTTACATTGTGAATTACTACCCCCGTCCCACAAAAATAAACCACATTGAATTTTAAGGTTTGTACTGTTTTTAGTACAAATTTGAAAACTCAATGTGGATTTTTTTTTTTTTGGGACGGAGATAGTATATTATTTTAGAAATCAATTTATAATTTGTAATATAGACTATCTTTGCAAAACAAAGAGAATAAGTAATATATAATGATATACACATATCCCTCCGGTGTAATAGAAGAGTTGTGTACTTTTAAAACTTGTTAACCAGAATGTTAATTCGTTTAAGATCGAGTGAGAGAATATGAGCGCAGACTTTATGCGTATACTAAGATATTAATTATGATTGTAACCCTAAACTTTGGATTCTTTTAGGTTAAATAATTTCCAAAATATCTAAAAGAAGATACACTTGTTCTATTATTATCTTGAACTATGTTTTTATATTTTAGATCTGAAATATGCAATTTACCTTCATCAAGTCTTTAACATCGTATGACTTTGGACATCTAGTTAAAAAAAAAAAAAGTCGTTAACATCATCGTTACGTGTCGGATCTTAAAACTACTTGGTCAAAATTGTGATGCCACTATGATCAGTATTAACAGCAGTAAATAATAAGAGCGACATAGTGATCACTTGTTAATTGATTATTACCAGTATATTATTGTTATCATCCAAATATAGATTTCAGCGAGGGAGAAAAAAAAAGAAAGAAAAAGAAGAAGTTGTTTGAAGACACGAAAAACAGTAAATGTGAACAAAACAGTAGTCCAAGAAGCAGGCTAATCTTTGTCGCAGCTCGCGAAGCGCTAAAACCTCCGAGTCAGCACGTCGAATTCAGACTATCCAGGTTCTTGATGTTTTGTTACAGAGCTTGGATCATCCTGTGCGTAATTTTTACAAACATGGTTCGCACTACAGTGTTGCATGCAAATGAAATGATATACACCATTTGACGATTAATATTTCTTCCGTCCAGTACAACAAACATGAATGATAAATTGTACTAGAAGTGAAATTTAAAACTGGACAATAGTTTTAGGACAGAGGAAGTAATATTTCTAAGACAGAAAGACAATAAATATTAGTATCGTCTTATTTTGAAAAAAATTGATTGGTTAAATTTGATTTCAGCTTGAAAGTTAAAAGTATTAATGGATGAACAAGTAATTTGATGATTTCTTTTTTTTTCCCCCTAAAAAAGAAAAAAAGTAATTTGATGTTATCTTTCACTATTTGAATTAATTAACTGATTTAGAAGTGCAAACTGTGAATTATTTCAGTAAACGGCCGGGTTTTAACTCGGTAACTAGTGGAATTTTACGAAATCGTGACAATTATAAGTTGATATCCAATCAGGTAATTCTTTTTTGTTTATAAATTTATATCATTGTAAACTTCTTGCTGCTTTTAGTTTCTGTGTTGCGTTGGACTTGCAATAATCTTTTCTTCAGAAGTACTGCCTATCATCTCTATTGTTTTGAGAGGGAGCAAGTGTTAAGTAAAATCTAAAATAAATCAAGATCCCTTATGACAAGGATTGGAGGGAGTATTATTTTACTGACTGTTGATCCTTTTTAATTCTTCATTTCTTGGTAGAAGTAATGAAATATACTAGTCTTACACACAGTGAAACTGCTCTTAGAGATCTCAAAAGGCAAAATTAACTACCTCATATGAACATAAAACATCCTGCTCACTCTCAATAATAAATAATTCAGCCATCTCTGACTTTATGATGTACTTTCGTGAATATTCAGTTGTGTTGGTTTATTAATCATATAATCCTTTTACTTTTGCAATTCTGGATTTGTTCAATCTCAGGCTATTTGGACTTTAGTTTTCCCAAGGTTTGGTTCTATTTTTAATACCACATATGACTCTTTGCTGCAATGGTTCATTGCTTGGATTCAGACAGATCCATCTAAATAAGATATAGACTTCTTCCTAATCATTATTTGAAGGATATGGTTGGAATGAAATGATAAAATTTGGAGGAATCAATGTAATGATCCGGCGGTGTCAGTCTTCATCAACACAACCAATCCAGAATCACAGCTAGAAGATCTTCCAATCACCAACACCTTAATAGGAGTCCGATGGATGCTTTAGTCATATTTGATGGTTCATTCAGTCACCAATCAAGGAAAGCAGCTAGAGCATGGAAGATAATTTCACCACATGGGATGGTGATGCAAATCAAAACGGTGGATCTAAATGTGCTTTCTCCTTTTCAGTCGGAGGCAATGACATGTCTTCTGGCTTTGAAGGAAGCAGCAAATTTGGCTATCACTAGTCTTATGATGTATACGGATTGTGAAACTCTTATCTGAGATTTGTAATCCCCTGATATACCTTCGGAGGCCCAAGAGGTGGTCTCTTTATTGAATAGCATTATTTTTTCTTTTCAGTCATGTACACTGAATAAAGTGAGTAGACAAGATGTAGAATTGCATAATCTAGCATATAATAGAATATGTTGTAATAGCATAGATATCTTTTCTTAATATACAGGTACCTTTTTAAAAAAAAAAAATCTCAAGCTCAAGGGGAAAGAAAAAAAAAATCCTGGTCAAAATCTTCCTTTGTTTTTGGGACGTGTTGATGGCTTGATGCATACAACTTTTTTATTTTATATCACGTCAGAGCTGGCTCAATGCGAGTTGAGACCTCAAGCGAAATTTAATTTTTGGACCCTCCAATAATCAGATTTCAATAAATAAAAGTTTCATTAAAATACTTTATACAAATAATTTTATTAGATAACTAAAATACTACATACTTTGCACGTCCAAATGTTTACGGTAGTATAGTTTTTTACTATTTTTAATAATTATTATTATAAAATAATTCTAAAAAATAATTATAGTTAATAATATCTTAAAAAATGAGGCTCTAAATATGAGGACTAAAGCCTTATCTTTAGTAGCCTCTCCCCTTTGTATTACGCTATTTTTGTTGGACTGAAGTCTCATTACAGTTACTTCCTTTTTCTTTGTTGTTTTTTTTTTTCATTTTTCAATATCAATCATTTCTTTTAATATGTTTTCTTTATTTCAAAATAATTATCCAACGTAGATTGGCTTATAAATTTAGTTTCACCACATCAAATGTGTGTAATGATGCACCTATATGATTGAGGGTTGGAAATGATCTTGCTTTATAGTAGTTGTTTGTGTACTACTTAGATCATGACGATTTTTGATAGTGCAGCAGCTAAACATCAATTCGTGTCTCTGAAGTCTGAAATATCTTTTAGTTCATCATTCTCTAATAATAATTCAATTTGTTTGATACTTTTAACTACAAAAACTATCATGACGAATTGCACTAACAATCAAGTTAACAAACCAAATCTACAATATTTCATAATCAAACTATTCACTACAATTAATATTTGCTTAGTTCCATATCATTTGTTGGAAATAGTAATAAAATATATAATTGAGGAAATCAAGAGAAAATCCCAATTTACGACTTATATTATACGCGCTCCTTTTTTGGGTATATAAGGTGTAACATCGGAAATCATTGTTGCGAATGGACAGGGTCCTTTCTAAAACTAACAGCAAAAGCAAAGGGAAAAATAGCGCTAAAAATTAATGATGGGGAAAAAATGGGTGGTCAGTTTTCCAACATTTATTCTGTTGTATTCTTGATGATGTTGATTGTCCATTTGTTTGTGCAATTGTGGACTTGCGAGGAGTTTTTTGAAGTTTAAACCCCACGAGTTTTGGATGATGAAACTTCGTGGATCGCAAAATTCCGACTGTTCCAAATCATCATCATCGCCATACTGCAGCCACCACATCGAAGCCCACAAATCAACGTTGAGAACGACGGCAACACAACTTGGGCTTAGGCTCATTGAGAATTGCCGGATAGTCCAAATACGCTCCTTCACAATATATTTCATTTTCCAGTCCTCCGGCCCACCCTGCTGGGGTCAATCCTGATCAGAGAATTAATGCAGCTATAAGCTTTGAAGATTCTTGATTCTTCTATTAACGGCTTCTTTTTCTCTACCGGGCCGGGAGCCTTTATCCCCACTGGAATTGAAAATGTAGAATTCCACGCTTGTCATGAGAAACAGAGTTTTAGCTGTCGCATTTTAGTACATTTGTTCTCATGAGAAGCCAAGTATACAGAGAGACCAAAGTCCAAAGTAACACAATTCCCAAATCATAGCTTGGATTGCATGGAAAGATCGACTTGGGATGAAGCAAAGATTACACAAGATGAATATTCAAGGCGGACGGTCTGAATGGTGTGATTAGAGAACAGTTTAAAGTAAGTTCTCTGAAGTTTTATGGGAAAAAGGTTCGAATATGGCTGGAATCAAAGAAAATCACCAACAAGGATAGACGAATGGCAAAGGGAGTTTGATTATTTAACGCTTGAGAAAATAGCAAAGCTAAGCAGAAAGTAGACTTTAGCGGTGTAAAGATTCCAAAAGGTATACTTTAGCTGGTTTTAAGAGTTTTGGAATGAGAAGTGAAAAAAGGTGTGCATAAAATACCATTGTAAACAATGTGACTATGTGAGTGCATACCAACCCTCAGGCCCTGGCACTACCTACATTGTTAAATCTTCTAACCTTAAAATCCAAACAAATTCTCATCTCCTGTCTTTTCCAAACCCCTTTACTAATTCATCAGCATTTGATTTCCAAAAATCAATATAAGAGAGAAAAAAAAAAAAAAAAAGGTACTTTGATAAAGTTACAAAACATTTTTTCGTTTAAACTACAACAACACAGCTAAAAATTAATTTAGCTGCCTAAAAACAGGTTCAAAACGAGCATCAAAATAAAACCCCAAGTTGAACTTCTTCAGCCCTAGAGTTTTTTTTTTTTTCATGTCTAATTTCTCTTCTACAGTTTGTTAACATCTAAGTTTACCACCTCGCTTTGCTGTTTCTCTATAGTCCCTATGTAATAACTTAACCTTTCTTCCTAAAAGCATTCATATGGACAGAGGGGGGAACTCAGCTTCATTCATAAGGCATAATGGCTCATCTGCAACCCTGTAAAAGAATACCAAAATGACAGCAACACAGCTTTAGATTATGTTACTCCAGATCTCGGTTTGAAGAAAACAGCAAAAAGAATAGCACAAGTGCCCTTACTTTTCTTCAACTTTTTCGAAACTTGAGGATGAATTCAAATGGCTATTGGTAACCAAGGCACTAACATTGCAGGAGGTCGATATCACTCCATCCACCAAACGTCCAATGGATCCAAATTCAATTTTCTGTAGTGAGTTGGAGATTCCATTAGCACGATTGCGATATTCCTTGCCACAGTTAGACTGGCTGGATATTCCAGACGACTTCTTCTGAGTTGGAACTGGGCCCCGAGCATGAAAGTTTTCACGACCACCTTTTGCAGAAAGGTGCACCTGTGAGTAGGTAGAATCATGGCCATAGCCATTAGAGTACTGTCTCCGCGAATGACTCCAAGATGACGACAACCTATCCCAACGTTGATACGGGCCATCCCTGGTGTAATTATCCTGCAACATCTGAAAAATAAGAGTGTTACAATGAATATTTTATTTTTACAGAATGATATCCAAGAATGAAGAAGAAAAGTAATACCATCATTGGCAAGTAAGTGCCTGTCCCTCGAGGCCTTTTACTCTCCTCGGAAGAAAAAGCAGGAGCACTGGCTGAAAGACTGCTTGCAGCTTGTTTGACGGAAGTAAAGGTCCAGTTAGTTTCAGAAAATGAGTGCTTCTCTGGCGGCACAGATTGATGGACAGCTTGAGGTCTTTGATTATCCTCAGAGGCAGAAGCAGGAAAGAAAGGTGCATAGCTGCTTGCAGCGTGTGTGAGAGAAGTATAGGTAGAGCTAGTTTGAGAAAATGAGTGCTGCTCTAGAGGCATGGATTGATGAACAGGATGCCATGAATTCTGGTTTTGGGACTGCGGCTGTGGTGACATGGGAAGACAGGGAAGTAGAAACTCTGAAAGAGCCAACTTATGGAGAAATGGACCATGTAATAAACTCCTGATATGACTGTCATAGTCACCCGTGAGGTCGGCCAGAGGATTTATAGGTTCTCCATCATCTAAGTCACCTAAGTCCTCTCTAAAATCAAATGATAATGTCTCCGAACTGTTGCTCTTTGGAGTTGAGACGGCTGAACTGCAGGAGCCATATCCATCCGAGCTATCTGAACTAGATTGAGAGGTGTCGACCATCTCCACACCAATGCCTCCGTCTCCGAAGCATGTATCAGGGACAAACTTATCTCCAACGGCATCACATGCATCAATTTGGCCACAGCAGCTTTTTGGAGTTGAATTGGACAATTTAAGTTGAGGCACATGAATAAACTGGCCCAGAGAGGAAAAACTTGGGTCACTGGTAGGGGAACTATCAGATGTTGCATTTGAAGTCCTGAAATCCACGTAGCTATTCTTCGCAAGGTCACAAGCATCCCCAATGAGATTGTATCCTGAAAGAGCTTCCTTCACTGGGTAACTGAGGCCTGGGATTATTTGGGAAGGAGCATGATTCTGTGAATTTGATGATGTCATATAAGTATAAGCCTCAGATGAAACTGCAGCAGCGGCTGAAAAGGATGTGATAGGAACTCCTGGGTGGAGTACTTGAGCAGAATCTTGCATACGGAACCCATACATGCGCTCATGCCTTCGCAGAGTATTACTGAAGAAGTTCCTAATCTCATGTGCAATTTCATCTTTAGGTAGTGAAAGTACTCGCCCAAGCTTGCGAGCCCCATATCTAAAAGCACTGCGAATCCGGTAGAAGTTTCCTGGAGCAAGTGACAATCAAGTGTTACAGAAGTGGAATAACAAAGATAAATTTGGCAACTGTATCACGCCGACACTGATACACAAATTTCAGATGGTTCAAACTCCTTAAAGACAGTTGATGTTGCGAATAAAACATTGATCTATAATGTGTAACTCTTTGATAATACAAAGATTTTAGCTTCCAAAAATCGAAGACCTCACCACACAAATATCTAAAGCCATATTCTTCCCACCAAATGGTACCACCATTGATTCAAAATTGTAGAACTTTTAGCTTACCTGATGGCTGATACTAAAATTGAACCAAGTAATTCTCATCAAGAAGTTAACCGAAAGTTAAAAGTCGATACAAAACACAAATGTACCACAAATTCCTTTAAAACATCATGACAACCGATATCACTAATCTTTAAGAATTCTGTTTGATAAAGATCCTTTACCTCTATGGACACTGCGCCCAAGGTTGTTATATTCCTTCAGAGGATCAATTATGTTGAGGTTCTTTGGACAAAACAAACGAGGGTTTGTTTCCTGGTCCGGGGATTGCATCGCGAAGATCTCCATACAATTTGCCAAGAAGTCTTCACTAAGCAGAAAACGGCTCCGTTCTTCCTGTGGCATCTGAGCTGCAAATAGAGAAAAAGATGAATGGGGAAAGATAACATTTTCTTATTGTCAAAAGCTCAAACAAGCTTAAAGAGATAGGAAGGGAGAACACAGGCAGAGACAACAAAAACAACCGATGGCAAGCATAAAAATATCAGATTCATATATTACAAGCACTAAACACTTAAAGATAAGAGGGGTAGAAAAATGCAGCTTACCAACAATTTTAGGAAGAGATGACTTGTAAACTGGACCTTTCAAACTGACACAATAATTGTCCCAATCAAACTTGCTGAAGTAATCCAAAAACTTATATAGAACCTGCACATGCCAAGTAAAGTATGTCAAGTCAAGACAGTTTCAAAATTAAGTGCATAAAATGTCAGCATACAAAAGATTACCGCTAGAGGTCCATCTAAAGATGAATGGAATAGATGGAAAATGTAGAGAATCAGTGTTTCCACTGCATATGTAGACAGAAGACCATGATGCGCACCAAGAATACGGCTTTCATAATAGCACCAAGTTTTTATCAAAATAATGCTACGTTTAAAGAGGTGATCCTTTCCAATAAGCCGATCAACCTGTTTAAGAAGAATTAAAAGATAAACATTTAGAATGATTTCATCAAATGCGAATTAAGTAAAAAGAAGGGCAAGAACAAAGGAGGAAGCATGACAACAAGTTTAAGTGAGAAATAGAAGTCCCAGCTCCAAAAGCTAAGTGGAAAAAGGTTGAAAGCAGTAGTATTTGCTGTTTACCTTCTCAAGAAAACATAGCGTACAAAGGCCTCCAAACTGATTGAAGGATATATCTATAACAATATTGGCTACAATGCATTTCACTATTTTGACCTGCCAACATAGACACAATTGTCTCAGATAAAACACAGTTTCGGTAAGGAAATATCTGTGACAATCGCAAATATGCTTAAATATCAAACAAGAAAGAAATCAAGAAATAATATCAGTCTGAAATGCACCTTCCGCATTTGTAGATATCAAAAGATTTACTGAAATTAACTGCTTCCAATAACTTGAAAGAGAAAAACTAAGATTTTGCTCATTATGAGACTCCAGAACAAATAGCAGAAATTGGGAATGTTTGTATATTTTAACAACAGAGAGGGCACGCCAACAAACGGAAACTGCATACTTGGAAATAGCAAAAAGTAACTTCTAATCTTGAACTATGTGCGAGCTTTAAAAATATATTACATGACTCAACAATATATTAGTGAGAAACATATCACAGAACACTCATGATAAGTCAGCCAAGGGGATATGCATAATCCTTCCTGAGGAATATACTCTCACAACAGTCTGTTCAGCTAAACAACAGGAACATATATATTGCAATTGAAAAAGTCATTGAAGAGCCACAGATATTCATCAAAAGAATAACGACCTAGCTCACCACTATAAATAAACTCAAGCAAGAACTCAATTAAGGTCACATACAGCTCAAGATAAAAGCATCAAAATTTAATGACCTCAGCGTCAATGAATTGGGCATCTTTCACTACAAATTCAGCATTTTCATCATTCTCTTCCTTTTGAAAGACAGAAAGAACATCAGCTGCCCAAGAACCACCAGTAGCAGGAGGTCGAGGCCAACACAGTATGGTCAGGTCAATATCTCCATCAGGAAGATATGTCTTGAGAGGAACTGAACCATATGAAAAGACCTGTGAGGTGCACACACTGTTAGAAAAACTTGCACAAAGTTAAAGAACACACACACACAAAAACATTAGAAAGAATTCAACAGCAGAGATCATATGAAACAGTTAGAATCACAATTTTGTGGCATAAATGCCCGTCAGATTTAGAATACTATAGATGTGCTGGCTGTACAAAAATGGTGATAACAAGAATATAAAGAAAAAATTCATGAGCTGCAAGCTTTATAGCTTAAATCTATTCCCCAAAAATCAACATCAACAGAAAGATGCAAAATTGCATAGGGACACTACCCGAAAAAAATAAAAAACAATAATAATTAACAACAAAGTGAAAGGACAAAAAAGTTCCTTATCGTGGCAAATCATGACAACAAAATCCCAAGTTTCAAATGGCAGATTACAAAATTTTTCAGTTTTTGCAGAAAAATGTCAACAAGCCCCAAAGTTTGTAAAGTAGAGGAGAGGAGGAGGAAGATGAAAGGCAAAAAAACAACAGAGACATAGATGATTTTCTCTCACAGAAGCAAATTGGAAAATGGAACCTACTAAAAACAGACAACCAAAATCAGTTCTATTAAAGTAATGGTCAAGTGAAACAATCATCAAAACTTTACACCTGATCTGCCAACAGCCAAGATATGATTTCTCCATTGAGGTCCTTGAATACCAGAGGAAAAAAATTTTAAAAAAAAACAAAGAGAAAAACCAAAGGGAAGAAATTCCCATGATCATTATCGTTTACACCTAGACACTGAAAATTAAGTAAAAAGGGCGTGTAGAATCACCCTCTTCTCCATAAACACCATAGTCAAGAAAACGATTTATCAATCAAATTTTCAAAACAAACAAGGAAGAACACTGTGTATTTCGTTTCCACTTGACCAAGGAAAAACTTAACTAAAAGGAGCCAAAAGAAAATTGCCGAAGTGAAATGTAAAGAGGGACGAAGATATATAGCGAATGTAGGTATGTCTGAAGACATCAACGCCCCGCCTCCTTCCTCTATTTATAGTCCAAAAGTGAAAGAGAAGTTAATATGCGAAATAGATGTCATTCTTGAAACTTTCCGATTTGGCTGTAGGGAAGAACCTACACGAAAATGTTGAAGGCTAATGATGAGGTGTAACTGAAAAAATAACCAATGACAACAACACTAAATTTTGACGCAACAAATGTGGGATTTGTCGCGACAAAAGTAAGTTTGCCGCAGCGAATCAGACAGTCCAGTAACGTGGTAACACTTGTCACGGAAGGAATGACAGCGCGTGCCCAAACGCTGGGAAGAGAATCGCCGCAAGGAATGACGTACAGTCAACGCGATCCAGACAAAGACCTATCCACAAGAAACACAAACTGTGGAACAGGAATCTTGCCTCACAATTAAGGCGAAACTAGGAATAGCATAAAAATCTCATGGCGCGTGATCAAATAAAAGAAAATGCTAGGGTCGCAACTGTTCAAATAAGAAATTAACTTTAAAAAACCTCGCTCCCGCGCGAATTTCTTTCCTTTTTCAAATTCAGTTTTTTTCCCTCCAAGTTATCAGAGGCAAAAACCAAACACCAAACAAACAAGCAATCAAAAGCTAAAATAACAAGAAAATGGTGAGTATAAACCAAGATACAGGAGAGCCAAAGAAATTCTTAAAAAAACACCACCAGCTGACTCTCACTGTCAAAGCCAACAACAACATAGACTTTCAATTACCCTGAAACAAAACAAAAAATAGTCAAATACTTAAGACCACATAATTTAAAAAAAAATAAAATATTATTTTTGTTTAATCATCCACGATGAACAATCTAAAGGTAAAATCAGAACCCCATTCATTCTCTGAATTCCATAAAATAATCATGAACCAAAAAAAAAAAAAGTATTGCCCTCTTGGGACAACAGATGGGCAGTTCTGGTGGTAAGCTGATTGGTGCAACCGGATAAACTTAGTAACAGTCACAGCCAAAAGAGGATCGCATACACGTAACGTAACAACCCATCCAGAGCTGAAACAACCTTCAAACGGGTTAAGAACACACATAACAGTACAGACGATAACAGAATATCCATCAGGGAATCATTTCTCGTCAGATGATCACAAAATTCAACATCCAGAAGAAAACGATTTTTTTAAAGAAAACGAAAACGGCCGGGAAAACGAAAACCAACTAAACAGAGACAGACAACACACAAATTGAGAACTGAAATCGAATGAAAACAAACGATCTCGAGACAAAAACACGACATGCAAAAAGAGCAGACCAAGTAAAAAACTAAAACCCGGGGGCGGAAAGAAAAAAAAAAATTGATATACCTCAAATCCAAGAGAAGCTTTAATGATCCTCTGAATGTAATCAATAACGTAACTCCTCTTCTCTTCAGTGTCCAATGTGGGGTGTACGTCATGAATCACTTCTGTGATGGTTTCCTGAGCTAAAGCCCAATTCTCCGGCTTAATTGAAGCAGGGTCCGGGTTATCACCCACGGAGCGGTCCCCCATTACAGAACCACTTGCATTCCCACCTCCTACATCTCCCATATCTAAATCACTGATTTTAATTTCCTAAAAAAAATTTTTGGTGTTTTTAATTTTTTAAATTTTTTTTGGTCTTTTTGTTTTTTTACAGAAAACAAAGCTCTGGGTTTTTGGGTTCACCTTAAAAAAACAGAGAGTCAGTCATTCCATGGTTAATTCCATCAAAGGGAAACAAAAACCCAGATACAGAATTTGATAAGGAATTGTTTTAAAAAAAAAAAGACTACAAATTGACTGTGTTTTGAAAAATGATAATTCAGAAGGGCTGCGGAAAATTGAAGGAGAGTTTCTGTTCTTGTGTGTGTGTACACTGTGTGTGTGTGTGTGAGTTTATATATGTGAAATTGGTTGGGATTTTTTCACAGCAGGATACACACATCATTATTATTAATATTAAGTGACCAAAAAATAAAAAAGAGAGAAAAATAAAAAAGAGGCAAAAGAAAGAAAACGGTAGAAGAAGACAACAACTGACAATTGTAAAAAAAAAAAAAAAAAAGAGTGATGGAGATGACCGGGAAAGGGAAGAAGAGGGAAAGCAGAGAGCACAGAAGAAGTTGTTACTTCTTCTTCAATTCTGTATTTGTTTTGTTGCGCTTTTTGCAGCCAAAAAACTGCACATACAAACAAACCATTGCCTCTTCTTCTTCTTCTCCCCCTTTTCCCCCTAATTATAATTATATTTAGTACTAATATAATAATAATTGGGTTGATGACATTATTTTTCTAGATTTTCTTTTTTCTCATGTTCCTCCGCCGCCGCCGTTCTCCGATAATGGGAAGCGGAAACATGAATTTGTATCGGTTTTTTTTATTATTATTTTTTTCCCTATATGGGTGGGGGGGTGGTTATCGTCTTCCTCTTTCTATTTCTGCATGTTTAATTTATCATCACCAATGAGGATATTTTTCAGAATTATTATGTCACTGTATAAACAGAACGGTGTCGTTTCTATGGCTGCTTGCGCTTCCACGCCGGTGATTTTTTAATACTCCTATTATTTACAAAACAATTTAAAAAATAAAAAAATCGGGAATTAAGACATCTTCCTCGGTTACAGATGATGTCTTTTATTTCTAAAATGAAAATGGAATTTCCGGGAAAATTTTTTAAATTATGATGTGGCAAAAGGATAATAATATTTAATATACGAACTATGAAGAGGATAAACTAAGGATTAGAAGAAACGGACTTCACCGCGCTCACGTGCCATGTCCCGCGTGTGGGCTCCCCATCGAGGAGTTTTTTCTGTTTTTTTCTTTTCCTTTATTGATTATTTTGAGGCGCGGCTATCTTTTTAATATGGTTTATTTACAATTTAATCACGTTAATGGTGTTTTAATTTTAAAAAGACGAACGAGAACATGAACCATGTTTGTTTCTTCAAAGGTTAAATTAGGTCAACACTCGCGAAATCCTCTCTCCATTGCCTAGTCGGTTTACATTTAATCTATTAATTTTGAAATGTTTCTCCTAGAGTTTGATCCTTCTAAGTACGGTTCAAATGGAACCAATTTTATTTTTTAACTACTATATACAGATAAATATATCTATGTTTATGAGGTGATTTTTTCAGCCCGGTATCATTTGTTGTTCGATGTACTTGTAACACTTGAATAGAAATAATAAGCAAATGCATAATCACAGATTAATTGAAACCGGTCTAAAAAGTACACTAAAGGCAATCATTAGGAATTTGAATCGACGCGATCGATATGTGAACTCTAAACGGAAAAACATCCTTAATCAACAATGCGTGACAATTTGTTATTCGATGAACTCGTAACGCTTAAATGTACACGATTAGTAAATATATGTACCTACAGATTGATTAAAAACGGTCTACCAAGTACGGTAAAGTCAACCATTCTAAAATCGAACCGACACGATCGAGGCATGTTCCTTAAGATCATCCCTAGTCGAGGAGTCAAAATTTGTTATTCAATGTATTTTGTAATATTTAAATGTACATGATCAACTAGTACGTTTAATTAAAGTTAATTATTCTAAAATTTGGATCAATACAATAAAGACACGTGCTCTAGTCAAAATAACATTAGTGTCGTTTGATCATGTTAATAAATTGATAAGATGAAGTTAGAAATAATTAATCAGTTCGATTAAATCAAAAAGTATGTTATAATACGTATTTGAATATCGATATTTTTAAAATTCTGTTTTTATATTTTTGTTCTTACTTTATTTCGAGACTTCTTGTGCTCTCACGAACGATTAGTATTAGCTAAGTTAGGATATTTTCACATTCATCTATAAAGTTTAAAATTTATAAAAACATGACCAAAGAGTAAAAACATAAACAATAATTCCATAGAATGAAAAAAGAATCAGCATGTACTAATTGGACCGGTGTTTGTGATACGATTTATTATCGCCACACTACTCAACAATAAGGAAACGTATTCATCAATTATATTATTTGAAATGAAATAAAAAAATTACTTACTATACTGCCACTTAAATCATTATTACTCATAAAAGAAAATTATGCCTTTTTATTTACATAATATCATTAAATATCTCATTTCAGATTCATTTTCCCGTCATTATTTAAATTGAATATAGTAAATCTCGCGGTGGATTCGGTCAGTGTTCGGAGGAAGACAGAACAATACCGCTGAAGTGGCAAATCCATTTTGGTGAGTTCAGAAGTAGTAGTAAGTAGGTACATAATTAATTTCTCAATTTTGACTAGGATGACCTGGATATCCTGGATTACAAGAATCTCTTTTTTCTCCCTTCGGCATATTTTTTATTTTTATTTTTTGTTTAAATATTAAATGTAGTAGAAGTAATTGCTTATTTCTCAACAAACAACAAGGTGAAGTAGTTGCTATAAAATCATATAAAGTTTTCCTTTTACCAAAAGAATGTTGATAAAAAAGTTTATCATTAATTTTTAGTGCGTCAGTGGACCACCGAAACATATACTCCCTTCCATCCGTTACAAAATAAGTGTCGTTTTAATAAAATAAAAAAATTTCAAAATAAGTGGCGTTCTCATATTTCAATGCACTTTTTGTCCAAAAATTCTAAAATTACCCCCAAAAGAATTAATACTATCGGTGGACATTTTTTCAATAGAGATTAGTTAAGATGTGCAAAGTGTAGGATGACACTTATTTTGAAATGGAGAGAGTACAAATAAAAATTTTCTTCTTCTGCTTATGTGTCGCCAGGGCGTCAAATTTCAATTAATTTAGTTGCTTCTTTCTTCTTTTCTTTTTTTTTTTTTGGCGGTCAAATATACCTTAACAATGATGAAATCAAGAGGTGTACTACGTTGGATGAATGTCATACATTACATTTTTTTTTTAATTTTTTTGGAATAAAAGTTATTATTATAAAATGTATCCTCAATTTTCAGCAGATAATAATATATTTCTGAAACTGGATAAACATTCTTATGTGTCAGTCACTCGGTCCATAATTTTTACCACCCTTTACCAGAAAATTTTAATTTCTGATACTGTCTGAGAATGAACCTGGAGCGTATCATTCAATTTATTTCCATTTCTTTAAGGCAAGATTTGACCAAATTTTCGAAATAAATAATCTGCTTTAATCAGCAATCCATATAATCACACTGCATTTTTACATTTATTATTTTTTAGTAAAATTCGCATTTGATTATCTGGGATAATAAAATTTCATCCATTTTAGAAGAGAAAGAGATAACAATAGTGACACGGTTACAAGTTACAAGACACCTAAAAGTGCCTTTGCTACTATAGAAATGATATAAAATCATGAAGCAAAAAATGAATGTAAATGATGGGCCAACAAAATGACCAAATTCAGAGTATTCTAAAGCATGATTGTGTATCACAATTCCATGGGCTGCGCCAGACTCGATTTGGACTTATACGCAACCGAGTGCTAACTCAAAGAGATTAATTATTGTTGTCAAGTATAGATGTTTTCCTGTATTAAAAAAAAATACGTGTACTATACTTTACTGTCATGTTGAATTACGAAACAGAAATTACTCTTTTAATTTATCAAATGTTTTTTTTTGGAGCATATTACAAGATGTCCACCGTCAGTAACAATGACTAATCTCCCGAATAGTTTTGATAATGATTTATTGTGAGAATGCTTTTAAGCCCCCGACTACTGTTGCGGATCATACTGTCCTAATATCTTTCCAAAAAAGTATTGGGACAATTTTGTTGGACCAGCCCAGCCCAATTTGGATAAAAGGGAACAATGAAAAGGGTGGGAGACGTCCTCAACATAAACTATTCGGTGAGCTATGTTTGATTGTTTTCACATTTCCCTCTTAACCCTACACAGCATTTTTAGACAGGATTGCAGCGTTAAGATACAACGCAATTTGCTAATTTTTGCAAAATTTCAATATTAGCCTTTTTAATTGTAATTAAAATTAAATCGTTTTACTTTATTCATGAGAGTTCACCCAAGGATTAGTTGCAATAGTTAAAATTTAAGAAAAGAATGATGACCCAGTTTTCTTTTCAGTAAAAGCAAACCAAATTTTCTTAAAATCACCTTTCATGTAATCAAGAAATGGTAAACGGAAGGTTTGCAAAGACAATATCGAACTGAATCAAGTTCCATTTAAGGATTTTATCCCACTGACGTGCAGATAGGGTGTAGGTGGAGAAACTTGACCCAGTTGATCGCAAGGATTCATTTCTAATTGTTCCAAAACATAGACATAAAATATATTGAAAATGTTCTGAGTACTCAAATTTATCCAATTCCAAATCTCAACGAGCTTCAGAACTTAATGCCTCAGTTCACACCAACATAAGCTACAATAACTAAAAAGACTAATTCGCGAAGCAAATGACGACAATAGAGGCACACAACTCAACTAGTGATGTAACAAATAGAAGATAGAAGAAAACGCAGATTCTACTGCAACTTGGATAACCATAACAGTTTTCAGTAAAACCAAGACCTTATTTTAAGTGAGTGGGTAATTGGGATCTAACTGGATGCAATTTTGAACCTTACGACTTCCAGCAAGGCCTGATTACAGTCCATAAACCACACAGCCAGAATCACTAGAAATATAACAAAAATCTTCCATAGAGAGATGTATTAATTGGCACAGAACTGCTAGACACATCTAAGTGAACCACAGGCGACAAAACAAGGTAAAACTTCAGTTCAAATGTGCTAATTGGTCGCGGAAACAAGTAAGAATTATAAAAATAACATCTTCGTTCAAAACTTAGAATGAACTCTTTCACCAGTTCGACATCATAATATTGTACCAATATAACTAGAAAATGGAAGTAAGACTACAAACGCAAAAACCGAAAGGAGCCCAAAACAGGAATCTCTCAATTTCAAGTACGAGCAGCAGGTGCTCCACCAACGCGTGGGGGCTGACCAGGCTTTGGCATATCATCCTGCCATAGGAAAAAAAAAATTTCAGCAGAATGAATATTAACCTGAAACTATATGCTAAAGAGGGGAAGGGATTCGGGATTATACTAAAGAAGAACATCTCAAAACCCAAAGGAATGAAAAATATTAGCAGAGTGTTACCCTTGGGCGTCTGAATCTCTGTGGGGGCTCACGGATTCTCCTGTCGGTACGAGAACGAACCCTAACAACCTTGGAGTGAATAGCACATGAAACGCAATACTGCATCTTCACGTAGAGCTTGGGGAGAGTGTATGCTAAACAGATAAAAGCAATAAAATGTGAGAATTACAGCTTAAGCACCCAAGAGAGTATTTCAAGACTTCTGCAGTTACACATGAGCTTACTTTCAAAAGCACAAGCTTCCTGAACATCTCTCACTGCAGCCTGCTCAACAATGTTTCTCACAAGAAACCTCTTGATGGATTTGTCCTAAACAAAAACATTTAGTCAGATTCCATATACTAAAGGTGCATATTTGTGTGTGTATGTTAAGTGTCTACTTCTCAGGTACTATTCCTTAAGAGCAGACATAACTTAAGCCAGCCATTCATCCTCATTTCTAATTTCTCAAAATCACAGAAATTCAAGATATGACTAACCAACACGTTATCGTGATTCATAACCCAATCATACAAATCAACAACAAAGGATCAAGCATGAATTCGATATTTGCGATACAAATGGATACTAAAATGCAAACTAAGTTGATTACATCATCACAGTCAAGCTCAGAAAGGTAAGTAAAAAATGTCATCCCTACATTTCGTCCATTAAAATTGCTCAACGCATCCACCAATTAAATCAACACAAAGAGCAAATATGAAACCAGCACCTTGATTTGAACAACAAATAAAAGAAAGGAAAAATCTTATAAGGACAAATTAGGCAACCAGCATCCGCTAAGATTGAAGAAAATCGAGGGGGAGCTGTACCTTAGGGCAGCATTTTCCGCAGTTGGAGCAGCGGATGAACTTGACGTGTCCGCGGCCGTGCTTGTTGCGGCCACCGTTCCTTCTCTTGAACGTCTACAATCATGCCGGCGTGAATGATTGTCAGATTCCACAAATTAAAAACAACCCAGTAGAATATGAAAACCAGTAGAATCAGTAAACAGAGTTATCGGGATCTTTACCATGGTTGGGCAGCTGGTAAGGCAGGTTCGGAATCCGGCGTAAGACTGCTGCTCCCAGAAGATATAGGGTTTAGTCTCTCTGAAAGAAGAAAAACTTTTGAGTTTATATACGATAGGGTTTTCTCAATTGGTACTGGGATTGTGATGACACTGGATTTGGGCCTAAATTTCCAAGCCCCTGCAATTTGAGCTAAAGGCCACTCTTGGAAGGTGCGCTTCATCGGCCCAATATAAGATTAAAGTTTACGTTTTTCTTTTTTCTTTTTATTTTTTGATGGAATGAATATTATTATTACTACTTGATATTTTAAGTCAATTTCAATAATTAAAAAAACTGTAGCCGCTCTATCCAATTAATATTTTAAGTAATTTTAATTAAAAAAATACTCTCTTTCTGGTCCCAAAAAAAAAAATAATCAACATTTTCAAAAAGATATGATCTAAACTATCATGAAAAAAACAATTACAATCCTCATTGAACTATTCTCAGACTCTTGTTCGATAGGCGAATGCGAAATAACAATCTGTAATGTTTAATTAGTTACTCAAACTTATACGATGTGTTTTTTTTTTTTTTGCAGTTATTGATAAATATATATATGTAACATTTGATTTATTATAAATGTTAATTAATGAGCCCTCAGTCCTTATTATCTCACGTACACGTATAGAAGGATGTTTCTGGGAAAAATAATCAGTAAAAAAGATAAAGATAAAGGAAAAAAACAACGAAACAATATTTCTTTGAACAAGTATAAATTTGCCAATTATGTAGAAAAAAAATTGCCAATTAGCTTATCAAACGTTCAATAAAGGAACGGAATCTATGTTTTTAAGAATGCAAAAAACAATTAGTAAGAAATGAAGACAATAATAACTATATTAAAGGTGATATATCATAAATTGTGAAGGTCTTACGTAAAGCACCAGTGGTCTAGTGGTAGAATAGTACCCTGCCACGGTACAGACCCGGGTTCGATTCCCGGCTGGTGCAAATGGGTGCTATGAAGAATATTGCGCCATCTGGAGGATGGGTCTCCTCCAATCGTCTGATCTTCGGACGAATACATAGCGCATCGGAGCCCCTTTTTTATTTGCCCCTTTTTTCCTGAAAGATTTCATTAATACTCCCTCCACTCTCTATTAGAAGGCATTTTGATTTATCTTAAATTTCATTTAGTATATTTTCCTGAAAGAAAAAAAAATTTAAGATACACTTTTACATTTATTGCGTTCTCCTAATTATTAAAAGATATTTTAAGATTTTTTTTCAATTAGAAAAAAAAATTATTATGTGAAACCTGGAAAAAATATCGTTCCTATCCTTTACACTCGTCGTCGTTAATTATACTTAATAGATTTTCGGTGAGCCAATTTTATCCTAATGTTTGAAATTTTTGCCAATTTCGTCCATTCGGCCCATTTTCCGTCTAAATTAACGGATCTCCGTTAGTTTTTTAATAAAATAATAAATTTAATTACAAAAATACCTCAGTAATTTTTAAAAATTTAAAAACTAACCCCTAAAATATATCAAAATAACAAAACAGTTCCTTTTCACTTTTTTTAATTTTATTTTTCTTTATTTTGTTCCATTTCTCTTTACTACTTTTAATGACCATAAAAGTCTATTATATGAGTTTTAAAAAGATACTCCCTCCGTTCCAAAATAAGTGTCATTATAGAGTTTGCACACAATTTAAGAAAACATTAAATAGGGTAACTAAATTACTAGAATATCCTCAATCAACCCCATTAAAATAAATGCTCACCAATAATATTATTTCTTTTGAGGGTATGTTTGGAAATTTTTGACAAAAAATGCATTGGAATCCGAAAACGACACTTATTTTGGAATTTCTCCATTTTGCCAAAACGACACTTATTTTGGAATGGAGGGAGTATTATTTATTTTCAAACTCTATTGTAAGAATTATTCTTTGTATAGTTGTAACCCATGATTGTATTCATATAAGTATGTTAATTTTTTTAATAATATAGCTTAGCTATAAAGACACTATTTTTTGATTTATTTTATTCTTCCTAACATAAAGATTAAAAATATTTAAATGAAACTAATATTTCACATAAAAATAAAATATTAGCTCAAATAAAAAAAGTATTAATATATTTTAGTGTATTACAATGTCACTCAAGAGACTATAACTTGCATTAATATAATTCATAAAAAAATAACTAAAATATAAAATAATTAAGACACTATTTTTCTGATTTATTTTATTCTTTCTAACATAAAGATTAAAAATATTTAAATGAAACTAATATTCCACATAAAAATAAAATATTAGATCAAATAAAAAAATATTAATATATTTTAGTGTATTACATTTTAACTCAAGAGACTATAACTTGCATTAATATAATTCATTAAAAAAAAACTAAACTATAAAATAATTAAAACCTTAAAAAAATCCTCTAAATATAAGTTTTTCTTCTTGAATCTAAAACCTATTTTCTACCACAACAACTTATTACTATATTGTTACCTCCATTCATTTATTTTAAACTAAAATCATATAGAATAAGCTAGTAAGACTTCCTCTATAGTAAGATATATTAATATCTCAAATAATCATTACAAAATGTTACATCCTCGCATTGATAAGTATAAACATTTTTTTATAAATTATTTTTGAGATATTAATATTTGAGATATTTGTAGTAATTATTTTGTAATAATTATTGAGGATTGAGGATTTAATATTTGTAACATTTTGAGATATATTAACATTACTAACATTTTATGATATTAACATTTTGTAATAATTATTTGAGATATTAATATATCTTACTATAGAGGAAATCTTACTAGCTTATTCTATATGATTTTAGTTTAAAATAAATGAATGGAGGTAACAATATAGTAATAAGTTATTGTGATAGAAAATAGGTTTTAGATTCAAAAAGGGAAAACTTATGTTTGGAGGATTTTTTTAAGGTTTTAATTATTTTATATTTTAGTTATTTTTTATGAATTACATTAATGCAAGTTATAGTCTCTTGAGTTAAATTATAATACACTAAAATATATTAATATTTTTTTATTTGAGCTAATATTTTATTTTTATGTGGAATATTAGTTTCATTTAAATATTTTTAATCTTTATGTTATGAAGAATAAAATAAATCAGAAAAATAGTGTCTTAATTATTTTATATTTTAGTTATTTTTTATGAATTATATTAATGCAAGTTATAGTCTCTTTAGTGAAATTGTAATACACTAAAATATATTAATATTTTTTTTTATTTGAGCTAATATTTTATTTTTATGTGGAATATTAGTTTCATTTAAATGTTTTTAATCTTTATGTTATGAAGAATAAAATAAATCAGAAAAATAGTGTCTTTATTGCTAAACTATATTATTAAAAAAATTAACATACTTATACACATACAATCATGTGTTACAACTATACATAGATTAATTTTTACAGTAGAGTTTGAAAATAAATAAATATTTTTTTAAAATCATATAATCGACTTTTATGGTCATTAAAAGTAGTAAAGAGAAATGAAAAAAGATAGAGAGAAATAAAATAAAAAGGTGAAAAGGGACTATTTTTTATTTTTAAATATTTTAAGGGTTATTTTTAAAATTTTTAAAAATTACTGGGTTGTTTTTGTAATTAAATGTATTATTTTATTAAAAAAACTAACAGAAATCCGTTAATTTAGACGAAAAATGGACCGATTGGACGAAATTGACAAAAATTTCAAATATTAGGGTAAAGTTGACTAACCGAAAATTTATTAAGTATAATTGACGACGAGGGCAAAGTTTTGGGTAGGAACAATATTTTTTCCCAATTAAAGATGACTATATACGTATAGGAAAGTGTTTTTTGTTTTTGTACTTTACATTTTCAAGTCCTCCGTTTGGGAGGTGCGCATCTCCATGAACCTTTAATATTTATATAAAATTTTCAATTGTCCATAAACCTTCATGTTATTATAACAAAGTTCAATGGATAAAATTTCTTTTTCAAATTGAAGAATTATCATCTCAATAGAATGTGCAAAATTTAGTAGGCTTCATTCATTTTTTGATGAATTTGAAAGTTGAAATCACAGCTTTTTACTAATGAGTAGGTCGGTTTGGATACTAAACAATCACCTCTCTCATAAGTTAAACTACATGTGCAGGATTAAGACAAAAATAATTAAGTAATGATTGTGAAACAACTAAAAAAAATAAAACTATTGCTAAAACAACTATATGACAAAACTTTGAATTTTTTCTATAAGTCAAACTTTATTCCGAAAAAGTTGTGCATGATGGCCTTGACATTTGCCAAAATGTCCAAAAAGATATTAATGTGAGAAAAAAGAATAGTTGAATGATATTCTTCAAGGGGTACAAAGATACTCTTACCCTCACATTTTGAATTAAATATTTCTGATAACAAATAAGTTAAAGTAAAAATAAATTATTAGATAGATAATGAGAAGCAACTAAATCAAACGATTGGTTAAAAAAGTAATAAAATAAGTTAAAAATGCGTCGTATGTTAAAAAGAAAAGAGTAAAATAAAAGCACTGAAAACAGGAGTCACTACGAAACAATGAATAAATATCCTGATATATGATGAAGATTGTGATGTTAATTCCAAGACAAAGAACGTAATATTCAAAGAAATATTGCAGGCTATATAATCATCTAATTTGAAATTAACTTTTGTTTTCATTCTCTTTTTTGGATTTCTTAATAATCCTCTTTGTGAGGTCTCATATTTTATATATTCTTCGTAAGTTATGCCTCAGTAAATAATATTGTCATTTCATTGTTTAAAATTTGTGTAGGTTGTAGGATAAGCATGTAGAAAATAAATTCTAGAGTAAAATGTTGAAATGGTCTCTTACATTTGCCCTTACTTGAATTTACGTCCCTTACATTAACATTTCAATATCGTAGTCCCAAACATTATGTGTTCACACTTTTTGGGTCCCATTTTACTGTTTCGACCACATTTCCGTCCAACTCGATGTTGACCGGCCGTTGACTTGCCGGGGTCAGGGGTATTTTTGTCCTTGCACGTAATTTGACCTTCCATCAAATTAAAATTATTAAAATATTAAAAATTTCATATTTTAAATTATTTAAATAGTATTTATTAATTTAAAATATTATGAAAATATTTTAAAATTTATATTTTTTAAAAAATAGTTTTTTCATTTACCATTTATCTTAGGTGAAAAATAAACAGTAATTATTCTACATTTTGCTCTAAATTCTAGAAGTATAAGTATCCATAGAAAAAAAAATATTAGTAAGCTCATATTGAAGTAGATTGGTTGTTTAATTTTTTTATATAGTTAGGAAATAAACTAAAATTTTATATAAACAAATAGAAGGGAGGAGAAATTAGATAAAGTATAGTACTGTATTAAGTGGACTAAGTTCAAGTGGGAGCTGGCCAAGTTTTACACTAACACATAACATGACTAGCCAAAGCTATTAAGCTAGTTTAATAAAATAATAGGAAAATGAGTAAAAAAAAAGAAAAAGAAAAGAAGGGAGGCTGCTAGAAGGAACAGGAAAGACAGAAAGCTTGAGAGGAGAAGAGAACTAGGAAATTAGCAAAGGAAACAACTAAGAATTGGGGTTGGAACTAACGGGCATCAACAATCTTCAAGGCAAGTAAACCTCTCACTCCTTAGTTCAATCATCATAGAATTTTCATTAATAACTTTCTGGGATCGGGTTTGGATTTAGTATAATTTTTAGATATGGAATCAGAGGGATTAATGATTTATAGATTGAAGAACTAGGGAAGCTAGGATTACTTCAGCATGTTACTTTCATCTTGCACTAGAAATTTAGCAGCCGGATATTGATAAGAGTCGTTGTGCTTTTATTTTTATGATTTTCATTGTTTAGGGAAGGAGTGTATGTGGATGATTCTCTGCTTTGTTGCTATTACATGCCTTGAAGCTGAAACTTGTCTTTTGATATATGCTATTACTGAGATTTTAATTGATTTCAGTCCTCTTTTGATGAGTGTGATGGTTTTTCTTGTAATTGATTAATTGGAGTAGTGATAGTCTAAGAAAGGAAGACCATTTATGTATGATCTTGTTTTGAAATTTCAGAAAAATAACCAGCCTGAGTAGCTGTTTTGCAGAGCCTCGTTCTCCTAGCTCTGAAAACATTTTGAGGTGTTTCTTTTCATGAATACCTTCTCTTTTCAATGTAGCTTAATCTGGTTTTTTATGGTTTATGAATCGGATTTACGGATTGATCAGAATTTGGATTTAAAAATGCCCATTTGTTACGGATGGACTGATTCTAAAAATTTTCTGGTGCAGGGTACTGATTTCAAAGTCGAATTTCTTCTATTTAAAAAAAAAGCTGTTTTTTCCTGATTTCTTTCATTGAATTTATTCTATGCTTAAACTAGATTTGACTGGTTTTAACGGTTTCCAAATTAGACTTTTGGTTGGACGGGAAATCGATAATGAAAAGAGCTCATTGCTGCTGCAATTTCTGAAATTTCAGATTTGATGAACTGACCCTGATACTTTTCTTTTCCCTTTGATTTAATGCTCTGATGTTATGAATCTCTGCATTTTCACTTTCTGAAAAGTAAGTAATGAGTTAGCATCTCTAAATTTCAAAAAAAAAAAATTTAAAATAACACTAATGACCATTTGCTTATATCTAGTTTAGAGTTTTAGGAATTAGGAACCTGAGTTCAGTAGGATTTAGAAATATGCATCTATCTTTAATTTAATAACTGAAATTCTTTAAGAAAACCTTTGTTAAGGAACCTTAAACCTGCAGATTGCTTAGAGGATACGCATGTGAGTTCGGAGGAGGTTTTGGAAGACGTTTTGGAGCAATATCGGGATGAGCCAAGTAGGTGTATCCAATTCTGTTGTTTATGGATTGTGTTATCATTACTCTCTATGTGCCATTTAAATTATTCTTTATGGTGTTTCCCGTTGTGTACTTTATCTCACCGGGAAATATCATATATGCATGTAACTTGTTATGTGGTTGTCAAGAGTTTGTTTGCGCATGAATTGTCATGTTTTGTTGAGAAGACCTGGATGTGTATATTACCACATCGGTCTTGGGGCCCCCGCTACCATATATCGAATCCAACGAGTCGGCAAAGAGCGTCGACGTATGGACAAGATTATGGATAGCTTTAGTAGGCGTGCACGAGCTACGAGTACTTGATTGTTGTGGCCACTTAGAGTGACGGGAAATGAATTGTTTGTTCATTGAAAGAATGGATTCTTCTTTAGAGACCAGTTTGGAAGTCGACCAATAAGGCCACATAGGCCCTTGGCGATTCTAATCTGTGGCTCTCTTGTATCCTTTACTATTGTGTTTGATGGTTCTGGTGGTAACCATCGTTTATGTGCTAAAGAATGACTGAATTTGTGACAATGGACTGTTTGAGTTACTTGATTATTCTTGCTGTAAAGTTTGCTTAAATGTTCTATGTAGTTTTGAATAAATGCTTTGCACGAATTTAAATGACTCTAGATGGTCGTGATAATGCAATCGAATTGGACCCAATTGGGCGTAAGCTCATCCTTTAATATTTTCTCCCCCCACAGCTCCATCAGAGGAGGAACTTGGTTACTGGGGTTATAGTTCGTAATTTGGGGTTTGGCTCAAGATGTTTTGTGCTGTGCATAAGATCACTACGACTTTGCACTCTTTTCTTTTGTGAACATGTGTAAACTAGAGGCTTTAGTGTTCAATTTTGGGGTTGTATGTTTGACATTAGCAATCACTTCGTATAGGATGTGGTTGTGCCTAGTGTTGAACCTCCTGGCTTGTGGTTTATATTTGTAAAACTTGAAAATGCGGGTGCACGTAGTTAGTGATAGAAGGAACCTTGTTAGCTTCCTTTTGTTTTAAACCAAGTCTTTTGACTTGGTGATGTAAATGTAACCATGTGTATATATATAAAAGGCAACGAATGCCTTAGCCCTTGTGAGTTGTGTTTAATTTCCTTTAAAAAAAAAAATTGAATTGAAACTTGAGTCCTAGCGTGAGCTAGGCAAGCGTCTGGCTTTACTGCTCGTTCTAAATAGAGGGTTAAGTTGGGGCGTTACACTCTTTGCGTTAAATAATTATCATTGTATTCATTTGGTAAAGTGTTGTTCATGTTAATGTTTTTAAATTTTCCAGTGAAGTCATTATATGTTTTATAAAAATATAAAATCTATAAAAATATTAATATTTTTTGCTTCGCTTGTATTGTAATTTCTATATTTATGTCTTTCCCATTCATCGGACGGGTTTAACACCTAATGGTATCCTTAAAAACACGTCAAGAGTATGTCTGGTAATAAATAAATTAGCTTCCTAATTTATTAACAAAAATAAAAAATCAGAATTTTCACAATAACATTTTGAGTTGTATCCAAATACTTTACTTTCCTCATATTTAAAGTTGAAGAAATGTTAACTTTATTTAACCTCACTTTCATAGCAAACAAATACGCTAATCTTTATATTCAAAAAGAAAAAAAAAAAAGAAAAAGAAAACGGCAATCTTTTTATTTAATTATTTAATTTTACTTATTTACGTACATACTTTTAAATTAAGGTAAATAAAATCCAAAACTTAGTTAATTCGAATCTTATTTGATTTTCATGATTTCATCATAATGTTATTTTATCATGATTAATTACTCAGATTATAATCTTATCGTAATATATCTATATTGGAATGAGTTATTCATTGATAACAAAATTATGGAAAAACCGACCAAAAAAAAAAAAACCAGACAGGGTCAACTCACTCAATCACTAATGGCAGCTCCATTGCTCATTAGGTGTTGGGGATGGAGAGAATCCAGAAAAAGAAGAGATTTAATGTCGCGGCGAAGCTTTCTTCCCGTCCAGCACCAGTGGTCTAGTGGTAGAATAGTACCCTGCCACGGTACAGACCCGGGTTCGATTCCCGGCTGGTGCATTCGGGTGCTATGAAGATTATTGCGCCTTCTGGAGGATGGGTCTCCTCCTATCGTCTGATCTTCGGACGAATTCCTGGCGCATCGGAGCCCCTTTTTTCTTTGTTTTTCCTTTTGAAACTTTTCACTATCCCTTCACACCATAGATCCCTCCCTTTTAACCCATCACTCATCAGTGAGTTCTCTCATATTTTTTCGATCAAAATCTGGAAGAAGCAAGCCTGGTAAAGTCCGTTAATTCGGGGAATGACCTGGTTCTATTGTACGAACAAAAGATAACACATCAAACAAGCCAATTCCTTACAACTTTGACCAGGATATAAGTCGCGGAGTTGCTAGAGGCTCCTATGATAGAGGTTCATGCCCCGAATTTGCTTGATTAAGCTCACTTCATTTCGTGCACTTCCCAATCAAAGGCATACAACCAAACGTAGCATGAAAATTGCTTTATACTGAATGATATATTATATGATTAAGGATCCAAAGAAATAATACATTCGGATGATGATGAGTGACTGTTATCACAGTCAAAAAAAGGAGATCAATGGCAAAAGTTGGTGAAGAAATGTGTTTCTTCCTCTCCTGGACTAACAATACCCCTACAACTGGTAAGTTTACACTCTGCTATCAAACTCTTTGTGGCACATGCCTGAGTAACAAAACTGTTGTAACGCAAATAAATCCCCATCAAGCTCAGAACTTGCCAGATACAAGTATATATCATCTACTGTAATGTGCCGCATCTATTGAGCCACTATGAAAATCTTTAGTAGCGACATCTTCATCGCTGTATTTGAGTTACAATATGAAGTAAGAGGATAGACTATGCTCGCAGGTCCTTGTTTGAATTCCATCCAACAGCATTCGCAGCAGCGTCACCGTTTAAGATGCTCCCTCCATTTTCCACGCTTATTAGAGGATCAGATTCACTTTCCTTCACCTGAGGACAAAGGACATGGAGAAAATGGAACAGTTAGAACATGCACGTAGTTCTAACCCTCTTTTCTACAACATAAGTACCACTACACGAGAAGACACATTTGAAAGAAAGAAAGAAGTACCTGAGACAATTGTGCAGCTCCTTCAGAGGCTTTTTGCTGACTCTCTAGCGTGCAATAGTAAGAGTAGACTACCATTCCAACTACAGCAATCAAGATGCCTAGAATATTCCGCCAGCTGAATGGGTCATGTAGAAGGACATAACCAAAGGCCAATACAAGGCAAGTTTTTAGATGTCCAAGGACCTGATAAGTGACAGGGGATGTCTTCCCAATGACTAGAAAGGTACTGAAGTTTACAGAAACTGAGATCAAGCAGGACAGAACAATGAATGCCTGCACGTGAAAAACCATGGTCAGTTTCCAGCAAGAGATATTCCGCTATTCAAAGCAACATGATATGTCTGCTTACCAACACTTGTGGGGTGTATTGGAAGGCAAATACATTTAAGTTTGTCAAAAGTCCATCAACAAATGGTCCAGTTACAAAAAGCGTGATTGCTTGATAAGGGCAAGATTGATACAAGAGTTGGGTTGATGACACCTTAAACTTCTTCTGGATAGTATTAGTCATCTGAATGCAACTGGTTAAGATCAACAAAGAGGGCACTGTTTGATGCAAAACACTAAATTCTGTAGTAGTGTATAGAAAGCAAGATCAGCACGCAAGAATAATCTTTCTTCCAGCTTCATAATTTTGTAGCTATTGGTAAAGCATATGAAGTTCTGATCCAACATAATCATGAAATTTTTTTAGCAAGAAACTCTAAACATAAATTAGGCAAATTCACATGAGGATACAATTTGTGCTATACAGGTTGTAATAACTGCCAGCAGGGACAAGACAGAACCCACAAGGTTGAGCTGCAGATCAGTGACAGTTGCAATTCCAACTCCCAAGAGAAGAATGCCCAATGAAAACTGGATGTTCCTACTGCAAATATAGCAGTTACCAATGAGCAATGAATAATGTCCAGCATTTAAGATGCTCAAACACATAGGAAACTAATCAATTTATGAAGTTGCATGAAGCATATCTTTTAAACTTCTCACTCAAACTTGCTTTTAGGTTCTCTCTGAGATTTAGAAGTCGGGAACCATCCGGACTCCAGGGCAATGAGGAAAAAATTATCAAATGGAACAGGTTAAATATGAACAGGAAGGATATTTATTGGACTCCTCACTTTCCTAGTTTTTTGGTTATCTCTAAGATTTGACTCTCGAGTGTTACATGAAAAACACTATGGATTCAATAAAATAGACAGATTGCATTAGAAATAGTTGCACTAATCAACTAAAGATCACTGTTTGGATCGTTTTTTCTATGTGCATTTATTGCTGGGAATGTAAAAAGGTATATTGGAAATGTAATATGTTGGGATGGAGAAGTAAATTAAAATAAAAATTCTGAAAACACCCGGTTAAGGTGATGAAAAAAGTAAACAAGCATCCACTGCAGGAGAGCCAATATTAACTAATGCCTAAAGAATCCCACTGGCAATAATTGTCCAGAGAATGAAAAACCTAATCAAATTCAAACAAAATAGAATTGGCTGTCCACCTGAATTTCTTTCTGAAAAAGAGTGTCTCCAACAAAACTGTGCAGGGGATGATGGCTAATTTAGTCATCTGCGTAGAGAAGAGGGCAAAAACAATCAGATATGTTTCCAAAAGAACAAATTATGATAACTACGCACAGGAATAAACTTGAAGACAAAGTCTAGTAAACCAACTTGCTCTGAAGCTTTCAGCAGAGCGGTACATTTGTTGCAATATCACAAGGAAAGTGGATATACACACTTAATGTTTGATTAAAACTATTAGCATCAAGCTTCCTCGCAAACATAGGCATCACCTAAATGTTCCTACTGCAAATGTAAGGCAGAATCACTATTACTACTTTCATACTCAATCGACAATTCGAAACTTCAGTTATATGGATGATCAAGAGAAGCAGAACAAGTTATCAAACATCATAATCTTAATGCACCAGACTTATTAAACAACATCAACACCTTAAAACACAGGTCAGAACAGAGTGGAAGGGAAAAGATGAAACTCAACCTGATAAAATCCAACAGAATTAAAACCCAGGCTCAGATTCAGGAGTCCAATGGATGTTCCATTCAGCACCCCAAAGCCCATTACAGCTCTAGGATCAAAAGGCTTGTGCTCAAACAATTTTAACCATAATGCGACATGAAGAGAACAAAAGGTGACCAGAAGATGCCAACTTGTTAATGTTGTAGCTGAGAAGTAAGAGAGCATCAGTTAGTAAAAGTAAATATAGTTTACAGAAGATACCGAGTGAACCAGCCTTTTGTATGTAAGAGAGAATTTTTAGTAACACAACTTTGTGTCTTTACATCTAATTTAAACAGAAAGGTTTGCAACAAGCTCGTCATCCAACATTGGAAATGATTAGAAGAAACAAAAAATGAACACCGCATACAATTAGGAGGAACCAATAATGAAAGATAAGGGTTCAGGGCTCAAAATTCTAGTTGACATAAAACTTAAATAAAGGTCACTATACAAAGGGGACTAATTTGTTGCAGAACAGATGGATGCACTCGTTGTAGGCAACTTATCATTACTGTATCTAGTAAGTTAGTAGTCATCACTCATCAATCAAAGACTGGAGAAAAGTACAACAAAATTACACAAGTTAGAATGTCAAATTCGGTCCATTCTTGTACATAACAAACAAGCTTTTATAAATTTGCTTATTCCATTATCTATGTTTCTCACAATCGGCTCTATCAACCAATAGACAAAATATCTAGATGAATCTGAAATGAAATTCGTCAAGGCATTCTTGTAAGTTAATTAAGGATACAACACAGAAAAACGTCATTGCTTCTTATCACAATAGAGAAAATGTCTTAAAAAACAAATACTAATCCCTACTAGCCCAACAAGTAGAGATAGCCACATTAGGTAGATGCACTCTCCAAATCCGAAAAAATGCCAGAACAACAAAAGCAGATAGTATGAGCTAAGAGAATAACAGCAGAGAACCAGGTATAAACACTCACCGAAAGTAAAACCCAGAGTACTGATCAAAGCCTTGTTGCAAATCACAATAGAAACCGATGAAACCACGGATAAACTCAGGGCTCCGACAGTCCCCAGCTGAAACCGCTGCCCTTCGCTCATCTTCACAGAGTACAGTTCCGCTCCCACCAAAATCTCAATGTCTAACTCAATCACAAGTAATATAAACTTCCATCAGAACTCAAAAATGAAGCAAATTCTCAACTATTTACATCTCCTTTAACAAAAAGAATTACAAAACCACATCATTTTACCTCATTAGAATTGGATATCAAAAAAGAAAAAAGAAAAACCCGCAACCCCACTGCAAATAAAAAAACAGTCAGGTAAGAAACCAGCATTATTAAAACCCTAGATCTGCTGCATTTTGATAAGCAGTTACTCATTTCAGTCATATATATTGGTAGTGCGAGTGTGCAGTGAAGTATAATAGAGCAGTTTCAATGGCGGAAAAGGGAGCAGAAACCTGAAACTCTGAGAAGAACAATCAAATCAGATCAGCGAAATTGAAGCAAAAAACAGTACTCCGTGGTGATTTTAATTTTTAAAATCGGGGGGTCAATGAAACGGAATCGTATATAATCTTTTCTTCTTCAACGGAATGTGATTGTTTCTCCAACTTCTATATAATCCTACGTGATGTGATTAATGTTGTTAAGAATAGAAAATTATTGTTGAATTAAAAAGGAGTAACCAGTACGCATTAAACAATTAAGAAAGACCTTATGAGTAATTTTGACTTTTGGATATCTTCTCAATTAATATGTACGTTTATTATGTTTCGATAAGCAAATCATTAGCAAAAATAAAAATAAATATAAGTAGAATATTTTTATTTACCTTCAAAAATATCTCCTGGATCTTTACGTTATTGCATCATTTGGTAAATCATTTCCAATGTACTAGAGAATCATGAGTTTAAATTATTGATTCAGTAACATTCTCTTCATTTTTACTCTTTTTCAATTTTTTTTTTTTTGTTTGGTTACAGAAGAAGAGGCTAAGTGCCTGAATGAATCAAATAATTACATTACGTGGATAAGAGACCCCGACGATGTCGTGTCCTTACCCTTTTTTTCCTTCTAACTTTTGTTAACATTCATCTCCTGTAAAAAGTAAGATGTTACTAGATTGAATCGAACTCATAAAATGCGTGAGAAGTATCGTAACTTTTAAAATTTATCACTTTCAAATCCATATTTTTATTTATATGACGCGTGTAACACCTAAACAACTTAATTTATACTGTTTTATTTGTGTGGAAAATGGTAATATGTTGGATTACAAATAGAGAACTCCACGTATAAAGCATGTTTCTTATTTACTCACTTTAATTTTAAGGTTTTAATATTGTTTTCAGGTCTTCCTAATGTCGGTTGCAAAACCACAAAATTAGGGTTATAGCCTAGATCCCCAGTGAAGTTATGTTACATTTTATCCACATGCTGTTATAATAATGAGATGGTGGGGAGACTTTAAAAGTTGAGTTTTTGATGCCCTAATCTAATGTATCATTGTTTTAAGCTAGAGACTACTGGCAACTGGCTAGTGATAGCATTTGGAAGTGTCGTATAGGTTTTAATAATTTGCATTAGCTGAGAGATTTGGCAGTAGTTTTCGACTAAATTAATTCGTGCAATTGGATTCAATAAAAAAAATAAGAAAATCGAGTCTACATGGCTAGCCTTCCACCGACGAAAATATGCTGATTTAAGATGATTTTATGGAATGCCGATTCTCCAAAAAAATTTATTAGTATTTGTCATCTTCAAATATGGGACTTGAGAAGTGAAAATACTTTTTTCGCTTTTATAGTTAAGGGACATTTTTAAAATTTCCACATTTAAAAAGTACTCACGGTACACTGAATTTCGCGATTTTGTTATTAGGTCATATTGTTGACCTCGTTGTTCACGCAATTAGAATCCCCAAAATAAATGAATGTTGACTTGTACACATTCTTCTTTCTTGTTGGATCTTTCTTTATGAAATCATAAACAAAACAATAAGATGGCTACTGCATTTGATCCAAAGTTAGAAAAACAAAGTTTGATCAAAAGCATTTCCGTAGCAGCAATTTGGGGTAAGCTTTTGCCTTTTGCATGCATGAGCTGACAATTAAGAAAAGCAGCACGACTTGGAAAATAATGCACTCTGGAAATGAAGCAGGTGTGTCTAAAAATGGCCCATCAGAACATAGAACAAAATGGTGAGATGATAAGCGGCCCAAAGTGCCATAATTTAGTATATATACAAGTTATTTCGGGTATGAGATACAATTTGAAAGCTTTTATCACGATCATTAATACAGTTTAACACGAGAAAAAGGTTCGTAAGTGGAATGAGACGCCAAGATTCTAATTTCAAATCTTCACTAATGCATTCATGGAGATTACACAAGGGGTCAGGAAAGGCCTCTCAAATTGACCACACAATATTGCCAAAGAGTAGCCTTTAAATATGTAGAACTTCAGAAAATTTCAAAGGAAAAAAAGAAGAGCAAGCGGGTGCTACTCTATTATAATCAGCAACCTCGGCCTTTAAAACCCTTTACTACTACTACTATAAATTGCCAGTTGACCCAATGGGCTTTTTCCAAATAAGCCCATCAGGCGACATGTAAAACCCCAGTAAGTATAACGTTTACTCTTTTAACGGCGGTGATAAAAAGTAAATTAAACTAGAATTGGCTGCCTTCAAAGGTCTGACCAAACTGCCAATCAGCAGGAGCCACGTTGTAGCTGGTCACGGTTCTACCGTCACTGGCGGTGACCATAATGGAAAGGCTTTGTCCATTCAGGTAAGAGTTGCTTTGCCAGTTTTGCCCCCAATTCCTTGACATGGTTTGCCAACCCGAGTTAGACCCTTTGATTGAGACGGAATGGATGTCTCCGGCACCGGCCACGTTGGTGATCAGAACCAAGTTGAAGAACGAGTGTCCGTTGATTGTGAACCTTATCCCTCCTTTCTTCACACATGGCACCCTATCCCCCAAAAAAATACACGCACAAAATTTCGTTATACAATATCCATTTACTCGTAACATTCTTTATAATTTTATCTTGTCACATTAACGTTGAACTTTTATTCTAGAGTTAGACCAACTATTTCATGAGTTCGAAAAAATATTGTAAAAACTCATGACCAAGCCCCTCATTAATGTAATAGTTGCGGGACAATGTTAGTGTGATTTATTAGATATGATGGTATCAGTTGTGATTTTATTTGATATAGTAACTATTACGAAAATTAACTACTGTAATCAAATCAAATCACCACTAATTATGCATATAGAGTAGTTGGTACCTTCTGTAGACAACGGGAACAATTCCGGCGCGGTATTGAGCAATTTGGAGGAAAGCCGGCTCAGCGAGGTCAAAGTGCTCCCGGGGAGGATTGCACCAACCGCCGTTGTCGTTCGGCAAACCGTAATTGGGAGGGCAGAAATTGGTGGCGGTGACGGTGATGGTACCATCAAGACACCAATTTCTGGGGTCATTGTTGCACCTCATTTCGTAACAGGCACCACAAGTTAATCCATTGTTGAACAATGCACTACTCAATGCCGCTGTATTGGTTCCGTACCCTGTACTATACAAGTTACCATATCCACATGCCCCTCCTGCAATTTTCGTAACGAAAATTCGATAATGTACCACGAAAAAATATATGTTATCAATAAATCGAGTCATTTGAATTCAGTAACGTTGATATTATAGAAATACGTACCCATAGTGCCGGAAGCATCACCGCCACCGTAGAATGTGGCGTGTGCATCTTGCCAACCACCATAATCAGCTTCGATGGAGTGCAACTCTAGAACGAGGGCAAATGTTATGAATACGATGGAGGGAAATTTGGTTGCCATTTTCTTTGAGGAGCAAGTGAAACTAAGTAGTAGGTGACTGTGTGTAAAATTGTTGTTTGGAGTACAATGCAGTGAGTGGGTTGGGACGTAGTTTCGAGTATTATTTATAAGGAGAGTAAAGCGAGCAGCTTTAACTGCTATTAACTAACACAAATGGAAGACAAAAGAAAGGATAATTTGCCGGCCTATTGAGTATTGAGAAGCGCTCTTAATTAAAAATCGGCCAATTAATATTTTAGTAAAAATTTCTTTATCAATTTGAAAGGGGAGAAAAATCAGGCCATTAAATAAAAGAAAATCAAAAAAAGGGGAGAAAAATCAGAGAAGCACATGCAAAAGTTTATGGTTGGGATACCAGCAAAAAAGACTTGGGAGTATTTCTATTTGTAGGGTCCTAAAATCCGACCCCCCCAATCACATGCATTGATCAACGTACTCTGTTTCGGCCACACATGGATTTCACAGCCCTTTTCTTTGGACATTTGTTTTTAATATGAAGTTGTAGACTATTTTTCACACAAAAAAGATGAAATCTCTAAAATTTTGTTGATGCAAATTTGCAGTTTTTGAATTCTAAAGTCGGACATCTCGTAGCATATCTTTGTAAATTAGAAAGATATAGTTGTATTTTATACATAAAAAAATATGCGAATCGAAATCGTAATCTCTAAAGTGAATGAATATAATATGTAACTCCTCCTAGCCCGGCCTGTATCATTTGATTTGGAGAAATAGATGTGCTTATTAATTACTATTAATTGGGATATTATTACATATTAGTGAATCAAATCACCACAATTAGTTGCTAATTAATAAAATTTTTAAAAAAACCACTCTTAAAACCAAATATGCAAAAAGAAATAAAAAAGTCATGAAAAAACAAATAACCCCGATAAACAAAACCAAAATACAGTATTTGCATGTCCAAAATCAGAAAAATATTAAATTGTTAAGCTCCATCCGCCCCGAAATGATTTTAATTAAAATTGTACTAAAAGTGAAAATCTAGACAATCATTTTGAGACATACGAAATATTTTTTATTAATAGAGCATCGCAATTCACCGTTCTCCCTCTCTTGCTAACTGGATAGATGATGCTAAAAGCTCAGCAATTTTATGGCAAAAGTATGGCGGGCGAGTACTGCAAGCGTGCAATATTCATTAGAAAGCGCTTTGATAGTAGTAACCTTGGAAAAGAGAAAGACTTAAGAAGAAAAGAATATCGAAATTAATGAAGCCCTCGTGCAAACAAAAAGTTAAAACTGGAGATGAATATTTTCTGAGTTATATTTTGTTTGTCAAAACAAAAGAAAGGATAATCGGACTTCTTCCACATCATGCTTACTCACACAAAATGCAGTTAGTAGTAGGGATTTTGGGTCTTTACACAGCCAGCAACAAAGCATGAGAGATTCTTGTCGTCTGTAAATGCCGCATATGACTATAGCTGACGACGAGGCATGCACGCATTTCTTTTTGCTTTCATTTGGGCGGCCATTAAAGTTACAAACTTTACCCCTTTTAATACTATATATGTTGTTAAAGCAAAACTCATGCATTCCATGAACATGAATCAGAATTAATTACTAGTACAAAATTTCTTTACCCAAATTAGCAAGTGTATGATTGACTGTAGGAATCAAAGACTTTAGGTAGATTTCCCTTTTTCTTTTCGTTAATGATTCTCATCACCAGTTTACCTTTACAAAATTGTGGTGAAAGTGAAACCAATGACAAGCTTGACTTGGTGATAGCGCAGCTGCATGCATTACGTTAAATTATCCCTTACAAAATTTATCTCTCTGTAAATACATGAATGATGGCCATTTCATTACATGTTGAAATTAAAAATCTATACTTTTTTAAGCGGATTAAAAGTATCAAAGATTTGTAAACTGTTGCACCCTAAATTATTATAGGAGTTAAAATTGTCGTGGAAAAATATTTTGTTACATTAGTTGCCTTTAGTGTTGGAACATTTGTTGTGCCCTAATAAACTATCCTACTAATAGAAGTGCCCTTCCCCACCATCTCAGTTTGTCACTTTCACTTGGAAGGAAAAATTTGGTCTCCAAAAGCACGATTTTATATTTACTTTGGTTTTGGAATTGCATGGCTTATCTTTTGTGAGGAGAAGTTTTATATGGCATTAACATTTTCAGGATTGCCTTAAAGAAATGGTTGTGATATTGTCGAGGAGTGGTGGCTTCAATGTCGCATCTGCAGAATCGCACGTTAACCGTTAAGGAGGAAGCTTTTGAATGGAAGTTACAGAAAATGTCCAAAAGTTAGTTGGTCAAACATTTTCAGTCTACGGCTCTCAAATAAAAACGATTTTAAAAATATGATAAAAATTTGTCTCCAAAATAGACTTTACGCGCACGCAAATTTGTCTTCAGATAAATGACTTTTTTGAGTTTTTCGGTTTTAATTTCCCTTTCAGCTCGGTTCATAGGGTAGTTCATTGTCTTCTCTCTGAGCGTTCATGTTTAATTAATTTTTATTTTTTTTCTTTGGGGGTGTATTAGAACAAATATTTGAGTTCGAATGTGTATGCTTCATAATCTGTTTTACCTAATATTATTATCTCTTGGATACGTTCTTAATAAAATTACAAGTTTATTTTCGCTGTAAGAATAACATGTAAGGATTTAATCTTATATCACGACTACTCTCCTTTGGATGCAGATTGATAACAAGCAAAATCAACAACTCCCAAAACTTAAAGGTTCGACTTATTATACTGTCACAATTAGATGCAATATTATCTACCATGCAGATTCAACAAGGCAGTGATGGAAGTTAGGGTTCACTCTTTTTTTATTTTTTTATTTTTAATACCCTTCTCAATTAGTCTATCTGTCCCCTTTATATTTCAGGATCGGCTGAAAATAAAAACTTTAGATATGTCAGGTTGTTGTTGGATGTTCGGAACACAATGTTTGGCCAAAGTATAGATGTGTGATTGTGTATATATATTTATAAAAATAAGGCTGGCTCGAGCGAAAGCAGTGTTCATTAATATGGAGTTGTAAACCAGAAATGAAGGGAGAAAAAAAGAAAAAAAAAGAAGAAGAAAAACTCTTTCTGTCCAACAACGATTGCTATTATTTGCTAGCAATCATTTTTGGGATGGGAGAAGTATATTTTTCTTAAAAAAATAAAGAAGCACTGAGTTTTTTTTTTTTTTTTTTTAATCTTCATAGCTAATCTCCTGGTGGAGGATTAACCAAAAGATGCCAAAATTTAGCCAAACGAGTTTGGAGGTTTGGTTAGCTTCACGTAGAACAAATGTACGTAAGTAGGGATTTCCTATATCCTAGATACAAAAGGCTCCTAACTCTTGGAAAGAGTACATTCTGTAACACATCAATTCATCGTTATGACGTTCTGTCCCACCCAAGAAAATTAAGGCACATCATCATCATCGTCATCATCAAATCAGAAAGAGAAGTTTGGGCAACGATCGTTTAACAGCGGCAGAGGAAATTGGCCGTTTGGGCGGAGCTGGCTCAAAAAATACAGAACTCAAGTAGGAGAGAACTAGCCAAATACATTATACAAATACTCTGAAATGTGTATACATACGGCGATCAAAAAAGACCAAGATCTGTTTGATGTATTTTCTCTTTTCCTTTCAAAGAATAAAGGAATAGTTTAACACCAAATTAGTGGAAACACACCCCGGTTGCTAGTGGCAACAGATTCAGACACTTTACAATCAATCAATGGTTCATTTAATTCAACTAACTAATACCCAAAAGATTAGACCCGCTAGTAGCACCACATGTCATTTCTCTAAGCATATACGGTATAAATGTCGTATCTCAACAAATCCACAAAAATGCCTCAAAAAATTTGACCAAGAAAATGGACGTCTATACTTTCCAGGGGTTTCAGGAAACATGAAGTTGTTAAATTTTCTGTAAAGCGTAAAAGTATAAGAGATTCATAAGTACTTGAGAGATTATCCACAGTTCATTTGTGCTAGAAATAATTTTATTGATGTAACAGAAGTTTGGGCTCATTTGGGATTTTGGGGGTGTGGTGTGGGGGTGTGTGCGGGCGTCAAATACAGAAGGCACTTGGCAGGCATTTCCAACTCTCTTTTTCTGGCTCCTCAGTTACCATTGATTTGATGATGTGTCCAGTAAAGACAAAATAAATTTTCAGGAACCAACAAACAATGTCATGGCACAATTTCAGTGAGCAAAACAAATCCGGCACACAAATAATTCACATTCCAAACCAACCCAGAAAAACCATCACTTTCAGTCGGTTTCCTAATTGTGCTCTTATAATAAATGTCACATGATCAGAAGAGCTACCGCCTTTGTGTGGATTTCAGGACTCAAAATACATCCTTGTTCCAACTCTATGATTGCAAATTCTTGATGTTAGTAGGACAAAAATGAACTTACCTGCAATGAAGATCCAAGGAACTGCATCAACCAAACCACTGTTGGGAGAGTGACATTGCAAAATTGTCCTTCATTTCCTGCTCTGAATAATAGATAGTACGAAGGCAGAGGGCCAGCCAAGAGCACACCGGTTTACGCATGCCCAACCAAACAAAGCACACGCAAACATTGAGCTCATAGGGTAGTAACGGGCCAAACAACCTACAATGCAAATCTGAAGACATCTGTTTCCAATCTAACCTTAATTTTTTTTGCTCATGGAAACACTGATATCCATATGTCGACAGAGTCAACCTAACTCTCTACATATCATCAGTTAGGCACATAAACCTCTGAACTGAAGGATCAAGAAGTTACTTTTAGAACTACAACATAAGATCACTAAGCTGGAAATAATAGGGGATAAAAACAATCAATACACCAAAGAGAAATGAAAAACTACTCCATGAGAGCTAATTCAATTATTAGAATGTGTCGAGAAGTACAAATTTATCACGTTCTGTCCAATATGCAAATCTCTATAAAACAAAATTGTGTCTCTATCAGAAACCCCTCACTACTATGACAACAGTAAAAGAAAAACCAGTAACATTCAAAATTTGCCCCTTTGCCCCCAGTAATACACAGAAAAAGAAAGAAAACCTAAAAGGTAAAAAATATCTCAGCACAAGCTTGGATAATAGTCAGCCTTCTTTTTGAAAGCCAGAAGATCGTGTATGACCTGCCCAGATGTTCCTTTGGTATCGGAATCTTTCAAATTGGTGTTACAGCCCCACACCCGTACAGCAAGCCTTCGACATTTTGGAGAAGGGTGTCTTAAGTAAGTACGATACCATTCAATAACATCACACTTCTGAACACTTTCGAGTTCAATAGCTTCCTTCTCGGACAAATCAAACATATACCTGAAGATCAATGGTATATGGTTAATACATCTGGAACTTGGATATTTTAATAACATTCTCTAAATCAGCTGTAGCCTGTATATCATTCTTCTTAGTAAAGCTTTTATATTCTTCTACCACAAGGTCCATGACAATGCCCCCTTCTAAATATAAAACTAGCTCCGAAAAATTATGTTCACTCTACATGCACTAAACATACTACACCACGCACCCTTCTAAATCACTACAGACACTTTTCATTATAAGACAGCTTAAATATACTAATTCGATTATACAAATTTGCAGTCCAAGCCCCATAAACGTCATATCCTAACAACGATAAATGGCAGATCAACATATCTGAAAACTGGAAAAATAAGTACACAGGCAGATCAGGTAATAAATTATTTAAAGATGAGAAAAGGAGCGGACAGAAAATGACGTGCAAGGAAGACAAAGATGTCTAAATTTTTGTTAGAATACCAACACAACCAATAAAAGCTAGAATCTCTACACCAACCATAAGATATAGACAAAATAAGTTTACCTTTTGTCAACTATTTGACCCCAATATCGATTTGTTTCGTATAAGAGGGACGGATCTTTCTCAAGAAGCTTTCCCAGTAAACCACTCTTGTAGTTTTCAAAAGACTCATTGTCAAGTCCATCCTGCAATACAGTTAAAATCTTCAATAAAGAAATGCTTCCACAAAATATGGAGTTAATATCACCTCACAAAAAGCCATTTTAAACCTTTCAAATACAAGAAAGTCAAGTGTTCAAAAAGAACCATGTCACTAGAAGCAAAAAAAACATTATATCATATTGCAAATCATGTGATTGAGGAATCATTAGCAGAGCACTGAATTTGTGTTCCTTTTGCAGTTATCCTATTTATAACTCCTTTCTTGATAATGGGCAATTCGTGCCAGCTTGATAAGACATGTTAAACTCAGTACGTGGTATTCTGTCCATAAATTTAACTTTTTAATCATAGTTTTCCTAAAGCTCACCAGCATCTTTTCCACGCTGTTGATGAAGTCATGAATTCTCCCTTGCAAGTACATAGGATCATACTCAGAAGATTGAACACGAAAACAAAAACCCATTATTCGGTATGTCACACGTGGGCTGCAGTCAACAACATAGCCAAGCTGCTCCTTTGTCCTATTTTAAACAACATGGCAAGTTAAGATTAGACTAACGAGGGTTCAATACATATAAATTATGTTTTAGTAAATGTTCCATTTTTTTTTCTCCTAGGAAGCCAAGGGAGAAAGGAGGGCACAGTGTTGCCTGTAGAGAACCTTTTTTTTTCCTTTTTTTTTTTTTTAAAGGATCAATAGTGGTTCCCCACTTACCCCCAGTCACTCGAACCCATGACCTATTGTAAACAGGCGAGGCGGCATGTAGAGAACCTTTTAATCCATTTTCAGAAATAAAGATCCTCCAGTTTTGAAGTTTTCAAAGAGGGTTCATCACCTACCTGAGCTGATTGAAGAGTGGCTCTTCAACGATTTCATCAAACAGGTCGATTAATGCTTTTAATTTGGCCAATCCAATCTCTTGTTCTGGTTCAATCTGATAATATAGCTGCGAGCAAAAGGAGAGTCAGAAAACATTGCAAACAGATGTAATTAATAAAGGGGGTGATTCAGTAAGAACATTAAAATGAGAAAAAGGCAATCTATTGATTACCTCAACCACTGAGTTCTTTTCAAGTTTGTTTTTCACTCTGACATCCCTAACTAAGTCGGCACCAGAAGGGAGACACATTACAGTTTCTTGGTGCCTTAACTCAACAGGAAGAAGAGGCACTGAAAAGTTGCAGGTAAATATGCTTGATATGGCAACTGCTTCTTTTTCCAATAAATTCCCATGGCAAAGGCCCTCAATATACATCTGCAGGAAGGCAGTAAGAGATGAATGCTATGTTGTCAGATCAGAGTGCAATTCATCGATTTCAAAGATGCAGCTATATATAAGCAACTGAACTGTTATAAAAGAAATAGTAACTTGACAACAAAGAAAGGCACTGAGTAATAAAGCCAACCCAGAAATTGAACTAAGAATACAATATCTTTATTATGCTCCCGAATCATCAAATCTCAGAGCAGACTGAATATCAAAAACATCTCTTCAATGGACATCTTATGATAGTATACCATCAAAAGGATTTCACACACACACACATGCAGAGAGAGAGAGAGAGAGAGAGAGAGAGAGAGAGAGAGAGAGAGAGAGAACAAGAACCTGGGAAAGAAGACCTGGAATGAAAGCTCTTAAATCAGAAAGAGACAAATCATTCAGTAATGATAACCTTTCTTCCACATCCCAGAACGTCTGACACAATACTTGTAGTCTGGAGTAAGATGAATGGCTCAGAGGCTTCATGTTTGTGTTCTTTAAATTCCTCTCAATGTCTTCCTTGATAACCTGTAGCATCAGCCAAAAAATTGAAACGCGCTTTAGCAGTCTCCAGAATAGGATTATAAAATTTCCAGGAGAAACCTACTAGAAATTTGAAATGCAAGGGTTTCTGAACTCAGTAGATACAGAATGAACTAATCAGTTTTCCCAGATTAAAGTGCAACCCATCTCTTCTAGCCCATAAGAGCCAGTGAAAGAACAACTGGAGAAGCCCTTTAGCAACAATAAAGGAATAACTTGTACCACAAAACTGTACCCATGCAAACATAACTTGTCTATAGGTGTGTTTTAAAAAGAAAAAATAAAATAAAATCCTTGACTCAGCTTCATATTCTTGCTTTGTAAGTAAGCAGGCCGGGAAATTTAGACATAGATTCAGTTATACAACAGATATGGTCCAATAACATAAATAGAAAAAAATAATATTCTGATGTTAATCCATCCACTGCGGCGGGAAATCATGCAAATGAAATTATAGAAACCCTGCATTCTCCCCGGAAATACCTTAAAACGATCTTCATTTGGCAAAAATGATTTGGCTGTTGACAAAATCTTTATCAAAAGATTCGGAAGCTTATCATTGAACCCATAAACCTTCAGCTCAAGTTTATCACCATACAGAGACATAGAAGTTTCTAATTTTGCCACACTAGCCTGCGAAAAAAAGCCAGAAACTAGTTGTCACACATAGTGGAAATTTTAACAAGAGAAATCCGGAAACTGAAAAGGAAGAGCATGAAAGAAACCTGATACACAATCTCATTCAACTCATCCTTTAGAAGGAGAACAAATAATTCCGTCAACAGAGCATTCCTCAAGGTTTTGCATCCCCCATTTAAGGTGATGCGGAAATATGTATTTGCACGAGGAAGCTTGAATGTTTTGTCAAGTTTGTACCACAATTTCAACGATGGTTCATCAACGATACATTTCGGCATGGGAGCATCTGAAAAGTCACTGGAGATACTATCTGCACGAATGGAAAAATCAAGAGGAATAAACTCATTCATCACAGGAAGATGCAAGGAGGTAGCAACTTCTGGAGGATCCTTCCATAGTTCCAACAGAGAAGATGGGATATCTTCCTCGGCGTACTTTGCACCAAACCATGGTTCAAACTTCACATCTGAATGCAAGGAAATACATGCAGTTAATAAGAAATGCATAATACGCAAATCGTCGCTCTCAGTAATAGAAGCACTTCTAGTTCAGGTTTCTCAGTTTTGTAACACTACAAAGCATCTTCAAATAAATCAACTTTATGTTTACATATGAAAGGGAATTTACCTGATGGAGGGAGTATGAGAGTATCAAATACTAGTACAATGAATCAATTTCAAACACAGGTAGGCAAACTTACCCTGGTACTTCAATGACTTGGTCAACACATCAACTCTCATGTTATCTGGCCTGAAGAAACCCAACACATACTTTATCATCTCCTCATCCCAAATCTTGTAAGCATAGTCACCATAAATAACATGATCGGCAGGATAAACAAGCAGATGCTCTGAAACAAAAAAGTTCACAAAGAAAAAGAGACGATTCATTATGAGGGAAAGAAATTCTATGTTCTTATCATTAAAAAACCCAAAATAAAATGGCAGGAGGTGTTGCATCATGTTATAGTACTATTAATGAAAAGGAACTAGAAAGCGAAGCACGAAATTTATCGATGTCCACAGGGTAAAATAACCTGCAAGTTCAGCAGCATATTCATCTTGAGGTTGCTCCTCGGCAAATAAGAAGTCCATATTTGCAATATCTTGGAGTTCCTTGAAAATCCATTCTTGAGGTGCAATTTCTCGCAATAGCTTGATATATTGATACACAAAACCAATGACTTCATAGATCTGCAGTGTAACATCAAATACTAAGCCAGCAAAAATTGATTTAAACTACAAGTGAATGTAAAAATATCTCATGTCATGAATCTCGCCACAGCAAGACAGAGTTGACAGCTTTAAACAATGTCTAATGAGTGGAAAGAAATTTCCACTTTATGGGTTTTTGTAGTTAGTAAGGACAGAAAACTAATATAGCTACTTGACTTTGCTACTTTCATTGAGCTTCCTTAGAAGCAATGTACTTCTTTAGCAAGTAAGCGAATATTTTGAACATGATGAAAGTATAGAAAAGTCTTAAAATTCTCTGCACTCTAGACAATTATAAGAAAATTCCCCCGAGTAGCGAAGCAATAAGATGATTTCCCAAGAAAGCTAACCTTTTGATGTAAAATATTTGAAAGCAGAAAAAAAGTTGTTTAAAAGCGTATGAAAGTATCAAACGGGGGTATAAAATAAATTACTCGATTCTACCAAAGAAAAAACATTGAAGCTGATTAGACAATTTGTTGGACCTTTTAAGAGCAGGGCCTCTCAAATTTATTCAACAGAGGAAAGTGTGGAAGTGGTTCCATTTAGATAAACATAGCAATTAGTATATGGTAGCCGAAAGTTTGAAGTGTGCTTTCAATTATCCGGCTGGAAAAAACATGATATGCATGAAATACATTTATCAAGTGCAAAATAACCAACTGGAAGCCGCTCAATTTAAGAAAGAGGAACAGTCAACGTAGTTGTATAAACAACACCCATGCGTCTGAATAAGGAGAAACCAGTTTTAATAAAATACATGCACAAATGAGCTGTTAGAATGCAGGGTTAACCTTTTCCAATCCAGAGTCAGTAAGGTGTATGGAGATGCCAAAAATATAAGCCATTGTAGAGCGCTGCATTCCATCATCCCCAACACCAGCAGAAATGGAGGTTGCCCAGCCTTTGGCTTTAAGGAAAGAATGCAAGCTCCCTCTTCCCTCTGCATTCAGAATTATCAATTAACTAAATGGGGCAAACTGAAAAATATCCGAGTCACCAAAGATCAAAATCAGAATTAGGCTGCCATGAAGTGTTCAGGCAGCATAGAAACAAAACGGGCTAGCCATCAGCTTCATAAGAACAGACATTATTTCTTCTACCACAGGCAGAAAGGACAAAGATATCATATCAGCTTTTGGATTTTCATTTCCAACATGAGAGGTTTTTAGACACAATTAATAGTAACCACAAAGAGAGACGCCTTCTAAACAAGGATTAATTGCAATGCTCATTCCAGGGTAGCAGTAAAAATTTGTGGATGGCCAAAGAAAAAACTCAGGTCAGTTGATAAGGTCAAGGTCATTATTATGCTCGGATCAACCAATAATCTACAAGCACATAAGTAGCAGGGCTCTACAATTTGGCAATCATTTTCCAAAACCCAATCACCTCAGTGCTGTACATGAATCTAATTTGACTAAAAGGTTAATAGAATATCAACTTGTAAGTCAAACTTAGAAAAAAAATTGATGAACTATGATGTGCATGCTTATCATAGCACATAGGACTATAGGAGAGCAATATAGACAATTAACTTCAGTAACCTAATATGATGGAGAGTGGATGGTTGGATTTTACCATTCCATCACCATTTCGAAAGAAAAGAACGAACAAAGTGATTCAAAACCGAAAGAAATGAACAAACAAAGTGATTCAAAACACAGTCCCATACCATGTCCAAGCAAATGAGCTATATAATCTTCAGCTTTTTTCAAATAATCATTCCGTAGGGAAGGCAATGTCCATGATAAATCAAGAATGTGTACATCTTTAACTGCTTCCAACCAGTAAACTTTCCCAGCTTTCCAGATAGGAAATTCCAACCTCGTTTCTGTCTTTATTTGAGTGCCACTCTTAATACTGCTAAACAATTCAAGAACCCAGCTTTCAAGTATATCAAGAGTCTCTGCAGCAAACATGAGTATACACCAAAAAGTTACTATGGAGATATTACCAAGAAATGTCAGTACTGTAAAAAGTTTGTAAACTGAACATAAATACATCTTTTTCAGGGCACAAACATGCTAAATGTGGCTAATTATTGCATGTTATATAAACCGACCCTCATAAACAAATCAAAATTTAGTCCAATAATAAAACAGAAAAAAATTCATTCATAAAATTTCCATTTTACAAAAAAAAACAAAAGGTTATGCTGTATCAATAATGCATTTCTCAAACAAATTGGAGGCCTCACCTCCTCCTATGATGACAAGCTTCATCGCCCCTGCATGATAATTATTATTGTACAATTCCAAAATCCGTTCCCGCAAATTTATTCCATTCTCCATCGCATCAGCCAGGCTCTTTTTATTACCTTCACATTATGCCAATTGAAGTAACTGACATTAGAAATCACTTGCATTGAATCCATAAAAGATGAGGGAAGAATATTACAACAATAAATTTATCAATGAAAAAAAAAACCATATTACAACCATACCCCAAAAGAAACGGTTAAATGGATGACTAGGAGCAGATGTATGGCATTGTAATTGTTGCTGGCGGCAGGAATCACTCTGTAACACCTGATTGAACTCTGCAACCAAATGGACACATGATAAAATATCAGTGAGCCTCCGGCAGAAAACCCCAGGAGCAAAAGTAAACAGAATTGATGCAAGTGAGGATCAATCTGCATTGGCATACATTATAAATTTGACAAACCTGAATCCACAGCCAGTACTTCTCGCTCCATTGCTTCAGACTTCACCAAAGGTGAGACAAAAAACTGAGAGAATCTGGAAAAAATGTAAACTATATCAGCACTATTCAAATAAAGAAGCTGGCACAATATGTATGATTCTTGTAAACTATTGTGCTGCGGCAGAAAAACCGGCTGGCACAGTTTTATCATGAAACTAAATCTAGAAGCTTTGCATCAATACTTGTGAAGAAAACAATCGCACAAAACAAAGATAGGTTTCCCAAAGGTACAGCATTTATGAAAATCTAAAGCAACAATAATTACTAACTGTGATCTCTCTCATTTTATACAAAGCATGTAGAAGTTAACTTGAGGAAACTAAGTTCCATACAGTGAGCGAGTAATCATCACGGTGGCTCAAGCTCATTTTAAAACAGATAATTCCTATATTCTATCACACAATTCTTTCAGGAAAGAAAGAATAAGGAAAAGAAAAGAAGACAACCGACGCTTGCTCAATAAAAAGTGTCAGCGTGAATAAGACTATGGGAAGCCTCAGTAAGTCCTCAACCAGAATTAGTTACATCTTCTATTGATTATCCAGCACAAGATATAAATTACAAATTACCATAGGTTTTCTAATAGAAAAGGTTCTAAACAAAATGGTTGAATGTTAAATTGTTTCCCTGAACTCTAAAAAAGTAAGAAATCCATTTTACCTTCTTAAAGCCCCCTCAAGAAACTCTCTTTTGACTTCAAAATGGTAGCATGTATGCTCTGTTTCTGTATATGCATTTGAGGACCCTCCATGCTTTGACAGGTAACTGTCATACTAGAATCGAGAAAGAGTAAGCGACAAAGCCAAATGGTTTCTTGACTAATAATAAAAACCAAGGGTTCAACTTCAAAGAGGAAAGATAAGAGCAAGACCATACGAACCTCATTCTCATCTGGAAATTCAGTACTTCCCATGAAAAGCATATGCTCTGCAAGAAAATTGAAAAGTGAGAAGAGTTTAAACACTTCAATAAACAGCTATCAGTTTCCATCCACCATCCCTTCACCAATAGAGATATAAAAACTTCAACCTTTATTTTTTATTATTTCGGTTCTTCCATTGTTCTAATGAATCTGAACAGGTGAACACCAAAAAAATAAAATAAAAAATGCAGTATATAATGAAAGACCTAAGCCATTCAAAACATGACGAATACTGTGGCAAAATAAGATGTAGCAGGATTCAAAACTGGCATTCAATCCAACTGCACTAGGTCCGTTTGATGCACAATTTGAAACTAAAACAAATCCCCTAAAAGATCATCCCATCTTTGATGCACCAAAGAAGTGAAGCGTTATTGAACTATCCTATGCAAGGCGGAAGCAATACAAAAAATGCAACCAAATTAGAGTATAAAGTTGAACTTGGCCGAAAACACAAACCTAGAAAATGTGCAAGACCCTGAGCTTCATGTGGATCCTTAAAACTGCCCATTCCAACACACATTGCTGCTGCTGCCTGTAAGTATCCAAACATCTAAATCAATTAACATACCAAGTGTATAGAATTCAAACCAATAAGACCGATGTAGGATGATATACCTTTTTCTGAGCAGCGCCTTTCTTTCCATTAGCATTTTCCTCTTCTTCGTCCTCGTCATCATCATCCTCATCCTCATCATCATCATCATCATCATCATCATCATCATCATCATCATCATCATCATCATCATCATCATCTTCGTCTTCGTCTTCGTCTAGGTCGTCGTCTTCTTCTTCTTCTTCATCAGAACCATCATCAACGGCTTCAGGCTTATCACCGCCGTAAATCTCAGGGTCGTGAACAAGAAGAGCACACAAACCATTAGGCAGCTCAATGTACCTGTACAATCGCCTATCGTTGGGAGACTTAATCACAATGTCGTCCGATGAGAAAGTGCAACCGCCGACGGCCATTCTGTAAGGTTTGGAGGAACTGAGAGGGATTTTCTGCAAGCTGTGCTGATTCTCTTTCCCTCTCAATCAATGGCGGATACAAATTCTGATGACTTGGTTTTGACTGAAAGAAGAGAAGACTAGGGCGTCGCAACCCACCCCTTCTTGCTCTATTTATAGGCTGCGGCCATCCTTTTTAAAGTACACTCACAAATATTACTATCTCTTGAGTACCCAAAAAAAAAAAAAATTATTGCTCTGGTAATCTGGTCCAGCATCTTGATTTGTCCTAAATATTTCACTTAGTTCTTTTATTTATTTTTTTTGGTAAGGTCGGAGACCCACCCACCAGAGATGGGTAAACCCATGCTAAATGCAATAATCTGCAAACCACAATAGGAGGTAAAACACTTAGACAAGGTCGCGCGACAAATTCGGGTGCAAAATTGAAAGTTCATGGGTTATGTATTTTTAATCGATAAAAAAACCATAAAAATATATTTTTACATTTGTTGTGTTCTCTTGATTATTATGAAATATTTTTAAGAATTTTTTTGTCTATTAAAAATGCGTACAAAGTGAAACCTAAGACTTATCAAAACGTCTTATATTAAGGACCAGAGAGAGTATTTTATAATCATAATCATACAGTCACTAATTTGAAGTAATTTTTTTTAATTTAATTTATTCTCTCCATTCTAGAATTATTATCTAATATTTTTATTTTTAATTTATTTTTTTAATAAAAATAAAGTCATGACTAGACAATAATTTCGAGATGGAGGGAGACGCAAAGTGACGTTAAAAAGTACTTCTTTTGATCGTTATTATAAGTCATTTTGATTTATTGCAAATTTCATTTAGTAATGTTCTTGTAATTGAAAATAAATTTTAAAAATGTATTTTTCATTAGATTTTCATTAAAAAAAAATGAAGATCAATTTCAATTTAGATTTTGGAAATATGAAAAACAGATTTACTTGGTCTTGTAAATAAAAGTCAAGTTTATTATACTAAAATAATATACTTTTGTCATTACACTTATGAAAAACATTCAACTACGAGATAAATATTTATCTTTGTGCTCAATATTATCTGTAATTGAATACATTGTACGTTGGTTAACTATGATCTACATAAATAAGTAGTTATTTGTAAGAATTAATTAGTATATATTAATATTAATATGCTCTATAACGAAATCAAATTGTATGGGTAAATAGGACCGGAGACAATTTAAATGTTTTTTTTTTCTTTTAAAACGAAACATTTGTTTGACTCCGGAGTCTGGAGATATTCCCGGCTACTACTAGCACCGCGCACTTGTAACCCGAAAATACCCCTTTCCTCTTATTTGCTACGCTCCTTCCTGTAGAAGAAAAATCGACGCGCAATTAGGGTTTCAAATTATCAATTTCATGCTTCAATTGAGATTATGGAAGTTGGAGATATGGACGTCGACATCGCGCGTTGGATTTTGGAATTCCTCGTCCGGCAACCTCTGGAAGATCGCGTACTAAACTCTTTAATCTCCACCCTTCCCCTCACCGACGAAAATGCGGGTCTCAAAAAATCCCTTCTCTTGCGAAGAATCGAGACGGAAATCGCTAAGGGGGACGTTTCGGAGAAGATTCTTGAACTCCTCGAACAAATTGAGGAGCTAGATTTCAGGGATAAAATCAGGCAACATTCCGATTTACTCAAGGCTGCGTATTGCTCTGTAGCAGTTTTTTGCACTGTGAAGTTCCTGGATAGCGACGGGAATAGATTTGAGTATTTTCATGCGGTTAAGAGGATATGGAGAGGGAAAATTGCCAAGATGGAGAAAGGGGAAAAGGTTGGTTTGTTTTCGGAAGAGTTGAAGAGCTGGGCGGACGAGATTGAGGCGGCTGTGTGGGATGATAGCGCTTGCGATCTTCTCTTAAACAGGAGTAAGGAGATTAATGCCAGTGAGGCTGTAAGGCAATATGTGAAGGAGGAAAAAGAAATCATGGGCCCTTCCTTTCTTGAATTAGTGGCAGAAGCATCAAGGAACGATGATAGATTAAAGGGAATTCTAGGTATCAAGGGAGGGGTGAACGCCTCCACGCCTACTGCTGTTACTCTTTCCGTTCAGAGAAAAGATGTCAATGCAGGTGATTCTTTGTTGCATTTTGGCTCATACGTGTGCTTTGTTGGCTTTGAATTTACTACCTTGTTATTGTATTCTTAGAAATATTCGTTAATTGTGAGTTGCTTTGATCATGAACTTAAGAACTAGCTTCCATTGCAGGGGCATAGGGTTGTGTTTAGATGTTATGTTAAATATTAATGCCTGATCATATCTATTTATTTTTCCCAGTAAATTCTGATTGCTTGTTATCACTAGCTAAAAAATTTAGGTGTATGCTTGAGGCCTGTTTTTTTTGCATCAGCCCTGGGTTATTTGGCAGGTGTGTGCCGAGTGTTTCCTTATTCTGTCTGGTAGTGTTTATAGTCTTATGTCTGATTCTTGGAATCACAAATGAATAGTTATTGTATTTCAGTTGATTAGCTCTCTGTAGTATGTCACTAGCCACTGTGAGGAACAAATAAGAAAAACTGGGATCCTTTCTGTTTTATGTATTTATTTCGGTAAATTTATGTTGTGTCTCTGTTCTCTTTTAGAAACGCAAGGAGGGAATGTGCTTCCCAGACTTAAATATGCTGCTTGTAAACGAACTCGAGTTGCTGTATCAGGGAAGTCCCGGGGAGCTAGGATCACTGATGCTGATGCTTCTGATGCTCGAACATGCAATTCATTATCCAGTCCAGACGTAAGTGAAGTGCGGGAAGCTCTTAAATCAAGTTCACTGGAGCTTAAAGCTGTTGTGAAGGATCCATTACCTGATGCATTGCACTTTGCTAAGGCCGTAGTTTCTGATGTTTCAAATAAAGACAGAGCTACATTGCCTGTGGAAGACAGTCATAACAGAACTCATCCTGCTGGTGAGAGGTCAAGGCCTGTCCAAGCCAATGGAGAACTAGTTTCCCGTGTGGCAAGTAAAGAGCCAGCTAAGCTGCGCGTGGAACAAAGTTGTAATGGAGCTAATCCTGCTGGTGAAAGCTCGAGGTCTGTCCAAACCAACAGAGACATAGTTTCTGGTGATGCAAGTAAAGAGACGACTAAGCTGCCTGTGCAACAAAATCGTAATGGAGCAAGTCCTGCTGATGAGAGCTTAAGACCTCCCCAAGCTAATGGAGAAAAAGCTTCTGGTGTTGCAAGTAAAGAGACAGTTAAGCTGCCTGTGCAACAAAGTCTTAATGAAGCAATTCCTGCTGGTGAGAGGTCAAGGTCTGCCGGGGCCAGTGGAGAAGACAGAGGTAATGATTGTCAACAGCACGAGAAAAATGCTCCAAGACCAAGTTTAATGGCACGAAATGGTACCGCCCATACCATGGAGGTAATATTATTTTCCTTTTAATCCATCAGAACTGGTGAATGTCCCCCACCACATTAAAGCTGTTGAATGTTCTGTTTGATCTTCTAAAGGGTTATTTTTCCTTCTGAACTGATCTGGACTCATTGTGCTTCTAATGAAAAGTGCAATTGCCTAAATCTTTCCTTGCTTGTTTTCTGTTTCTTTGAGCACCTAGTTCATGTCTGATAAGAAAAAAATGCTTAGCATCCTTTTTTATTTTGGAGTGACAACTGTGGCTTTCTATCCTTGGGGAGTTCATATGTTTTATTGAGATGTGCAATGAAGTATTGGTTTCGTGTGATATGTTATTCTGTGTAAGTACATTTAGAACTGATTGCATCTATTGTATTCTGTTTGCTTGTTGCTGTTGACTGACAGTGCTGTTAACCTGTTTTGCAGTGGAACGACTCAGTTGAGGAAACACCAGATTCATCTAATATTGAAAACAGACCTCGCTTACATGAACCAAGGACTCGGGCAGTGTCTCCATTGAGAATATATGAAGGGAACAACTTGAAAAGGAGGAGAAAAATTAAAAGATGGAGCTTGCTAGAAGAAGATACACTGAGGACTGGTGTTGAAACGTAAGTAAATGATGGCATGCAGACGTACTTAAAATTAGACAAAGCACAAGTTCTAAAATATTCCTGTGATCATCACATTATAGGTATGGAAGGGGAAACTGGAAGCTCATTTTGAATGCATATCGGGACGTATTTGAAGAAAGAACTGAGGTAAATTTGGTGGTTCAACTCTTGTAATGCTTTGTGATATTTGTTTAACTCTATTCTTTTGGTCGGATCTTTTAATTATATTTGCAAATGATTTATAGGTTGACTTGAAGGACAAGTGGCGGAACATGACGAAATGATCCTAATTCTGAAGAAATGACTTAATTGTTTTGTTTGCTGGTTGGTGAAATGTTGCATATATAGCCTTTTTGTTCCCTTCTCAATTCTTTTCTTGGTAAAGCCCCTTAAGTCAAAGCTGTAAATTTTTTGTTGGAGTACTAGGGAAGGAATTGAGAATCTTTGTATATGTTGTGTTGTAGATGTATTCCTTAGTCGTCAGGATTAAGATAGCTTAACGCTGTACCAGTAGTTTATCGTGTGTTTAAGTTCTGTGAAATGAGAATGAAAGCAGTTGATCCTTCTTCCTCTTGCTGTCTCTTGAATTGAGCAACTGACCGCGAGTTTCCTATGAGTTCGGATTTGCCAATTGGTAGGGAGGAGTACTAAAAGTTGACTATGACTATCACGTCTCCGGACTCCTTAATGTTGCCTTTGACTAATACGTGCCGGCCGGGTTCACTAATTCTATCCCCATTTTCTTTTGGAGTGCGGACAAATTCGCTATCTAAGACAGGTTTCTCAAGTTGACTAATCCATATGCAAGACGTTGACATATGATGGAAGTACCAGTTCCCTTTTGGTATAACGTGAATTCTCTCAACCCTTCGGGGGATATCAAAACTTGTGTTCCAATTGATGGAATTACTGCGTCGTGTTGGTGACGGAAGTCCATTTTGCTGTAAAGGTCCCGAGTGAGACAGGCGAGTTTGCCATTTAGAAGTCGCAGTACCTGAGAAGAGTTATCATATATCCAAACAAACGTATCCAAGTGTTTATTTTTCCTTAGCAAGTGCAATAAGAAACTTGTGAATTGCAAATAAGTAAATGATCCACTACTGTTTCCAGATTCCCAACATGATCATGTTTAATCTGTCACTGATGTACCAAACTAATTAACTTCTGGTTCTAGTATTGATGTACAACAATTTAGCCTTTATACCCCATATATATAAAGTGTCGGCTATATACATCATACGACGCTTTCGGATTCTATCAGAACACAATTTTCATCGTGATCTGTCACCATCGTTTGTGGAAAGGGACAAACAAAAAAAGGAAGAAAAAAAAAAAACAAAAGTACAATCTCCTCAGCTGCCTTTGGAAGTAGCTAGGTCGCCCGTGGTGCGTCGACCATAAGCCCACAAAATAGGAGGAGCAGTTTCTTCTCTAATCTTTGCTGAAACCATATATGTCAGCTGCACATTAGTCATTACATGAGTATATACCAAGAACATGCGAGCACATATGTCTTGCTAGCTAGCTAGTCATTGTGTGGTGGAAGAGATGGAATTGATCAATGTGGTGTTAGAAGAGAGGTTGCGAATTCGCCACGTTCAAATAAGGCGGCAACATGCTTTGCTGGCAATTCTGAAGCAGCGGAGGAGGCAAGCACTTGTTTTGTTGGTGGGTTGATGATGATGATGACATTGGCTGATGAAACTGAAAATACTGTGGTTGGGGTTGTTGATCAGTCTGGTAGGGTTCCATCTCTCCAGTGGCAGATCTCAACCATTTGATATCTTCTTCCATTGCTTGGATTTGAGCTACAGAGTACATCAAAACAAAGTAGCGCGCAGCCGGTAAGAGCATATGAAAATTTTTACTAAAAATGAAAATTTTGAAACAGGACAATCGTTCTTGTATATGTACAAAAGAGTATAAAAATAAGAAATATGACGAAATTTAATACAACCACCTAAATATTGTATATACATACCATCGACTTGCTCAGCTTGACTCTCCATATTTTGCAGCTGACGCTTAAGTTCTATCTTTTCAGCTGCGAGTTCTGTGGTCTCCTTCTGAACAAAATTCATAACACATCCAAAGTTCAGATGGTCGCATCAGGAAGAAAAGGAAAGTACATGAAGCAGGAACTACTAAAACAAAAATGGCTTTTATTCATTTATTGATACTCATTTCTTTCCATTTCCAAAATACACAAAGAGACCACCTTTTCTTTGTTGAACTAAAACTACAACTAGCATAACAAACATTATTGTATTTTTATTTTCTTTTTCCTGAGACGTTTAGAATATGAAATTGAAGGGTAAATGAGCATGATGGGTTGGGTTTTAATTAGCGTTAATGCGATGTATCGGACCAATATTAACATAATTATAAAAAAAACACTTTGTAAGAGAAATAACTAACCTGGTTGGCGATGAGCCTGGTGTTGAGAAAAGCCACCTCCGAATTAAGCTTCTTTACATTCTCCTCGAGATCCACTATGTATTGAGCTTTTCTCTCCTTTGATCGTGCTGCAGAATGTCGGTTTGCCACAATCCTGAAAAATTCATTGACAACGTTAATTTTAAGACTAAACCTCACCATTCGTTTTGTATATTTGGACCAAAACACAAATTCACCTTGCACGTTTAAATTCACACAATTTTGTCCTAAACATTATATTTCACAACTTTTTTTGTCCCAAACTACTATTCCGATCATCTATCCGTCGGTGTCATGGGTAGTTTAATCGGACAAAATGTGTTCTTTAATCGTGTTGAATAAAAGTGAATAAATGACCTTCTATAATAGTTGACCAACGTGCAACGTAACTTGCCAACAAAAATTTCATGTAAAAATTTATTGCATTAATCTAACAAAAATAAGAGATAATAATAATAATAATAATAATAATAATATTCGCACGTTTCACCTCTTGGCTCGTTTAGGATCAATGGACCAAAGCTCAGCCAGCTCTTCGGCAGCCATTGCCTTCCTGGGCTCCACGAACCCGTTTTCCGCCGCCGCCGCTGCCGTCGTCAGACAACTTTGCGGGCTCCGCCGTTGCCGCTTCTTCAATGTGGGCCCAGTCTTGATCATCACGTTCTTATTCATTCTCTCCTTCTTCTTCCGCCTCCCGCCACAAAGGCGGACGCCGCCGCCGTTATTAGTCTCTACAACGAATCCGCCTCCATTTTGGTGATCATTGTCTTCTTCCCGATGAACGTTAATCATCCCTCCAGACGATGCATGAAGAAGATTATTAATGTTGTTCGTTTCTTTCATATCTTCCAGTTTCTTCATGTCAATGTAAGCCGAGAACAGATCATCCTGATCAGCCGCCATCTCAATAACTTCTCCGCCGCCGACGCCGCCGCCGGAAGACGCATTGTTGTTGTTGTTATTCTCGGTGGAGGAGAAACAATTCAAAAGGTCCACGTCAACGTCCGCGACGAGGTTCTCGTCATCATACGATGTCGTAAAAGCAAATTCCGGCCACCCCTCGCACCCTTTGAACGGAATGGATATTTCTTCCGGCTGGCCGGCGGAACTTTCGAAGAACAGAACCAACGGTGCCGCCGTCGCATGGCATGATGATGGCGGTGGGTTTGAACCTTTTTCCTCTGTTGTTATATTCATCATCGTCAAATTAATAAATGATGTAAATTTATTTATTTATTTGTTTTTAGATAAGGGATTATAGTTGTATAAAAAAAAAAGAGTTTTAAAAAGTCTTTGATATGATGATGAGTTTTAAGAAGGTTTTTAGGACACAAATGGGGTTTTGTTATTCAAAATATCCCTTGTCTTCTGATTATTATATAGAAGACAAAGATTTTGTTGGGAGGTTTTTGATAGGAAATGAAAAAAAAAAATTTTATTGATATGAGTGCGTGAGATTCAATTTTTAAAGTTTTTTATTTTATTGAAGAGAGACACTTGTCAAGGGTAGGTGAAATATAAGTAAAAAACAAAAGGGGGGGAAAAAAAAAAGAGAAAAAAAAAGAAAAGAAAAGAAAAGAAAAGAAAATGTATTAATTAATGGGAGCAAAAAACAAATAACAATTTACAGCTAGCAATCCTGAAATTCCCCTTATTACAGGGAAATTTTGATTGGTAGGGGGTTTATCTTTAATCTTTGCTAAAAATATGGCTTTGTTTTTTCCCCTACATTTGTTGCTACATTTGTTATTAGTTAAAATTATTCCCCTTTTCCTTTACCACTGTCTAGGGAATATACCTTAATTTAATCTTTTGGAGTAAAGTAACTAATGTAGGAATTATTAAAGCATTTTGTGTATTTTGAAACATGATGAGAGCCAAATGGAATGAAGTCAGGATGGTTGTCTAGGTTCCCCTTACTAACCTCCTTCTCTTCTCTGACTTAAAAGTTTTCTCTTGGTACTTTATTTGAGAAGAAAATCATAATGTTTAGGGGAAAAGGTGTATTTTAAGGATTCTCATTCTCTTTCGGAATAATGTGGAGAAAATAATGAAACGGGTTACAATTTTTAAATTCAAATTCAGCTAAAATGGCTTTTTTGTTATCATGTTATTAGAGCTTCATGGCCTTTTCTTTGGAGGGTCTTAAATGGTCATTTGAAACATACTATCAAAAAAATCTTTCCAACATAGTATATCAAAGCAATACTCAGACGCGGACAACCAAAAATGCCATAATGTAACATTTGAAGGTTTAAATGTATTTATTTACAAAGAGATAATTCCTCAAAATGCCATAATGTAACATGCCGTCTGTTACTTTTTTTTTTGGCTAATGCCGTCTGTTACTCGAATTAGCATATGACGCCTGTGGTGTTCATGGTGGTCCGGGTGATGGATTTCAAAGATAGACAAAATGGGAGGCAAAATCCCTCATGTTTTGCTTATCAAAATCAAGCATTAAGTCATCGTGGACCACCAGAATCACCACGTACTAAATCTTTCAAACAAACAGAATGTTATTCTCTTGTTTGAGAGGCAAATATATGTGATGGTAAGAGCGAGAATAAGAAGGCGAAAACCGCATCAATCTTGAGTCGATTTAAAATCCCTTTTCCTTTCTCGCCCGTTTATATATGCTCTTCAAAATCCACACTACCAGTCTACTTGGCATGCATATATATCTCTCTAATAACCGGCAATTCCTAAACATCATACAGCTATATTTGATTAAAAAAAAATTTTAAAAAAAAAATCAGAAGCAGCTTGTCTCTTAATCGAGAGGCATATATGGCGGGTCATGATGGACATAGTATAGTCGGTAGGGATTTTCTTCTCCTTTTCTTCTTTTCTCCTCCGATGAATACCCATCACCAGTCATCTCTAAGACGCTAACCACCAGAACCACCATGGCGCAGTGCACGACATACATCTCAAAGAAAAAAAAAATATTATCTCTTATTCAAGAGGCATGTCGTGCATCGCACCTATGGTGGTCATGGTGAATATGGTGGCTGTGGCGGATTCCAAAGAGAGGAAAAAATAGAGAAGAGAAAAGAAGGATAATGAAATATATAGAGTTTTTAAAGAACTAGCTCCACCAAACTCTGAACATGTAAAAGCATCCCCGGCCAGTTTGTACGAGTATGAAATTCCGACATCCGCATGATTTAACACTTGTTTGTTGGTGTCGCCGCTCCGACTATGGCACGTCCCGGGGGTCAACGGCGGTGCTTCCAATTACCATTACCATACCCGCCTTGGAGGGCTAGGGGAAGGGTCGGTATGGAACCAAAAAGCCTATGATACGAAATAATCTTCTATACCATATCTCTCTATATATAGAGATTTAATCATGGCTCCATTACCAACTCTGAATCGGAAACTAACAATCCTATTTCCCAAACAATAATAGGATATTAATTTTTAGGAAATTGCCTCAACCCTTATTTTTACTGTGATTTAGCGTGCTTGTTACGTTACGCCGGTCTCGTCCCCAAATTATTAGGAGAGATTGGAGTTTATGTAAGACTGATGATTATAAATCCACTCCCGATTCTGCTCTTGCCTCTCCCTCTAACAAGCAGCAGAGTATCAATAGAATGACACAATCTTTCTTCTCCTTTTTATTACTAGGGTTCATACCCTCCCGTGTAATGGTCCAATATTTTCTAATTGAATTGTTGACCTACTAAATAATTTAACGTCATACAAGATTGAAAGAAACGAGAGTGGCCGAGTAATTGTTGGTTTAGAAATGTATAATCATCAGAATTATACATTGATCAAAATAGTAATCAGAAGAAGCTTGTCATGGTGTATAGTATAGTCGGTAGGGATTTGAAGAGAGATATAGAAATCCATGAGACATAATCCACAAAAAATTTACATTGATTCAATCCTAAGAAAAACTTTTAAAATTTAAACTCAACTTACTTTTCTTTTTCTTCTTCGTATTTTCTCCCCCATTTATATGCTCATGAATACCCATCACTAGTCATCGTTAACCACCAGAACCACCATGGCGACATATATCTCAAACAAAAAAAAAAAAATATTTATCTCTTGTTCGAGAGGCATGTCGTGCATCGCACCTTTGGCGGTCATGGTGAATATGGTGGCTGTGGCGGATTTCAAATTTAAAGAGGAAAAAATAGAGAAGAGAAAAGAAGGATAATGAAAAATATAGGGTTTTTAAAGAACTAGCTCCAGGGTACACCACCAAACTCTGAACATAAAAGCATCCCCGAACTGATCGAGCGCAATTTAATTTGATCCCGGCCAGTTTCTACGAGTACGAGATTCCAACATCCGCATGGTTTTACGCTTCCAATTACCATAACCACACCGCCTTGGGGGCTAGGGGAACGGTGGCCCCCCTGATCAATCCCATCGGTTTGAAATTGGAACCAAAAAGCCTACTACTATACAAATAGTCCTCTATACTATATCTCTCTATATATAGAGATTTAATTATGACTCTATTCCTACTCTGAATCGAAAACTAACAAACAATCCTATTTCTCTTTCTCAAACAGTAATAGGATATGATGATTAGGAAATTGTCTCAACCGTTATTTTTACTGTGATTTACCGTGCTTGTCACGTTACGACGGTCTCGTCCCAAATTAATAGGAGAGATATAGGAATTTACACAAGACTGATGCATCCACTCCCGGTTCTGCTTTTGCTTCTGCCTCTAACAAGGAGCAGAATATCAATAGAATGACAGAGAACCTTTCTCCCTTTTATTACTAGGGTTCATATCCTCGCGTCTCGCGTGTGATGGTCCCGTATTTTTTCTAATTAAATTGTGGACCTACTAAATAATTTAACGTCATACAAGATTGAAAGAAACGAGTGTGGCTGTGTAATTGCTGGTTTAGAAAGGCATCAGAATTTTATTAGTGTTATTATAAATAGAAAGTCGATTACAAGTATCCTAAAAATTCCAATCATATCATTCACTAAATTCATCAAAATATTTTACAGAATTAGTATTGCAATTCAATAAAAAAAAAAGTTACACTCTCTCCGTCCAAAAATGATTGACTAATTTTTATATTTATTTTTAGTTCAAATTATACTGCTCTATCTGTTCCAAAATTGTTGTTTTTTACTTTAACTTTAATTTGTACTAAAATTGAAAATCCAAACTCGACAATAATTTGGGATAGAGAGAGTAAAAGTGAAAATCTCATTCGGACAATCATTTTGAAATATAGTAAACTAAAATCTAATAGATCATATCTTCCCAAAAACTATGTGAATATTGTTCCTAAAGAATTGATCTTTTCCATATTAACATCATATGCATCGTTGTGCCATTTTACATAAGACAACGGAATATTCTCTTCATGAAAACAAACAAATGGAATTTAATGTAATTTCAATTTGCATTTATCCCTTGATCACGACTATCGAACTCAAAAAAAAAAAGAAGAAGGCCATTTTGCATATTTGATTTGGTGTTTGTGCATTATGAAGTAGTAGATAGTCTAATTAAGAGCAAGTAGTCCAACACCTTTAACTTTTATGTCTTATCATACCATATTTATATGCCATCAAACCAAGGCATGCATGGAGACGGATGAAATATTCACATCAATTGACAAAATTGTTTGACTACATTGGAGTATTTCATGTGTGCCAGAAAAAAAAAAGAAAAAGAAAAGAGAAAATATCTCCTCTGTCATTTTGCTCAGATTCTTTTCGTGACAACTATGACAGATGACACGATGGAAGATATTATTAAAGACCTTTCCCACCTTCTCATCTAAAAAATGCCACAAAACTTAATAGTATATCTTGACATTTTGTGACACTATACATTGGAAGCGGTATTTAAACTTGGCTCGGTCTTTTATCTTTAAAAGTTGAATTTAAGTTCGAGTTATATTGTTATTTTGAGGGACACTATTTGGTTTTATTTCATACTTGGAATCAGGCCATAGATATGTGCGTTACTCTATAAAGTTATTTTCATTGGCAGCATCCAATCAATGAACGAACCACTATCACTGCTATTTGTTCTGTTGTGCAGTTACTGGTTTCCGAGAGTACAGTCTGCAAAAACATTGCATAGATTTCAAAAATCTTGTCAGAATTGATTTTGCTGCAGTCAAAGTTACTGAAAAACTAATAGTGAGAGATATACACAACCAAGAATAAGGTTAAAAACAACTAACAACTTGTTCCTTTTCTCTGCCATATCCTATTTCCCGATTCCACTTTCAGTTGTCTTTAATAAACATTCAATTCGCAAATTGGCCTTTTGCCATAAACTGGACCAAAAAAAAAAAAAAAAGCTAATCTCTTGATCATCTAGCCCTTCACTCATCATGCATATGGTCCCGAATTCCAATCAACCCTTTATTTGATTCCTCTCAAAAGTTCATTTTTCCCCTTCCTTATCCCCTGTTTCTTTTATCTTGTTGGAATCCTTCCAACAGAGTGCTCTGTTCACTCTCTGCTTTCTTCCTCCCCTGTTTATCATGTCACTGAAGTATAATCACACATGATTTTGAAGCCTTAATTACAACATTTCTGATCATCCCTTTTTGTTGTTTTTTGTTATTGAGTTAGAGGAACATCAAACTTTGATCATGATGGGACAACAAAAATCTGAATATCATCTGCCTCGGCATTTCCTCAACACTGATATTACAATTGCTGCAATTAATGAGTCCCGAATCAGCCCGCCAAATGGCGACGCGAATTTCGACAGCAACATGGTCATAATCTTAGCTGTTCTGCTTTGCGCATTAATTTGTGCCCTTGGCCTGAATTCAGTCGTCCGTTGTGCTTTAAGATGCAGCCGGAGATTGGTCTTTGAAACCACCGCAGAGGGAGTTTCTTTGCGTCTGGACTCATCAGGGCTGCCGAAGGACGCCTTACGCCGGATTCCGGTGGTTGTTTACAAGTCCGGGATTGATATTCCGGCTACCGATTGTCCCATTTGTCTTGGAGAGTTTACAGAAGGTGAGAAAGTCAGGATTTTGCCGAGATGCAACCATGGTTTCCATGTCAAGTGTATAGATGCTTGGTTAGTTTCGCATTCATCCTGTCCAAATTGTCGGCAGATATTGTTTGGTAATCCGGCCAACGCAGCAAGTAGTTAGTCTAAATGACGGAACCAATCTCCTCTTTTTTCCGGTCTCCCAGAATTCTCAGAAGACAATTTTCCGGTAGCTCTTCGGCGGATATATATGTAGTTCCGCCCCTGGCGCCCATGATTGATTTTAGTTTTCCGAACCATGGCTGATAAAAGTATGCATCTTTTGTTTGATATCAACTGGATTATTCAGAAAATTGTGCATATTCAGGCGTTTTAGTGAACTTGTACTGTTACATTTACAACTTCGATTAAAGGGGCAATAGATTTTTGAGCAAATCACGTTATCATACAGTTTAACAAGGACTAATTCTTCTTTAATTTTGTCTTATTTTTTATTTTTATTTTTCATATCGCATGGTGTTCATGCTGGACAACAATATTTCTAAAATGATGCCACTTTCGCACACCTAAATATCTCGCCGCTTTTAAATGTTTGACAGATTTGTCCGGTACGAGAATTAATGAGAGGGCCTGAATTAATTTTGATTTGGTCCGAGGACCACCGAATAACTTTCAGTTTCTAGAACATTAAGAAATGGTCCCAGACTGCTTTCCATCACCTATAATTTCTCGAATATCATTAGTCTTCTCTCCAGTAACGCACGGTCCAATCAATATAAGAATTATAGATGGAAAATACTAGCAATTCACATCAGAAAATCATCTGGTAGAACCGGTTTGAAATGGACAATGATAGTGAAAGGACTGCTCCATTAAAGACCAAAATGACAGCCCGCAGATTTTGGCCGGATAGGAATGGTCGGCAGAAAGATGCACAACAAAGATTACAAACCACCTTGAACTCAAAATCTGGTCTGGAATTGGCAGGGGCCCTCTAATCTATCTGAACGAATATCATTTGTTGGCTGCATTGGGAGTTGAAATTTACATATTTTTAGAGGGAAGACGTATGTTTTAGACAAATTTCGAACCCTCCGAATTAGAGATCTATTGAACTTGTGAAGTTTCATTTCATTGATCATTGGTATAAAAAGTTTCAAGTAATATACATACTTGGAAGATAGCAATGTTTCGTACATATCTAATGAGTGGTTGTTTATTGACCTAACAATATTTGTGTATCCATGAGAATGAATACTAATGCAGAAAGTACATATATTATTATTTCAATCCAGAAAGTACAACACATTCACTTAAAAAAGATGTATTGCCGAAAAAAGAACCAAATAATAGTTATAATTCAGCCATAAAAACCCAAACAAATTGATCGTAGAAATTTTATTTTAGAATGGCAAAGGGTGGTTTTTGGGGGAAAAATAAGGGGAATAAGGAGAGTGGGAGCCCATCACAAATGAACCCTGTCCATGGCCATGGGTGTTGCTCACAAACGACGGCATACTGTGGTGGCTATTGTATCCTCTGGTCGGAGGAAGCCTTGGGCTTGGGCTAATGGTTCTGGACATCGTCATTTCACTCCGGCCATGGCGGTTGTCTCCGCCGCTTCCTCTGGGCCCTTTTTCCGCCCACTTGAGTTCTTGTTGTTTCACTAGGCTTGGATATCCCATACAACACCCAATTTTTCCAGCCCTTTGTATGTACCTATCAATTGCAATCCACAAAATGACCATTTTTATTCCCCTAAGAGTCTCAAATCATATACTATGCAATTTATTTTTCTCGTGTCACCTTATTTTAAGAATCAATCTATAGTACGAATTCACTAAAATGTATCAGTACTTGTCGCCAGAGCAATTTTTATTTTTTTTCTTTACAAAAGTATGTATGTAGTTGAATCGAACCAATTCAACTGTCTTGTTTCTAATACAAAGATCATATGAATGAGATTAGATTCATATTCATGGTTGTTAATTGTTATCACAATGGCCGAGTCAAGGACAATTTGGAGAAGCAGGGGCGGAGGGGACAATGCCATATTGCCGGCTTTTGTATTAAAATAAACCATGGAGGCAGGGGCCAAATTGTGTCCTAGTGGAAAACGCATGCACCAAACACTGTACTATATGAAGGCTGTTTTGGTCCTCTTTTGGACAATTCTGGTGAGAAGTTACTGATTCTTTTTACCTAAGTTTCAGTCACCAATGTGCGACAACCAAAAAAATGATATATATATATATATATATATATTTGTACGATAAATATTGTAGAATAAAATAAACAGTATTGATCTATCATAAGTTGTCGATGTTATTGTCCTAAAACAATCATTGAACGTGACAGATAACGGGACTGGATCAACAGAGAAATGGAGATATGAACTGACCTTTGACTGAATCTTCGGCCTAAACACTCGATGCACTTTCGGCCTTCCGACATTTCTCCCATCCCAATCCTCACACACTGTCGGCAATATGCTCTTCCACACACCTGATATATATCCGGCAACAATATTGAAACCAAGCTTTTCAAGAATCAGTGCAATTTGAACAACATAATGCTACAGATTATCCTACTATTAATATTATGAAACTCGTGAAAATATCACGTTCATTTATCAATTTCGTGCTATACAAATCATACAAGTAAAAGAAGCATTACGACCATTCTTATGTTTGAAGTTGTACAAGGAAAATTTGAACAGCTTCCAAGTTACTCATTCTGTCCCAAAATTATTGTCCAATTTGATATTTTACTTTTAATACAATTTAAACTAAAAATAAAAATTTAAACTGGACAATAATTGTGGGACGGAGGGAGTATTATGTATATAAAAAAAAGTGGTTGTTCCATTTAATTTAACACATGATTTTTGTAAAACAAAAAATGAGGAGGAAAAAAAAAGGGAAAAGTTACCAGGCAACGATGACGGAAGACATAGATGTAGTTACTGCAAAGAGTGCAAATATTAGAATGAGGAATCCCCGGTCGCCGCCTTCCACCACCGCCTCTCTCCGTGAACGCGCCACTCATCTGGCTCATATCATCATACACCATGCTATTATTCTGCATTCCAAGATGATGATGATGATGACCACCAGCATGATGAGGAGGAGTTTCTCCATGACCATAATTATGATGGTGTTCCCGGTGATGTCCATGATGATGATGATTATGATGACTATTATTATGATGCATGAAATGATGATGATCAGAAACGTGATTAGAATGAAAGTTATGATTATTAATATTATTGTATTGCGCCGATGCTTCTAAAGCTCGGCTGAAATCCAAGCTGGGCAATTTGGCCAGCGGCATGACTTCCTCTTTTCTTGGGCTGGCTTCCGATATGGGAACCAACGGCGGCGAGTTTTTCCTCTCTAATGGATGATGAGGAACACTGGACACCCTGTTTTCTTGTCTGATTTCGGCTAAGTCCCCAAATGTAAGGTTTACTGAATCATCTGGAATCCCGGAATATAACTCTTCCAGCTCCCTTTTTGCTTTTGCCATCTTTGCTGCTGCTGAATCCCCCATTTCTTGCTGTTTATATATTTTGTTTGATTTTTTTTTTCTTTTCTTAGGGTGGGTTGTGAAACAGAATATGAACAGAGTTTGATTACTGTGTAACTGTGAGTGTGCGCGCGCGCTTTTTTTTTTTTTTTTCTGTTTTTCTGTTTGAGGTTTGAATTTTCCTTTTTCTCTAACTTTCTTTTCTGAATGAATTTGGCAGCTTTGGATATTTATAAAGAGGGTGGAGATGCATGGTAGGCAGATGCGACAAGGCCGGTCGATAATTTCACTTTTTTAGACAACCGATTACAAGCTGATTATTCTTGAATAATAATATTAATAAAAAACTACTATCCTTAATTTTGAAGTATTGTTTATATATATATATATATATATGTGTGTATATTCAGCTGCATATTCTTTTGGACTAATTTAATCAACACTGAATATCCCATCAAATTAACGTTTATTTGACCAACAAAGACCCGTCATGATGTAAATAAATTAGCTAGATCACTTGGAGTATCATCGACGTGTTTTGTTTCAGTTAAGTAAATTATATTTTAGAGACAGAAAAGTATATCATATAACCTAAATTAATTTGTTTGTCTTGCAAAAACATCTACAAATTCATGTAAAGGGTTATGTTTACATAATATATTCCTTCTGACAAAAAAATTAACTACCGAATGGTTAGAACTAAAAATAGTAGTATAACAAACTCCTGTGATGAGAATATAGAGCGAGAGCAGTAAATAACAATGGCCATATGGCAATATTATAGAAACAAATATCTACAAATTCCGAAGTCTCTGTCCATTTACATAATAGGGACGTACGCTGGAGCTGAGCTAAGTGAGTCAAACTAACTCGTGTTTTTATCGATGTTTTCCCGGAGGATATTAACATTTGGCCGTCCCGCGGAGCTTCTGCCGGATACCGAGTTTAAGGTATCTCTTATAGCGAAAGAGAAAATTCCAAAATCGCAACACATTCGTGGAATTTAAACCCAAGCGTGCGCACAGTTTCAACTTTTAATAATAATATTAATAATCATAATAAACTAGAAAAAGGTGACGAAAATATCTGCTACAATGTACGATGAAATTGAATTGGTCGCCTTCATTTATTTAAATAATAAACTCCGACAGGTAAAAATATCATCATGCATATCGTTAAGACTGTTGATGACCCACATATATATAATTATAACCTTCTATTACATCAATGAATTCGTATCCACACCTCAAAATCATACTTCCTTCCGTGCCCGAAACTGTCGTGCAGTTTGAGATTTCACTTTTAATACAAATTATACTAAATATAAAAATCTAAACTGGACAATAATTTTGAAACAGAGTATTATAATAAGAAAAGTAAAACATGGGGATCGCAAATTAGAATCATGTAAATTCAAACAAAAGAAGACAAAATTGTGGAGTTTAAAAGTATATTGGTGTAGCCGGACATAGCTACTACACTATTTTTTCTCAGCGAATAGTACTAGCTACTTCTTTGCTTTGGTTGTCTTTAGCTTAAATTTGGAATTCGCAAGAAGATTCATAGGGAAATTACGCGTTCTTCGACCTCACACGAGGGGAGGAAATGATCAAATTTTTATGTGAGCGAAGAAGAACGTAATGTTAATCTCAATGCGCCCTAAAAAAAAAATTAAATCTGGCAATTTTTGGAAGGCGTATATTCCACAGTGATGAACCACATTTTGTTTGTCTTTTGATTCTGCACCCTGTGGATTCTCCCATCATCGATCCAGCATTTGCTTACCACAAATTTTCCAGCACCGATCGGAAAAAACAAAGAGAAGAGATTGCTCAATTATAATCTTCACTCACCACGAGAGATCACATATGTGCATGCATGCTGAAATTGTACTCAGTCAGTTGAATGTCAAAAACGCCAAAAATTTAGATCATGATGTTACATCAACCAGAGTAAAGAACCCCGAGGTCAGAATCGAGGCAAACAGTTCATACATTAATTCAAATCAAACAATAAAATATTTTTCACTCAAAATAAAAGAAAGAAAATTTGTGAATTATCACATCTTTGAACCACAACTAAAATAGATTCATCAACAATTATTATTATTTTATTTTTTTTTGGCCATTTAGTAATCTTGATGTTTTTTAAGAAAATGAGAAAAGCGTTATGTATTGGTGTGAATGGGAAGCTTTTTTTTAGATATATATATATATATATATATATATATATATATATATATATATATGTAAGGGTAGCCAGAGGCTTAAATACAAAAGTCCCTATGTGAGAAGGGAGCTCGCTAGTTTGTCTGAGATAAGGAGATCTGCAACACTAGTTGGGGATGTGGAAAGGATATGTCTCCGTACTGGGCAGAGGAATCCAAACTTGGCCAAGGCGTCGGCTACCTTGTTTCGATGCCGGCGTACATGACCAATGTCATACTTCTGAAAGAAGTCTTGCTTTGGGCATGATTTCAAGAAAAGTGAAGGCGGGCTAACGGTTGTTTCAAGTGCGTGGGCTGATTCTGTTACAAATCCAGAAATGACAACTTTCTTTCTACAAAACCCTAACTACAGACTACAATACTTTTGATTCACAGAGCTAGTAGGCAAATTTTACAGCCTAATAGGCTAATACTACAAAGCACACAAAAATTCAACTGATGCAGTAATTACGGCACGGAAAAAAAAAATGATGGATGAAAATACCCCCAACAAATTGGGAATTTCTAATTGTGGCTATGCTCAGTATTTTTTCTCACCAAAAGATGTATTAAAAGTAATAACTCACAAGACAGGAGACCTGTAACTTTCTCCAAAAAAACCACCTCATCAGAGTTTTCTTGCAAACTACCTACTTCTTTATCTGTGTATAATAACTATTCATCATCAACCTTCTTGTCCGGTTCACCATTGGCTGAACTGCTGCATCCTTCATCAGCAACAACTTCAATTCCACTGGTAAGATGGGACGTCGATGCTTGGCTCAAGCTTGAGATCCCATTCTGCCTCAAGTAAATGTCCAGCGGAATGCTGGCGGCATCAATGAGTGAATCCATGTTTATTCCTGCGGCCGCCTCAGCCAACATGTCCTCCTCCCTCCCGGGATGGCTGTTGAGGTCCAAATGTCCCTTGCCACTCTCTTCCACATCCACTTGGTTCCCAGCCTGGCTTATGTCAGCATCCAGCTGATTCACCTCCACTACTGCAACCTCAGTTGCACCCTCCATTGCAGACGCCTCTTTGGAATTATCTTGGGTAAGACCCTGGGCAAGTTCAGCTTCTCTTTCCGATTGGCGCTTCTTCTTACGTTGCATTAGTGTTTTAAAGCGGCGTTTCACAGTAGCGCAGACAGTGCACTTACACTGTTGTGGGTGCTTCCCCTTTCCACTTGGAGGCTGAATACATACGATACAACTGCATCCCGGACGATGCCGAGGATGTCTCGTCGTTGTTGCTTCAACTGAGCTCTCGGCCAAGTCTGCTGTGTTGTCCCCTAAAACCGCTGCATTAGCTAATGCATCTAAGCCAGAGGGCTCACTTTCCACGCTACTTCCAATCATTTTCCTCTTATAATCTGGTAAAAGGTAACGAGTTAGGAATGCATCCGAACAATTTAAAAACAATCTGGCTGGAATAAATCCAACGACAAAGAAAAGCATAACTCAAGAACCCCTAGCAACATAATGGCTGTATAACCAGATGAAGATGGCTTGCGCACATTCAAAATTTATGCTTTTCTTCCAAAAGTGAACAGATGTGGCAAATTTATCAGTTCCAGTGAAATGTAAGGGATCCATGACCCATTTTTGTCGAAAATAACAAGATAAAAAACATTGGCAAACAACTTCAAATGACTTTTCTTTTCCTTCTTCCAAAATGTATTGTGACTTTGGATTCACATGCAAGAACCATCTTAAGGCATGTTGCTGGAGAAGAAGCCATGGTAAAATTACACATAAACCAGACAAATCCAGATCTGTAACACAGAGAACAAAAATAGGAAAATCTTTGGGGAATTCAAATAAGAAATCGGCTCATACCCTTTCTGGATTTATTGAGAGCATCCTCTTCCCTCGGATTTATCTCATCAGGAGCAGAACATGAACTGTAGAAAGCAAATCACAGGTGTAAGAAGTGTTTTGAACTTTCATCCTTCTGGTTCGAATTCACATTAACCCATAAACACAAGCAGATAGGCAGAAATGCCACTGAAAGAACTTCGATGAAACTAACATGAATGCTCAGACTCCAGCAAGAAAAGAAAACAGAGTATCACAGAAGCAATAGAGGATGAAATATAATGAAGATGAGTAGGGAGGAATAGTTCTTGAAGCGAGTTAAAACTTGATTTAGAAGCAAAAAAGAAAAGAAAAGAAAAGGAAGCAATGAAGAAATTTAGGACAAACGAATTCAGCACAACATTATTTCCCAGTGATCATCTCCTGTTTTTTGTCTTGTAAAATAATGTTAACAACCAACCTGTTTGGGTCATAAATATTGTCTGAACATGTCCAACTTGCAGGAACAAGATAATCCACCGGCAATTTCCGCCATTTACTGCAATTGTCGCACTGAACCCACTGTTCCTGCTTCCTGTATATACAACTTCCACATTTCAGAAACGAACACATTGGTCTGTAATCAATCGAACAACGAAAAACTTGTTTTTTAAATCTTTAATCATCATGGAATCCAATTCAATCAAAAGCTATAACAGATAGAACTCAAACTATTTACACGATTGAAGAAATTAAAAATTCCTCTGTTGACACATTTTGGATAGCCATTCTAATCAAAGCCTTTTCTTTGGTATTGCCAAGGAAAATTATAAGATTTTGATACAAACTAAAGGCATAGACTTCAAGTGAGAAATTCTTTACTTAGTCAAATTATTCTTCATTCCTAAGTTTGCATGAAGACATGACAATCAACTTTTTGCTCTCCGAAACTCTAGAGAGTTTGAATCCAAAAATCAATTCTAAAACTCATAAAACACTATAAAATTGATTTTAAAGTTTAAATCATTAACCATTATAACTAAAATGGGCATCCGTACCCGGATGGTCCAACCGTAAATGTGGTCTTTTTCCCAAATATAGGTGGTTCCTGCGAAAACAGAAAAAAATGGAAGCTGTATGAAACAAGGTCGAACGTGCAAAACTTGAATGCTTCAGCATTTCCAACGCAATAAATATATAAAGAGAGGAAAACGGAGGAGGGTGCTCACATCATATTCCTCGAACTCATAGTCATCAATTTTGATAATAGTAGGGTTATTGGTGGGAGGTGGACGCAGCAGCTCTTGCGCTTCCTCCCATGTCACTCTAAGTTCAAGGGCATCATCACTATGCATGAGGAGCCTCTTGTTTTTCCCAATATTACGTGCCTTCTTTTTCTCTGATATTAATGTTTGCTGTTGCAAGGAATCTTCTCCAGTGTGACTTCCATTCTTCACATTTGTTGAACAATGAGTTAGTAATAAGTCAGCTATCATGGAAAATTGACAATCTTTCTGAACTGATGGACAAATGACAAGGGTGAGCACTTACGAGCATGTTGTCACTTGCACCAGAATGTGAATTTTCCCCAGAAGAACCACCATTAGGAAGGCCAGAAGATGGTTGATCCTGTTTGTATGGAGCTCAAATAAAATTAATAATAGGATTGAAATGACAACCGAACAAAAGCTGTCTTCTTATAGAAGAAATACGTATCAAGCTTCACCTGATTATCAACATTACTGGTTGACTTTCGGAAGCCCATGACAAGCTGTCCACCAGGATCTATTCGGCTAAATGTGACTACAAAACAGAAGTAAAATGCAAGTGTTAACACAGTATCACACAATGAAATTAATAAGGGCATCACAATGGGAAAAAAAGAAGTCACATATTATAATAACTTACAAGAAGCCAAAAGACAAATAAAAACATTAGGCCTGAAATTTAAAAGAAACTCAGAAGGAAAATTTAACTACTGAAACAGGGAACTACTGAAAAAATTTGGTCATTAACAGAAGATTAGGTAACCCGTCGAAACAACAGAAGAGAACTATAAACCTTCACAATTCTGCATAAAATCATCAGCCAGCAAAATTTAGGCATTTTTAGAAATGTTATTTCTTAAGAGGGTATACAAGCTGATGACACCATACCAGTATCACCCGCTTGTAATTGCATGTTCTGTATGCAAGGAGTAACCCCTTCCAAGACATACATCCTGCTGTTATTATTGGGCCAAAACCTGAACTGGAATGTCCATTCTTTCCCCTTCACATCCTGTATTCTAATTGGAAGACCTTCTGATTGGTTGATAGGAGGGAAGTATGCCTGTGTACATTTGACATTAAGATTCTTCAGTAAAACGGCAGTGGAGAAGACTTTGAACTTGTGGAAAGTTGAGAAGTCAACGTTCTACTTGCAGAAAGCACCTAAAGAAGGAACAACTCACCTCAGCGCATGCTTTTGGCAGGACAAGACGACCTATCCGACCAGCATCACTGGCACTAAGAACCTTCTCAAACAACGGTACAATTGTAGATTTTAAGCTTAAGCATATGAGTTAAGTTAAACAAGAAGTCACAAGCATAATATCTGAACAGAAATTTACTTCTCAAAACTTAAAAACAAATTCAACTGGCACAAAATAAATGCAAAATGGATACTCTCCAGAGATCTGCTGCAGTTCTTGTTCTGTAATTCTGGGCCAGTAGCGAGGAAGCAACTGACTACGGCCTCGTCCTTCAGCAGGAGGCCTTGCAATGCGTGGTTGTGAAGGGGATCTTGTAGCATCAGAGCCTGCACTAGAGACAGGCTTAGGAGGTTTTGGAAGAACATTGCGGCTCCTTTGTGATGGAGAACCTTTGTTCTGGTCACTTCCTTCAACATGCGCATCAGAAAATGGAATCCCTGAGCTTGAAGCACTCAAAGTATTGCTCAACGACATATTTAGAGGTGACTGAACAAGAGACTCATGCATGTCTTTAACTCCTGGTTCTGCTCTATGACTCTCAGGTGTAAGATATATGGATGATCCAAGTGGCTGCTGGGCAAAATGTGGAGAGCCTATGTTGACTTCCCCAAAAGGAAGCATAGTTCCTTCACTTCTACTCTGCCCTAGATATGATGATGCATTGCCATAAATCTGAGTTTTCAGCACCTTTCTGGAACCACTTATATCAAAACTACTGCCAATTTGCAACAGGTCACCGAAATTCCTGCGCTTTCCAACAGTGGGTACCACATCTATATTCACTGTTCCATTGGCAATAATATCATCTCCTAATATCTGTACAAAATGGAAGAACATTCAAGAGTCAAACACATAAATGAATTAATCTTCTTTTCGAATAGATAAATTTTATTCAAAGTCTTAACAACCAATGTCTCGGCTCCAGCAATCACAAAGCTAGACGGGAATCTTCAATGAAAAATTACACTTCCAACATAAAAATGCCACCTTTATACAAACAAGTGGCACGATGATGGTCAGATAAAAACTTTAAATGTTTCAATGGAGAAAAATCACCTGCACTGGTTGTAAAGGAGTAGCATCCCTACTCTTAACACAGCTTGCACACGCCACGCCTCCGGTATCCAGGCAGTCAATCAGCAGTTTTGATGCCACACATCCACAATGCATAGGCTGTAATCCCAAAACATAAAGGTGTAACTTTAGCACTAAAGCCACTCTTTCTATTGGACAGAAAAACAAAACAAAGCGGTAAACAGTTAGATATGTATCAGTACCTTCCCACATATCCTGCAATCCCTCCAACCATCCTCCTTCCTATGAAATGTATCGCAGAAAGCAAATTTCTCATATGCAGCTCTGAAAATCATCAAAAGCCACGGAACATTATTTCAGTACTCCCATGAGAAGGCAACATAATAAAACGTTCAGATTACATCAAAATACGATGTTATCAGGAACAAGACACCTGAGTTTTGCGTTAATTCATAAGAAAGATACAATCTTTGTTAACTTCTCATTAAAAACTAGTAAGAAGTTATTTTTACTAGATGTGCTTGTTTAGTTTTATTCTGAGTGACGCATCATATACCCAACCCAACAATATGACCCTAGAAATTCATACTTACCTAAAAAGAACACGCGTATGAGCACATTTCTGACCTCTGCACTACTAAAAAAGTTTTGCCTTTTGATTTTGCATGCAAACCACGAGGCAAATCCAATCTCAATAGGGCTTAATTTTGATTTTAGTACATGAATAAATGTAGACTTAACTGCCCAACTACGTAGCTTTAATTTACACACCAAATTTTGCAAAATTGATTGGAAAAAAGTCCATGTTTAAGGGAGAAACCAATTAACCCGAGAAATGTGGCATAGATGATGCACATTATCAGCCTAATTAGGGGATACGGAAATATAGGAGTAAAGCATAATCCAATTTAACCCATAAAATAGAAAATTCTTAATTGAAATCACAAAAAGAAAAATTAACTGCTGGGAGAGAATTTAGGGATCCAACATGAACACCGTCCCAAAATTGCCCCCAATCAACAAAATCCCAAACAGAGACATAAACATGAAATCTCTTATCATGAGAAAAAAAAAAAAAGAGAGAAAGGGATAAAATTGGAATGGGGGAGAATTTTTTTACCCGCAGCTGTAACAAAGTGTGGCGAATCCACCGGATTTGAGTACCCAACCATTCTTCCATTCGGACGACGTCGTCAAACGGCACGACTCGTTCATGCAAATCTTGGACATCATGGCTTATTAATCTCCTCCCCAAAAGATTTAATTATGAATCATCAATCAATCCTACTAAAACGAAAAAAAATAAATAAATAAATCCAAACCCATGCCAGAAATAAAAACACAAAATCCCAATTCAATCAAGAACCATCAAAGATTACATTTTTTTTGACCCAGATCAAACGACAAACACGGCCACAAAAACATCGGAACCAAATAATCAAGAACCCACCTTTATTGAAAAAAAAAATTTGGACGTCCACATGTAAGCGAGACTTCAATTAAGCAGCTGGCAACACTCAAAAACACCGCCGGAGATAAATCAGAACCCGAATCTGAAACTGGGTCAAGTCAAAAGGGGGGGCAGAGGAGCGGCGGAGGAGCGGCGGACGGTGGCAATGGGATTGAAATTGTAACGGCCGGTGGGTTTGTTTAGGTAGAGAGAAGATTAAAAAGACCCAAAAAAAACACAACAACAACAAAATACTAATAGTAGAGAGAAGAAGAAAGATAGAAGCAGAATCAGATTTTACAGAGAGAGAAAGAGGGAGGAAAAAAACAGAGGAGATTTGGGGGAAGGGGGTTTAGAGAGAGAAAGCGTGTATGCATGCAAAGTAATACAAAGAGGAAGAGATGATGATGATGATGATGGAGAGATGGCACAAATTGCATGCACGACACTTGAAGGCACCGCCAAGTTCTTGATGTGATGAATTTTTTCCTCTCTTCTCTTTGTGTATAGTTTTGGAGTTTGTTCGTCTTTATTAGTACAAAACAATATACCACAATAACAAAAATTTACTACTCACAAAAAAAAAAAAAAACCCCCACAGTCAGTCCCCACTACCTCTTTCCTCGGTTTATGGCCTTCAATTTGGACATAGTGTAAGTTAGCTGTGAGTTTCCAAAATATATATAAAAAAAAAAAAAAGAGAAGAAGAAAAACAATCAAAACATATGATATAAATTTATTATATAGATTCCTGGAATTTCTTTTTCTTCTTTCTATGTTGTGGGTAACGTAACATATATATACATAATATTACAGTAATCTCTCTAGTTTATTTATTTTTTTAATTGAAAAGAAAAACATAAAAGGAGGAAAAAAAAAAAAAGGGGTTAAGACGTGGGGTCATGGGTTTTACCGTACCATTTCATTTCATGGTAGTTAGGACCAAGAGTATGAGTTAAAAAAGAAGTGTTTTATGGAGACTGGGATAAACTGCTTAAGGTTTCGTAGATTCTTTGGACTGGACTTTTGAGTGACTTGAGTTTGAGTTTAATCCTCAGTACTTTGGTTAAACTTAACGTGCGGCCGTTAACTTTTAACTATTAGACAGGTTCATTTACTTTGTGTTGACTCTTAATTTTTAGTTTTACCCTCGGGGTAATAATAACGTACAAGTCAAACCATGTCTATGTATACGGTGCTGTTTACGTACAGCGTATCCATGTACGTATATTTCACTCTTTTTTCTTCTTTTTTTTTTTTCAAAAAATTCGCCCCAATGAACCCCACTTAAGTGTGGATAAAACTTCCCCTTATCAATTCCTTCGTGAGAATCGAACTATGGTCTATTACCAGGAAATGTGCTTTATTATGACAAAATAATCAATAATCTTTTTCATTACCCATTAAAAAAAACATGGGCAAACAAATATACTGCACTTTGTTTCCTATTCCCTTATTTTTTCTACTGCTTTGGTGGGTTGTGCAGTTTTCATTCTCTACCTAACAAACAATTAGCATTGGCTGATTCGGTAGTCCTACCTGAGATTCTCTGGCATCCTATCTTTATAAACTTAAAACGTTACTTCCTCCCGCATGTTTTATATATTTGCCTTTATATTTTTATATACATCGAGAGTTCAAATAAAATAAAATTATTTATTTTGCTTATTACACATTCATTATTACTTTTAGCATGATATTATTACTATGTAATATTAATGAATGAATGATCTGCCGTAGCTTTTCCGAACGGATTGTGCGTAGCGTAGAAAATATAGGAAAAGAAAAATTTTCTCAACGTCAACTTGCGTTAAAATGAGGGTTTATATTATTTTTCTGTTTAAGATATTATTATTGATTAATATATTAAAAGAAAACGTCCCGGGTACTAATGTGACATGATTAATACACAATTAACATATAAGATCTGGTCTTTAGCAAGGCAAATAACAACTCAGAAAATGGTGAGTTTTTGGGGAATTTGGTTTTAATTTTCTATTGTAGTGCAAAGAGTACGTGGACGCTAAAATTTAATTTTCTAATGCACTTGAAAACCCTTCGGTTGGACCATTAATTCACACGTGAAGTTGGAGTTGTTATTCTGTGCACTGGAAAATTAGAGTACTTGACAGCCTCCGCGGATAAACAACTGAGTCGATAATGATAATAATTAATTAATTAATCAAAGAGATTACTATTTGATATTTCCTTCTGCTTCCCTATTTTGGTCTAATTTCTTTGATTTAAAATATTCATAACGTTCTTAATTATTTTTAGTACAAATTAGAAAACTCAATGTAGATTATTTTTTTTTTAAGGACAAAGGCAGTAAAAAAAATATTTTCTTTTGTCTGGACGGAAAGGGAGTATAATACTCAATGTTTTCATAACGTTTACCAGATTTGACGATGAGTTCTCCTAAGCTTATAGCGACTAGAGTTTGAGTTATATTCATAGAGTGATTATTTTCACCAACAAATTCTAAAGCATGTACGGTAAAAATGCACTGGTATGCTTTTTCTTTCGCGAATTTTGTTCTTTAGTTTATCATTTTCGGTGAAGTAATTAACAACGGCGTCGTTATCATATTGTGTAGTTTCTTTCATTGATACTAGTACTACTCTTCATCATATTGTGTAGTTTCTTTCATTGATACTAGTACTACTCTTCATGCACCAAAAAATATGTACGTGGAGAAGTTTAATAGGGTTAGATAGTGGCTGCTATAATCGTATATATATATATATATATATATATATAAATTAAATAAATGTGTCACAGTTATGGAATTGGATTTCCCATTTTAATTGTACCCACTCTCTGACTATCATGTGCATGCTACAAAAACACGTACGTGGTCGTCACACACTATTCGGTTTTCATTTTTTGGTACATGAACAATGAATGATGGGAGAGATAATTTCAATCGAGTTGGGATATAGTACTCCTAGTAACTATATATCATATTTACATTAATTTTTATGTGAATCGGGTAAAATTGGCCGGAGGGTATTTAATTTTTAATCAATTGCGTTGGTAAAATATAATGACATATCATCCAAGCAAACGATAATATTGGAAGAACCAAAAGCATATGTCCAAATCTGAACGGAACATGATACCACATGAGGTGAATGAAGTGCATGCACGATGTATATTTAAAAATTGAATAAAACTTATCTACGCACAAATTTTATTTTTTTTTAAAAAAAAACCCCATTAAGCATCATACATACATTCATTCTTATCATAATTATTTGCGCGAATGAGTTCTGGTTATAAGGGATCATTTATATAATCTCTCCATTTTAAAATGATTGTTGCGCTTGTTTTTTTTTATTTATTTATTTTGAATATATTATACTGCAAATAAAAATTTACATTATTAGATAATTATTTTATGATGGATTAAATATATGTATATATAAATAATTACAAACCGAAGGCTATCACAAAAACGATTTCGGGAATCCCATGTCTAAGTATACTTTTGACCCATGCGCACTACGTCAGTGTATATCAAATTGGTTGTCATTTTTTGCACCAAGAAAAAAAAAATGGTTGTCATTTTTCCTTGTTTTCGCTGGGAGAAAAAACCCTAAAATAACTACGTAAGTAACACATTTAGAATGAATTGAAAATTGAATGTTTTCTCTAAAGGATTATAAGGTGGTAGATCTGCAGCAGCAGTTGTGACAGTATCACTACTATATAGTTTACTCATGGCCAAGATTATTATAAATTATATAATCATTATCCCAATAATGAGAATTAAGTTGTTATTGTTACTTCCAGGCCGAATAATTAAAGTGCAAAATTTTATTTACTCGTGCTCCATTTATATTCTCTTTTTTTCTTTTTTGAAGCTGTCATTTAAGTATATTCTTTGAATTCATCATAAGTTCTCTACATGTAATGCCTGCCCATCACCTAAAGTCAATGCAGATAAATATTTGACATTAACAATGCAGGGTGTGACATCGTGACTTCTTCATCCCTTACCTCCAAGTTTTTTATTTAATTTTTTTTAAAAAAAAACAATATTCAGAATTCTGAAATCATCGGAGAGACGCAAATATAAAAAATATTTAATATAAAAAAAAAACTCCTTATTGGCGTGTTCATTTGTATTTGACTACGTTTAAGGACTTAGATACTTGTTCAATGATTAGAAGAGCCTTAACATCTTCTTATTCAAAGCTAGCTAGTGCCACATAACCCATAGATCAATAACGTCAACTGATTATTTTAAAATCAATCCGGCCATGATCATTGCCTTATTAATTTGTCAAACTGTCTAATCATCAACTTGAGCAAAATCCACACCTAAAATTTTTTATTATTATTATCTTTTTTTAAAAAAAAAAGAAAAGAAAAGAATCAACTTATACAAAGAATGCTGAATGCATGCAGTTGCAAATAGAAATGTAGCATTTCTTCCCTCCTATTCCTCCTTTTTTTTCGTGGAGAAACGGAGATGAGTTAATAGTTTGGCAACGTATGTAGTACTCCCTCCGTCCCATAATTATTATCCATTTTGAGTTTTTATTTTTAGTTTAAATTATATTAAAAGTGAAATCAACTGGATAATTTTAAGATAGATGGAGTATTATCTTGTTCGTTTTTGGGTTGGAATGCTGTTATGAAATTATGTGCTGTTCGGGTATCAATGTGAACAAGTGGATATATTCCGACCGCAATAGTGTAAGACTTTGTGTGATAATGACAAAATTTAATAACATGTGGATTGCATGCATGCATTTTTTTAAATATATGTTATTTACGAACCGTTCGATTATATGATGTAAACTCGCCAAAACAAAGAAGCTTTGCATGGCATATGAACAACCGTTTTCCAACCCTATTTTTAGCAACCAAAAAAAATATTCATATCCCTTTAATTATTAGCCGGCTCATTGTTTTCAGATCCCAGCACTGAAATCTGGCATATCAGTATTCTCAAACTACGTTTACTGAGGGAGATTGGATCAAATGTATAATATATTTACAAGGAAAGCATAAACGATTTCTTCTTGCCCAAAAAAAAAAAATGTCCTATGTATGATTTTATTGTTTTAGTGTTTACAATATGAATTTTGAGTTTTGGGAGCAAATGAATTATAACTTCAGGGAAGAATTTTTTATTTTACTGAAAAGCAGTGTGTGTTTACTAATATGACCTAAAGTCGAAGTATTTGTAATTTGCACTTAAACTGTTGATGAGTTTCTTTTTGAAACCATCAGTATCATGCATGAGTGAGGAGAAAGGGTGTTCAATTTGATGTTGAAGTTGGTAAAATTTGAACTTTCGATCTTTTGAAATAATAGGTGTTTACGATATGACATTAATGCAGATATTTAACCTCGATAATTGACAATTGTAGCATGCAAATGCGAATTGCTTGTTCTTTTTCTTCTTTTTTCCTAATGGAAATGAATGAGCAACGTTATTATTATTAGCTATCATTACAATTTACAACTTTAAATCGATCCATGCATTTTGAACCGTCGAAAGTCAAAACACATCGGTCCGTAGTTTGGTGCATGGATGAATTCGTTTAAGGCCTGATTATAATACATTCCCAAATCTAACGAGAATAAATTCATCACCCCCATTGACGTTTCAGCTATACACCACTCTTTTTTTTAACTCATTTTTCAGACATCTCTTAAGTCTCAAATACACAATTAAACCAATATCTGTAACACTGGGAAAAAAAGAAAAAGATCTAAATTGCTGATCATATTCAATTGGCAAAAGGTGCAATTACTAGTTAGGTATCATTGGGCTATGTACAAATATATTGCAGCCTGAAGAATTGATGCTTTCATTTGACAGAGAGAAGTTGGGCTCACACCAACGTGTTGAATAAGGAATTTATTAGTGGCCCAATAAGTTGACGAAAAAAGTCCACTCTTCCATCCACACTAATGGCTTTTTCTCCTGGCATTTGGATTCTAGTTCTACTAGCTAAGGTCAAAATCGCAGGGGATTATGGTTGAGTGAGAATAATTTATCACCAAGAAAGTAGTGTTTGAATCCCATATTGGGCATCAGTTTAAATACGAAAGGAAACTGTAAAAACGCTTTTAACGGTAACGTGTTTGTTAGAGGTTTGAATGATTTAGGAATATTTGGCGATTGCTCTTCGGTTTCTAATACTCCCTCTGTCCCAAAATTATTGTCCAGTTTGAGATTTCACTTTTAGTACAATTTAAACTAGAAATAAAAACTCAAATTGGACAATAATTATGGGACGGAGGGAGTATTTTTTTTTTTCCTTTTTCTTTTTTATCATGATTTTCTTTTCTTGTTATGACATGCATGATTTTGCATGCTTTTGAAACTTGAAAGCAAGGACGATTAATTAGGAGTGATTTTTACAGATGCTTCTTGCTCGGAGTTTCCTACGTTCTAATAAAATGAATAAATTGCCCGAATGGTTTTTCCACTAAAAGAAGGAGACGTAAGAACGGACGGTCGCCCCCAAACTAGCTAGCTAGGGCTATATGGGACATCCATGCGAGACCAAGGATAAGTCCAATAAGCAACTTCAATTATCTTCTTTATTACTTATATAACACTCCATAAAAGAGTCGTGAATATTTCGGAAAAAGAAAAGGAGAAAGGAGAGAAAAAGTCCACTGAAACGTAAATCGATGGAAACCTAGTAATTAGATGTCAATTGTGAATTATATGAATTTTGTGAAGTTTGAAAGCACTGGAGAGGTCATTTCATGCAGTAGATTCCACATGTGCATGGACTTTTATTTTGGCTTTGTATCGTGTTAAACATGTTACAAACTTGTTGTTGCTTTCCTCCTTTTCTTGAGAAAAAAAAAAAAAATGAAATGACCAAACAGTTGAGAGCTTTTCATGAGTTTCGGATATTTATTCCTACGACGAAGTGAGTTTGAGAATTGAAAGTTTCATCAATCATCAATCATCAAACTTCCCTACAATAATAACCAAAGAATTTGGATCCATTCTTCTACGCGCACAAGATTCAGTCTGATCTTGTGAGTTGTGATCATAATACAAATCCGAAGTAGTACAAAATATACGTCAATCAAGAAAACGAACGAACTATTAAGTTGGCGGCTTAGCCGCTTGGCGCATGACTAAGAAAAGGTTGAATTATATGCACAATCACAAAGACACAAACATAGTAGTAGTGTTAACAAAATCACTACCAAACCAAAAAATAGAGATACAAAATGTTACAAATACTATATAGAGAGTAAAAAAAAAAGATTTTGCATGGTTAGGCCAAATTTCAGTTGCATTTATCGACAATAACAAAAATAATTATGTCGTCTCATTTTAATAATTCAGTTAATTGGACGGAGGGAGTAATGTTAAGAGGATAGGAATAAAAGCACTAGAGATAGGCGCCCATAAAGGCGGGGGGCAAGGAATGGCTGAAGCCCTGAAACAGAACCCATCCCCCACTTGCTGCCGGAAGAACAAAAAAAAAAGTTCACTGTTCATTGCATTTCGTCAAGAAAAGAAGACAAAAATTTGGACGAAAAAATGGTGAGAGATTTGACGGGGTGATCCAGAAGAGGATCTCTCTGACTGATCATCAAAGAGAATATATATTTGCGAAAAAAGTCGAGAGATGTGGTCATTGTGATGGCACATATTAGTAGTAGTAGATTTGGTGAGGTCAATAGAATATATTGCAAAAAGAGAAAAAAAAAAAAAAGAAGATCCAGAGTAAAAGAATGAAAAACAGGGAATAGGTAGGTATACATAGTATTGAAGCAAGTTTTATTTCCTCTGATTCTTTCTCTCTCCCTCTCTCTCTCTCTTTCCTCTGTTGCTATGACTGCAAAATGGGGTGGTGTGACCCAGAAACCCAAAACGATCACGAAATATCTGTGACCCGATTTTATCACGATTCCTTTGCTCTGTATTTTTTGGCTTCTGAGGATCATATATTCATATTAGCATCATCCCTTTTGGGGGGGAAAATATTTGTGCACATTGTTCTATGATTCTTTCCTTTCTCAGCCTCCCCCCTTGCCCTGCCCTATACGTATAGTACCATCACCTATTCTGCTTTTTTTTCCTCCATAAAACCCATTGGCCACAAAACCATCAGTTAGTTCCCTTTTTTGGCACTCAAAATCTTTGTATTTAATTTTCCACCTCCTCTTGTTTTTCTTCTCCTCACTAGTCATAATCTTTGGTGTCTTTGCCTTTTTTCACCCCTCCAAAATCTTCGTATTAAATTTTTTAGTCTCCTTCTTCTTCTTCTTCTTCTTGCTCATTTGGTTTACACAAACAGATTTTTACAATGGCGTCTGGTTCATCATCATTGAGGGTTCAAGAGGTGGTTGATGATGAAAGGCCCCATGTTTTAGCTGTCGATGATAGCCTTGTTGACCGCAAGCTTATCGAGAGACTCCTCACCAGCTCTGCATGTAAAGGTAAATTTATTTTTTTTTTACCAATCTCCATCTTTGCATATATACTACTTCCCTTTCTCTGTTTTTACGCTTCATTAGGTAAAAATGCTCATGTATTCACACATCAATTTGTTGGTCCTAACATAGCAAGTTAGAAAAAGGAGTCAACTTTTTACCTTTAGGAGGAATAAATAAAGTGAAAGGCTCTGGATTCTGAATAAACGGGTAACAACAGATATTCATCCATGGCTGGAATGCGTTACGCTTTTTTGTTTGATTTTTAAGTTCTTTTCTTTGGCTAAAAGGATTTCTCTTTTTTTTTTTACCCTACCTTTTCCTTTGGGCAGTTACTACTGCAGAGAATGGACAAAGGGCTCTTGAGTTCCTCGGTTTAGATGGCGGACAAAACAGAAACAACAGCGTAAGCGAAAACAAACAAAAACCCACTAATCAGCTTTTACTACACACGTTCTTTTTAACAGTTTTGTTCTTCTTGTGTCAAACCAGAAAAAAAAAAATTGGTAACTTTAGCACACTGAAAATATAAAAGAAAAGTTGTTGTCACATCGTCCTTTTCTGTTGTTTTTTTATCTACTTTTTTGACTTGGGTTTTTTTACTATGCAGATGTCAAGAGTGAACTTGATAATTACAGACTACTGCATGCCGGGGATGTCAGGGTATGAACTGCTCAAAAAAGTCAAGGTACTCAGAATCCCATTCTTAAAAAAAGAAAACAAAATTTAAAGATTGTTCTATGTATCGTTTTGTTTTGAATAGTGTAGTCTTAGTTACTATTCATCGCCACGAAAACCTCTACAAATTAACCACTGACATGCTTCCCTGATGGATTTACCAGGAATCATCCAACTTGAGAGAGATACCGGTCATCGTGGTTTCATCTGAGAATGTTCCCACCCGGATCAAGAAGTAATAACTCTAATAAATTCTATTTTTTCGGTGATACAAAAGTGTAATTAGAAGTTTAAATTTACACATAAAAAGTAGCTAGCATTTGAGAGTGAATATGGATTCTCATCTGCCCTGCTTTTTGTTTACTCAAATCAGGTGCTTGGAAGAGGGAGCTCAAGAATTCATGCTAAAGCCTCTCAAACAGTCAGATGTCAAGAAATTAAGATGTCATATCACGAAACTAAACCAGGGGTGCAATGGACGGCTCTGCGCTGGGAGGTGAAGGAGAGTATTCTCCCTGGAGATTGAGAATGATGGATACCAATAGAAAGCAAAATAGTGGGCAGGAGATATGTACTAAGCATATGAACTTCTAACATTATGAATGGAAGACAGTTTCTTTTTGCATATTTACTCTCTGTAGTCTGTACATTCTGCAACTTAATTAGCACAGCACTTTCACTATGCCTTGGATCTCAAATGAAAAGGTATAAGAAACAAAAAAAAAAAAAAAAGAGTGGCTCATCCTCTTTCAGTTCTACAAACAATTTTCAATCGAGTATCACTGTTGAACCAAAATAATAGTCTACATTAAAAATTGGTCTCTGATCACCAAATGTTCGCATGTAAGATGAACCTTTCCCATTGAAAATTTGAAATTGATCAGGCATAGAAACATTTGATGTCTGAGATCAAATCTGTTTTTCAGTTACCATTGCAGATGCTTTCCTCAGCACCTGAATGCAAAGAAACTGCAGAACATAGCTATTGGGCACCATCACTTGACATCTTGAGTCAACGCCACTTTTGTCTTTGCCGTCTAACTTGATTTGTTTGGAATGAATGCCTTCTTCTTCCAATTTTGCTACGGAAAAGAGAAACGAAAATGACCATCTTTGTTATAGTTGCTTCAACCTTGTCATTAAATTTTAATTGCAATGAAAGTGCGAATACAAAAAGCAGGTTGTAGCTACCTTCTACTCCTGTTTGGCACGAAAGAGAGGTTTGAGCATCAACCTTCCTTCTGTGTCTCCAATGAAAATTCATTAGTTTAATGCATGCAATCCTCATCCTGGAAAAAACCAAGCATGAGAAAGAGAACAGACTATTATTCTCATCACTTACATTTCCTCTACATGCCACTGGTTGCCATCAACGGTGTCTAGGATTTCTGCTGCTGTAGACGCCACTTCTGCACATTCAACACACTTCATATGTTTTGCACAGTCGACTTCAGCAGACCCATCCATGAACTCATCGCAGTCACTACACTTGTCTTCAATATCTGATGCATCCCTTGAGTTATCATTTTTCGGGGATAAGCTTTCTCTACAAATTGAAGTGTCTTTCTCTGCTTCACATTTTTCATGTTCAGTAGTATGAAAATCCGAATTCTCATCCACACCCCTGGTAGTGCTTTGTTGTTCTGAAGCTAGACAACTTTCTTCATGCAATGATTTCAAATTCCTGCACTCTAAATTGCCATCTTCAGATAAGTCGACCATACTTGACATCAATATATTATTCTCCAGTTTTGGTAGGTGGCAATCATGTTTTTCTGATTTAAAACTGTGGCAAGGTGAACAATCAGCAGAAAATTTGCTAAACTTCCCAAACTCTGATCCAGCAGCATGCAGTCCAATATCTTCTGATGCTTCCAAAGGATCTTCAATCCAAAGTTTAGAGTTGCAAAACGAAGGTTGTTTGCTCTCAGAATCCCGGAAGTAATCACGACCTGAACTTGCCCGACCAAGACCAAAATCTGTTTCAAACAATCTGCTATTATCAGGTTTCAACCTTTTCTGAGGACTTTTGTATGAGTTTTGCGCTGGTTTCGATCTTAATGGATTTGAAGTACTGCAAATTCCTGGCCTACTTAAGTTCTGCCGTTCATGAGATATCTTCCAATTGCCACAGTTCTCTTCCCAGTCAGGCATATCGTCTTCACTACAAAAACCCTCTGAGCAAGCAACATCGACACTTCCAAAGCTTTGCTTCTCCTTAGAGTTGAATGTGCCTTTCTTAGATACACCCTTTACTGCAAAGAGAATAAAAAAAAGTTAAACTTCACCAAAACTTAATTACAAGTACTTACTTCTCAAATGTCCGCTGGCACTGTCAAATCTTACCCGCGCTTGATGAGCATGATTCCTCACTGCCAAGGATCAAGATGAAATCAATTTGTGGAAGATGAAGAGAGATTTATAAAGCATTCCTAAACCATAATAAAAAATGTCCAGCAATGATAACCTGAGCAAGCTCGTATTGTCTCTTGCGTCTTCGTATGTGTAGTATGGTTGCTTCAGTTGGTCTAGAAAATCCTCAACGTCATAGTGACTTCGAACTGGAGAATACCTGTCAGTATAAAACAATGTGTTTAGTTGGAATAAACACACTCCTGGACCAGGTTCATTGACCATTGTGTACCTTGCCGTCTCTGATATCCTAAAATGAAGAGAAGTATCTGGTTTCTGGTGGCTCAGATAAGGAGCAGGTGAATCTGAACATACAACACAAAGAAAACCAACATCAACATAAACTGAAAGGCAAGCAAAGGATGGGAAGCAACCAGAAACAAGTGTATATAACAATAAGAACCTAATTGGTACAGATTCTTAGAGATAAAAAGTCACACTTGCATGGTAGAAAACAAAAGATATTTCCTCATCTGATGTGGAATCCAACAGTCCAATTATAAGCTCATAGTGATTGTGTTACAATTATAAGGCACAAATTAATGCTAAAGTTAGTTCAAATTTGTGTGTTATAATTAGAACCAGAGGGAGTAGTTGATTTGACAGATAACCTTCTTCTGTATTTTGTAAATCTTAAGATGATAACATGAACTAACCATAAAAAAAGGATGAAATGACATTCAGAACTAACTAATTTTCACATACCACGTCGGGCTGAGAAAGTGGAACAAAAAGCACCAGCTGCTTCAAGGTTTCCAGAACGTCTCATGGGGGTCCTACGGAAACACAAGAAGCAGCATAACTAAGCTGATCATAAACTACTTAACTTGATTTCACTGGGGTGGGAGGGTTGGGTTTAAAGAGAGAAAAAAAAAATTGATTTCACTGAAGGTTGGATTTCAGAAAAATAACCTGCTTAGTCGATGAGAGTCCTCAAAAGTAAATTCTTTATTCTTATGGTTCATGCCAAAGGCGTAATCATTAGAAGCATCCCTTTGATTCATCCAGTCCTCGCGAGATAAATCAAAAGCACTCTCATTAACAATCATGTGAAGTAGAGAGCTAGACTTCTCTGATAGACATCAATAACAAAGCACAGATCAGAATTTTGTTGCTATAAGAACATAACCACGGCAGGGGTTTGAATAAAAAAAAGTACTCCCTCCGTCCCGAAATGATTTTCCAGTTTGGGATTTCACTTTTAGTACAAATTGTACTTAACATGAAAATCCAAACTGGACAATCATTTTGGGACAGAGGGAGCATCATATTTTGCAGCTGTTGTAAAATCCTTCAGAACATTAACAAAAATTGGCTTTAAATGAACATCTTAATCAAGAAGTTAACTTTTAGTGCAAAAATACACCACTTCACATTATCGCCAAAATGAATATACTGCTGATGACAAGAGAACTTTTTTAATCGTTGAATAGCAGCAGATACTCAAAGCAGACAATAATCGATTAGAAACCTAAAGAAAAGGATTACCATCCCAAGTTTGTTTTCCACTCTTTCTACTGTGGAAAAACAGTTCTTCATCCCCAAGAAGCTCATTGAAATCATTATGATTTTCTTTGAACAGGGAGAATTTTTCAGTGTCAAATAAACCTTGCTTTGGCTTGCCACACGAGCCCAACCTATCTTTCGAGCCAAGGGAGTGAGCGATGGAACTTTTACAAGAGATTACATCAACTTCCTGCATCATAGTGTCCTGCAGTAGTCGTCCATAATTACTCTCTTATTTCATTAAGTACATAAAATTCTTAAGTGTGATTGTTTAACAAAACTAAGACTGAAAATAAGCAAGCAAGCAGACACAGTCTTTTTAGAGCACGAAGATCCTAGGCATGGTGGTGAATCATAAAGCCAAAGCAACTACAGAAAATTAATTTAGGGATGTTACCTCTTTATGATGCAGAGAATCCATAATTTTAACCACAAAAAAGAAATACGTAAGTTGCAGAAAAGGCCCGAAGATGTGCATGATCTAAAATTATATTATTTTAGACAAATACTGCTGAGAATTTGAATCTGGATCCTTTCAAAGGAGTATTGATACACTGTTATTTTTTTACCCATACTGTTATTTTTGACATGAAATTTGACACTTCAGGAGGATTTGGATGTGAAATCGATAACATTAAAATTTTCTACAACAAGAATCTTTCTGTTTTACACATATTTTTTAAAAAGAGCTCTCAGAAATTTCACCTCAATAAGGAAAAGGTATTATTGTGGGCCTCACCAGTTCAAATCCTATGTTATCCAGCTCGCTATCAAGGTTGAATGAATATGTTGGCTTCATAGCTTTTGATGGCGAAGAGCGACCATGCAAAAAGGTTCTGCAGCCACTGGATGTGAAAAGTCAAGAAGAAGCTTCAAACAATTTTTTTAGAAAATTCTCCTGAGCCATTACAGAAACAACAATGATTTCACGATGCTAATCAAGAATTTGTTCTGATTGCGCATTGGGAAACTAGAGAACCGACCTAGAGAACCAACCACAGGAGGTTTCAAATTCAAAAGATTGTTTTCCATATTCATTAGTTTATAGAAGCATTTGAGAAAGGTCCTAGAGAACAGAAGCAAAAGAACATTTATCCATCTTTTACTCAATAATACTCTCCATGATGCCTCGGCTGACAGAAAGTAAATGAATGAGAAGGCATAAATCCCGCATGTAGCCAGTGCATTGTCTCCAAATATCAGTGTTTAAACATGAATTGATTTGCTTCACCTTGTTCACGAATCATAGGCACTTTTCAAACTAATGAGCAATATAGCAATGAATCACTCACCTGAGATGTCCCTGTGGTGAATGAACTGGTGACTGCACTGGTGTATGAACTGGGGTTTCCATTTCCACTTCTCCTAAACCTGATCAGCGAGTGCAGATTGTAATAAAATAAAGCGCTGAAGGAAAGTTTTCTTCTTTTTTTTCGTCATATGTTGTATGTTGTTTCAATAAGGATGATAGTACTTGTTTGACATAAGTCCAATAGGGGCACAACATTCAAACAAGGTAAAGGGGCTTCTATATACAACCACCACCCCCGCCTGGCTTTGAAATATCATTAAATTGTAAGCCAAACTTTTCTTTGCTAAAGTTTTCTACTTCTAAGACAATTAGGCCACACGTTCATTGAATGATTGCCAATATTGTAGAGCAACTTAAGATTCTATTATCAGAAAATAAAATTACGATTGAACAATGAGATAGAAAAAGAGATGTAGATCAGGGGAACCCAGTATACCTTCAATTGAGAATGCAGCATGAGCTTCACGTTCTAAACTTTTGCCAGAACAGATATTGATATTCGCATCTTCATCACCAAGTATATCAATCATACGTAGTTCTGTGGAACAGGTTCCAACAATTAAGATATACATTTTAGAAGTTAAGAAGAGAAACTAGATTCACAGTAACTCAACACATGATATCCTGTATCCTTTATTGTCAGTTCTTATATCATAACATAACATAGAAAATGCTAAATTACAAATCAATCTTTTTTACCTTGATTCTCTGGGACCAGTTTCAACTGATTTTTCTTATTATCTGAATTGGAAACTCTGATATGATCAAGTGGGGTTCTACCTGAACTCCTGAGAGAACCAACTTGTGTTAAACGATTATGTTTCTCTTTCCAAACAACTCATCAAGCACACTGTAGCTGATCAAGACTGCTAAACCTAACAGAGCATACTAGACAATGAGAAATCAACAACAACCAAAAGCTGCCTAAGCAGCATTATCAGGCTAATTAGTTAGTTCTGAATCTTAACCCTGTAACCGGAATACTCGGAAACTCAGAGTTTTAAGATATTAGTATTAACTTCAAATGAAATGTTAATTATGAGCAATTTGCATGAACAAACTCACGTCTTTGTGTTTGCGTTTGCTGGTTGATAGCTCGGTGAAGAACCTATATAAATATAAAACTATGAGCACCCATATCTGCATTGACCAGATATAAATAGAGAGATAAAATGCACAAGGACTGTAAATAACTAGTAAGCATACATGCTTCGTTAGTTTTTGAGGCAACTGGAGGGTTGATTTCATGGATTTGAAACCTTCCAAATGTTTGTAGAGGCTGAACAATTTGATAGTTTGAAGCTTCATGCTCTGGTTCATTACTTGCTGCCCTCAGGAAATAGACATGATTAGATGAAAATCCCCATTGTATCATACTATCAACAATAATACTGAAATTTTGGACATAACAAGTTCAGTTGATATTGCAATGAAAAACAGCTGTAGATCATGTATTAATGTAAGGAATACTGTTATTTAGCAGTGAATTTATCAGAGTCAATATTTCCTTAAACCTCATGAAATGGATGAAATCAGATTATAGTGTTAGTTTTCACGGGCCACAATGACAACATAACCACATCTCCAAGTGGTATAAAGGTTTCGGAAATGTAATATACGGTACTAAAAGCAATAGAATCCCCCATAAGCCTCTCTCATGTCAAAAGCAGCAAGCAACATTAAGAAAACTTCATTGTTCAAGATAAACAAACCTAATGCAGAAGTTGATTTGGGCTCCTGTGCTACATTTGATAAATTGAGCAAGCTGAGAACATCCAAAGATCTATTATTTTCATTATGATTTCTGTATGTATTCATTCCTTCGGATGCTTTTCCTGCATTCGCAGCTAGCTGTTGAAGCCTTCTCTGCTCGAAATATTGCTTTTGTCTACAAGATTTAGAGTGGAGCAAAAGTTTGATTGGTTTATCCAAATCCTCGAGATCCATACGGATAAGACTGGTGACACAAATGGATGACCACCAGAACTAACTATGACTGACATGGTACCAAAACAAAAGATTCCACTGAATCAAAATATACATAAATATTATAAAAATTTGGGCTTACCTGTTTTGCGTCGACTTCCTTGTCTAAAATTGCATCATCTCCCAATAATCCGAAGAATTTATTCAACCAGAAGACAAATGGCAACAAAAGGGATACACGACAATTAGAAACGCTGAACATGCAGTGGCATTAGTAAAGAAGAAAACCTAATCCAAAATCAAACTTACGGAAGCTACTTTTCGCCTTGCTCCACCCATCCATTGCAACATCTTTGTTTAATCAACTAATTTCCTCGGCCACACCACTACCTGCATGATTTAAGTTTCAATCAATCAGACAGAGAAGAGAAACAAATTGAAGCAAAACAAAAGATATGGCGCCGTTCCTCATTGTTATCTAAAATGTGCCCTAATTAAACTAAAAAATTGAAAACTGTAACAAGTTCATATGAACTTGGAATTGACTCATACGACAAAATCAAACCTAAAAACTCCGCACTAACTTCTGCTATGCTGAATCAGTAACAAACACAACCGCACATTGTGTCATCACAAAAGCTCTACAATTATGGTACTAATTAAGTTTTTCCAGGAAAATCGACACTCAAAACTAAAGCCGCCCTAAGAAGCTCATCAGAATACGTGGAGTGAACTTATTGAGAGAGAATTTACGAGTTCGAATTCCGGATGTCTGACCTGTGATTTAACCGGAAATTAACAACCGAATCGAAATGCAGGACGAAATCGGAATGAGATCGACGGGAAGATCTTCAGGTTTATTCTGTAATTTTCGGTGGGGGAGCGAAGCTGCGATAGTGTTCGCCGTTAAATGAAACGGAGGAGAGCTCTCCAAAGGGGTTAAAACTGAAAGGCTATTGAAAGATTTCGAATTGTGTAGCTTTAAATAGCTCATTGGCGTCAGTCCGCGGGAGAACACATTAGAGCTGGGGCTTCTCTTGCCGTTTTGAATTTTCCTGTAATTTCGACAAATGCTCTATTTCTTTTTCAAAAAAATTTAAAAAAAAAAAAAATCAAATAAAATGATGTGTATTTAGACTGTGGCTTGAACACGAATTAATTGGTTCGGCGTGGTGAAGTTATACATATCGTTCAATATCTCAAAGAGAAGTAACATTACGTTTTTGTTTCTATATTTTTTCCTCTTCTTTTTTTTTTTTTTTTGTATATTTGCATTTTTCCGTGTATATACAATGCTGTTCTCTACTAGTAGGTAGTAGGAATTTTTTTAAAAAAATTTTATTCCAAAATTTCACTTGTACTTTCTACATCCAAAAAAAAAAATTTTAAAAAAAAATCACTTGTACCGAAAGAAAATGAAAAGTAAAATGATTACAATTAGCATAAGGAGTAAAAGAAGATTTACTTACTTCATTGATATCCAATATGTATACTCTCTCATGAAACAATCAACCCACTGAATTTTCATTTTTTGCAAACTTTGTGGGAAAATGAAAATCAGAATTGACAATCATTCAAGGAAAATAGAATAACAAATTGTATGATTATTTTTGGGATTGAAGGATACAAGTTGTGGTTGTATCACCTATTTATCAACCCTTTTCAGAACATTAGAAGTTGAAAACAGATCAGATAGTAATCATGTGAAAAAAACAATAACAATGGGACTCTGAAAAAAAAAAATGGTGTACTAATTAGTGAGTGTAACGGTTAGAGAAAATTATTTCAGTGGAAAAACAAATTCAAGTACGTATCTTACTATATTAAAAACAAAAACCACATTTAAGAGAAAGCATCACCATTTGCCATGTAGTATTTCCACATCATATTTTTAAAATAAATTTTTATTTATACATCAGTTCCCTAAACTTATAAAGCAAATGCAGCCTAAATCCACCTCTAGTTTTTATTAATATGTAATAGGAGAACTTTTCATGTCATTCTCTCTCCTTCCCTCAACCTCCACGATTTCACCTACCAATCGACTTTTAATCAGTTCACGTTTAAAAAATCTACGTATAAAAATTATTCCGTGTAGAAATTATAGTTTTGAATCCGTGTAGAAAATCATGACAATGGCTCTAAAAAAATTTTCAAATCATCGACCCTCATTTATGTATTAGCTAACGGAATCTTTTGCTACGGTAATTTGCCAATATTCACCGAACCTTCTTGGATCAATTTTTATATATATATATATATATAAACCCCAGACCAATTCTTATATGTGGATTGATTGAGCTAAAATTTACAACAAAAATACTGAAATGGTACATACATAATCACTGCTATTAATTTTATTAAGTTACTATAAAATGGTCATAACACAATTAAGTTCATTTCGATAGAGTATCCTTAAGTTACACTATTTTTTTTTACATCTAATATTTTTATACAAAAACTACTTAAGAAATCGCAATCCCATTAAACTGATTAATTGATATCACATTCAATATTTGTAAATTAGTGTATAATAATATTTTTTTACAAATATTAGATAATGATATCATTACACTAGTAAAATATTTGGATGTGATTACACTATTTAAGAAAATATAATTGATTTGGGTTCGTAAAAAACTCAAATACATATCCCCATCTCCACGACAATCGACTCCCTAATTAATCCCCTCTCCACAATTAAAAAAAAAAAAACAAATTCCCAATCAATCAACAATTGAGAATATGTGGTGAAATATACTCCTTTCCAACTAGCATGTTCAATCTTTTCATTAGTGATGCTCAACTACATCCTAATCGGATAAAATTTCGACTTCAAAAAATATTCTCTTTATCTCTCTATATAAATACAAAGGGGAAAAAATTCTAATTGATATTGCTTCGGCCGTTGTGGTGGTGCCATTACAGCTATTAGAATTTAAATGATTTTATTTCCACAGATCATTTGTTTGGCTTTTATTATTTTTTGTTTTACTCATTCAAGAATAGTGTTATTACTATTATTTTTATGCATCCATCCGTTACAGCTACCGTGGCCGTTGTCAGGTAATATGATGTGATTTCTTATATAGTTAGTTAGTCTAGATTTTTTGTATGATTTTAGTTCTATTTGGATTGAATTGATTAATTGGGGTTTTTTTTACAAAGTGTGGTTTTTTGAATTTCTTTTTTATGTTTCATTCAATTAGAGTGGTTTTCTTTTTTTAATTATGGAGTCTCAGGTTTTTTCGTATATGGTTAATTATGAAGTGTGTTTTTTCTTTGTTTAATTGCTTTTGATTTTGTTCCATACTTCCAGTTGACCAATTATTATTATTACTATTTTATTTTATTTACAAATGAAGCGCGTTTTTTTTTTTGTGTTCGGGCTTTCAAGAATATAATTTTTTGGATTTGGTTTTTCAACTTTTTTTTAGTTTCTCATCATATAAATAGTTCAGGTCGCTTCTTCTAACTAACTTATAGAGAAGCCTTTTATGAATTTGAAGTGGAGAGGGAAAGAATGATGTTTCTACGTTTAATTGTGTTTTTATATAGCATTTTTACCTACAGAAAAAAAAATAAATTTCTCAATTTTTAATGAGCTATCTTTTACTTTCTTTCTTTTTTCTATTTGCCATGGTGAGGTGAGCTCTTTTTTGCTATAACTTGAAACATATGCAAATTTACATTATTTTTATTCTTATATTTGTGATCAACCAGTTTCAACAATTAACCAGTTTCAAAATCATATTTTTGATAATTTACTACCTATAAACTTTTGGAAGAAATAGTTCCAAAAATTAAGCATATACCCTTTGGAGGAAGCTTACTACAAAGCTATTATAAATCTCCAAAACTAAGTATCGATTTGACACAACCAATGGAAAACATCAATAAATTATCTTATTAATATTTAAACTTATTAGGATGCTTTTATATTTTGTCTAGCATTTACTTCAAAACATATATTTGATCAATTTTATTTATATTTAAAAAGTAACACTTATAAAACATTTCTAAAATCTTCAAACATTTCTAAAACGTACCGGGTCAAATACAATTTCATTTTATGCCAAATACAAATATTTCTATGATCACACTTATAAAATATTTTTAAATTCTTTAAACATTTCTAAAATATATCGGGCCAAATACAAAATATTTTTTTTCCAGATACAAATACTTTTAAGATCTACAGATATATTGGGCCAGAGTCGCGCATTCGGACATTACTAGTATAGAATATATAAGAACAAACACTTTCCAAATCCTTATGGACTTATGGATAAACTTGTCGTTTCTACTGGATGAGCCCATGTTTATATGGACTGTCTGTATTGGGCCATTTTACCAAAGCCCAGTGCACTTCCCCGAAATAAAAGTAACCCTAGGACTGCCTCTTGGCTATATATATGAGTTTCATACAAACTCTTTTGCAGAATTCCTGCCTTGGGATAAGTCTTTGCAGCTGCTTTACGCTTAGCGTTTTTTCAATAGTCGGATGTTCAAATCTATTGAAACTTTTTGTTTCTTTTTCTCTATGATCTTCTTTTTTATTTTGGTGGTAATTTAGTTTTGCAATTGAAAGTACTGTTTTCGAATTGTTGCTTGTTTTTGAAAGTCGAATCCTGTGTACAATAAGCCGATGCTCTGGATAATATAAAGGATGAAGGAAGCATGGTAATGTGCACAGAGAATGAATTTCCAGGGTCGTCATGTCTGCTCCCTCTGATGTTACTGATTTGGGGGCCTGGATTAGATCCACATCTCACTCTCCTTTTTACCCATTTAATACTGATTTCTTATTGAACCCTGATTTGTTTCTCAAAGAATTTCATAGATCTCTTGTAAATGAATTTGCTGTTCTCAACCATCCTAACTTCTTGAAACAAAATTTTCATGCTGCCCTTGTGGCCCCTGTGTTTTGAGTAAGAACGACAAAAGCTTTTCGGTTTGGGAATATTAATGGAATAGTAACCCACAAAAATGCTATATTAACACTAATAACTGATGAAGCTCGAAATCAATCTATGTTAAAAGAACACTGGAATTCAAGATCATAAAAATCTATCTAAAAAGGAACATCAGAAAGCTAATGATAAGCCCACAAGGAATGTTGAGACATGTAAGTTGAAGGAACTGGGTTATGGAGGTTTAGAAATATAACTGGTCCATCATACATTTGAAAGCGCAGATGATTTGAAAAAAAAAGGTTACAAATTATTAGAAGTTTATCAATCACATTAAAGGTTGCATTTTGGTCCGTGGTCAGATTAGGTGGCAATGGTGGGTGTAGTAGGTGGGTTGGTGAGTTAACAGATTGGTTGGTTGGACTTAAGAGGTATTTGACATTTTGATCTGTGGATGAAAACTCTACCAATGTGTCTGTTGGGGAATCCTTAATTTGGTCACCTCACTATTAGGTGAGGAGGTTAAACCCATTTCCATTTTTCAACAAGTGAAGCTTGGTTGGAGGAAGAATGAAGTAAACCATAAGCCAATCTAATTTCAAGGTAACATAGTCCGAAAACCATGAAGAAATATTTGGTAAAGATAAATCTTTCATCATAATAACAAAGATTGCAACATTTTGGTACACATACAAAAGAGATGCACACTAAACAGCCTAGACCGTTGATTTGCAGTATGCCCAACATCACACCAAACAGAAGGAGATCACATTACAAAGATCTTGGCTTCAAAACGATGGTGGAATGCTTCAAAATGTGCAAACTGAATTGTCCACCTTTCTCCGAAGTGTCGATCTTTGATTGGCCAGGAGGAGGCAACAGCTCGAAGTTCTGTACCAGACGTCCCAGAGTGATGCCGAGGATTGGCAATGCAAGAATGATTCCAGGGCAGCTTCTCCTGCCAACTCCGAATGGAAGGTATCGGAAGTCGTTGCCATTGGCCTCGACCTTTGCCTCCTCTTCCAGGAATCTCTCAGGTCGGAATTCCTCGGGCTTTTTCCATTGCTCAGGGTTGTTTGCAAGATACCAAGCATTGACCAAAATCTTGCTCTCGGCTGGAATATCATAACCTCCAAGCTTGGCGTCGTGAAGGTTCATGTGAGGCACCAGAAGAGGGATTGCCATTCTTAAACGGAGGGTCTCCTTGATCACAGCCTGAAGGTATGGAAGCTTGTGAGTATCGGGTTCAGTAACCTGGACGCCAGGTCCAAGGACAGTATCGAGTTCTTCACGTAGTTTCCTCTGAACATCAGGGTGGTTAACAAGTTCCGCAATACCCCATTCGATTGACCATAGTGTTGTTTCAATTGCTGGACATCACAAATTACAAGTAGTTAATAGACATCACTATAGTGGCAGACTACAAACTACAGAGACTGAAAGGAATTCAGAACAATTTGGATAGAGTTATACTCTGGCTTTGTGAAACCTGACATTGTCAACTAACAGTAATAAAATGTGATCAAACTTAGTCATTTCAAAAAGTGGTGTGGGATGGTTTCTTAATGTGAAATCACTTTTAACACCAAGGTTATGAAGCCCAGACAACCACACCTAGGCAACACGATTCAAATAAAACCAAGACGATAACTTTAGCTAGTAAGGGCTCTACATACATTGCCAGAACAATCAGCCTTTTCCACCAAGTGATAGTTATCATATATCTGCATGTACTAGAAACGTGTAGAATGGCAGTATGACACCAACTATTACAGATCATGACAGCCGGAAAAAAACAAAATTCTAGTCAATTCTCTCAAGTTATTGGAATAGAGAAGTTAGGAAATGGTCATTCTCAGCGAATGTTATTTGACAGTCTAAAGGAGGCTGAGAAAGGTACCAGCAACATTGATGTTCTCGACAATGTAAAGGACATTGTCCTCGTTGATTTCACCCTTCTGCTGAGCTTCAAGGATATGATCGATGGCGCACTTCAAGCTTTTGCTATCCGAACTTTTTGTGCTTGAAAGCTTCCTGTAAATTGAATTCGCAGTAAGTTTATGATCACAGTGATTGAAAGAAGAGTAAGCAACCCAAGTAGTTCAAATCCGAAAAGTTAACAAGCGCCACCAGCCAACCACCAGGTTCTCCATGATACCATTTTCCTTTTTCTTACAAACATTATACAATTAAAATAGCTCAGCAAAGACAAGTCAAGACAAGAACCAAAACCTTTATTTAACTAAGCCCTGCAAGATTCATTGTCATCTACTCTTATCCATGACGGCACAAATTAATCAACAACCACTAGGAGTCACCAAGATAGGACAAATTGTCATGATGGTCATACACGCGTTTAATCTCGCTGCAGTCTCAAACACTCGTACGTTTCATTTGGATTATTCAATTAAAATAGCTCAAATGCATTACCCCATAACAGTTTGGATCGGACTACAAAACTAGGAATTGATTCTATTACAGAGAACCCAACAGAACTCATTCAATTCGCATCTAAATCTTAAGATATAAATCCTTAAAGTGAACAGAAACGGAATTAGATAATAGAATAACCTAAGAGAGTTGAGGTAAGCTGCAGAGACTAAGAGGGAGAAAAAGGAGAACTTTGAACTTACTTCCTTTCGTTGACGAAATGGTCCTTGAACAATTGCAACCTTCTCTCTTTAACTTCCTTGCAGATCCTCAAATAACCCCTCAAGAAGGGCCTCAAGATTGGAATGAAATCACCATAATTATACTCAAAGCTCTGGGCCAGTCTGCTCCTCTCCCCATTCAAAGCCTTAAGCTTGTTAAACAGAGGATCATCCTCACTCTCAAACCTATAATCAAACATAATCCTGTACATGTTGTTGTACATCATCAATTGCAACCTCCTCCTCAAAACAATCCCATTAGTTGCAGATTCTGGATTCTTCTTCACATCCTCCACAACTGCAGCAGCCTCATCCTCCCAACCATACCTATACTGCTGAACAACTTTATTAGTGAAAAAGGGAACCGTCATGATTCTCCTCATCTTCCTCCAATGCTCACCGTAAACGGTAAACACCATATCTTGCCCTTCTCCGGTGAAGATATCAAACACAACATTTCTAGTCCGGGAACCGAACTCCACTCCCTGAGTGTGCAAGACTTCCTTGGCGAGGTCAGGGGAGGAAACCACAACAAGGTTCCTCTGACCCATTCTGAGGAGGAAGATATCGCCAAATTTCTTGGCGTACTCGGTGAGATTCCGGTGGTTCAAATCATCTCCGACTTGCAACCAGTTCCCGAAGACGGGAACTGGGATGGGCCCCGGTGGGAGCTTGAAACGCCTCCCGCGAAGTTTAGAAATAACAGTAGCCACAACAATGGCTGCAAATACTCCCAAAAGGGTCTTCTCTAAGAGAAGAAGATCCATGATTGGTGGCAGAGAACAGACGGATTTTTTGAATTGAAAATCAATCCACAAACAGAAGAAGTTGGTTTATTTGTTTTTCTGGTTTGGTCTGGTTTGGTTTGGTTAATTTTTGGTTGGGTTGGGCGGCTGCAGTTAATAAAAATGAAGGGGGCAATTTATAGGCTGAAGAAATGGGTCATATTTATGGGTTTTTAACATTTTATATATTATTTTTGGCACGGGGTTAGGTGGCGAAGATGGAGTAGGAAGAAGTGAGTGGGGTCGGTGAAAGTTGTGGGGTTTTGACGGCGTTAGTTTTTTTTAACGGTGGGAAAGTTGGATGGGATTTGAGGGGCAAAATAATGGATGGATGGATGATTATTAGATTAGGAGAGAAATGCTTTGAAAGGTAGAAAGGGGGTTGGTGAAGGGGGTTGGTAGCTCTGAAATTGTCAATATTAGTATCAAAAGTGAAACTTAATTTATTCAATAATAACTTATCATCATGGTTTGTGAACAGATGAATGATGCAATAATCTCATTGAATAATTTTGCATTGAAGCTTGTTGATTCATTACTTTATGTGTCAGCATAACCTTATTTCTATGACACTTAATGTATATTTTATCTCTAATCATAAATGCATTGTTAGACAACAAATAATTTGTCAACTTTTTATGATGCGGGATTTTTCTTATAAAAAAAAACAGGCAGATCTAACTATAATAATTTCTTCTTTTTCGGGGGTAAGGAGTACACTAGTTGCCCAATTGCCAACCAACTCTTACAAAGTTGACATTGTTTTGAGCTCCTCTTCAAGTAACGAATGCTTGATTAATTACTTAACTGGTTTTTTTGTTTGACTTAACTTAATACTACCTTTATCACCAAAAATAAAATAAAATAAAAATATCCACATTATAAACACTACGTAAACCCTGATCTCAAAAAATAGTTCATATTTTTTCGGAAGAGATAAAGTAAAATAAAGGATTTCAAAGTTTAATAATTATCATGTGATTATAAATACCCAAACGTGTTTGATAGATATTAATAGGATGTAGTATTTATAGATTAAGTGGGTATAAAATGTAAGTATGAATATTAGTTTGAAGCTGAGCAGTGGGCATAAAAGGTACTTATAGATTATCAAACTGAGCAGTGGGTAAAAAAATATTATAAAATGTAAATATATCAAACTGAGCAGTGTGTTTGATAAATATTAATAGGATGTATTCATAGATTAAATGGGTATAAAATGTAAGTATAAATATTAGTTTGAAACTGAGCAGTGGCGCTGTGGCGGAGCCATATACAAGAATTGCTCCACCATTTTAGTTTATCTTTTTCCCATTTACCCCCAATTTGTTAGAAATTAAAAAATATATATATTTTTGCCCCTCAGAAAAACATAAAATCATCCGAGGGAATCTGTATGGTTATAAGTTTTGAAAATTTTGTCCTACCAAACTTGCCTAGCTCTGCCCAGCTTATGAGTACATAGTTTTTCTTTTCTTTTCCTATTTTAATTTTGAATAGTGATAGAAGCAGTGAAACTAATATGTACTTGATATTAGGGTTCATAATACTCCACACAAATCGGTATGTTTTTTTTTTCTTTATTTCTTTTCACTATGCATATCATTTTATTTTATTTCTTTAACATAAATTAATTCCATTATTTCATTCCTTGATAATAAGCAAATATAAATTTCTGACTCTGTCTTTCATAATGTTTTTTTAAAATTGACGCTTATTTCTTCGAGTAATTTTGTTAAAAAAATGATAGTATAGGAAATGTATTATTAAATCATTGTGAATAAACAGTTTCATTTTTAAGCAGCAAAGATTGGAACACCTCACGGTTTGTGAAAGATGAAGCCGGACATGTTAAAATAATTTGTTTGGTTCCGAAGAAAAGGCCTTCATTAATTAAAAATGGAAAATGATAAAAACAATGAAAGTATAGGAAATGTAATTTGTAACGATATGGCATTTGCCGCCACAATACACAACTGTTTCATTTTTTGTTGATAGTTATAACGAATGTGATCTGATAATTTAATTTATACATGATTTAGCATCTAAATATGCTGTATATTTTTATTCGGTCCTAACATCATCACCCAATGTACCAAGTAAAGTTTGCGCTTAATTAGATGAGAGATTTGGTTAGTTTGGTTGTATACTAATCTTTAATTGTATCACTCTTCCGTTTAACCCAACAAAAAGTATGGTGGTTACATATAATAAGTTAACAACCCATATGGATCGTATTAATTAATACTACATCTGACCCAAAATAAAAATCACGTTGAATTTTGAGATTTGTACTAGTTTTATTACAAATTTAAAAATTGAATATGAACTATTTTTCATAGAGGAATAGTACTAATTTATTGTGGATGTTGATGGTGCTTTTTTTTTTTTTTTGGTTGATAATACACATAAAAAACTGTGGATTGAATTGAATTGATTTTTTAAAAAAAGAAAAAAAAATTGCTGATGTTAATCCTATTTTAGAACAAATTAGCACCAGTTCCAACTTCCATCACCACATTGTTAATGAGACGTAAATTTAAAAGCTATTCCAACAATTAATTAAAAAAAAACAAAATATTATATGGATACGAATACATCATGTCCTTTCTGACTCTTGCTTAATAGAAAGGGTCAAAACCCCGACTCTTATTTATTAAGGCGCTTTACTTAGCTTCATGGTGATGATACTTGCTTTTTCGTTTAGTATAGTTACATTAACATGATGATAAACTACAGTGTTTTGGTATACATAACACCACATTTCGACTAGATTTCATTATAAAACTTGGGTTTTACTTTTTTTTTTTTCTTTGATAAAACAAGATTTTTCTGCGTCGTTGATTATGTTATTTTCAGAATATATAGAGTAACTAGTTATATAAGTTGGAGATATACTTTGACCTAGACTCTGTGATGTGACGCATTCTTTTTTTTTCCACTCTCAGTGATGGCGTATATAATAAGATTAAATAGTACTTCTTCCGATATAAAATTATTCTCCAGTTCGGATTTTCAGTTTTAGTATAAAATAAACTAAAATTAAAAAATCCAAACTACATAATAATTTTGGGACGAAGAGTACAAATCTCATTTCTATGACGTGAATGCTTCCTTGTGAAGCGAATGAGATACCTAATTAAATTAGTCGCTCTCATACAGAGTTCTGTGTATGTGGATTTCGTGCTCCCGATTAGGCTTTCTGATGCAACCACGACAACAAACGTACAATGCTGGAATAACTTATTGCTCTAATGCTGATCTCTCATCAACTAAATTATCGGCACATTGACATTTTGAGCATCATGCAATTTGATCAATAGTGTTCGTTTTGGATACTGCAACATTAATTTCGGCTATAGTAGCTATATTAGCGTTTTGGGAAAATGGACAAACCTTTGTTCTTCTTCAAATTTGATACCATTACGTTTTTTTTTTTTTTGGAATCAAATACATTTGTAAGTACTCGTTTAAGAATTTCAGTGTCAGATGAAATTGCAAACTTAGAACGGGACGCAATTCATTTTGCCTCCTTTTTTTGTCACATGTAAATTAAAGAGATGGTGATTCCACTACTTGATAGTAGGCGTAGCACCTAAAAGCTTCGGGATACACGAAATTTGGTTCTCTCAGCGGGGTGTGTGAACACAAGCTTCAGATATTCTTTCTAGTTCCATAAAGAGCAATATTTAGTATATACTTTTAATTTTATTTAAGAAATATGACTCTTTCTTGAAAACATTAATTTAAGCCTATATACTATGTGCAAATTTTGATGGCGTGTATTTGTATTTCATGTGATAAAAGGAGGAAAAGTTCTTCACCATGATATATCTCAACCTAAAGAGAAGAGATACGAATATGTATCGGAAAAGAAGCTATGGAGCATTGGAGGATTAAGGTACGTATAGAAGCTCTCGAAAAAATCGAATAAGTCACAGAAAAATTTAATGAGTTCTATTAAAAATAAATATATAGTACTATCTCAATCCCAAAAAAAATAGTGTACATTGAGTGTTTTTTATACATTTTTTTATACAAATTTGAAAACTTAATGCAGACTATTTATTTAGGACGGAGAAAGTATATCTTTTTTTCTTTGATAAAAAGGGAGGTATATTCAACCTTTAATCAGGTGCTACAACAACACGACGTGAGTAGGATACCCCAATAATATCATGATATAACTAATAACGGACTTGTGGAGGATGCGAATCCAGTCGACAAAGTTTTCATGGATTCGTCTCAGCCAAACTAGCTAAATAGTCAGCAACAAGAAAGATATATTTACTTACCTTTGTTCTGATTTGTTTGACCTTTTCGGCTTTTCTTAGCAACTGTTTAGTACGTAGCATACTATCTTAAATACAGTATCCATTACAGAACTGAAATTAATTTATAGATATATATATATATATATAGTATTTTTGAGAAGATTGTATTTCATATTCACAATGTGTTTGAACCCAAAAAGTATTTTCTAAAAGGCCCTCACCCAAAGCCAACCAGTGTTGGTTCCTCTTTATCAACTTGATTCAATGCAGTTTCCAACTTGAAAAACCACAATACAGTATAAAACATAATATATTAGGCAGCCAGAAACATGGAAATTACGAAGATTGGTAGAAAGCACTTAAGAAAGTTGGACGTAGGATTGAGAAGAAAGTCAAACCTCCTGCTAGTTTGTCGTTAGTACGTACGGGCGCGGTCAAATTATGCCAAATGCACGCTTGAGTATTTATTATAGTATTTTGGAAGCAATTTGCTTTTGAGACTTCTTCCACTTGAATGGCCTTCAACTTACTTTACTCGGTAAACACAAATCTGAATATTTAAAAGTTGGTAAACACAAGTAAAAATAACAGTCAAAACTCGGAAAGATTAACTCTTTAATTTGTAGTCTTATTTTATGGAACGGGTTAACCAAATAAACCATGAAAATGTAAAAGGGGTATTATCCTATTATGAAATAAAATTGATTCCTAATAAAAGGTAAAGTTTTGGAGCAAAAAGTATTTCGAAGTTTATGGTAGGCGTTAGATTCAAAAAAAAAGAAAGAAAAAAAAGGAGAAAAGCAAAGCCATTAAAAATGTCACAACCCAAAATCATTTTCAATTTTCATGTGAACGGTATGAATAATGTAGGCAAATGGAACTTGAAACCCTGCAAAAACTAGGGTAGATCTTACCATAACTCAATGGAAAATGAAGTATTTCATGTGATCCCAAATTTTATTTGTTCCTTAATGTTGTTATTAAGAGACATCTTTCATGCACGAGCACGAGGCTATTTCATTAATCATAAAAGATTAATTCGGGTACATGGCTAACTACTTATCACGAAACACAAATATTCCTAATATTTAAATTCTCTCTATTTTCAAAATATAAATCACTTCAAATTTTATATTTAAATTAAAGAAACAATCATTGTCAAAATTAATTTAAAAGAAATTGACATTATTTGTCGAAATTAAAATTTAAAAAATAATAATTCATTTATTTTGAAATCCTAAAACAATCAATAATCTGAAATGGACAACCAAACTTTTAAGGGACGGAAGCTATCGAGGGCACATATACATTTCGGACAAAAACGAGCGATTCAATGACACATTTTAGGGAGAAAAAAGATTACACGTAGTACTACGCAATAAGACAAAAAAAAAAAAAACAAGAAATGTTCAATTTTCGTTTGGGGATCAGGGTTTACGTACGTAGTGTTTATATGTATATAATAGTAATTGTTATGTCATAAATGAGTAATGAAAAAATAAAAAAAAAAAGCAAAAAAGAAAAAATGAATTGGAGACCATAAACGGCTACCTACTACCGCGAAAAAGGAAGACGTCGACATTGGGGAAAAATTTGTGGCTAACCAGACCTCCACAGTCCAAAGTCCAAACCCATACCTAAAAATAAAGAGAAAATAACGTACCATCTATCTATATTATTACTATGAAATATGAACGTCAAAAAAAAAAAAAAAAACACACACACACACACACAAAACCTCCGCTAAAGAGTTCCACCACCTTCCTGGCATTGGATACACCACTATCACTTTTGTGGATCACTTTTGAGCAACCAGTTGTTACACGTCATCTACTTGCTCCTCATGTTGTGTCACCTTCACCATCATCATCCATCACATGATATGAACACAAATGTGATTTAGATTGTGTCCTCCTCTTATCATCATCTGGAACCTGCAACATGACATCCCATAAACTCCCATGGAAATCTATTCATCATAATAATCATATATATATAGAGGTACGTAGGAGAAAAAGGGTTGGATTCTCTCTTGGTAATATGGTACAAACATTATTAGAAATATATCTCAAAATTACTATTCCCTTCGTCTCATAATTATTGTCCAGTTTGAGTTTTCATTTCTAGTTCAAATTATACTAAAAGTGAAATCTCAAACTGGACAATAATTTTGGGACAGAAGGAGTACCATTTTTTAAGCTTTCACCGAGTTTTTCTTTTTTTTTTTTGTTTCTCTGTATGTGAAACATGTTTCTCTACCTATTGGTGATAAAATGGTTAGTTAGCCTTAGCCAATAACTCATAGACTTCAATAATTTCTAATTTATGGAAAAATTGTGATCAGGTATAATTTTGACATAGACGAAACCGTCCTTTTTTCTTTTTTTTTTTCTTTTTCTTTTTCTTTTTTTTTATTAATGTTTTTGCCCGATTCAGTTCCACATTTTTGGTTTATTCTTCTCATCTCAGAAAATTACTAGATGTCACATTGTCAGTTGTCACAACTCACGAGTGAAAATTATTAAACAAATCGTATAACTTGACTTTTTACCGTTGTTTAGGACTTTATAAGGCTATACTTTATTTATCTTCTATATATTTGAAGGCAAAATTAATGGAGGAGTCTTCCAGTTCCAGGGTAGTTAGCTATACATTGAACTTTTCCCTCCGGAATAAATTTGATCACTTCAGGACGTAGGATTAAAGAATTACCAAACTACTACTACAAATTTTGTAGCAGAGTGATCGTTCCTCTACTTGATAACAAAAGTATTTTTTTTCAAAAAAAATCAGATACATAGAACTCTTATAGTCTTAATACTGTGAAGAAAAACAAATTCAATTAGTTTATTACTATTATATATATCATATATTTTAGTTGCTTTCCACCCTTACATAGTAATTTACTTTGAATTTTTATTTCTATAATACAAAATTGTATGAAAATGAACCAAACGGGTTGTGATAGACTGCTAAGGATTCTTCCTCCCTTAACCATAGGTTGAGGATTCGAACCTCGTCATGGGCATGGAGCAATCATGGTGATTATGTTGAGATTGCCGAGTACTATTTACTAAGCTCAACTATTCGGTTCCATGTGAGGTACCCAACACATAATTTACTAATTTATTGGCTTTCGTTCAGCACCCTATCGCCCAGTAGGCCAAAGGTTTGACATTTTCGCCGGCAGATTAACCCCGCTCATAAGGTCGTAGAAATATCCGGAAGCTCAGCTTTCATGTTTATTTCAACTTATGTTATTTCTTCTTCATATTCTTTATGTTAATTTTTTTTATAATCTATGAAATATAAAGGTAAATTAATTATTAAAATTTAATAATTATACTGGTATTAATAATTACAAGTTAGGAAATGTAAGAAAAATAATCTCAAAAAATAACGAATAAAAAAATAAAATTATAAAATTTAAAATGATAAAATTACCCCTTAACCCAAATCACATGTGTTGCGCATGAAAAATAGATTAAAATAACTAATTATTTTTTTAAAGATCATATAGTATATTTTGATGGTTATGAAAAGTAATAATGAGAAACTAAATGAATAGAAAAAAATGAACTAAAAGGGACTATTTTTTATTTTTATAATTTTATGAAACTATCAGGGTATTTTTTGGTTAAAAACTAACGGAAATCCTTTAAGTTTAACGGAAATTTGGCCAATTGGGTGGAATTGACAAAAGTTTCAAACAATAAGGACAAAATTGACTAACTAAAAATTAATAGGGTAGAATTGATAATGAGCCCAAAACTTTGGGTATGAAAACCAATTTTTCCCAAAAACGAATAATTACCTGATCACTTCGAACTACATGAAACGAAGAAAATTACATTATTAGCAAAACAAGGCCTATCTCATTGGCCTATCTTTTTTTTAGTACCAACAAAACCAAGAAGTAAAAGTTTGAGATGCTCTTGTAGCGGGGATATTTATCTCATTGGCCTATCTTTAAGGTCTGGAAGTTCGATTATTACCACTTAAAAAAAAAATTGCAGCATTCAGAAAAGAAAAGAAAAAAAAAAACAGAAAGAAAAGAAAAGCTAATTGGACAGATAAAAATTAATGCGGTTGAAAAACAAGGTATACTTGCTGGCTTGCTGCTAGCTTAGTAGTTTGTGAAACACCGCATGCCGCATACAATAGAATTTCTATAAATTTATAGTGTTGGAACCGCTAAAATTTATTAATTTAGTAAATAATTCATAAATTAATAAATTATTAATTTAAAGAATTTATATGAAAAAAAAGAACCGTCACTAAATTACTTAATTTGCATTTGTCTTTACATGTGAATCAATCAAGTATTAAAATTATTCTGAACGCTAAAAATCCATACATAGTTCATATCACTCCAGGGACTAAAAAAAAGTATTAATAGTTCATATTTTACTAAATATTTATAGTAATTATTATTTTTTTTTGTTGTTAGTGTGTTTATTAATTTATGATATTATTAGGACCTATAGATATATATAATGGATTTTTTGAAAAATTATTATCTTATCATTTTATCGATTTTCTTCATTTTTTGTACTAGTCCTAAGTTGGGCCCAAAAAAAATTATTAATTATTAAAAGTTATTAATTTATAAATTAATAATTTACCGACATTCTACTACTGTATATGTTTTAGTACTAGAAACGGTTCAGTTGCAAGCCCCGGGAGGAGATTTAGGACAATGGCTAGAGCTCTCCGATGATAAAAGTTGAAGAGCGATGAAGTGGACTAGGCCTCCTTTTGTGGACATTTCTAGATTTGTCTATTTTGTATCCCTCTTCGGGGAGGTTTTATTACTTGTGGTTGTAGTATCTCTACAGATCAAATGAAAGTAAAAAACATTATATTCAGAGTTGATTTTTTTTCATTACAATGTTGATCAGCCGGTTCGATCTTGATGGTTGATTTTACGAGATTAAGATTCATTTTCTTTGGAAGCCCGAAAAGTCATCTGTTTCTTTCGCTGAATCATATTAATTGCTATTCAGCATTGTGTACAACTTATTCGAGAAATAAACCTCTCAATTAAACTTATCTATTTATGTACAAACTCGTGTACTTGAGAAATGCCTAAGGGGGAAACATGCTCATTTTGAGCTAGCTAAGTCAAATTGGGATTCGTGCTTTCTTTTATGCAGTTGGGAATAAGTTTTTTTACTTCCAGAGAAAAGAATCTAGAATCTGACCGTTCTCCCCTTCTCAATGCCCCTCTCCTGGCAAACAGTTTAAACACTTTTTTTTTTTTTTAATTTTTTAATTTCTGAAGTTGTTAACTCGTGACTGAAACACGATACAATCGATATTTTTCACCGGCACAATACACAACAAAATTGAAAGAACCATGAATGAGAAGGAAGCAAATCAAAAGCCTATAACTGTAACGAATCAAAAGACAATTTAGAATCTGAACAAAACACAGTGATGAGAATTGTAAAAAACAACCACTACTGAGACTGAGATAAAAGTATACAGAAGGACACCAATCCAAACACTCTCTTGCCCAGAACTTGCAGTGTTTCGACATTTTCGCTTAAGATCAAGCCCTATTGGTTATCAGTATCATGTAGCGGTTAATGACTGTTAGTAAAGTTTCAACTTTCGACTTCACAGGAATGGTTGTGGATCGTGCATGTAGACCCACGTAAATAGTTCATTGTTGAAGCGATTAAGGAAACCCAAACATAATGTGTTATCTAAGGTTAAATCCTCAGTCAGGAATGCTTCAATCATTCGATCGTAATTGAAATTTTAGTTCAACAAACTTATTAACCTTAGTTTATTACGGAACAAAGAGAGAGAAGTAGCTCAAGGCCTCAATAAACCGGGATTTTACCGCCTGCTGCATTTCCAGTTCAGTTCTTAAATGCCACAGTAAAACCTCATCATGATGTATTGCCAGAACTATCAGATTCTTTTCTGCCGTAAGTGATGTACACAACTAAGGAGCAGCAACGAAGCAAATATATACAGACAGATTTTACAAGATGAGTGGGAATGGTATTGTCCGAGAATTTTGAAACAGAAAATAGAACAGTTGATCCCAAGCATGGAGGCTTCTCTTTCTTCTTCCCCCTTTGTTCACTAAAATTGGATGAATCGACAAGATCTTGAGACCAAATCTGAGCGAAAGTTATGACCAGATTCTAATCGTCCCATGCTCCATCTGCTGCACCCTCTGTTCTAACCGTTGCAGGGGCAATCATGTGTCTATACCTATCGTCGACTTTTAAAGGTGCATTGCCCGTTAAGGATACTTTAGAAAGAGCGTCTCTTGCTTCTTTCTGAGCAGCTGCAGCTTCCTTCTGCGCCCTTCGAGCAACCTATAAGAAGTCACAGGCAACACGGATGAGACTGAGATTAATCAAACCCAGGTTAGGCAAGAAACAATACTAGCAAAAATTTATACCACGTGAGATTTTGCGTGACATTCAACAATAAAAGAAATTTTTGAGGGTAGGTGAAAGAGCAAGTAATTGCATAGTTTAAAATGTCTATGACAAGACCGAAAACATAAATAATGTACCTTTCCAGTAGCATAAGTAACTGTGTTGCCCGATTCAACATCTGCAATTGCTTTTCTTATTTGTGCAACAAGATACTGCAGTGAAAGTTTAAGCTAACTGTAAGTAACCAGAAATTTATCTCAACATACTGAAAAACACACAGTACAACAGAAATGCTATCAAATAGGCAAGTAAAAGATTCACCGAGTCCCGGTCAGTATAGTATGATGTTGCCCTGCCTGTAGAACCGGCACGGCCTGTCCTACCAATCCGGTGTACGTAATCCTCCATTGTCTAAAATCAGACAACCATAACAGAAACTTCAACTCAAGTCATCCGAAAACAAAATTTGCACAAATATCACCAAAAACAAACAAAATAAATCAACAAGAGGGGAAAAAAAAAGAAAAAAAATTAGTGAAGGCTTATCATCTGCCACCATTGCCACAAGTATCACAACTTCTCCTTTTTCCAAGTAGTTCAATGAAAATATAGTGGAGGAGCAGAATTTCATGGCTAAGACAAAAACTTCCACAAGGGGTGAAAGGACAACTCAAATGACAGTCAACAAGCAAAGAGGGTTATCAGATAGTCAGAGTACCTTTGGAAGGTCTAAATTGACCACATGAGCCACCCCATTGACGTCCAATCCACGAGATGCAACATCAGTAGCAACCTACGGAAGACAATATACAAGATCACTCATTGAGAGTCACGTTTCAAAATTACATTAGGTCATGTTTCTATTAACACATGGAAATGGCCTATAAACTGATGTTCCACTACGCAGTCTGATTCCATATCAACACAAACTAAACGGTCAACCCATTTCTACTGACAACCAAATAGATATTGAGAAAAACTACAATCTGTGAAAACTACTAGATTTCAAAGAACTTGTGTAACTATTGCCTAACAAAATTCTACCCATAATTCGAAAAAATACATACCAAAATATTTGTAGGACCATTCCTAAAATCACGAAGGGCTGACTCTCTCTCGCTTTGACTTCGACCACCATGCAGAGCCACTGCACTTAAACCTTGATCGATCAATGCTTCCGCAACTTCATCGCACCTGGTCTGCATCACCATAATATTGCTATATTTGATATCCAGATCACAAATCAACTCACAATTTAAAGCTATCATTCACATAAACAGCCATAATAATAAATATCATAAGATAGTGTATCCAAGTTTTTGGCATCCAAATGATCACTATTTCAGATCTAAATATTTTTTTTCATGATAATGACTTTAAACATTTCCTAAGCAAACATCAGAACATCACAGCCAAAGCAATTAATGTTGTATGTGAATCAGGCACTCTGAGAATATATCACTGACAAGATGACCCTGTTTAACACCTAAGAGAATGTCATGTATTCCACATTGGTATTTACTTTACTTTATATGAAACACAAAAAGGAAGAGAAATGACATAGATCAAAATAGGTTGAACCAGTTCTACCTTCCGTTCCACAAAAACAATAGTTAAAGGAAATGGGTGGCCAAAATTTTCAGCCCCTGCAGCTTCCTCAACAAGCATCCCAAGAAGCCGATCTATCTGTAACACATTAAAAGACAATCACAATTAGAGGCAAAGCAAAAATGAGAATGGTAAAAGAACCGTAATGATTGCTGAACATGAAATAAGGACTACAAACGCTGCATGACGGATTATACTCCTGGGTGTAGTTAAATACTCAATGAAAATGTTACAGCACAGCAGGTGCATATTAAAGTCCCAAAATTATGTTTTAAAGCCCATGGAGAAGTTGCTATTTAATGGATTTCTTTCAGCCAAGTGTTCAAAATAGAAATTTTGCCTATGCTGTACTTCGATGTGATAAAGCAACTTGATCTCTAGCTGGAGATTGAAGTACTCAAAAGTTCTCTCTCAATTCTTTCAAAATGAAACAAGGGACATAACAGAAACAAAAAGAACCAGAGAATAACACACCTTTTCATTTTCAGGCACCTTCTCCAAAACTTGCATTACATTTGCTGTCGGGCTGCTAACTTTCCCTACCTTTACTTGCACTGGATCCCTCAAATACTCCTATGAATGAATGGAAAAAGAAAGAAGAAACTAAATAAAGTCATTATTCATAATTAGCAGAACTGTAATGATTGCCTTAAGAAAAACAAAACATCAGTGTTATGCCACTAAATAATTAATGTGATGGATAAACGTTACGCTGGTCACAACTGATTGGAGAAATCAACAATCTGCTCACAATTCTCCAAACTACTAAAAACAATTTCATTTTATTGTAAGATTAACAATTTGGACAAAATACTTCCATTTTATCTACAAACAATTTTATTTTCTTAAAAGAAAAAACTGAATATGTCAAAATTGTAAGGCATACTACCAAAAAGAGCTGTTAAACTAAACTTCGACAATTGCAGAGCTGTAGACGCCCATTTTGCTACTACAAGTGGATAGAATTCTATAAAAGTTCAATTAAACATATAGAGGCATTCCAATCAAAATCCCACACAAAAAAAAAAAAGAAGAAAAAAAGTCTGCTAAATGATAACTATTTCAGAATTTTTGCTAAATCTCATGTTACAACTACCAAAGTTGAAAAACCACAGATGCGATACAATGCACACAGAAAATTTTTTCATGGAAGTAAACAATTGTGCAACATTAACCTCGTTTAGCATCAACTTATCAACGTTATCCCAGGTACACTTTATCATTCAAGTCAAACAAGAAACGAGCTATAATCAGATAAGATATATGCCATTCTTCAAAGGTACTAATTAGACGAAAAATGAAGTGTGATCAATACTCACCTGCGCCAGTTTTTCAATCTCTACAGGCATGGTTGCACTAAATAACAATGTCTGATGTTTTTCAGGAAGATTCTGCATCACCTGTATCAGAAAATAACTTGTAAGTGCTCACTCGCATAGTTGCATACATAAATTCGATTTCCTGCTCATTAATGTCAGCACGACATCCATTTAAAATTATGCATCATTGATTCATAAAACATGCTTCTACTAAAACAATGAAAATTGCTAAGTCCTTTTAAGCAAGTTCTTTCCTAATTCTTTACTTCCTCATTTTGGCAGTTGCTGTATAGTGCACTTGCATTAACAAATCTTTTTAAGGCCAAGAATGACTCAGAAAATGAGGCAAGAACAATCATGGTATAATTCATTAGCAAATGGACACGACATATAACTTAAAGAAAGCAAAGAAACAGCTGGCAATTCCAGAGGTTCCTCAACAGTCAAATAATTACATAATGTTACACGAAAATAGAATCATTGTCTAAAGGTATCCTTTCCCAAAATATGATGTATAGTATATACTATATAGTACAGATGATATCTTTCTTGAAGTTACATGCATATGTAACCGGATACCAAGAACTCAAGCATGCACAACAAAGCTAAGAAACATTAAAAATTTGAATATGCTGAAATTGCAACACTACATTAAACTTAAATCACCTCTCTTATCTGTGGTTCAAATCCCATATCAAGCATCCTATCAGCCTCATCAAGAACGACAAAAGAGATCCTAGAGAGTGACGTATTTTCCTGTCGCAAATGATCAATAAACCTTCCAGGAGTTGCAACCACAATATCCACTCCCATTCGCAGTTCAGACTTCTGTTGAAATATCGCCAACACCAAGTATAACATAATTGGTCAAAAACAACTCCAAAAAGATTTTAGTGTTTGCAACAACATAATCAAAAAAGCTCGCAAACACATCCCAGATGATTCTCAAGCTAAAAAGAAGGGTATTATGGAAGGAAAATGAATAATTCCGCATCCATTACCTGATCAGAAATGTTAGTCCCACCAACCACAATAGCAGTTCTAAAAGATTCCAATGATTTACTGAAAGCCTTCACCTGAAAAATGTTTCAAAGAGGCACAAAATGTATTACAACACAAATGTTCAAAAAGCAGAGTTTACGCATGAACTTGTGCATGCATCATATCAACCAGAAAATTATGCCAGATTATATAAGCTTCACTCACTAAACAACGTACAAAAGACAAGGGAAAAAACAAATCATTTTTAGAAAACACTAAATTTACACAGAGTAAAACAATAGCAGAGGCGTTACTAAAACAATACACAATAACCTAAACATTTGCAGATATGTCTCCACATCTAAATGGAAGAATAATTACTCGTGTTTCAACATTAAACTTAAAAAACAACATATTGTCGATAGATATATTATGCCAATTACAGACAAAACTTACTCCAGCCATATGAAGTTATCAACAACAGCATGAAACATGATCAGCCAAGTTAAACACTAGAACAACCAGAGTTTAAATAGCAAAACAAAGTTCAAATATATTTTGATTTTGGAAATCTTTTTTCATTAATCCAAGTCTGAATCCATAAATACAGAGATGCCTACCTCCTTCTCTATCTGTTGGGCAAGCTCTCTCGTAGGAGCCAACACCAATGCAAGCGGTCCATCACCTCGTCTAACAGGTGGCTGAGCCAAGCAATGCTGCAAACAAGAGGAAGCAAAAGAACATTACATACACATTCACGTGGATGAACCTACAGTCTATACCAAAAGAATATGGTATAAGAACAATCAACCCAAAAAGTTCAAAGAAAAAAAAAACACCTGTATCATAGGAACGGCGAAGGCAGCAGTTTTTCCACTACCAGTTTCAGCACAACCTAAAAGATCCCTCCCACTGAGGGCAACTGGCATTGCTTGCGCCTGGATTGAAGTGGGCATCGTATATCCATGAAACGTAATATCCTTCATAATGCTCGAATGCAAGCCCTGCAAATAAGAGTTATAAAAACTTATTATAAGATATCAAAAACAGATCATTCAATACTATTCTTAAACCAGTCAATAGTCCTCCACCAAGTTACCATGTCTGTAAACGACTCAATAGGCGCTGGTGCAGGAGGTGAATCAGGACCTACTATGACTTCGACATTAAGCCTTAAGCGAACCTCCTCTATCTGTTGGACATAAACTCATACATGTCAATTATTGAATAAATCAGTTCGAACATCATAAACGACTGTAATTCACATAAGAGATAGAAAATGGGGAAAAAAGAAAGAGTTTCGCAATACAGGAGAAAGCTAAATAGAATCCGTAGTCTTTTTGAATCAACTTAACAAAAATTCACGCACTAAACAATGAGCGAGGAATTTCAAGCTTAGCGAAATTCGCATTTTCCAAGTGAATTGTAGAAAGGCAAAAAAAAAAAATTGAGGAAAAACTTAGACCGCATTGGATTGTACCTGGTCGGTTGTAAAACGAAGAACGCGTTCGGACGGCTTCCAGGAAGGGAAAACAATGTCAGGAGTGGTGAAATTGGTGGCGCTGCTGCGGCGAGAATGATGACCGCCGTGATTATTATTATTATGATTGTTGGTGTGGTGGTTGTTTGCAGTGGAGGAGTTGAGCTTGGAGTGAGAGTGGAAGATAGTGGCGTCGAGAGTGGCGACAGTGGCGGTGCTGCCGGCGGCGGCGGCGGCGGCAATTGTGGTTGAATTTCTCAGGTGAGGAGGAACATACGACATGGTTTCCGGATAGTTTTTTCTTTCTTTTGCTTTTCCTTCTATTTTCTGCGATGATATTTGGATGAGAGGGCTGAATGGAGAAACAATGTGCTGAAAAAGAGAGGGGTTTTGTGAATTCCTTTTTGAATTTTTACGTTTTGCTTTTCCCCTGCCGAGGAGTGTTTATTACGTTTGGGCTTTTATTTAACTGGGCCTTTACCGGGCTGGCTCTTTAAGGTGACAGCCTTTGCAGTTTGGATTTGTTTGAGATTTTGTTTTTCAGACTTGAGACCTTGAGAGTTGTTTATTTCTCTGCCATTTCATTTCATAGTGTAAAAAACAGCTTTTGTTATGTATGTTTATTGTAACGTCAAACCTTGATTAACACGTGACAGTGTTGGAAATTTCGCACTCACGTAATGTACTAGTTTGATATTAGGATTGATATTTCCTTCTTTACAGCAAAAAGATACCGTAACTAAAAATACGGCTTAGAATTTGAACTCCTTCTACGATGAAATATTGGCGTAACCTCCCTTTTCTTCTAAGACGAAAATCAAAACTTAGGTAGTTTGTAGGAGGCCGGGTTATACAATCTATGTGGTTATTCATATTGAGGTAGAAGTAAGTTATTGTTATTCATTCTTGTTCAATTTGAATCATAAATACTCTAGGAGTTAGAGTCATACGGTGTTAATAATCCTTAGAATTTGGAAGGTCAATATTGTTTTCTTTGTAAGAGTCGATCAAATCTTGTTGCTTCCTACCTTGGAGAAACTGCTTACACGGATCCAATGTTAAACTTGTAAAAAGCAGGAAAGCTAAGAACGCACTTTCCGTCTCCAAACTTTACTAACAAAAATAATTTTACTGCATCACCAACTACCCAAATGAAGCACGTATGAACAATACATGAAAAGACCAAAAAGAAATATTCCTTCAAAAGCACTCATCAAAATGTTTTGTACAATCTGCATAAGCTATCTTTTAGTATTATTAAATAAAAAGTGTTGCCTTCGGAAGTTTTGGGACGTAATGTCTCTGGAACTGATAATGAGTTGTTTGTCCAGCCCTAGCCATGACGATGGCTCTGTCATGTTCCCGCTCCCTCCCCGCCCTTCAGATGAAAAAAATTTTATAATTGCCAGAATATCTTTTAAGAAATACCAACAAATTACCCAAAAGATAGAGTGAACTTCCGCTACTGTTTGATTAAAGTGAGAAATAATAGAGGAAAATAATACAGGTGTACACCTGGTGTTGGTGGTGTTGTTGGTTGGAGTGACTCTTGAGGCCAATGGGGAGGAATGTTGTGTTACAGAATAAGCACTGTTCTTAAAGAGGTATGGTAGTCAATCATCATTCTCTTTAGACTTGAAGAAATGCACATTTTGCTCGTTCTTATGGTAAATTAAGGATGCATTCTTGCATAAATGCTTATCTGATTGTCCTGTTTTCCCTTTTTTGTGTCTGTATCTGCTTATATTACTGGCTCTCACTTTACAGATCCAATTGAAAGACCCTATGAAAATGTGAAGTATAATTAGTGTGGAAAGCAGACAAAGATAAATGAGCTTGCCGGGGATGGTTCAACTGCTTCCACAATACTTGCACAAGGCTTAATTGCAAAAGGTTTAAAAGAAAAGTTTTCTTTTCTGCTGTCGCTTTCATAATAAAAGTGTATTCACCAGAGATTTTGGACAACAACAACAGTTTTACGTACCATTGAACTTCAATTTCAAGTCTGAGCAGAGTTTTACGAACTATAGACCTTAATTTCACCTTTCATTAAGTTGTTGCGAGCCTTGTCCAATTTTCATAATTCTGCTGCATTCTACACGGATCTCAAATTTGACTCATAGTTTACTGCAAGAGTACTTGATGCCATAACCAAACCACAAAGATCAACAAATTGTCTAGAGAAACTGTAACCAAAGTTATAAGACCAGCCAGGAAGACACAACAGACAATCAATAAATCCCTCTGGTTCACAAAGGGAAGCATAAGACCAACGCATCACTCTTCAATGCTCCAGACGGCTACTCATCTAGGGCGCAGCGCTGCTCGTCATGCCACTCTCGGCCAGAGAGAGAGCATTGTAAGATATACCGATTCATTGTCCCACCCAGCGATTAGTATTTCTAGTGACAAACTGTCATCACTGTCAGGATTATGAAGCATGAAGTCAGCCAGCCACTTTGATGCTTTCGCAGCAGAAACTTTTTCCCCGTGCTTGTGTTCCTGGTCCAGATATTACAACACATACAATGTCCACATTTATTACAAAAGCCCATCTTTCTAAGTTTCCAGCCAAACACAGTGTTCACAAATAAACACAAGCGGCAAAGTACCAAAGTCGGCAGACTGAACAAAATTTTTTTCTAACGGGTGCTCCCTCCAGAAAAAACGACAAGCAGATGCGAATCGAGTGAGAAGATAACGTTTTCTGGATATGCATGAGCTGATTTGCTAGATGACAAGTCTAATCAAGAATTCGACCCAGCAAACAAAAAGCGAAATCCTACCAAAAAAAAGGGATCAGATATGATCAAGAAGTTTCTGCTGCGGCTGAACGACTGCTTCTCTTATTTATTAGTAGTATTATTATCTACAACTCTACAACCAAAAAAAAAAAAAGAAAGAAAAAGAAAAATGATGCCCTGCCAAGCCACACTAAATGAAGGCTCTGAGATTCTCCCTTCTTTCAGTATAGTATTTCTTCTCATTTTGCCCAGTGAATTTGGTCATGAATGATGATGAAAACAAGACCCGTTAATCAATTCATGAACCCCAACTCTCAGGAGTCTTTTATCTTCTCCACTCTCAGTGGACACTCAAAAGTCTCCAGAAGCAGGTATATATATATAATAAAAAAAAAAAGCTAATGGAAGCTTCAGGTCTTTATGAACCGGCGCTTTCTCCAGTGTCTAACAGGATCTCATACAGATGCAATACCATATTTTGGAAAATATGATGGAGGTAGTTAGGTGAAACTTCCGAATTCCAAAGTCTTTTCCAGGCCTTTGCTTCCACATTTAGATGCAGTTGTGCTTGGCTTTGTTACTGTGGTTCATGAAAATCACGTAAATTAACAGCAATATGATAACCTGATTTAATTGATGAATAATGAACTTATTGTAATTATGTTGAGCGTTTTCATCACGAATTCAACGAGTGAATATATTCCTGTGGTCAGCTCATTCATTACTATTAACAAAATTTGACGAGCTCTGTAACTATACTGTAGTCCTTGTGCTGTTGATCATGGGATAACCCATATCAACATATCAACTGGTGACATTTTGTTAAGCTCAACCATACACAAACACTTGGCAACTGATTACCTCTATACTGCTTATGAGAAGAATGGCCAGAAAAGAAGCAATTTGGGTCAATTCTTTCATTCCTCTGTCCCGGCATCAGCACATGGTAACTCATCTTTGTATAGTTCGTCTATATCATAGATTTTTGGGGCTTGGATGTAAGAATAAGTTTAAGAAGTTGGAAAAAACATAGACGGAAAGATAACAGCCGTCCAAAGAAAAAGACTCATCTGTCGAAGATATTCCACATCAAGATCAAGGTAAAGAAATGCCAAGCTTGATTTGAACTCTCCCAAATCCAGGAGGGAATACCCAAAGAAATCATATCAAAGATTTCAGTTGATATGACATTCTACTACTTATCTATCCATTGGACTTTTACTACAGGGAAGACACACAAAAACCAGGAACAAGCAGGAGTATACAAAAAACACCCACATGACAAGATAAAACAAAAAAAAAAAAGGCAAATCAAACCCTGATTTTTGCCGGCAGAAAGACAAGCCAACACCAAAGAGGCCTGTTAATCTATGTTGCCATCACTGGATGTCGCTTGTGTCCAATGACAGCTTCCCTTAGCCGGTGATAACCGTTCCTATAATGTTCAAGTGAGAAGCATAATTGTCTTATTGCCTCTCTTTTCTCTTCTGCTCCTTCCAGGATCAGTTCTTGCTGCCTATCTACTTGTAGCTCTAGCTCCTTGATTTTTGATCCCAACTCTTCCGTTTGTTTATATGCTCCTTCAGCCCGGGAAATCAACTCCATGTGTTCCATGTGTAATTGGTGCAGGTGCTTGTTCATCTCATCAATATGGATGTCTTTAGAATTGATTTCTGCTACATGCCCGGCTATTTTCGCGTCCAGTGCATCCTTTTCTGCCTTCAGTGCATCCAAGTTTTTGCTCAATTCTTCAATGTGGTCACTCTTTTCAGAGATTTCAGCCTTCAGTTGCTCGATCTCGGCCCCAAGTGTAGTTTCCATCTCCGCTTTTCCAACTTTGACACGCCTGATATCCTCTTCCAAAGACTGACAGCGCAGGTCCATCTCTTTGAGATTATCCTCCAAATATGTTTTCTCCTTCATCAACCGAGTAATTTCAGCCTGAAGCTGAGTGTTCTCCTCGGATAAGCTCTTGTTGGCATTGGAAACTGTTTCTCTTAATCCCCTGATTTCTTGATCACGGTCTGCTAAATTAGATTTATACCTCACTATTCTGTCCTGCAACTTCAAAACCTCCCTTTTCTCTTTCTCAATTTTAATTTTCCACGCTGAAATATCCTTCTGAGCTGATCCCAACTGAGCCTGTAAAGATTGTATTGATGATCCATTACTCTGAAGTTCCAGGGTTAAGCGTGCAACTTCCTTCTCAGAATCAAGAAGCTTCTCTTTTGTAAGTTTTACTTCTTCCTCTAGAGCATTAATTTTGTGCTCTGATTCTGAATCCACAACTGCACCTAAACCCTCATCCGAGTCCTGCATGTCTGTAACCTGTTTCTCCACTTCAGGACCTGTTTCTACCATGCTTGTTCCCTCTTGCACTATGTCAACCTCACCATGCACGCCGCTGGAGGAATCCATTATCTTGTACTTTTCGAGTTCATCTTTCAAAGAGCTTATCTGTTCTTCAGATAGTCTAATTTTCTCCCGGGAAATTTTCAACTCTTCTTCATAGCCAGCAATTTTAGCCAAGAGGTTTTCAGAATTTTCACTTTTGGGTCCTCCCTCCGAGTCTTCAGAAATCTCTTCCCGTGCCATTTGAAGTTTTTCTTTGACATCACGAAGTTCAACCTCCAATTCAATTATCCTCCGTCTCAAGCCTTGGTCATCATCACTGCTCTGGGTAGCCGCATAATTATTAACAGAAGAATCATCTGATTCTGATTCAGAGTCCAAGGTTGATGTTTCATCACCATCTTTATTGGAAGCGTCTGTGCCAGTCTTGCCAGCCCCAAGAAAGAATTCAAAGCCAGCAGCACGAGGACCTGACTTACGCCGACTTGGCCTTTGATCAGGGGAGGGCATAGAAGAAGGTGGTTCAGAACTTACATCAGAGATGCCGGAGCCCTGTGACTGAAGATCCGAAGGAATACTTCTTCTCAGTTCTCCGGTAACATTATCATACCGCTCTGCCAGAGACCTGTACATTCGGTAGAACTCCTCAACAAGTCTGATCAGCTCTGGTCTCTTCTGGTAATACATTTCAGCTCTCTTTGCGAATGAATCTGCATCCTCTTCGATGAGTTTCAACATCCGTTTGACATTTTGGTCCATCTCTGATATCAAAGATCTTTTCGTCATTTTTTGGAAAGACATTTTGGAAAGTTGGCTCACAATTAGGCATGATCATATTGATTTAAAGTTGAAATCAGGAAGTTTTGGTGTGCGTGCAGCCTGTCCTCCTGCGCAAGCACCTATGAGTGGAGGACCACCACCCACCACCAATGTCTACCTCTTTTAAAGGGTTGACTTATATTATTCTAAATATAATCAGTCAAAACATCTTTTGATCTGGTGAACTATTAACATTAATATTAGGGGAAAAAGACATTTTGTAGATGGCCACTTGCCGGCCAAGATTTCCTTAAAACTAAAAGTATGGTACCATAGAAAATCTCAGAAGGATCCAGATTCCACACCTCCTTTTTGGAAGGATGACATGGCTACATTGGATCCAGTCACAAGTAAATAAAATGCATGAAATTTCTTAGTCTAAATTACAAGATAGTGGTTCTCATTTGAAGAAAAATGCAACCCTTCCTATTCTGAAGGAAATTTCCACATCTTTTGGGAAAGCTAATTTCTAGTGTAATCATCTACACATCAATTCTCCCTTGACGACTTAACAAAGTTATTCATGATTAATCCCAAATTTGTGCACAAAATTACTTTGCAACAGGGAAAAAGAAAAACAAGCTTCAAGTTACCATGCAACTCAACATATCCATGCAATATTGTCAATTTTCATGTTAGGTTTAAATAAACAATATAAGAGCTGCACAAAAACCCAACATCAAACAAACATATACAAATGTGCATCTAGTCTTGTACCTTCAAGATTTTCTTGCAGCCACTTCGAATTTTTAGGACTAACATGGCTGTCCCACCACCAGGAATATGTCTTTTTGGATGTAGCCCTCTTCAACATCTTGCTCTGCTTAACCTGAAACCAAAGGATGAAATCAACTCATCTTCCATTCTCTCTTTGTTACAAAGCTCCCACTATAAATTCAAGGAAGCTGGCACAAACAAGTTTTCTTGGAAGCACAGTAGAACACAGTTGCCAGTTTTAGCTAGGTACATTATAGTAGCAAATTCTTGGTACCATGGACGAAGTTGATTAGAAAAAGCGCAGTTATTAAACAGAACAAGCACCACATACAGGATCCTTTCATTTTTCATTTTCTGTTTTCATCAGGATCATATTCTAAAAGAAGATAGCAATGATGTTATCAATAATATAGAATCAAAGAACAGAAAACAGTACATAAGAAGTACAAGTTATAAGTTGTGGAGGTCGGGATGAATGAATTTCTTACCGAGGGAGTAGCCATGATGCTGGTTTAGCAGAACTTGATGAAGCAGCTTAGTCCCGCAGTAATTCGCCTGCTACGAAGATGAAGCCTTATTAGAGCAACAAGTACTAAGAAAAAGAAAATGATCAAAATACATTTATCTTTACAGAATCCAATGCTGAACAAGGTAGACATGGAAACGAAATGAACATCCAAATGCCAAAACAAACTACAAAGAGTCCTAACATTAGCGTCAAAAACTTAAGAATAAAGAAACTTTACGAATATATAATAATTATTTATCCAAAAACTTTAGCATGCATCAGCAACCTCTGACCAAAAAGAAAAACAAGTGCAATGTTGCTAATTTAGGTGAAAAACAGGTGGGCGGCAAATCACGGAAAATTGGCATTTGCCGGCCCAATAGCCCCAAATGGCCAGTTGGATGCAAACAGTACAAAGAGGAAGTTTCCTTGGGCCGATCAAAAAGGCCTTTTGCAATATTAATTGAAGAAATGGGGAGCGCCAGTTTGACTAATTTAAGTTGAATTAAATTAATCCATGTAGGCCCACCATGATGACTAGGTGTCACTATTGTCCAACAGACACGTGGCAGCTGAGAGCAATACAGTAAGCTCAATATAGGTGAGACGTGGCAAGCACGCGTGAGAATCGCGCGTGGGAAAGAAATTCACTTTGTGAAAGACATTTTAAAATCCACAAAATGAGGAAGAAATAAATATCCGGAGATTGTGATGCCGTATGAACAACTAGACAAAAACACCACCTCCAGCTATACCCACGCGGTCGTGTTCTTCGGGGCATCATCATCATTCATTGTATCGTTGTAGTATATGATTCATGAATAATTGCAGGGAAAAAAATTTTAATTATTTTTACCCTAAAGAAGCTGAGAGGACAAAAATTAAATGGTATCAAATCTGAAACTGGAACTTCCGGGAAATTGACACTTCTACTTCTAGGAGGACCACAAGCAACTGGCTGAAAACTGCTACCGGAAATTGAATGAACAAAGAAAGCAGTCACTAAAAGTTAATCAGAATCGATGAGTCTTGACCCAGACCAGAACAAATGTTGATTTTAGAAATTGGGAAAAAGGACCCGGCTTTTTTTTTCTTTTTGACCCATAATTTTTAATAATCTTCCAGAATGAAAAGTTGAAAAGCGCCACCCAATTATTAAACAAGTATATAACAATGATGTCCATGGCGATTCCTTTCGAAGTTTGAAATTTTGAAAGTGAAAGCGCTCCTCGTGAAAAGGAATTGAGAATTGGGTTATTCGTTCTTACCTCAGATCAGATAGAAGGCGGTGATGCAATAGTGGGATTTCCAACTTTCAATCTTGCAAGAACAATCTTTATAGAATTGAACACCAAGAAAGTTGAAATCGACCCAGTATCCGGCAATTCTTTGGAGCTGGAAACCAATAATGAAGAACAGAAAAGGGATATCAATGACTAAGAAAAAAAATTCGATTGAACCGTGAAGAAGAAAAAGTAGTACCGACATGAAATATAAAAGAAAGAAAACAGAGTAACATGATGTAGCAGTAGTATAGAATACTCACTTTTATATCTGTATTTCCTGATTGAATCTTCCAAGAAGAAGAAGAAGAAGCTGGATAAGAAAGATGAATAAAGACAAGAAAATCTAATGATTTGAAAAAAAAAAAAAAAAAGGAGGCCCAAAATTTTTACAGTTGTTCTAAAACTCCTCCGGCGAGAAGAGTGTGAAAAGAGAGATGAAAGAGACAAAGAGGTGATGGAGCTTTATATATATATGGCTATGGGGAGCACATTAAGGAAGTGGACAGTGGGAAAAGACGGACTTTTTTTGTCTTTTTTTTTTTTATCTCACATTTTCTCACACTGAATTTTCTTGTCTTATTTCTTCGGGGCGTTAATTTCATCATCGTGATGGTATCTTTTTTTAATTTGTTTTTTGGTTTAATTCATAGTCACGATAAAAAGGATTTGGTTGAATTTTTCTAAATTTTTTTTATTATTGAGAAAATAGCGAGAGAGATATGTTGACCTTTGACGATACTACTAGAGTACTAGTATTATTGAACGATAGTACTATTGAAGATGATTTTGAAGACGATTTACTCTCTGAATTTGTCAATTTAAAATCAGCATGGATTTGATTGAACGATTGGTGTGGTTATTGAATGAAACTCATGATACTGTTGTTCGTATTTTACTCAATATGTTGGAAAGAATTTGGTGAATTCGTGATCATAAGTACTGGTACTACATAGTACATACTCCCTCTGTCCCATAATTATTGTCCAGTTTGAGTTTTCATTTTTAATTCAATTTGTACTAAAAGTGAAATCTCAAACTGCACAATAATTTTGGGACAGAGGGAGTAGTATTTAAAAAAATTTTATTTATCATCATCATAATAAATGTTTTAAAATTTTAGATGTATAAATAATGTGGCATTGATCTCATTGTGTTGTTCTGTAGTATTCGAGTCATGTGAAAAATAAAATGAACTATACCTATCTTCCTTTAACATTATTGTTGTTTGGCCAAATTTATTTACTTCCTGGGTCATTACACTTCCACTGATCAAAAGAAACACCGATAAAAAAAAAAAGGTTTTGGTTAAAAGAAATGGTCAATATTGCCACATAAACTTTGCAAAATACGGGTAGTCCTAAATTGTCCCAAATTTCTCTAGAAAAAAAAGAAAAGAAAAAAAGGGATAGGCAAATAAAAGCCTTCCGTCGAGGGGAAGTTCCTTATCTAACTGCAAAAAGGTACAATCTTGATGAAGAGGAGGAGAAAAAGGGAGAAACGAAACTGGAAAAATGGCATTTTCGGACGATTAATAATGCAAATAGTAGTAATAAATTTACTGCTTTTTATGAGAAGAAACTTTAAGGCCTTCTGACTTGGTTTGGTTAGTAGTATTATTTGACTCTTTATTGATTTTCAAAGATTTAGCCATGTGAACAAGTATGGTAGCATTGAAGCATCTCTTATTTAATTCCTATTTGTTTCTTCCCTTCAATTATGTAGACCCTAGAGAAACCAATAATTCTTTTTTACCTATTAAAACAAATGTATTTTTACGTTATCCTCCAGTTTGGGCTACTTCGATCACAGTATGACATGCATGAACCACAGCTTCTAACTATGGTGTTGATAAGTTCTTTGAAGAATTTCATCATTTGTAACACATTTGTAGCAGGTTATTATTCCGTCGGCTAGTGATTTTGCCAAAACACTTTTTAGTATTCAAAACAAAAATGACATTTCTTGCCCTTATATGATCAAACGCATCTTCTCTTCTCTTATCCCTTTTGCCCGCTTTTTTCTATTTCCCAAAACATTTCTTGTTTTCTTAACCTACTCTTTTGGCCGAATTTTTATTATTTTTAAAATGCATAACACTAACGTTCTTGCTATCTCGTATTAACTTGACCGAGAATAAAGATTTAGTTGGCTAATTAAGCCGTTTGTTTCAATATGACGAATCTATATATGATAAGAAATCAACAATATTTCTGAATTATAGCTTTAGACAAAATTTTACCGGGCAAGGGCTATGATATCTTTCTGAGGGTGGGGATACTATTCTTACATATAATATAATTCCTCATTGTCTTTTTTTTTTTTTTTAACTCTTTGATCTAGTATTTTGTGTGCCTGTGATATTGATATTTGAGTAGAAATTATCAATCTTGTGTTCATAGCGCAAGCTATATCATCTGGGACTTTGTTGATTCCAACAAGACTCTCAGAGAGTGGTTCCTTTGCTTTGGGGTTGAATTGTGATATATATGATGGAGAAATTTCATTAATTTTCACATGTAATGTGATTAGTTTTTTTGCAAAATCTATGGGCTCTTTCTGTGAGAACTTTTTTCCTTGTGGAATCATCTTTTTGTTTTTTTTTTTTTTTGTAATACAAGGAGATTTGTTTTTCTAATCTGACAACTGACAAACAGGGGTAAATGAACTGTTTTAGTTGTACAAAATTTTGATTACGGAAATTAGGTTCTTCTATATGTAATTATGCCTGGAGAAGCAAATAGAACAGCATGTACTACGGAAGTGTTGAGTTGTGAGATAACATAGAATTCCAGAGTTACAGAAGAGAGGAAGATAGAGTTTGACCTCTCAAGGGCAACTTTGGAAAATAAAGTTATTTTTGTTTTGGATGCCAAAAGTTGTTTTGGCAAGATCATTGCCCTATTCCGTCTCGTTTTAATAGTTTATTTTTATATTATTTTTATTTAAAAAATAGTAGTTTACGTTGAGTTATCAATTTTAAATTTTTTAATACAAAATTTAAAACTCAATATATATTATTTTTCTAGAACAGAAATAGTATTTTTTTTATAACAAAGTGGAGTATTTATATGAGTTGAGGGAGTGATTATTTCCTGATCGTTACACATATACGCGCAAACATACAACCAGGTGCCTTTTGCCTTGGTTCTGCAGCTTCTGCTGGTTGTATGTATGTTGTTTTTCTTTCTTTTCTTTTTTTTTTCCTCTAATATTGTGAAGTCAAATCAACTCTATTTTCTTTCACAATTTGTTGATTAATTTCCTCAAGCAACTCGGTTTGCTCATTTATTGACCTCAACACCTGGCAAATTTTTTATTAACTTGACACTACTGATCCAACCATATTTTTTTTTCTTTTAAAATAACGCCGTTTTTCTTGGCCAACTAAAAATTAAGATGGTCATTAGCTACTTACACTGTGTAAAAAAAATCGTTTTATAATATTTTATCAATCCCAAAAAATAATAATAATTCACATTATAAATTACAAATTGTTATAATGATAGAAGTAATACATCTTTGCGTTCAATGAAATAGATTATACTCCCTCCGTCCTATAATTATTGTCCAATTTGAGTTTTCATTTTTAGTATCCATAATTATTGTTCAGTTTGAGTTTTCATTTTTAGTACGTAATTATTGTACTAAAAATAAAAACTCAAACTGGACAATAATTATGGGGCGGAGGGAGTATTAATTATAAGACAAAAAAAAACCCCCATATTTTAAACATACGGGTAGTTCGTCACTCGGTTTTGCAACATCAAATTATCTTAGCTGTTGTAAAAAATAAAAAATAAAAAGAAAAAAACCATCCTAGCTAGATCAACCAATTCAATTAATACTTCAGAATTACTAGTATAAACACGCGATCAAAATCCCAGTTTTGACTTTGAGATTTTGATTCGGTCACCTTCGCTCCATTTGGCAGCATGATGCAAAACAAATGCGCTTTATTTAAATATTTTTATCTCAAAAAATATCTCCAGCTGTTGTAACTATGATAGCTTTGTTGTTAGCTACAGTGACGGTCTATTCATGTTTAAATTTATTCATTTTTTTTAATAAATGAAAGAAGTCTAAAGTATAAACTAGTTGAGTTTTTTAAGGTTTATCTAACGAGGAGAAGAAATTACCCGAAAACTTTTTGAAAATGTGAATGTATAACATGTTTGTTTTTTTTTTTCTTTCTTAAATTTAATATATTATTACGTAAGTTGAAATTTGAAATTAATTTATATAATCAAAATCGAATTCTAACTTCTTAATCTTTGGAAATTTGAAAATTCTTCCTTAAAAAATCTAAAATTAATAAAAATTTACAAAATGTAACACTATTAATTTTAGAAATGTTTACGTAAAGAAATAACATGGACTGTATGATTCCATCAATTTGATAAGTTTTTTTTTTCCATTCAAGAAACAATTTGAGTTTGGACTAAAAGGGTTAACAATGTTAAATGTGAAAAGGTTATTTTTATTACGCCAAAACAAGTAGATAAGAGATTGACAATATTCTTTATTTGCTAGTCGAACATCACATTAATATTGTAAGATTAAATGAAAAATATAGAGCTCAAAACTAGTGGGGTTTCTTTCTGATGTCCACCCCGGGTACATCCACGTTATACAAATGTTATAATAAACTCATGTATACTTTCATATCCCAACAGATGAAAGTGTTTGTGGTAAACTTGAGTGTTGATATGTTTATACCCAACAACACGTCAAGTCATGTAAACAATTGTGCGGACTTATAGAACTCGATGGTAACACTGGAAAAAACAAATTTCTGTTCTAAACATTCATCTCAAATTTTCCATGATTTCCTAACTCGATTGACAAAATCGATGAAAGAAAATTTCTCTTAAACACATACGTGTTGACCGTTAAGTAAACTTTCATAAATCGAGATAAAGTCGATGAAACAAAATTCTCTTAGAAACATTCATGTTCATATTTAGGTTTTTATAACTCGATGATAAAGTTGGCGAAAGTAAAAGTTGATGAAAAACATTTGCATCAATTGTTTGGTAAACTTCTTTAACTCGACGATAAAACCGACGGAACAAAATTCTTCTGAAAACATTCGCGTTTACTTTGTTGTCGACTTTATTTAACTTGATGATAAAGTCGGCGAAAGAAAATTTTCTTAGAAAACATTTGCGTCAACTTTGGCGTCGACTTTCCAAATTGGACCATAAAGACGACGAGATCAAATTTCTTTCTAAACTGAAGAAAAAGTTTACAAAATCAAAATTGTCTTATAAATATCTTGTCGAATTTCATAACTGAATGATAAAGTTGTCAAAGGTAAAATTTAATTCTAAATAATTACATTACTATCATGAATCTGATTATAACAAGTCATTCGTCAGTTCTTTTTTTCTTTCTCCGGAACTGTCTCAACTCTCAAATCAAACTCTTCTTTTTATTGTCGGATTGAAGAAGGTTGGAGCGAACAATGGATCCGAAGACTAAACCTTTCCCTTTCCGCTGCTTGGAGATCTTCATTACCCTCCAAGGGGCGATTACGTTTTTTTTTTTTTCTTCGTCCTTTTTACACAATTATTATTAAAACTCGTATTCTTTTTTGTGCTTACCCTGAATAGAAAAAGTGAACCGCAGTGATGGGCAATTGGGCACAATGAAGGGATTATTATGTTAGCCGCTGATAATTTTAGGATGAACCCATCTGATGCATTTCCCAGAAAACGTTATTTTTACTCAATTCTCACCGGCTTGTGGCTGCTTTTTTTTCTGGCGGGACCAAAGATTCGCGCCAATATTTTGCTCAATCATCTGCCAAACAAGGTATTGAATTTGTAATTTGCTGCTACAAACGGTTTAGCTGCAATCTAAGAACGATTTCACCGTTCTACTTATTTAATTCGTGTGGGAAAATTGTGGTTTTAGTGCATCATTTCTTTGAAGTTGTAACTCTGTAAAAATGGTTATTACCTTTCATTCTTACACATTGCTTTTATATTTGAAGATTGGCCCATTATGGTTGTTTATATACTCCGTCTGTTTAATTCTAATAATTCATTTTGTCCTATACTAATCTAATTGTGGACTATTAGGGTAGGAAGTAGGATCCATCTTCCCCCCGCCCCCTACTGATGCATTCTTCTTTCTTGTATTCAAGTTTTCCATGTTGGAAGTGATGTGGGGGTGGTCTCAATTATGATGATGATGTAGTAGAATGGCTAAAAAGGGATTTCAGAAAACGTGGGATGGAGTGGAAAGACCAGCGGCTCTTCCTTTTCAACAGAATTTGAGCGCAGATGTGGGAGAATAGCGAGAGCTCTCTTATGATAAAAAGTTGAAGGAGTGATGCAGTAGTGGTCTTCTGCCTCACTTTTGGTGGACTAGATGGTTTTTACTACATTCTGTCTGTTGTTTGTCTCGGGTAGCTCCATTACTTTAGCTAATAGACTATGGAATTTTCAATCACACTGAAAAGCAGAATTGTTGTTACAAGAAATCCCAATTAAAGTAAATAGTAGTATTCTCTTGTTGATGGATGGCAAAATGGAATCCATAGCAGACACCCTAACCCGAAGTTAAAGAACTAAGAGCTTAACACACACATGGCAGAAATTTTGATGGTTGCTCTCCTCTTCGATTGTTTCATCATGTTAGCAACCTTGAATAAGCCAAATTAGTTAAATTGTCGGGCTTGTTTTACGCATGATTCTTGCATAAAATAATTTACACCTTTAGTATTACAAGGAACAATATTGAAGGAAGAACAATGTTCATTGAAAGTGTAGAGTATTGATCAAACTAGTCATAAGCCCATATTGCATATCGGGGACTTTCAAGCAATCGAGTGAATTTTCTTGCCTCCATCCACATATTTACATTTTAAACAACCAAAAAAACAAAAGTTGAAAATGAAAACTTTCATCCAATGGATTTAACATCCAGAAACAAAATTTGATCTAAATCTTTTAAAGAGCTGACTCAATCGAATGAAATCCAAATTGCAAACAAAATTTCATACAGTTAAGTAAAGATGTCATCCACAATTCATAACCTGGTAGGCAGTGACTGGCAACAGATGCTAACCCAGTACAGAGATATCAACATGAAAACTCTCAGTACAATGTCATTACGCATTTCAATACATTATCTACCCAACCAAAAGGTGTCACTAGACAAGCATGAGCCCCACCCATTCCACCATTTTATTTCAGCAAAAAAACAGCTCATGTACCAGCTTTCCTGCGAGCAACAACGGCAAGGTAACCTGCCTTGATTTGTGCCACTGACCTTCCAGACCCGCACTACAGCAAAGAAAACATATCAGTACCCCCATGAAAAAATGTATATTGCAACAGATTAAGAACTAAAGAAGGCGAAACCCAAAAGTCTTGAGTTCAAGTTAACAAGGAGGGCCAAATGAAAGGAGGCACGGCATCTCTATTGGTTTCTCCTTTCAAGGAGCTAAAAGCATTCAAAGTTGAAACACAGCAAAATACTAGAATTGCAAAAATCAAAGCAAAGCATAGCACAAACCCTACTACAAAAAAATATCCCGCCCAAATACCAACAATAAATGCTTTTACAAACTTCAAAGCTAGATGCCACAGGTAACGTTTGTCAATTGAATGCAAGGCTAGTTTTATATGGCAAAGCTCTTGTGCAGTTTAAACTTGAATAATGAAGTAAACATTTGAAAGAGATACACATTAGTTAGAAGGCCTCAGAGAATGATTTTCATCTAATTTAAACAAAAACTCAGACAATGTAGGCAAATACTTCAAAACACATCATTGGCCTTCTCAGCAAGAGCAGTGCTTTGCAAGAAATGGTGAACCAGCAATATGATAAATAGATAACTGTAGATGACCATGGAAACAAAACCCAAAATAATGAGAAATTACAACAAAAAGAATAAAAAAAGGGGGCGAATAATGGACTCAATATTTAGGGATCAGGGTTTAGTCGTTATATGGCAAAGCTCTTGTGCAGTTGAAACTTGAATAATGGAATCAGTATTTGAAAGAGATACACATTTGTTAGAAGGCCTCAGAGAATGATTTTCATCTAATTTAAACAAAAACTCAGCCAATGTAGGCAAAAAATTTGAAATACATCATCGGCCTTCTCAGCAAGAGCAGTGCTTTGCAAGAAATGGTAAACCAGCAATAATATGATAAATAGATAACAGTAAACGACCATGGAGACAAAACCAAAAAAAAAAAAAATGAAAAAGTTATAACAAAAAGAAAAGATAAAAAGGAGCGAAACAAAGGTTAGAGTTAGACAATGAGGCCTCAGAGAAAAAGATAATCTTCAAGAAATACTATCAGACAATGTAGGCAAATAGATGAATCATCACAGGCCTCAAACAGATTAGGACCTCACATGTAACATATTCAGTCCATGATGAAAACCTAACTTCGAACTAAAAAGGTAGAAAAAATATTTACAAAATCCAGAACTGGGAGGAAAACACCACTTGAAACAAAAGGTAATAAGAAAGTATACCTTCTCACACCGAAGGAAGAAAAGCCGGTTCTCCTTTGAAAGGATTGTATCAGGGCTTTTGCAGCCATTACAGATGACATATTCATCTGCATACAAACAATATCATCAAGAAGAAGTTCCCGGACCAAGCTACTAATAAACAAACCAATCACTTTTTATAGGTTCCACAAAAGCAATGAATGATAGTTACAAATAACAACTTCTTTCAGGAAATCACCAAGCAAATGCTGGTTATGTTTTTTGTAAAGCATTAGAATAAGCCAATTTCAGCTTAGTACTTACTGACGTATCGACGCAAAATACCCTCAAAGTTTTTTGGGGCGAATCTTCCTTTAACCACTAGCCGCTGTTGACCATCAAGGGACCCACTTGTTCCCAATTCAGCCAACAGAAAAGCCATAACATGCTCTGGCTGCCTATGCATCCTATAAGATGTCAATAAATGTGGAAAAACTTAGCAAATGTCACAAACATGTCCCATGTTGGAAAACCCTTCAAACCAAACAAAGAGAAATCAACAAAATTATTCAACACACCACAACTCTTAAAGAGGAAATAGAAGCTAAACCAGACTTGTATATCACAAGTCTAACATAGACATAAGGTATAACGGTTTCGAGACAGATATCATAGAAATGCAACCATAATAAATCACCCGATGACACCTATCATGATGAAATGAGTAGGAAGGCAAAGACCTGATATATGCAAACAATATATGACCACAAGCAATCACATTGAAGCAACTTATACATATATCTCAATTTGAATGTACTCAAAGGGGCAAGAAAAAGAAGACTGCTGCACAGAAATTGTACCAAATAAGAATTCATATTGGACCACATGCAATACCAAACACTGAAGCAACTTATACATATATCTCAATTTGAATGTACTCAAGGGGCAAGAAAAAGAAGACTGCTGCACAGAAATTGTACCAAATAAGAATTCATATTGGACCACATGCAATATCAACTAGAAAATAGAACATACGTTTTACAGAGGTCCATGAAATTGACAAAGACAGTTTTCTTAGTTCCTTCACGAAGAACTTGAGGAGGCCTCATGACTGTCCTGCGCCTATCTCCAGCCAGCTCAGGATTGTTCTCACGCAGAATGTTGAACACTCGTCCTAGAAGCTGTAGGATTACATGAAATGAAACGCAACCAACCAGTGGTCAAATATAAGGATGAATTAGTTTTCCTTAAACTCCAATCTAAAGCTAAATTCCGGTAAATTTACCTCCTCATACTCATAATCACGGTCAGTTCCATCCCAAGGATTTTGTTGCAAGATGGTACCTGTGCCTTCCTCATCATCCCCAGTTTGTTCTACAGTTTATCACATCCAATAGTAAGTTTGAGGACATGACCAAGTTATAAACCTTCCAGAACTAAAAAGTTTCAAAGACAATAGTATACCATCCAACTCATCTCCCAAATTCTCCTTGTCATCAGTCAGGAGGTCTGCATGTACCTGCATCACATCAAGAGAGACTCATCAGAAACTAGACAACAGTTGCTCGAAGATATTATACACATACAGTACAGAACTAACCGGCTTCTTCTTCTTCTTTTTCAAACCAGCAAAAGAAGGCTCGATACCATCAGAAACTGTTCAATAAGAAAACCAAATAAATATCAATCCGGCAAAAATGTGGACATTTGCCTCATTCAGTAAATAAGCCAAATAACTTGAAACTGCATACCTGATAGGCTCTCTGTCTTTTCTGCCAAATCGTTGACAGAATCATCAGCTGGATCCTGAATGGTTACTTTCTTCTTTTTCTTCTTTTTGGTAGGATCAAAAGGAGCGATCTGAAAATCCATAAATATACCAAGAGCATCAACACCAAAGAGACAAAGGCAATCTTAATTAATTCACCAGTTGTAATAATATTACACAAGAAACTTACACCAACAGCCTCCTCTTTCACCTCCTCCTGCATCCCGTCCTTAACCTCTTCTTCAGCCATATTGCTCTTCAATGATAAACTGAACCAAACAAGATTTAAAATGAATCAAATACTATTAACGCGTATTAAAACATCATTTAAAAAAAAAAAAAAACCTCTCAGCCATGCACAAAAAACAAAAAGGAAATTTCAAACCCAAACGCATGTCTTTAAAGAAACAGGGAGTAAAACATCCATTTTCAATCCTCAAAAACTGAAGGAAAAAACACACACACACACAGACACACACATACGAGCATCAATCGGTAACGCAAATCGAAACCCTAATTAAAAGAATGGAAGAAAATACGAAAAGGGGAAACGGACAAAAGGAAAACACCCATAAATCCCTAAATCCACACAGAACAATAGAACGGGAATCGCATTCCTGGGGCGGAAGAATTACCTGAAAATCAGATGGAGAAGCTCCTTCCCTGCGTTGTTGTCTTCGATTGGTGTTTCTCTGTAATTTGCGGCTGATGTGATAATGTCTTTCTGACCGACCAGGATGAAAGTTTGTGATTATTATTTATAGCTGAGGCCCAAAACCGATAGTTAGGATAAATCGAATGGGCCAAAATGGGCGAATTAAAATAGGTTCTAGCTTAATGGGTCAATACTAGCTGGAAGACAAAATAAGTGATTATTTGGGCTTTATATTTAGTTGGGCCTCTGGTGAACTGTGTATTTGTGGAGAATAAATCAACTCTAAGATCGTGTGTCAAATCACTACCCATTAATCTGTCCTCTTTCGTAAGGTAATCTCTTCCATGAGTGTTTTGATCGTGTGTTTTTTTTTTTTCCATTTAGTTTGCAATATGCCTGAGGTATATTTGTTTCAGTTTTTTAGTGTGTATTTTTAGGCGTTTTTTATATTGAAAATATAAAAAAGGTATATCAAAAATATAAAAAAATATAATGGGATGGGACAATTATTATTATATTATTCTAGGATAAACCATGAAAAAATGTGTGTTTCACATATTTTTAGTTACAACATTTTAGATATCACATATTTTTGGAAAAATGTGTTTCAGTAATTTTTTTTTAAATGTTCTCCACTTACCCAGCTTGACTCGAACCCGTGACCTATTGGTCGTAGGTTGTACCTCGTTGTCGTGTTTCAGTCATTTTAAAATACATAACTTTGCATTATATATATATATATATATATATATGTTCTCCATAGTACCATCTGTACAAATAAGAACCGCGTGTTACATTTTTTTACTAAAATAAATAAGACTTATTTTGGATCAGAGAACATTATATGCCGGAAATGTTAAAAATCCTGTAAAACAAGATATCTGAATTAATAAATGTAAAAGAGGGTAATCTATACGCTAGTGATATCTAAAATGTTGTAACTTGTAAAGTTTAATTACCCAACAAAAAAAAAAGAAAAAAAAAACGAAAGCTTTTTACTGATAATTTTTATGGCAAATCTGTACATGAGTCTTTCGCAGATAATTTGTCGTCAAAATTATCATCATATAAACCTCGGTTTTTTAAAGGGAATGAGAGGGTTTTGTGTATTTTTCAACAGGACTTGTTATCTTTCTCACAGAGCAGTAAATATTTCTCGTACTTGTGTTAAGGTGTGTTTCTCAAATTTATTTTAACTCAACTCTTAACGAAATTGATTTGGGAAAAAAAATAAATAAAACCTAAGGGATCAGAAATTATTCTCATGCATTTGTTAGTAATATTAGTATTTTAATGCTTTTTTTATATTTATTTTTTCGGCCTGCACAACTCAAAAGCCACTCGAAAGATCCTTTCTCAAGCGAGTTCCTACCTCAAAGACATGAATCAGACAACATTGATTCCATAGATATTCTTCACATACAGGCAAAAGGAGACCAATTTGGCTCTTAGGAGTCAATAGGGTTAAAAACAAAAAAAAATGGCACTAAAAAATAAATTTAAATGATATAATGATAGCGAAAGAAAGCACCCTCTCCATTTCGTACTTATCCAATAAAATCAACAATTTTTTTTTTTCTTTATAAAAGCTTTTAAAGAAAGAAACGAAATCAAGTCGTCTTCAATAGTACTACTTCCATAAATAAATAAAATCACATGTTGTTGGAAGACCATTGACCAAATAGAATATATAAACAAAAAAAATATCTAACGACCAAAATCTGTCAAAATCTACTGTTTTTTAATGTTGATGCATTGTAGTGAATGTTCATGAATGTGTGTAGTTGAGAAACCGACGTAGCTGTGAGGTTTCAATTCTAATACCAATATATGGGTGGGGATCCGATCAAATTAGTTTATAGCTTTCGATATTATGGGGTTTTTTTTTTGTGGACAATATTTAAAAATTTGCGTCAGCTCAATTCCTTGCATCTGTTAAATTAATGGACATTATTTGCTTTGATATATTTTCACCTTCGATGTTATTTCTCATTTTCTCTCCCCATTTATTTATGTGTGATATAAGTAACATGTGTTTGTATTTCAGTTTAATTAATTAGTTTATTGATCGAAGCTAAAAGGCAAGTAAAGAGTGGAGCAATGGATCCAACAAAGCAAAAGGTGGCCTTGTTTGGACAACCTTCCATTTTACATTTTCACTCATTTTACCTCTTAAACATAAAACCCAAAAGAAAAAAAAACATCATTCAAACAACTTTTTGATTTATATTTTAAATTCCAATTTGAAACACTTTTTGTTACTGTAATGACCATTTTAGAACTACAAATAGTTCAGTGACAAATTTTGGCAGGATTCCGTTGTTGAGTGATTATTTTTAGAAAAGTTCTTTTTTGCAGTGACTATAATTGACAGTATTTAATTGTATAGTGATGACTTGTACTTGATATTTCAAAATGTAGTTTAAAATACTTTTTTTCAGAACCAACATCCAAACAACATTTTTATTTCGCATTTAATTTTCAATTTGAAACACTTTACACTTTTAAGTGGCAAAATGAAATGTAAGTTGACGTCCAAACAAGCACTATAAATTTCATTTGGCTACCGACAGAATCAAATCAAACTTCAGACAAATGTCAAAGTCACCTTGGGCTCCCATCTCAAAACTAATTGGCAATGAGGGGAGTAACCCATGGTGCTTATAGACTGATACAAAGTGATTCCAGACACCAATGTGGAATAAATACTTCAACACTCTCCCTCAAGCCCAACGGACTTGGGCTAAATCACCAGGATCAGGAAATAAGCCGTGAAATAACATCACGGGCCGCGGAATAACATCGCGGACTTAAATTGAAGACAAGCCCACCCATGTGCACGGAAGCGATTGACGCAAGTTCAAGGCACACGGATCCGAGCCCACACATGCAGGTCCATAGTTATCACAGGTCCACAGACCGTGGGTTCTGATACCATATCAAAATCACCTTGGGCTCCCATCTTAAAACCAATTGACAATGAGTGGGTTGGCCTTTGACACTTATAAACAGGTGACAAATCTTTCACAACACCGATGTGGGATTCTTTTGCCCTAACAACAAATTTTGTTGTTTTGTCGAACGAAGTTTAGTTAATGATTTAAAGGTTATCATCGTTTTCATATACAACCAAAAAAAAAGAAGAAAAGGAAATGATTTCATGATAGATAAAACTTATTAATCACTCCAAAATGTACATATTGTAAAAAAAGAAAGAAAAGAAAAAAATCTTATGTTAACTGGTTTTCTTACGATCTCACATGTAACTGAGCTTAGGATCGATAATTAAATTCATCCAATATGGATGTCTCCCTTTTGGCCTTTTCCATGAACCCACTGATCATATTCAGATCAAAATCACCACCACTATAATGTGACAAATATACTAATTGTTTTAGTTTCACAAGGCAAACTTAATAAAGGTGACATTGATGATATTTTAAAACCCTGATTTTCGTAACACCACTTTGAAACTAAAATAAATAGCTAATTTTCTTACTGAACCTATTAATAACCTATTCGTTTAACTCTTAACATTTTCATCTGCGTGAATACTTATGGAGTAACCATTAAATTATTTTTGTCAATATCATTAATCATATTAATACTTTCATTAGTTAGCGGCCACCGGCCGGATAGTACTTTGTATTTCAACATCAAATGAGGAAAATTTAGTTAAAGAAATCACGGGCTTCCCAGAATTAATCGGTGCTTAAACCATCTTGGTTAATGTTAATTCAATAATTCATCCTTATAGTCCTTCAACACAATTTTTTAATTTATTTCGGTTCCAATATGATTACTTTGGCATTCAAATCGATTGCAGTTCCCCCTAATGTCCTCACATTATAGGTCCATAGCACTCATTAGCATCTAAGCAACACTAAACTAATTACATTATTATTATCATGGGAGGAGGCACGATTGCTTTAAAAAATTAATACAATTAAAGTTGATCTTCTTTATTTGAATACTAAATCTCTTATTGGGTGCACGCTAATCAGCAATTCCATTTAGGTATTAATCTATTCTTTTATTCATCCCCTTTACCTCTACAATAATTTAGGAATCGAGGGTCCCATTAATGGGCATGCAGTAAATTATTTAATTAGATTAAATTAAAGGGACTTATTTTATTGGTCGACTTGACATTTTATAAGCTTTCTTTTATTTGTTTTGGCGTTTGTAGTTAAAGGCGGCTTAGGTACAGTGACTTGTTGCCTGTTGGCTTAATGGAAATTCTGTCCATGTATTTTGTCATGTACTTGTCGGATTTCATTGATTATCACGATCGAGTAACAAATTTGGATTCTCTCCATCTCAAAATTATAAAATTATTGAAATAGAAGGAGTAAGAATTCTCACTTTTTAATACTCCCTCCATTCCAAAATAAGTGTCGTTCTACACTTTGCACATAGTTTAAGAAACTCTTAAATAGAGTAATAAAATTACTTAAATATCCTCAACCAACCCTATTATAAAATTATTCACCAATAGTATCAACTCTTTTGAGAGTAATTTTGGAAACTTTTGACAAAAAGTGCATTGAAATGTGAGAACGATACTTATTTTAGAATTTCTCCATTTTGCTAAAACGACACTTATTTTGGAATGGAGGGAGTATCTTTCTGGATTTTTAATTATTGGATTTGGCTTTCTTCCGAACCATAACTAACAATGCCACCAAAGTAATACTCAAGAAAAAAAAAGAAAAAAAAAAGACATGGATATCTGAATGGTGAATCAACATCGCATTTTTTTCCCAAAAAAAAACATCGCATTTTTTTTGATCATAAATTAATTAAGAGTGAAAAAGGATGAAATAATTCACATCTTGTTGACTCATATGACATGCATGGGAAAATATTTTGTTTTGAACACTATTAATTTTAGAGAGGAAAAAAAAAAAAGACATTGCACGTGAATACAATAATTTTGTAGGAGTTATGATGCCGATTTATTGCTCCAATAATTGTTCATTTACTCCTTACATAAAATTCGAATCCAATACGGCCACAAATTCTTTCCTATTATCCACGGCGGCATTCCTCTTAACCTTAATCGACTCTCAATTATTTGGATTGCGACCTCAGCCGCCGTTAAACTCTTTGGGTTGCAATCT